ACGTACGAGCTCATGTATAGCCTTACGTACGAGCTCACGTACGAGCTCACGTACAGCCTCATATATAGCATCACGTACAGCCTTGTGTATAGCATTACGTACGGCCTCACGTACGAGCTCACGTACGGCCTCGTGCATAGCATCACGTACGGCCTCGCGTATAGCATCACGTGTAGAGAGACGTAAGGGTGAATGCCCGGAGGAAGCTCCGGGCTCTCCGAGCCAATTAGAAGGTGGTGAAGCGCCAAGAGGGGGGGGTGTACATGGAGTGAAAAGGGGGTGTACGTCTAGGAATTAGGGGGTGTACGATTAGTAGTCCCCTATATTTAGGGGGCCGCCTGCCTTTATAAAGCTTACTAGTAATAGTTACGTTTATATTATCTTTAGTAGTGGCTTATTTATTATTATCTTTAATATAGATAGTGATTTTATAGACCTCTATAGGCTGTGCTATTAGCGTCCTATTTCCTGCAGCCTTTCTATTTTACTGCCTAATTCCTCTATTTTGCTGCCCTATCCTTCTATTTAGCATAGTGGTTAGTGTTGTTCCTGCCGCCGCTGCGGCGTACGTCTTGCCCTGCGTTAACAGCGCGCGTACTTCCTTCTCCATCTTCTCCATCTTCTTCATTAATTGTACCTATAGCGCTTGTTGGAGTTCGGCCAATGCGCCTGTAAGGTTGATTATCACGCGTCCGATAAATTCCTGGAATGTCTGTCCATGTCCGCGGGTTAAGGTGGCTTATTCCGTAGGCTGGCCTGTAGTTGTCGCGCTTTGTGAAGGGTGCTTTGGATGCTTTGGTAGGCGTTTCCGGTGGGCTTCGGGTTGTTGTGTTTGGTTTGGTTTTGGGGTTGAGGTTGTTGTTGTTGATGTGGGTGATGCTGTTGTTGCTGCAGGTGCTGCGGATTAGGGGTCGCGACGCGTAAATCGACCGCGACGCCGCCACCGCTGCTTGCGGAGCTCTGAGAGTTCGTTGCATAGCTTATAGGGCCTTGAGTAGCCCCTGGGGGGTTGCCTTGGGCCGTGATTCCAAGCGGCTGCGAGTTCGGTTGCATCGTGTTTTTCAAAAACTAATATATTCTAGGCGGTTCTGCTGGTGGTGTCATTAGCGTTAGCCACGTCGTCTCCAAAAAATACTCCGTTGAAGAACTTGATCACGCTCGATATGGGTGGCACGTCTACCGACTGTGCACTCATCCCAGGGACGAATGCGATTCTCCGAAGAGAGACGGTCGTTGGTCCTCTTACTGTCAAGGCTCCTTCCGTTGATGTGCGGACTGTTGGAGCTGGCGGTGGATCTATCGCTCATTACACGGCACTTACCAATGCTCTTCGCGTTGGCCCTGAATCTGCTGGCTCTACTCCTGGGCCTCCTGCCTATGGCAAAGGAGGAAAACTTGCAACTGTTACCGACGCCAACCTGGCTCTTGGATACTTACCTTCGGTCCTTCTAGGAGGCAAATTCAAGCTAGAGGTGGCCGCAGCTACCGCTGCGGTGGAGGACATTGCTAAGCAAATGAGTATGTCCATCACCGACACTGCTGAAGGCATAATCAACCTCGTGAACGAAACGATGTATGGGGCTCTTCGTCTCGTTCCTGTGGAACAAGGCTATGACCCCAGGGATTTCGCGCTCGTCGCCTTTGGAGGTGCCGGTCCTCTTCACGCGAATGCTATCGGAAAGCTTCTCGGCGCTTTCCCAGTCATTGTTCCTCCAGCTCCCGGCATTCTATGTGCTCAGGGAGACGCTACGACGAAGATGAGCCACGAACAGTCTACGACTTACATCAACTTGTTCTCTACGATATGCTCCGAAGAGCTTCGCGTAGCGTACAAAGGCCTCGCCGAAGGCTGCTCAACTACTATGAAGAAGTCTCTAGTGGATGAGAACCCTGCTCTGGATGTTTCCTATGAAGCCGACATGCGGTACAAAGGGCAAGCTCTTACTCTGACCGTTCAGATGACTGCTTCCGATCTCGAGAAAGAGACGGAAACCCTGCTTACAGAACTCCGAACCAAATTCGCCACTGCTCACGAACAGCAATTTAGCTTCTCGCTGGGTACGGACATCGATTTAGAGGTTATGTGCCTTCGCGTGAAAGCGACGGATGCTTCTCCTGAAGTCAAGATCCAGCCTATCGAAGACGCACCTGGTCCGAGTCCACTAGAGACGGTGATTATGTCCAAAAGCATGATCACTGTCAATGGCGAGCAAGTCGAGGCCATCTTCTGGAACCGAGACCAAATCACCAAGAAGGGGTACAAAGTCGTTGGACCATGTGTCATCACTAAGATGGACTCGAACACTCTGATCCTCCCTGGATACTCAGGTGAAATTGATGGCATGGGCAACATCCTTATCCGCCCGATTGATGAAAAAGATAAGCAATGGGAAGAGGAAATCATCCATACTCCGGAGTCTGCCAAGAAATACGTGGAGGAGAACCCTATCATTCCGACGCTCATTTCCTCGTCTCTGGGCTCTATTCGACGAAATGGATACACTGATGCTACGTTGCGCCATGAGTCCTGCTATAAGGGAGTAAGTTCTTTCAGGGCCATCGCAGCGGCGCAACCTCTCCACTTGAAATTTCTGCTTCCCCAATCCGAGCATCGCCTCCCCAAATTCGTGCACATACCACACCCTGACAACTACCACAGACAGCAGGACGAATTTAATGTAATTAGAAACCCAGCTGGTTCGATGCTCGTTGGCCAATTCGGTAGTTTTATTGGTCAATTCCTTGACCCTTGAAAGGAACCATTGAGGAGGGCGACGTCTTCGTTACCAACGATGTCTACCAAACCAAGGGAGCAGTATCCCATCTCAATGATGTCATCGTACTCCTGCCTATCCATCATAATGGCAAGATCGTAGGGTGGGCGGCGAACTTCGGGCATCTTACAGATGTTCAGGGTAAAGTGCCCGGGTCGATGAGTATCAACGCCAGCACCATCTTCGAAGATGGTCTACAAATTCCCTCTGTCAAGCTTTACGCGAAGGGACAGTATAATCAAAGTCTAGTAGACGTCTTTTGTAGAAACAGTCGTATTCCAGAATGATTCCAAAGCGATCTCACCGCTTTAGTTGCAGCATGTCGGACAGCTGCTGCAAGAGTTTGCGAGGTATCCTCCAAACCCTTTCAATCATTTACGATGACCTTTGATTGACATTACTCCAGCTTTGTGATCGATACAGCACGGAAGTCTACCACGCTGCCTGCGACAGCCTTCTTCTACGCTGCAGAACTGCTATTAGCGAGCTTATCGACAATAAGATCGGCACCGAGCGAAGCAATTTCACCGATTGCATTGATGATGACGGCAATGGCATTGGGCCCTATGCCATCACTTGTGCAATGCAAAAAGTTGGTAGTAAGCTCGTTTTCGATTGGGATGGCACGAGTCCCCAGAGTGGGACGTCGATATACTATTACCTGTCCACTCCGATGTTCAAGGTAAGCCATCTGCTTCGCTCTGGATAAATTCTCTGATCCTAACCTCTTGAGATCTACGGGGATGCAGAAACACCTCATTTATAGTCCGCGAATAACCCAAGGAGCGTCTCGAAAGGAGTGCTAAACCAGCGTGTTTACTAAACCGGCGGCCGGCTCAACTAGAGAGCAGATTGATTGTGTGTAGATATTCATCTCCTACTTCCTCCTTGCAGTCTACGACCCCCACAACGTCGTCAACGACGGCCCCGCCGATCTCATCGAGCTCAAAATTCCCGAAGGCAGCATCCTCCACCCTGTGCGTCCGGCGGCCCTATCCTGCCGTACACATCTCCTAGGTAGAGTAATGGATATCATCCAAGCCCTCTTCAGACAGCGCAACCCAGCCTTCCGCTCCGCCGCCGGCTTCTCCGACTCTCCCCACCTCTTCTACTCCGGCTTCAAGCCCACGGGTGATTGGTTCCTGCTATAGCAGATCGGCTTCGGTGTTGTACCTGCGCGACCCATCGGCGATGGACTAGATTGCCACTGCCTCTTCCCTGCCATCAAATCTATCCCAGCGGAGAACATCGAGCTCTACTTCCCGCTCGTCATTGAAGCCAACGAATCTGTCGCAAATTCTAGCGGTGCTGGATTTTATAGGGGTGGCAATGCGCAGAGGACTGTGTATCGTTTCCTATGCGAAGGTGAGGTGTCTATTCACGACGATCGCTGGCTTACGAAGCCTTGGGGCGTTGATGGTGGCGAACCTGGGACTAGATCGCGCAAGGGCACCTACAGAAATCACTCGTACGGCACGGATAAAGAAGAACATGAGGCTATCCCATCCAAATGCGATCATATCTGCGTCAAACCCGGCGACGTTCTCGAGTGGATCACATGGTGCGGTGGTGGACTTGGGGATCCCCTCACTCGTCCACCAGAGATCGTAGCAAAAGAGGTCCATCGCAAGCTAGTAACGATTGAATGCGCGGCGAAGAACTACGGTGTCGTGGTTGGCGAGAACTGGGAACCTGATATTGAGAAGACGGAGGTGCTGAGGAAGAGTATTAAGGAGAAGGGGAAGGAGGGGCGGGAGAGCATGACGTATAAATGGGGCTGGGCGGAGGAAGGGGGAGTGGAGAGTTTGGTCAGAAATGCGGAGAAAAAGACTGGGTTGAAGGGGCCGACGCCGCAGTGGGAGCCGGATCCGTATGGGCCGCATGTGGGATTGCCGTATGTGAAGGAGTGGTTTTCGAGGATGAGAAGGGAGGGTTAAGGGGGGTGGAAGGTCTTGGAGAAGGTAGGTGGGTAAACGAAGGTGGTAGGTAATGCATCTCTCTATTCGACACGAATTTTCATTCCAGATCCATATCCTCTAATCTACCTTACGCATTTTTTTTCCTTCTATGTTAACACTTAGTTCCAAATTCGTTGCTCTAACAAACACTCAGCGCCACTCGTCTCCAGGTTTGACATTCCATCTCTTATCTCATGGGCCTCCATTTGTAACCTAATATCTCGACAAATGCTTTACGTAGGTCGAGGTTTCTGAGCCTCAGGCTGCAGCTTACGGGTCAGCAACCGTCTCCTCCGACCAGCCGGTGAGCGGTATGAGATTTCGAGATGGAGATTCTGGTGAGTCTGATGCTGCGGCGGCAGTCTCTGTGCCAGCTGTGGTGACTTCTGGCCGGCCGGTGAAAGGGGTGATATTTCGAGATGGAGATGGTGTCTCTAACGCTGCGGCTACGTTTTCCGCGCTAGCTGTGGTCTCGTCTAGATTGCGGGTGGGAGAATCAGGATTCCCAGGCGGGGATGCCGTTGTTTCAACATCGCCGTTGTTTGTGGCTCCAGTAGGAGAAGAATGACTGCGAGGCTTTGGAGAAGACTGTGTCATGTTGATTTGCCTGACTGGATTGGGCTGGATAAACTAGCTGGGTAAGTCTCTCTTATCTATGTTTTCGTTTTGGTTGCAGGCGTAACGTGGAAGTTCGCGGAATTTGAGGAGTAAGAGAGATGAGGAAGGCGGTGGTAGCATCCATTGATTTCGCTATTTTCCGTGTGGCTCGAAAGGGAGAGTCTTCTCGCCCAACGACTGTAAGTATACTGCTCTCTCTTGTCATGACTGAGCTAACGAATCATATACGCAAAGGTCATCATGCGATAATCATGTGGTCGCGTCCATTCAATTATCGGGGCTTTCGCAAAGGGACCCGTAAGAATTTGAAGACAAGTTGAAATTGCACGGCCAATGGGAGAAGTCTATCTACAGATGCTTCTCGTCTTTATTGCCACTTCTTCCCGCTTCTCATATTCTGAGATTCTATGCAATCCCGGGGTATCTTTTGGACGGAAAGAAAAGAATAGAAATGTCCCGGACCCGAAAGTATCTTTAGCTGACGTTGTCCCAGCCCCAGATGAAGTCTCTCGCACCATCTTGCCTATCGAATCGACTGCAGAGCCGTAGGAGTACAGATATTAAAACATTCGAGACTAGAATGCCCTACCAGTCTCTACTACTACCCGTGTGTTAGTAAATAAACGATAAGTGGACTTGTACAACGAACCAAAACATCATGACCCACTAGCTCGAAGGCCACTCCCTCTAGCAGAGGTAGAACGACAGCGGACCGCCGTTGTGGCAGTCCTTCTGGACCGGCCACTCGCAGCTCTGGTCGTTATACGTCCAGAAGATAGTGGGACATTGTCCCGCGTCTCCAACTTGAACAAATCGGCGGTTGGTGACGAAGGGTGACCCGTCGAGGCTCGATAGGTCGTACCAGGTCCGACTGTCCTTGCAAGAATACTCCACCTCGTATGGGTGGCTCATTGCGGCATTGTTGTCAATCTTCATAACTACGCCTTCCCACCGCACTGGGCGTCGAAGGCGGCCCAATACGTTTGACCCGGAGGTACGGCAGCGATGCCAGTGTCGCCACCCTTGCCTTGAGAGGTCTTCGCGTACGCTATGAAGTCGCAGTTGTTCTAAAGAACCCTTTTGTGGCGGCGGCTGAGACTGGGGAGAGAAGGGTCATGAGTGCGAAGGCGAGAAAAGCTTTGTAAGGTTAGTCAACCCTATGAGACGGATGTACAGAGGAAGGAGAGCTTACTGATGATGGTGAACTGAGACATATTGGAAGGCTGTCTTTGTCTGAGAGAACGTGGTGCTATACAGATATGGTGTTACTGTATAAGAAGAGTAGTGACACTGATGGACTGAGGGAGCCTGGAGGTGTGTATTGCTGTCGAGTAAGGAAGAATGATTGAGACTGTAGAGACTGTGGTTTGATGGGTATCAATGCAGTTGCTGAAGACCGTGTAGATGTAGATGTGGATGAAAGAGGAATCAACGTAGGTTCCAAGGGGATTTATATAGGCCTCCAGGACTCCCTCACTGCCGCCGATTTCCCCTGTGCCGCGCTCTTTTCGCGCACCCGCTGCAGAAGACAAAGTTGATTTGCCATGAGAGCTCCTCTTCTATTCACTAGGACTGCAATTGAGGGCGTCGCCGTCGTTCCGGCGCACTGCTCAAGGTTTCTCGCGGCTCTCGACAACCCCTGAGTGAGCCAGATAGTCAGTTCCCGCCCGCTGTTGACGCCGCAAGCAACAAATTCTGCTCTTAGAAACAACGTTTTCATTCACTAAGATAACAATCAAGGGCATTGCCGGCGTCCTCTTCGATACATCTTGCGTGTCTCCACAGCCCCTGAGCCCCCCGTACGTTCAGTCTCCGCTTTTAGCCACTGCACTGCCGACAAGCTGCTTGCCGCGCCTAATCCCGTTGAACGTCGCCAAAGGACTCACTGATTCTGACTTTCGTGGTTATCTGCGGTATTTGGAGCTTCTTTGGGGTCCATGGGTGGTTCTTTGTATCCCGCCTCGGTTTCTAGGGCATTAATTGGGGTATTTGAGTCGGCAGCACCAGTCTTTAGCCCCCCAACGTGCCGATGAAGAGCCGGAGTACCTGCATCAAACGCGGTAGTGGATGCAGGAGTGACGGATTCTAGGCTTGAAGGCCCAGTCGCCCCAGTCCCTCCACTGCCGCTCGGCTGAGCAGGTTGGGAAATATCCTCTGGACGGAGAACTTGAGGTTGAGATGGAGAAGGAGCTCGCAGACCAGTATATTCCCATTGCACGATCCCGCCCGACCTACTCGCTACGAGTCCATAGCGATGCGAGTTTTTCTGGTTCCAACAGATGTTGCATCGGGGGTGTTCATCATTGTCCCCCGTCCAGGAGGCTCGGATTCTGCCGTCAGACGTACGCCCGTCGATCTTTACATACCGACGTAGGAAATCTTCCCAATGGCGTTCCTCATTGCAGAACCTACAGGTTCGCACGAAATTTGAATGAGACATAGGTCTACGCACACTCACGCGGTTGGGCACTGTGTGGTTGAAGGCTACAATACGAGCCAATATCAAATCGAACGAACAAGTAAAGAAATCCAATAGTGACTGAGAGAGAAGAACCATATATACTGAAGCTGATTGCTCTGGGTAAAAACATTATAGATTGTTCATGACTGCAATTGCGTAGAAAACGATCATGTGAGCAAAATGAGTTGGATTGGATGGGCGCCTGGCTGGGTAAGTCATTTATACAAGCTACTCAATGGTCTTGCGGATGAGGGTGGTTTGCCCTAGTAGGTAACCACTTAGATTAATTTATGGCAAGGGATGCGGAGTTAGGCTAGTGTTCTTTCAGTCAACATCCCCGGATTGATTTCTAGACGCGGCTGTATCGAGCCAGGAACACAGGTCAGTATCCCTGGTCTAGGCATTCTATTTCATAACTGATCCTTTTAATTGTTGGTCTTGCTCATTGACGTCGATCATAAAGAGCAACACCTTCCCTCTCTACTCCCCACCATCTTCTCATCTCCACATCCGTAGAAATATTCACTGCTCACCCTCTAAATCCTCATACCAACATCCTCCCCCGCCAACCTCTCCAACCTCCCCCTGAACTCCCGAACATCCTTCTCCAACCCATCCAAGCGAAGCACAGGATCAATGGAAGCACCCGCACCACCCCCCTGCCCAGCGGGCGGCCCGTCTCCCCTTTCCAACCGCTCCACCGCCTTCCTCAGATTTCGAATATAGAGCTCTGCCCTATACAAACTGCTCGCAACACTCCCATCATCGGCCCCCGGAGCCCTAGAATGCGGGTTCACAGAATCAAAAGCAGCTTTACACTCATTGCAAGCTTTGTTGAAGCCTGTGAAGTCGCCTGTAGGTAGGTCTTGGTTACAGTAGCCGCAGAAGCGTTTGCCGGGGCTGATAGGCGTAGGTGAAGACCTCGCAGACGGTGTAGGTGTGAATGGTTCTGGACTCAGGTTGAAATTGATGTGAACTCTGATTTCTATAGACGTCTAGCTAGTTGTATATATACTAGGGGAAGGAAGGGGGCCACCCCCAGGGTGGCGCGCTAGTAAGTTCAGATGAGCCCTGCACAGCTGAGGCTTCAGCTCGGTTCTCTACAGCTGAGATTTCAGCTGGGTTCTCTACAGCTGATGTTCGGAGAGTAGCTTTCTGGCATATGAGTTGTTGATCCTAGGTTGTAGTGCTGCAACCTGAGTTCTGGCGTGGGTCGTTGAGGTGTAGTTGGTGCTGGCGTGAATGGTGCCGGTGTGGCTTGTGTAGAAGCGGAAATGGTCGGTGAAGGGGGCCGTAGAATTGCATCGCTTAAATGGATGCGTCGGCGTTTCCGCTCCCCGCTAGTATACATTGGGGAACGAGGGGGAGTAGACTCTGAGGTGGAGCGGCTGCTAGATGTTGGCTGTAGGTTACCTGGCTGGGTAAGTGAGCGTACTTACGGTTATGGGATGTTGATGCTCTACGTTGCTCTTAAAGGGGTAGGGTAGCGGTGGGTTTGGTGGAAGCATGAAGTGGCCGGGTTGATGGAGGATTCTTGTATGATTTACTACTATGTTTGTAGGAAATCTCTTGGGGTATCGTAGGATCGATCTAGTAGTATGAGCAAACGATTAGGGCGCGTGTGAGGCAAGATTGTGAATAGGTTACAGAGAAGGTTTGATTTGCAGTGATGAGCGGGAAAGTCACGGGACTGAGGCCGGTAGTGTAGATGCAGGTGATGGTTCGAAGTCTCCGCCTCTTGTCAAAGAGGTCACTGACTGCGTACACTTTTTTTGACTACAGAGGTGCTCTTTGCAACTACATCCCGCGAATTGATACAATGAAAGGCGACGTCTTCTCCGCCCTATTTATTCAAAGCCCCCATCTCAGCCGTTTCATGCCTGGGTTGGGTTTCTCATTCTTTCCCTTAGCAGCTTCGCTTTCCAATTCCTTACCCTTCCTCTTTTGCTGACGATTCTCGGCCTTCCGATCTTTCAATTTCTCCGCCCAGGTCCTCTTGTCAAGTTCCGTCTTAACTGAAAGAGTCACAACATCCGTAGCATCCGTTCCAGAGTTGAAGGAGGCGGAGTTCGTAGATTCAGTTTCCGTAACAACTTCTTCCGCACGGCTGAGTGGCTGACGAGATACGGTTGCCTGTGGTGAAGAAGGCCTTGGCTGTAGTGGCGGGAACGCTGACGATGATGCGACCGGAGGAGGCGGTCCAACCGATGGCCATTGTACTTGTGAGTTCCCCGGTTGAGCTATGTTTCGTCGGCTGGTCTCCGTTTTCCGACGGTCAATGTTATTCCAGAATGCTTGCGTTTTCCTTCGCTTACATTCATTGCAACAGCCCGAGCTCGCTTCGTACTTGTAGTTACGATAAAAGCTCTTCTTGAGGTACCTGTTATTACAGGCGTCACAAGGATAGAGTGGTTCTTCGTTCATTGTGGATGTGATAGTGGAGTCTTTCGTTGGCTGGATGCGAAGGGCGGTCTTATAGCCTTCATGCTGTGTTTGTCCTGGAAACATGGAAGTTTGAAGGACTGGGTATGTCAAGCAAACATAGCAAAGTTCTGGGATGTATGAAAGGTTTGATCTTGAATGCAAGGGGGTCTAGGAGCTTCTATATCCAAGTCACTAGGTTCTACCCGTCACTACCCATCACTCCAGAGACCGCAACGGTAAACTGCTTATCAACCGCCAGCCTCACCACCACCTCCCCCACTTCTCCTCTATCTTTGTTAGACCCCTTCCAATCCTTCTTACATCTTTTTTCACTGCCTTCAACGAGCTGTTAACCGGCCAATCCGCCAATTGTTTGGAAGTTCGTTCCAATTCCTGCGAATATCTCACAAGAGCACGAATATCTTCGGTGGTACATTGCGTCCCTAATAGCATGGTGATACGCGTCTCAAGGGTTTTCTTTTCGGCTTCGACGCGATCAACGCCGCGTTGAAATTGGAGTGCGATAGGCGCGGGCTCCTCGAGTTCAGGGGATGAAGGAGTGGAATCCTGGGTGGAATCTTGGGGTTGATTATGAGGTTGATCCCAGGGATCATCGTCGGGAGCGGCAGAGGGTTGAGTAGGTGGGGTCATGTTAGATAACTTCTCGTGACCTTGTCGTTGTTTCTACACTACTTTCTTGGTCGACGACAAGGGGCGTGAGTGCTGGTTCAAGCATTAGATGGCACGATCAAAATCTTTTATAAAGCAACTCACTGCGTTTGCTCTTGATTGGTTTGGTTGGAATAGAAAATCACCCCATGAGTAAAGATTGCTATTCGGATAAGGGACGCATATAGTTCTACTTCATGCCATCTAAGCCCCAATCACCATCTTTCGCCTGCTCCGGGGGTTTTGGCCCTGACCGAAGTAAGTCTTCGCTCTCCTTCCACTCCTTCTCTATGTCCGTCAAGAGTACCTCCAGCCTCTGAATTTCAAATTCGACGCCGTCTAACTTCCCGCTCATCTCGGCGATATCTGCGTCCGACATGTCTCCGGATACATTGCTCACACCTATATCTGAAGGCGTCAACGAGTTAGAACCAAACTTCGAGATGGCATCTAGAACGGCCTTATCGCTCTCGCTTTTTCCTGTGGCTGGTCCGAGTTTGGTAATACGAGTTTTCATATCTGCCTGTTTCACCGCACATTGGTCTATGCGGCTGTTCAGATCGGCCGCTGTAGGTCTGGGGTCCGCTATTCCAGGGGTTGCGGGGGTGGGTATGCTGGGTTGATCTGCGTCTCTAAGTCGGTGGTCTTGCGACCAATAGATTTGCGGGGCCATTGCGCGGGTTGCGATTGCGCTGGGGAAGTGGATTGCCGCCTGACTTGGAAGTTTGATCGAATGAAAAGGCAGACCTTTGGGGAGGCTTTTCGTTGAATCCCTAAATTCGCTGAACGATCTCAAACAGCGACAGACGAATGTTTAAATGTCTGCCCTATTTCAAGAGCCTCTGTCAGGAGACCCTACAAGTCGAAGTATTTCGCGTATCGAGCATCTTCTAGACCATTCCAAACACCGGCGTGGTAAGTAGTAATAACATCAGTCTATATCGTCTTCATCGTCCATGACCAACTCTCTTAAGACGTTGTCGTCTGCCCACTCGACGCCGCTGCCGACAATCATGCCGGATATGATGCTCTTCATGATGCGCCATCGTCTGCGGGACAACTTGACGCTCTTATCTAGAGCCTGTAGCCTGTCGCGTAGCTTCGGATCCTCGACTTCGTCTGTCGACTGACTCTTGGTCTCTTCAGCAAGCTCGAGTAGGATCTGGGACAACTCTTTGTTCTTTTCATTTGCAACGACGCTGCCTTTTTCTGCTGCTGCTAGGGCAGACAAGGTCGATGACAGCCGGGACGCGAGAGTGCTGTGATACATAGATATCACGTCTCTTTCATGGACCATCGGCAGCAGTCTCCTGACCACATTAGTAAACCTGGATCGATATAGGTGGCAAAAGCACGTGACATACCTCTCGGCGTCTGTGTTGTTTGCACCACTATGAACTGCCTTGAGAACGGGGTCCATTGCCAGCACGCTTTGAGTGACCTTGTTTCGTAGCAGGTACTCTGCTCGTGCCTCGAGAGCTTCACGTTCGGCGATGATCAGCTGCTCTTCTAAGACATCATCTGATATGGCAGAGAGATCCCGCGGCTGGCCTGCAAACAATCAGTCACGATCGGATTCGTGTCACCTGGACTCGACAGGTACCTTGTGCTTTGAGCAGGGCGATCTCGAGCTGCAGTTCTTGCTGCTGGTCGTAGAGGTCTAATATCATCTGCTCGGTTGCAGAGAAGGCGAACGCGTCGTTGTGTGTTGCTTGGGCGAGCATCTCATCGCCGGACTGTTCCGTCTTTGGGTCAGGTATTGGGTGCACAGTGGGGTTCTCCATGACTGTTAGAGGGCCGATTCTCTGATTGCTAAAACGGTGGTGGAGTATCGTGTCCGAAAGAGTGAAGGTGAAGGTGTTGCCTCGATGCCCAAGGCTCTCAGCCCTGAGGCTCGGGAGCTGGTCCGTGCGACAGTAGCGCAAGACACCGACCACTGCCTGTGAATGTGCATGAGCTCCCCGTCTCCTCCACCTTCCATCCTCACAGCTTCATATCCCGGGCAAGCTAAGCATAGGGAGGGAGTCGCGCATGTCGCTGCAAGTCGCTGTCGCCCACACGGGTCAGCGGCTCGAGGCCGACCCCGTTTCCTTCAACTCGATAGACGCTCTGAAAGCATGGATAGCCAAAGCTACTCAGATCCCGCCCCAGGACCAGATCCTGCTCACCACCCGAAGCAAGCATGTCAAGCCCCAGACGCTTTTGACTGAGGTATTTCAATCGTCTGTAAAGCCATAGGCTCTTGCTAACGACCTCCAGACCGAGATATTCGTCTTCGACCGCGACCTCTTCTCGCTCTCCTCTAATCTACAGGGCAACCTCATCCAGCCTACACCTCTACCCGAACCCTTCACGGCCGATGACCCGCCGCGTAACCTTGCGAGCGACACCGACCTGAAGGCATGGCAGGCCCTCTTCAAAGCTCGCCGAGATTGGGCACTTGGGATTCTACAAACGTCGCAATCGTTGTCGCGGATCGCCCAGCGCTACTTCGAGGATCAAGGAGTCATCGACCGAGCTGCGCGTATAGCCGTGGGGAATCACGATTCCTACATCAAGAATCTCGAACAGAAACACTCCGAGGCGCGGAGCTGGTACGACGACGTCTCGAAGGAACAAGAGGACAATGTGCGCTTCTGGGAACGGGACTTCTCGCAGTTGGAGTACCTGCCGGCGAAACGGGAATTCCTTTCCTTCATCTCCAAGGGCACGCAGCAAGCACAAAATGGACAAAGGACCTCCAGTCAAGGCATCACCCTCAAGGAGTATATTGACTACGATAGTGCGAAGACGGCAAGCTCGGTCAGCCGGAAGACCATCGAGACCTTTGGAAAACGAGTGTCGACCATGGGCTCACAAATTGAGAAAACCGCCTCCAATTATCAGGAGCTCCTCGGTGCTGTCGACCAAAGCCAGAGCCGATCCGCTATAGATGACGTCGGAGAGCCTCTCAGACTGCTCGAGGAAATTGAAGCTGTTGTCAAGAAAGTAGGCTCAGACTATGAGCACGTGCTCAGCCTTACACCGAGTCCTAAGTCCGTTGCTCAAGTATCGAAAATGGCGTTACTGCATACTAGGAACTACCTACCTGCTATCCAAGAGTACAGCGCTGAGATGGGCGACCTTGTGAGGAGAGCCGTGGAGCAGAAGAACGCGTCCGTCGCAAACGCAGTGGACAGTATGCGTGGTATTGCAAAGATCGAAAACGTCATCTCAACCCTGAACGACGAGTTGAAGAAACTTGATTTCTCGCCAGAAGGGCTTGAGGCATTCGAGATGATGTCCCTTGTATCGAGAATACCCTTCGTGTACGGCTCCCTGCTTATAGAGGCTGTACGGAGGCATGAATGGGTAGAAAAGATGAAGAAAGACTCCTCAGCACTTGCCGAAGAGATGGCCGGATTTCAAGACGAAGAAGAACGGCGGAGAAAGAGATGGCTGAAACCCTTTCAAGATCTAGTGAATATAGAGGCCATCCAAGGCAACATGCTTGGCTTCGAGATGAACATCCAAGGAGAAAAGCAGAATTGGCCTGTTGTCAGCCGAGAAGAGGTTCAGGACTATCTCCAGTCTCTGCAGACGTTGGAAGGGCAGGAATCTTCGGTTGGACCACTGATCCAGGCATTCAAGGACCTCGACAAACCTACGAAGCAGCAAGTCAAGAGGGCGAAGAACTTCAAAGCTGGAAGCGTACATGAAGGCGCGTTCGGACAGGCCTCTTTGCTTCTACGTGGGGATGATGAAGCGCGCGTATTGAAGGAAGCCAATGTGAAACTGGAAGAGGAATTGAAAGGCTCCAAGAGCCGTGTACGTAGGCTCGAGGATCTGTTACATCGGCAAAGTACGCTTAGTCGACTATCAATTGGAAGTGGATTCCAGCCCCAGGGCCTCCAGAGTCCAGCTGAGCCTTCTACTCCTAACCCGGATCGACCACAAGACCAGCTGTCGCGGCGATCTTCAGTCTCTTCTCGTCGATTTTCTTCAAACCAGGGCCCGGACGAGAAAGCGCTCGCTCGTAAAACTTTGAAACTCGAAGCTGATCTGGCAGCTGAGAAGGAAACAGTTGCTACTCTACGAAAGGAAGCGCAGTCAAGGAACAATGAAGACGAGGACCTCAAACGCCAAATCGAGGATGCCAACTTCACAAAGAAGGATCTGATGGAGAACATGGAAGCTCAACAGAAGGAGTTTGCCACGGAGCGCCGATCTCTGGAGGATGAGCTCGCCAAGTATAAGCTCAAAATCGAGGACGCCGAAGATGAGTTGGACCGTATACTAGGAAGCCGCGACAATGAGCGGACTGGAACCGATACCAAGATCCAGATCCTAGGGGCAGAGATGGATCAACTCCGCACTGAAGCCACCGAAGCGGCCGATAGAGCAGCTTCGCGGATCAAGGAGTTAGAATCTATACTTCAAACCCGGGACCATTTGGAGAACCAACGGCGGACTTCTCTCGTCACTGTCTACCGGCATCTGTCTTCTGACGACACGGAGCCCGAAGATCATGACCACTTAATCTCTCAGCTGGAAGACCTGGCCACAAGATCAGTGACCCATCTTCAAGAATTGACGCAAGCTGTTGCCATTGCCAAGTCCGAGAACCAAGCCGTCAGATCCGGAGCAGAGAAAACGAAGTCTGAGCTGTCAGCTAAGGTAGATGCCTCCGAGAAAGAGAGGGATTCTCTACGCAAGCAGCTAGACATCGAAAAGGCGAAAGCTGTTTCGATCAAGGCCGAGCTCGAGGAGGAACGTGGGCACCTCGAGGATCTGCGAACTAAATTTGCTGCAGGCGAAACAGGATCTGAAGCACTTCGTCAACGAGTGGCTGACGAGGAGTCTAAGGTCGAAAAGCTTTCCAGCGAACTCGCAGAATCGAAGTCTCATGCTATCAGCTTAGACGTAGCACTCATGTCACTGCAGAAGCAAATATCGAAGGACTCCGAGACGGAAACTTCGAGGCTGCAACACACTGGTGCGCGTGCCAAGGAGGTCACTCGCCGATTATACACTGTGAATCAGCGGCTCCTACGATTACTAGAGTCCTTTGGATTCTTGATATCATACGAAGGAGACTCCATGGTGGTGCAGCGGGCCTCGAGAGCAAGCGCAAGCACGATGCTAATAAATGACCCCTCTAACTCCATTAACCGGGGTGTTACGACACCTTCACCAACGCGGCTAAAGATGCATCTCGAAGACCTGTCAGATCTTACATTCCTTCAATGGCCTGAGACCGACGACACAGCAGAAGAGACCCAGAGATTCACTGAGTTGATCAATACCCTTGATCAATTTGACATGGAAATGTTCTGTGAGGCAGTACTGAAGCGAATGCGAGATATGGAACACACAGCACGCAAATTCCAAAAGGAAACCAGAGCTTATCGGGAGAAGTACCACCGTGCTCAGAGCGAGGCGCACGAGAAGATCGCGTTCCATTCATTCAAAGAAGGCGATCTCGCGCTGTTCCTCCCAACACGAAACCAAGCAACTCGTCCATGGGCCGCATTCAACGTGGGTGCGCCTCACTACTTCCTTCGCGAACAAGACTCGCACAAGCTGCACGGACGTGAGTGGCTTGTTGCACGCATCTCCAAAGTCGAACCGCGCGTCGTCGACCTCTCCAAGACGATGGAGAGCGTCCGTAACAGCAGCGACTCCCGCTCTATCACCAGCGGGGTGTCTTATGAAGACGATAACCCCTTTGAACTATCCGACGGCCTCCGCTGGTACCTGATCGATGCCGCGGAAGAAAAGGCTGGAGCCCCTTCTACGCCCGGTCTCGGCAAGACTACCGTTGCGAGCGCGCACGTAGACGCCAAGGGCAGCATCCGCATGACGAAGAAATCCGGTTCCAACGACCCGACCAAGACGCTGAACAAGAGCCTCGACAGCCGCCGTAGCAGCGCCAACTCCCGGAAGAGTGCCCCAACCGCAGCAGGACGCCAAGGCTCTTCCGAAGCAGTTTCTCTCGCGGATGGAGGCGAAGGCTCCAACGCCAATCCCGCCGCGAACCCGGCAGCTGCACTGGGCACATCACCCAATTCCAACTCTGGCCCTGGCCCTTCTCATCCCCGCACCCACGCTGAGAACGGAGCATCGTCCTCCTCCACCTTCGCTCAACCACCGCCCTCAACGAGCCGAGTGCAAGATGCAGACGAGGTTCGCAAAGACCTGCTCTGGGGTCCGTGATGTATTATCCTTCACGGATCTGCTGTCCGAATCCTGGGCTGACTGTTTTTGATAGGGAGACTTGTGGGGGAACGGTGGGACTAGTTTTGCGCCTGCGTCTACGACTATGTCTGCGGCTGCTTCTTTGGCGAGGTCGGCGACGGCGACGGCGAAGACGAAGGGCAAGGAGGTTGTTAGGGCGGCGAGTGTGAGTCCGAGTAAGAGGCGTGGGAGTGGGAGTGGGATACAGAGAGGGGGCGGTGGTGTTGCGGGCGGGTTCTTGAACTCGTTGTTTCAGCTGGATGTGAGTTATGAGAGTGGGAAGGGGGGGAGGGGGAGGGGGAGGGGGAGGAGGTGAGGTGAGTAGGTGCCTGCGGGATCATTTAGACGATAGAGCTGTTCATAGGCATTGCGATGCCGGCACGGGTAATTAGGGTGTGCATAATTCATTGGTAATACAAGCATATTGTAAGTTGTTCGTTGTTGGTGTTTCTTGACTGTATAGCAGGTTCGATAGCGAGACGAGCGACTTGCATATGCGCTACTGCTGTCACACGTGCTAGAGCGCCCCTATTGGATAGCCTTGCGACTCCGTGATTGGAAGAAGATCGCAGCTTGCAGCTGTGAGCTGTTGGCTGCGGGGTAGGTTCGTTCTCCTCAAGCTCTCAGCTCTCAGTCTTGCTATGGCTATCTTATTCATGCTGTATGCTATGTCTCCAGACGACATCACCGCGCTCGTGCAGAGCATGAGCATCAAAGACTCCAAACCACCACCCCCAAAACCCGCCAGCGATCCACCTAAGAGGTACAACGCAGTCCCGCCTCCGGCGACTATCCAGCCCAAACCGCGGAAGAGCCGATACACTCCGCGTCCAAAGACCAAGCACCCCAACGGCTCTGCCGCACACGCGCCTCCAAATCCCCAGCAACCGCCCAACCCCACCAGTAGTCCACAGGACGCCCAACACTCCAATGAGCCCGCCAGCTCCCCCAACCCACCCCGCTCTCAACCCCGTCACCGCAACCCTCCCCCTAACCCCAAACCCCCTCCCCCCTCCGCCCGCCTCCGCGCCCCAAAGCGCTTCGTCCCCGCGTCCCCCGACCCCCCAGCCCCACCGCCCTCGCCCGAGCGCGTGTACACGGTGCTCTTCGAGCCCTACGGCGTCGTCGCGGGCGTGTTCAGCTCGCTCGTGACTGCGACCACGGCCGTGAGGGCGCTGGGCGGCGGCGGCGGGCAGCAGGGGGGGAAAGGCGGGGCAGAGGGGCTGCGGGTGTTTGGGGTCAGGGGGGGCCGGTTGGAGATTGTGCCGCAGAAACTACGGGATGTGAGGAAGGAGGGAGAAGGGGGTGAAGGAGAAGAGGGTGGGGGAGGGGAGCGAACAGGCCCTGGCGAGGAAGCAGTAAGGACAGCTTCGCGCGCGACTAAGCAAAGTGGGAGCGAGGGCGTGGTGTTCCTCGCGGTAGATCGTAGTTTGGTTATTGGAGCGTTTAAGGGGGGAAAGGATGCGTGGGAGGCGTGCGTGGAGCACCGAGAGCAGGTTTCGTGGTGTGCGACGGCGCCGTTGAGGGAGAAGAGTGAGTGGGTTGATGCGAGGGGGTTGCCGAGGGCGAGGGGGCGGATTGAGGGGGGTGGGTGGCATGAGTGGGGCGTGGAGGTTTATGAGTTGGATGAGATTGTGGGGTTGAGGGAGGAGAGGGAGAGGGAGAGGGAGATGGAGATGAAGGAGAGGTTGGAGCGGGGTTTGGAGGGGAGGTTGAGGGATGTTGAGAGGAGGCTGAGGGGGATGGGAATTCCGGACTGATATGTTGGGATTTGTGACTGAATAGGTCATCAAACGTAAAGTGGTAGAGAGGTGATGGGCTGTAGAGCATGCTGTATAGGCTAGTCGTGGAAGCGCCAGGACGTGACTGTTTATGCAAGGTTAAGGTTTCAATCAGCTCCTTCTCCTTGTCAATCCTTGACTCTGTTCTTTTCCTTTGTGGAGACGGAGAAAAACCGCGGACTGGGAATGGGTAGCACGTGACGGACGGGTCATTGGAACATCAAGGAAGCGGTAAGGCGTTGAACTCGGGTCAAATATTTTCGATGTGGATGAGAAGCACGTGAGTGTTCAACCCTTTCTCCGCGAATTGAAGCAGAGTAGTTCAAGTTCTGTCGAAAGTTTGGCGTTGATGGTGTTTGAGGAGCACGTGACTGTGAAATAGATGCCTCAGAACTAGACCCTTCCCGAGCCCTGATTTCGATCTTGACCACCTCACCTACCTCATCTTGCTTCCGTCTCTTGCCGACTACCGGGCCCCGGACAAGTAACGATTGCGAGCGAAATCAGGGACTTTGGAATGTGCCCCAAAGAGCACTAGCCACAAGCAAATCGGAAACTGCTCCGGCCCCACATGTGTGGCAGCCAGCCCTATGACATCACCGCCCGGCAGGGTCTGGTTTGCCCTGATGCATCCAGCCAATAGGAGAATTAGCGTGTGGTGTCACAGATGTGGAGGTGGCGCGTTCAGGTTCCTCTCGGCTGATCGCGAACTGCAATGACGAAGGCGGCCACGAGACTGAAGCGCGATGGGCACTGGCACACTGGAAACGGTTGCAGCGAGCCCTGAATGACGTAGGCAGCGCTTGGGAGGAAGGAACGCTGTGTTGAGCACCTGCATAAATACCCACCTACCTACGACTTCTCTTCCTCACCGCAACATCAACCTCAACAACTCAAACAACAATCCAACCTACACTTTCCACACCTACCAACCCATCAATCAATCACCATCATTATGTCTGACTTCGCTCGCAAAGACTTCTCCACCAAGGCCGAGGAGAAGCTCACTCCCAACTCGACCAAGGTACGCGGCCTCACCCCCTCCGCCAAACACGCCATGCAAATAACTAACATCTTTCCAGTCCACCGGCGAGAAGATCAAGGAGGCCATCACTGGCTCCGGAGACAAGATCGCTCGGTACACTTACCCCTTCATCATCCTACAAGCTCACCACTAACATACACCAGTGGCGTCCAGCCCGACTCATCCAAGTCCGACTCGCAGGAGATTTCCGACAAGTTCGGCCGCTCCAAGGACCGCAACGTCCATGGTAGCACTGGCGAGAGCATTGTCGACAAGACCAAGCACGCCTTGGGCGCGGATAGGCACTAGACGCTGTCATTGACTCAGCCTCGGTGGTGTCTCGACTGGACCTCATCTGAGCGTCGAGAGTGCAGTGGAGGAATGAGATAATGACGGATCGGATCGATGAGATGTATTATTAAGGATGGGATTATGATACCAACCGGCCTCTACGGCTGAAGAATGAATTGATCAATCATCAAAATCTTTACCTTTGCTGTGATGTGATTGTGTGTACACAGCGCCATCGCTAACTTATGGTCTTGCTACTCGTTCTGAGGAACTTTTGAGGACCAATGGCGAGGATTGTAGCGAGACGTATAGTTGTATCTCTCTGCGAAAGGAAAGAGTGTTTGATACTGCATAGCGACTGTATAGTATACAACTTGCTTCGTGACATGCTGCCCTCCCGCAACGGGTATGGTTGTCGCAATTCACCCGCGTGGGCAGCCATGTTCAGTAAATGCCCATAGTCATAAAGACCAACACACATAGAGATTCATACAGCGTACGGGGCATTAACTGATCCGTTTGGAGGATTCATCATCGATATGAACACGTCACAGAGGAGGCTGGGAGGTCTTGCAGGCAGCTTGGAACCGGAGCTCGCCCCTGCAGACGGCAACACGGGATCTGGAAACTGACACGGCCCGGTCTGGGCCGGCGCAGGTCGCGCGGATTCTCTAACTGCTCTCGGCAGCCTCTAGCTGCTCTCAGCATCGTCTCGCTCTGTGGCGTGGGCGCGGGCGCGGGTGGCTGGTTGGTGCGCGTTGCCGGGGCGGCGTCGCGTGTTTGTATGGGCCAAAACTTCGAGGCTGGGCCCAACCTCCTCGACCTCCACAGTACCAGCCACAGCCATTCTCGACACCCACCACCGCAATTAGGACTGCGCATTCCTGCACAAGGGGACGACTACCTGAGCTAAACACCTTTTCCTTACTCTCTCAACTTTGAGACCGAATACCACTCTGACTATTTGCAAGTGTGCCGCAGTTTGTTGCTTCCTCAACACCGACTATACTCTCGACCTCGCCATATCCTCTTCCACGCACACTCGCTGAAGACCGACAAGACATCGCTCGAGCGAGGGCCCTGGGCTTTATACGGCTGCGACAACTCTCACATTCTTGAACCACCTCCACATTCTTCAGCACAGCGGCTGCGGGCTGCATTCCTCCCTCAGCACTCTCCCGGCCCTTCGGGAGCCGTAGGAGACTCGTCGCAATCCACGCCCTCAGCGGCAGACCTCCACATTCCGATCTCACACAATGGCGAATCTAAAGTTTGCGGTTAGCATGCAACGTGCGTATCCCCCTCCGGAACTTCGCTGCAGCAATGAACATCACGCTAACAACTGGGACATCCAGGGCTAATACCGTTTCTGGGCTACCATCACATTCTCATGATACTAATAGCCGTCGCTATAATCCTGTTATGTACGTTCCCTCTTTCCCACTCCTCCCTTTCCACCGTCGCTAACATGTCCTCCCACAGCACTCCTCCTAGCAGGCTGCTCCTCCACCTCCCCCCTCATCCCCGGCATCTTCCTCATCTCCATGTACTACCAACACTACACCCCCTCGTACGACACGTCCCAGGTCGACCCCGGCGTCACCGCCGCCATCGCCAACATCGTCGGCCAAGCCCAACTCGGCGTCCGCGTCGGCTACTTTGGCATCTGCGTCTCGCCCGACGGCGGCGACTTCTTGTGCTCGAATAACGCGACGGCGCTTGCGGAGCAGGTATCTGTAGATCAGGATCCGCTGAATCTGATTTGGGTCGCTAGCACATTCAAAGACAGCATCATTTTCCCGTATCTACTGTAAGTGACCCCCCGAAAACACCACTGGTAAAGACAGCGAGCTAATCATGCTACAGGATCGTCGCTATCATCCTCGCCTTCTTCACCTTCATCCTCCTCGCCACCTTCCCAGGGTGGCACGAAGAGCGCGACCTGCAAACCGGCTCCGACGTCGACGTCAAGCCCTTCCCCTCGCGGCCCGTCTCGCAAGTCGCACTCGCTCTCATCTTCATCTCGTCCATCTTCGTCCTCGTCAGCGTTTTATGGCAACACACTGCCTCCGTCGCCGCCGCCACAATCGCGCAGGACCTCGGAAACGGGTCGGTGAAATCAGGGGTCGGAACCTCAGCGATGGTACTAGGCTGGTTCGGCTTCGTGCTGCTGATAATCGTAACGATCGGGCTACTAGTCATGATCTTGAGTATCATTGTGCTCGACCGGTTAACCGACAACGACTAAGCTCGGGCTGAGAAGCCAACCAAGAAAAAAAAAACGCCGAAAACCAACCAAAAAAAAAGCACAAAGATGTTGTTGATGTTAACAAGGCGGGATGGAACGACTTGTGGATAAATCTTCTGTTTTTCTCTTCAATTTTCATTAGCGTTGCATGGGGCTCTGGGTTTTGCTTGCTATCGCTTCAACTCCACTTCGCTCCTCGTCATACCCCATTGTATAGAGCACGCTTTTGTGCTGGTTTGAAAGCAAGGCATATTTTGGGCGTTGGATGATGTGGGACTTCATGGACTCACTATGGGATTTGGACTCGAGAATGATTATGGAAATGGGAGATGTTGATGGATGGATGGAGGGGCTGGCGGAAGCCATGTATGGATTGGGAATGACGGGATGTATTTAGAACCACTGAAACAACGACGATGATGGAAACGTCATGCCAATGCAAAAAGATCATTAGGCTATTATAAAGCAAACTCCTCGGGCTCTAAATTCCTCTATGATGAGTTGAGAAACACCTACTAAGCCCTTCCACAAGGACGTCCACCCCTTTGTCGAACTAGACTTAACAACGACGACGACGCCGCCTCCCTATCAACGCACCGAAACTCAAGAAACCCCATAGACCAAGTGATAAGTACCAAACCCTGCCCGATTTCTCTTCCCCCCCCCCCCCCAAAGGCGCCGTCGCCTCCCCCGGGGTCTACCAACATCATAACAAGCCACTCATCAGCGTACACTCCCATCCACCGGCCCCCTCCTCCCACCAATCACCTCGCCTCCGTGAGCCCGCCATCTGCGCGCCGTCAGCTGCTACGCAACTCCGTGCCCATGTCGTTGGCTCGGGTCGCGAAAGCGTGCGCAGTGTAGGTCTGCGGTTCGTTCGTAGGTTAGGTGGAATGGAGTAGAGCGATTAGCGGTGGGAATTTAGTGATTTTTCTTATTTTCTGATAGATGGAGAGGTGGGCGTAGTTGTGTGAGTGTGTGTGTGTGTGTGAGAGAGAGAGAGAGAGAGAGAGGGAGAGAGATGCGGTCGGTTATTTTTCTTTTTTTGGGGGAGGTTGTGGGAGAGGATGTGGAAAGGAGGCGGGGAGAGGAGCTGAAGGACCGGCAACGCTGCAAGAGTGGTGGAGGGATGAGGGTTCGTGGTGGTGTGGACTGTTTTGGTGGACTGTTTTGGTGGACTGTTTTGGTGTAGGGAGGAGAAGAGTAATGACAATATTACGGAGAGGGAATATAGGAAAGTTAGAATGTGAGCGGTGACGGGAAAACTTGGAATCACGCAATGCTGAGTTAAATAGTGCCTTCAAGCTTGGGAGTTCGTGTTACAGAGATATGAGAATAGGATTTGGAGAAGACGATGCGCCGTGCATATGTTTATCATATTCCTTGATACTACCTCATGAGGCTTCCGAGGGTTAACCTATACAAAGACTCGTGGCCTAAGCACCGTCTTCGTACTCTATCACACTCAAGAAACGGCGCCGTGGCAGAGACAAACGTTCTCAACAGCTCCTTACCTTCGCATAGACCCTAGCATGATGTACAGAGGGAGCGCTAGCGTCAAAGTCAGAGGGAGCGAGATTCCTAATATTGGTTTAGAGGGTATAGAGCTGACTATGTAGGACGGAGAAAGAGATAGTTCGCGTTAATAGACTAAAGCCACCAATAAATAGTTCAAAGAGGTTAGAGATGGGGCAGTGCAGAACGTGAGATTGACCTACACTTATCTTACGATGCTGCAAGAACCCAAGACATCTTCAGATCCGGGGACAGATACTCTCTTCAGTCTCAAGTTTGCCATTCTTCGGAGTGATTAGCATTCCGAGCTTCCTTTTGCCAGTTAACGCCTCATTTGCTGCTTGCACGTGAAACGCCGACCAGGATTCCTGAAACTGAGCTTTACGGGATCGAAGACCATGTAGATCTTTGCATTTGACATCGCTCGGCCTACTGTAATATACAAGCATAGCCTCCAACTACGGTGGTGGCTTGATGCAGATGGAGGAAGTCTTCGTAAGATTGGAGATAGTTTTACGTGGTTCCGCACCGTATGACTCGAGCGCGTGTGCGGCTCTCAGCACAGTCCAGGTAGACGATGCCGTCTGAGGTGGCGTGGGGAGCATACCTAGCTTTCAAACTGATTGCTGCAAGTTGTGTCCCCGGCTTCAAACATGTACTGAGAAAGGCCTAGGCCAAAGGGAATAATAAGTGTGTGCAGACTTCTTTAATTTAGAATAAAAGCTTACATCGCCTAGAATCCATCATATTGCGAAAGTCAATTCACGCCGGCACTTGGTCCTCTTCTCCTTTCCTTCACCTTTCTTGGACATTCCCAGCGGTTGGGATTCCCTTTCGCGATGCCTCAACCTCAGCCGTCTCGCACGTCTTGCTAAAGATGATTGCCTATGTTTAAAGGGGGCCATACCGCTCTTCGCATTCTTCCCAAGCATATGCTGAGCAACGAGCTCGAACGTATATCTTACAGGAAATGTTCTTTCATCCAGTCTGCTATGACTAGATGATACTTCGAGAATTGCTCCTCCGCGGCTGATAGCCCGGTAGGCTAATCTCACTTTTCTCTTTAGAAGAAAGGCGAAGGTTTGAAGATTTCCGTCATCTGATTGCTAAAGGATCGCCGTTAGTATCCTAAATATCAATTTGGACAAGCGCATATGTGCATGTGGACATCTTACCTCGTCATCGCAGTCTTTAGACAATTGCTAGGAAGACTACTTATGACGTTGTTGAAACCCTCTTGATCATCGAATTGCAGATCAAACCAATGTCTCGGGGTGAAAGCGAAGTTTGTATAGAGTCGAAGGCTGCGTGATTCAGCACATCCAAGTCTCTCGATGATTGTCTGAGGCTGAATTTGACCAACGGTTGTGACAGTACCCGAACTGACGCGCCGGATGTAATAGCACTTCATCTCAGAGTTGTAGATCATAGTCAGGTCTGGACCAGCCAGATATGTGTCCTTGATAGCGAAGTGCTTTAGTTGATACCCGGACTGTGCTCCGCGACCTAATCTGTCTTGGCCGGGTCGGGCAGTAACCTGGCCACTCTTGACAGCGTCGGTGTGTTCGAAATAGGCACTCCGGCCGACTTTGAAGGCTGCCTCGATATTCTCTCTGTCGAAGGACAGGCTATAGAGCAAGCATGCCACGAATCGCGCTGTGACATCGACTTTGCAGAGCTTTTCCAAGGCTCTGAACGCCTCTGGGGTCCGACAGTCGAATGAGAGACAACCCATCCAGCCCAAGGCTACAACATGCCTCAAGAACTTGGAAAGCATCGAGTCCGGCGCTGTGTTCCGGCATACGTAGAGAATGTCATCTGCACGTAATTTGTAGAGAGGTTTTGGTGTGCCAGCGTGGGATGCAGATGGGGTTGTCAACCTTTTGGCACATGGTCTCGGAAAAGTTGTCGCATGGCATAATTCTTGAAGCCTGCCGTTCCCAACTTCTCGGCTAGAACCCACGCACGTATGTTCGTCCTTGGTTTGTAGGTCCCCAGCAGTAAGCCATCACTAGATTCAGCACGAGGCGTGTCGAGATCGTCAAGAGGTTCCGCGTTGAAGCTATATCCTTTACTGAAGAGCCACTGGATGAACAGTTCGAAGATTTCGGGCTCATCCTCGGGCATTATGATGAGCTTCTGGTGCTCGTCGTCCTTGCATTCTTCGCGAAAGTACGGCGAGGTCCGGCACAGTAAGTCTCGAGGGAGATACCACTTTCGCAATTCGGACCCTTTGCCAACGCGAACTTCGATGGTAGGAGATGTCACCCTGTAAAGCGTCGAGTGAGCTCATTACTACCAAAGTGTAAAAGGGAGAGGGTTGACTTACATGTCAGCAGAGAAGGCACTCTGCCCGGACGCCGACATTGCAGCGACAAATTGAGGTTTCGAGTGCGTTCGACGCGTCGTAAGATGACCAGAAGGTGCTTCGTCTTGATTGTGGTCAATCTGCACGCTAGCCAATATGTGGTGACATGTAACCTTTACTTTGAGATCGCAATTCACCCAGCGATCGTCCGTTTGAAGCGCGAGGTCTGGGGTGGCGCAGCAGGCTGACCGTATCGGGGAAAGGTCTCGGTCTCCACCACCTACAACCTCATCGCTACGTGGATGAGTCGAAAGTGTGGGTGGATGTCGAAGGAGGTATAGTGAGGTGTCGTTGAGATAACCGCGTCGGAAAAAGGTTTCGCCAAGGCCTGAACGCAAAATAGGACGTCACGAAGGGAAAGGGACGAGATGGCCTGCTAATCACACATCACCACAAAGAGATATCATCGCAAAAAGCAGCATCCATAGGTATCCTACAATATATGCAGCCGTCCCACCGGCAAAACCGCAAAGAATATGATACACACATGGTGAAGTCCAAAAAACCTGGATTGTTCGTGGCCTCCCCGCTACCCACAAACGCCATGCTTTTTATCTCAGAGGAATCAAGAGAAAAAGCCTTTAGGACCCACAGGAGAACAAGCCCGCTCACCCTAAGCTCCGCATCCCGTTCCATTCCTTGCATCGGCACCCTCTTGCCCCACTAAGCCCGCCTGATATATATCACTCGTCCTCCAAGACTGGCTATCCACGGCAAATGGGGGACGAGAAGGTGATGCAGAAGGATAGAACATTCAAAAAGTAGAGGAAAAAAAGGCAGACAGAAGAGTTAAAAGGTTGGTAAGAGAGAATTGATGAACAACCGAAGAAGCCCAAAGGAAGATATGTAATCCGATTCCGACTTCAAAGTGTTCGCCTTCAGATCCGTCCCATGCAATGAATTCCCAGAATACCGTTAGACCCCCCACGCACGTAAATGCATTGAAGAAAGTGAACCAGACATTACTAGGTGATTGCTTGATGCAGTTGGAGGAATGCATAAGCTGAGTTTTGGTGAAAGTGGCTAAGTCGTTTTTTGGAAGTTGAGATGCTCAAATGTCCGCTGATAATGCGGGACATTTCGAAACGCCGACCTACAGTCCGACATGAGGGCTGTGTTGAGCGTGTGCGAAGAGCGCATCGAACAGCCTCCGGACCTGGAAGTTCCTTTAGACAGGGAGCCCCAACAAAGAGTGAAGATTTCCACTGACCTCGGGGGCTGACTCGATAAATGGCAAGGTCCAGAACTGGTATTCAGCATTCTTGAGGAGTTCTAGGAGTGTGATGATGAGACCCCAGGGATGTGGTCGATGGACTAGGAGCCTCTCCAAAAGCACCCTCGTAATGGTTTCTTGCACATCCAGCCTCTGTTGATTAGGAGGGCCAAAGAGATGAAGAACCGCATAGCTGAAGAAATGGGTGTGGCTGTTAGGCCATCTCAACTGGTTTGCCATGGCGCTGATGAAGTGGAATCGAGCTTCAGGCCGGAGTTCTCTCGCTAAATTTTCGAGCAACTTAGTAGAGGGCGAAGTTTTATTGAAAGCTGGTCCTTTGGAGCCCTGTGCCTCTAGTGCTGATGACCCGATGTAAAGAACCATGGCTTGGATAAGGATTGAGTCTGCAGTGGTCCGCATTAGCTCAAACCCGTTATCCTTCGGCTCGGGATAAGATGTAGCTTCGCAGATCATCTTGATGTCTTCTGCGTTCTGATCCGTGGTCCGGAGGAGGTTGTCCAGGGTATCCTTGATTCCAGCTCGGCGAATAGGGTCTTCAATATCACCGCGGACGATCGGAGTTTGGCGGATCTCTTCAAGGCGATCCACCTTGAGATTAACCGTGAAAGGATCCGGCATTTCGAGGATTGTGGAAGGGTAGGCACTGATGATGAGGTTCCGAAGCTGGGTGCAGTGCATTGGGATGCCATTGCAAAGCTTGAAATGGTTCTCGGCAAGGAACTCCGGGTAGTCGTGATGAATGACCAAGAGGACTCTAAGGACCCCGCGATAGAAGCTCTGTGCCGCGCTAGCGGTACCGGCGGGTCTTACTTTCTCGCCGGTGTATCTGAGGAGGGCTTCCATGAGCTGTGTATAGGTGTCCCAGCGTCGTTCCTTGGAATGTAGGTCTTGATGATCCTCGTCAAGGAGAGCAGGGATAAAGATCCGGTGCGCCACCAAGCCCAGCCATGAAAATGCAAAATTTTCAAAGTATTGTGGTTGAAGAGCCAAGAAGGCTCTGCCCAAAACAAGGAAAATGTCGGTTTTGAAGCCAGAGAGTTCATTTTCGTTGGCTGCAATGTGGAGTTCTGAAAGAATCGTCGAGAATAGGCGGAAGAAAACCTTTGAGCTGAAACGCTCTCCGCGAATGCGGTGATGGTCGCATAGGATCAACACCACAATGCACAAGATAGCGTCGAGATATCTAGCCTTGCTCTCTTTCACCGCACCATCTTCTTCGCCTTGATATATGACTAGTGATACGATCAGTCTACCTAGCGCATCCACATTGATGTAGGCGGTGTCCAGGTTTCCGTAGTTCTCCGCTTCGCGCTCGAATGACTCAATGGAAGCCTCAACGCAAACGCGGATCAAAGAAGCCGTCTCTGATGGTGTATCAAGGACCTTTCGCTCATGCAGTTGGTAGATGAATGCCGCAATAGACTTCTTTGGAGTGTCCGGATACTGCAAGCCCACCCATTCGTCAAAGGTATATCGGAGTTGATCGTTCCTGCTTGGGGTCGGAGGTGTTTGTAGAGCTGCGTCGCTCGACCGCATTTGTAGCTTTCCGACAATCTGGTTTCCTGTCACAAAGCTAGGATCTTCTGCCAGCCACTGCATAAGAGCATCGATGGATAAAGCAAACTCGGCCCGAAGCGCGCCAGGCTGCTCATTCAGCAGAATCTCGTCTATGAGACTGGAGAGAAGCTCTGCCGCCGGTACGCTTCGTCTCTGAATTGCCTTTGCAATCGTGATGTTGACGCGATGCAAATCCATAAGGTCAACATTGATCAAGGATACAATAACTCCAGAATTGAAGATGCGGTCATCATCGATAGTAGTCAGCCACATGATCACCTGCCTCGACGTTGTCACAGACATCCGACAGAGTTGGGCAAGTAGATGGGTCATCACTTCCGTCTCCAAACGCTTCGCAGGATCAGAGAAGAGATACAGTGTGACTTTCATGGCAATATTCATTGCAACCATGTCCTTGTTCGCCGCGTTCACGAGGGTATCCAACAGTTCACGGAAAATGTGATGCGTCGGTGCCGTCGTTGATAACTCGTCCACGTGTTCTTCAGGCGCCTCGGTCACGGCTCGGTGCAGCTCGGCGACGAGTTCTTCTGCGCGCTGGCTACTATCAGGTCCTGAGTGCTCCATGTAGCCGTTCAAGTGCTGTTGAGCGGGTGGGGCATGGGTAGGAGCAAGAGCTTGCATACGGGGCTGCTGTGGTTGAAGTGTTTGACGGGGTACAGCAGGCGCCTCAGCCGGCGTTGGCAAGTTGGGAACAGCAAACTGGTCTTGCAAAACGTCAGGCATTTGTCGTCCGCTATCTTGTGAGACATTGTTGGCATGCGGTAATGCTCGCGGTTGGCGACCAAACTCTTCGTAGATAGCCAATTGCTCCCGGTTGAGACCACCAGCAGTCTGCTTGTACGGATCCGGAATATAGAATGCCCATTGGCTGATGGAAGTGTCCTTGCTTCCAAAAGGTTCGTTTGTTCGCGAGTTGCGATACGCGCGACGGTTCAGTACCTGATCTTCAATCTGCATATCAATCTCAGGCAAAGACTGGTTCTCCGCTGCCTGTTCAACAACACTGCAGACTGTATCGAGGTTGTCGTTGACGAACATCAGGACATGTCCTTCTGGAAGAGCGTGTTCAGGAAGATCCCGAGCCATCACTCGAATGTTGTTCATGATACTCATGCGGAGGGGTTCCTTGCAGGTCACAAGTGCCAAGGCACCTGACAATGACTTCACCACGGTATGGGCGGAATCGCGAAGCTTGTTCTCGTCTGGCTCCATAGCGAAGTCCTTGGCAATTAGCTGTGAAGTGGAGATAGCCGCAATAGTGACGGATCGTTCTACGACCGGTGCGATGATCTCTTGAATCGCTTGATGAACTGCAGAGTGAAATATTTTCTTGAGCGATGCCTGGGCAGCAGCGCCGCCAGTGATGGGCGGATATGTCAACCGAGTACTGAAGTCTGGCAGAGAGGCTGTGATTGCTCCAGGTGAGAAGCGCTCGTTTTGGCCACGAGCCCTGTTCAAGCCCATGATAGAAAGATCGCTGAAGGCTTCCATACCATCGGGCACCATTGCCCCCAAATATTCGTCGTCTTGTGCAGGTCTGGAACGAATGCAGTCAGAAGGCGTGACCTTGTCGTAGTCCAGATCCAAGCCTTTGCACAGAACCTCAATCTCGAACTTCTGATTGAGCTTTAGATCCGCATGCTTGTACAATTCTAGGAGGATGCGAATGATTTCCATAGTCCAAGGATTAGGTGGTTTGAAGACCGTAGACTTGGCGGCTTGGATCAAGACCTTGCAAGTGAATGGAATCACGAGCAAAAGGCGGTCTGTGTCATAGCCTTCGATAAGCAAGTCTTTGAAAGAGATATTCCTGAACTTGATCGGCTTATCGCGGGCAATAGTCAAGGAGCCAAGCCATCCGGCAAGATTCTTTAGATGGGTCCGTTCTGTGGAGGAGCCGATCGTGGACTCCGAATTCAGCATTCGAATGACGGAATGGTAAGTTTCTCGGAGAACCTCCGCCCACAGTGTCTTGTCGTTGAACAGTTCCAGCATATCCAAATACAGTTGCTGGAAGTTTGGCTGCATCTTCGCTCGTTCTTCTACGAGATACCCGGCAAACCATTGGTGGTGTTTCTCTTTGAGAGCTCCCATAAGGTCTTTAATCTTGTCCCTCAAATTTCGTTCCGATACGTTGTTCAGAACAAAGAGGACCTTATCCTGAACTTCCTCGTCGGGTTCTTCGAATTGATCTGCCTCAATTGGAGGGTCGACATGCAAGCATGTAAAGCGTGGAATCGCAGGCTCAGCTTGGACCAGTTCGTCCACATTAGTACCGTTACTCATGTTCACACCATTCTGCGCCTCGCCATTGACTCCTTCAATCTGGTGGCCCACAACGTCCTCGACTTTCGAGAAAGCCTCGGTTCCGCGAAGATGAGGCACATTCAAGAGCTCCTCACAGTAATGCGGCCACTCGGGGAGTTTGCTCTGGAAGTGCAGAAGCGCTTGGAGACCGAACTTGTACATGGAGTCTTCTGGGCCGTACTCCTGGATGGCTTCCAAAACCATCTTCAACGCGACTTGAAGGGCGATTCTTGACAGTAAATCGAAGTTAATGATGCCGCCAAAAAGCACTGCGGTGGTCGCCAGAGCCTCCAGAGGGTATTCGCCGAAGCAGTTGTATTCGTCGAAAAGGCCATGGATCATGCAAGCAAAAAGGTCCTGCTCAGACGGGTCTTCGGAGCTCTTGTAGCGGCGAAGGACTTCGATGATGTCGCTCACACTGCTTTCGCCGCTGTACATATTCTTGTAGTGCTCCTGCATTTTCTTGTCGGCCTCTTCTGGCAAACCGTTCTCGGGCAAACCATTGCTACCCTTGCCGTTGGCGTCTGTGATCTCATCAAATCCTTCTCCGTAGTTGATGATGCGAGGATATGCCTGAATGCACGATCTCTGCAAGGTAAGAAGATCTCTCTCTGATGTCAAATCAGTGTCTCCGCTTTCCGCAATAATCCCGAGAAGAGAGTACACGGTTCTAACGGTCAGTGACGGGCTCGTCGTCACACCTTCGCGTTGTGACTGCAACTCGTACTCTGTCTTCGAAACGAGAAAACGGCTCAGCACGCCACGAAATAGAGGTCCCAAGCGGTCGTATGCTTTTTGCGCCCATGGTTCAATGTCCCACAGGCCTTGCGAGTGAGCTTGAGCGATTAGGTCGAGACTCAAATCGTTACTAGCATCGATCAGAGGCTCTAGCCAACCGTAGTCTTTGGCATGGTCCATGACGACCAACAATGTCATCGGATCCTGATTGTAGGCTTCGATGAACTTTGAAACTAGCCAGCTCGTATCTTGTTGCCATAGACCATATAAGACGAAATCGTAATGGTCGAGTTTCTTCAGCAGGAACGGATAATAAAGCTGTTTCATGGCCTGTTCTTGAAGAGCGCCCCACGGCTTTGGGGTAGCAGCGGCAGCAACCAAAAATATGTCTGTCTTGGCGTTGATAACCAACTCGGGTATGCCAAGAGCTTGCGCCGTGCTGTACCATTCCTGAGATCGGAAGATCATGCTAAAGAGTGTGCTCGTTGCGTCGAGGGAAACCAGTGGATGTTTGGCAGCTTGCTCCGCGTGAGCTTTTACGTCATCTGAAGCGCCTTCGAACAGCTCGCTCGTAAACGCTTTTCGTAGTCGGGGGATCTTGGTGGCATCTACTTCGTCAGGGGTGCATGAGAGGAAAGCAACAATGAAGGACAATTGAGCGAGTTCTGAGTTCCAAGATCCTCCCCACAGCAGCTGGAGGTCGAAGTTGTCGTTCTCGATTGCCAAGGGATAGAGAGCTTCGTAAAGGGTCAGAAACTGTGCTTTAGTGACGCGGAGGCCGTCTCGATCGAAAGCATGCACGACGTCTTGCCAGTCGAGCTGTTGTCCAGCACGGTGCTGTCGCAGAGCGGCAACGAAATTGCTGGCATTGTAGGCTTGGCCGTTGTGGGAAACGACTTGGGAAATAACCATGAAGAGCAGGGCGCATGCAACCTGCTGGTAGCTGATATTCCGAGTCTCCACAGATTCCAGCAACTCCTTGCTCGACTCCAATGTTGCCGTCGCTTGGGGTCCTGCACGTTGCAGAGTATGAACCAAGGGGTTTTGCTTAGCATCGGTGAGCTCGACTAGGTGCAATGCGGCACCGACGTCTGCTGGTAATGGCAGGCCAACGAACTGGTACCTGTATGTTACGGCGACCGATAACGACTGTCTCTGCTCCTCGCTCCAGTCGCGCGGGGGATCTTGGATAAGGCGGTCGAGGATCGCAACAAGGATGTCAGAGGGCAACTCATCTTGAGCTTCGATAACTGGGCGGGAGACTGTTTGCATAAGATCTGAGTAGTTATTCGCGAGGATCGCATCGGCTGGATGAAGTTAGTGGAATGAAAATGCCACCTCAGAACGAGACTCACCTTTTGTTCGGAGGTCCGATTTTTGAGCAGATTTGAACGCGAGGGCGAGCATTGTTTTCTCGACAGGATCTAGTCTGAAATGCGCCATGAACGTAGAGAGATCAAAGTCGCGAAAGATCTCGCCCTCGGATGTATCGATGGATTCCGCGATTCTGAACGCTTGGTGAGGATCGTGCCTAATATTCTGCACCTCGGTGACAAGCAAGGTATAGCTCCCAGAGTTGTCGGAGCTCCTGGCGCCAGGAAATATCTGCCCGGCACTACTCTGCAGCAAGCGCCGGAAGGATTTGGTGTAGACCTCCATTCCGTGGGAGTTCATCAACTAAGGTGAGGTTAGATGTTAGACTGCACATGCAAACGGTGGGCAGGCGCGATGTGACTGACCTCGCGAATTTGATCCGCCATCTTCTCCCACTTGGCCTTATCTTTGTCCTCGTTGATGGACTGCAATTGGGTCAGGCTTAGGAAAACCTGCGCAATAACAATCTTGGCGAGTGACTGTCCAGGCTGTGTGGAACTGGAGTTGATGGAAGTGCTAGGCAAGCCCACGGCACTGGATTGTGAGAGTGAGGGTGAGGCCCGGGCGAGTTTGGCTCCTCCGCCGCTGCTCGGAGTACCTCCACCACCCTTTGACGCGGTAGACAAGGCTGCGGCGGAGGAAGCCAGCTGAGAGGAGGCCGAGGAAGCTATGGTTCTGGCGCGGGCGGAAGACAGCAGCTGGTTTGCCGGCGGCTGCTGTCCCGCTTGCGAGGGCGAAAATGGGAAGGAGGTCGAGGATGTGGAGGATGCGCGGCTTGCACCTTGTCGGGAGGAGGGCGGTGGCAGCGACGGAAAGCCAGCGGTGGGTGGAGAGAAGCCAGCGCGTGACGGGCTATTGGGCGAGGGGGTATGGCGCTGAGAAGAGGTGAAAGCGGTTGAAATGGGTGTTAAGCGGCGGTTCTGGTGCTGACTTGAGCCCCACGGAAGTTGGCTCATTTAGACCAGCGTTTCCATCGAGGCGCTTCAGCGGCGAGAAAGGGCAATGGGGAGAGGGAGATGGCGGGTGGGGGTTGAGGATGGTCGACGGTGGAGGAGGGAGACAACGCGCTGGATGTGGATGAGGTTCGGCTTCACCAGCGGCAAGTTCCGCGTCCGGGAGAGGGCAGCAGCAATGCGACAACTGCGCCTGTGGGTGTTACGGCCAGGCAAAACACTGGGGTGCACTCATATTCACAGGACTTGGATCTGCTCCATGCTACCGCCTTTACTGCCTGACTGCTACAAATCGGGCTGGCACGCCTGCTGGCACACAAGAAGCCAGCTGTCCATATCACGTGACTAGCTCTATCACCTCAAATATAGGACTCTCTCCATATCATCTAATCAGACTGGATGTACACATTAGCCATCTCTTGTGGTGCTCGAAGTGCGATGGTCAAGGTTTTAGAGATTGTGAGCCTCTCAAACGTATGTGCAATAGCGGCAGCCCGTGGAGTGCCTACAACAAAGACCTGCAACATATACACAAAGGGATCTGATTCACGTCCTCGGGGATAGTTCTGAACGAACGTGTGATGGCTTTGGACGCTGCATCGAGTGACGCTGGGCATTGGTAGGTAGGACAGTCTTGAAATATTTCACAACGGCCCATCTCCTCCTGTTCATCGAGAATTGCGCCATGCACTCCAAACACTGATAATAGAGCCGCCTCCTAGAACAAGATTTGAGGGCCAGCCACGGATTGGCACTGCCTGGGGCGCCCCAGTATTCGATGGAAGTTGCGCGGTGATTGAAAATCTGGCAGGTCTTCAGGAGTACATCTGAATGACCTGTCCCATCTGCACATATTTGACACAGTCTGAAGTGCTCATGATAGGTGTAGGCTCACATAATGAGTGAGCTTTGGGTGTGGACCAAGGGCGCTGTGGTCCAGAGGCACTCCCGTGTTGCATAGAAGAACTCCGGGACTTGAAATAGAGGTGGAACTCGTACCATGCTTCTTGCTCAGCCGACGGGACCTGACAGCTGCCACTAGCCACTGTGGGAAAAGGTGTGGGGGGCGCCTGGCTGGCATGCGATTGGTGGGGCTGTTGGTTGTCTGGGTGAACGTGCGCTTGTTTACTCGCGACGACCACCTTGGATCCCTGCCTCCGCAGCTTCATTCCACGCTCACCCGCAACCCATACGTCTTCCATATTTCGATATCTCAGGCTCATCCTTACCGGCGCCTTGATTCCAAGGTCTCTCAAAGCCCTATTACAGGCAATTCAATCGCACTCGCTCAAAGAATCTGCGTCGAACACGTAAACAACAGGCGCGATGCCTGGGACTTCCGTCTCAGAGCCGCCCTCAGTATCTCTATCCTGTACGCAGAACTGGAACACCATGATCAATTAACCTTCTAACCGGTGCTAGTTGCCAACAACTTCTGGGGCAAGGATGACGCTGGCGTCGGTCCACTGCTTGAGCGACTCCACAACGCAAAAGTCACCGGCGACGAATTGAAGTCTTTCTACACCGGTAAACTTCCCGTTCTAATGATCGAATGTCTTGCACTAACACACGGATAGCTCGCGCAGCTATCGAAGATGAATACGCACGAAAGCTTCTCAATCTCTCCCGAAAGCCCCTCGGCTCCTCCGAAGCTGGCACCCTCCGCATGTCCCTCGATATTGTCCGAGGCGAAGTCGAATCTATGGGCAAGTCCCACCAGAATATTGCGGGACAAATGAAGAGCGAGTTGGAAGAGCCGCTGGCTGCCTTCGCTGGTGGAATGAAGGAGCGGCGGAAGATTGTACAGTCTGGGATCGAAAAGCTGCTCAAGACCAAGACACAGCAGACGATGGCGGTTAACAAGGCGCGTGACCGCTACGAACAGGATTGCCTGAAGATTAAAGGGTTTCTCGCCCAAGCACACATGGTCATGGGCCAGGAGGAACGGAAGAACAAGGCGAAGTTGGAGAAGACTCAGATCCAGCTATCCAGTACCAGCGCTGATTACGAAGCCGCTGTCAAAGTACTGGAGGAAACTACCGGGAGATGGAATCGGGACTGGAAGGCTGGGTGTGACGTGAGTACGCCGGCTTGTGTTTCATTGCTAGATTGTTGCTAATAATTTGCCAGAAATTCCAAGACCTCGAAGAGGAACGCATAGACTTCATGAAGGCTAGTCTATGGACTTTTGCAAATATCGCATCGACTGTTTGCGTCAGCGATGACGCCGTAAGTCTCACTATCTAGCTGGTAAGATACAGTTCTAATTGATGTGCTAGTCATGCGAGAGAATTCGATTGTCACTCGAAGACTGTGATGTCGAAAAGGATATCATGGGCTTCATCAAAGATGCTGGAACTGGCCAAGAGATACCTGATCCGCCTAAATTTATCAACTTCTGCAGGGGAGATGTCAACGACAATTCGTCAGAGACTTCAGATGACGGTAATTACTCCGTGGCACAATTCCAGCGGACCATGAATCCAGCATTCCGGACCTCATCGCCTCAACCATCCGTCTTCGAATCTCACCACGATCCAAGCAACCCACTGGCCAAAGAGCTGGGCCTGAAAGACCCCCAGGCGGTCCCAAATCCTGAGCCATTAAAGCCCCAGCAGCCTCAAAATCCCCCGTCATCACGGGGAATCCAACCAGAGCCCCGATTGATCCATGCCCAGCAACAGGCACGCCAGCAGTACCAGCAGAGCCAGTATGGAGATGGTCCAAAGGTGCCTCACAACGAATTCCCAATGGACGGGATGACGCAGTTCTGTCGGCCTGGTGCTCCATCCGAACGAGGGAATCCTGGCCCCGAACGAGGCAATCCTAGTCTCGAGCGAGGCAATCCTAGTCCCGAACGAGGCAATCCTAGTCCCGTACGGCCGTCGAGCAGAGATTCGCATAGCGATTATTCTGGTGGCTCAAATTTCTCCAATATCGACCTCCCCAGTGGATCGAACTCCCCAGGGAAACCTATGGCACCCATTGCACAGCCACTAGATGATAGGCAAGTCCAGAAAAAGAAGAGTGGTTTCTTCCAAGGTCATAGCCCGTTCCGTAGGAGGAGCAAACATGAGAAGGAACCGGCCCAGGCAGCTGTCATAACTCCAAGCAGCCGTAACACATGGGCACCATCTTCCAGGAGAAGCAACAACGAAAACATCAGTCCCACTCGTCAACAAGGCTATGGTCAAGGTGCGCGTGGGATCCTTGGAGGAGAAGGACGGTCAGCAAGCCCTGAGCCAGTCGACCCTCGCGCAAACTTTCAGCTAAACATTGGGAATAACGTGTTTGATGTTGCATCCCCCGACAAACGAAAACAGCAGCAACAAGCTCAAAGTAATGAACCAGAAGAGCTTGACCCTATTGCCCAGGCCCTGGCAGAGCTGAAGGGCGTCACAAAGCAAACATCTGTTCGCATGTCAGCAGATCGATACCACGGTCTTGCCACGCCCGCACCTCCAGGAACGCCAGGAAACGCCAACACGCCAGTTGGAGGAATCCCTACTCCACTCGTAAATAGCGCAGTGAGTGCAGCACAGCGCGGTACGCCTCCACCGTCCTACGAACAGCCGCCCATGTCTCGTCTTGGAGCACCACAGCCTGCCCACACGGCCCGCCAGATGCAGCAAACAACTCAGAGATACATCGACCAAAAGACAAGCATGTACAACACAGGAGCAAACCAACGCAACTCAAGCTCCAACCAGAAGTCAAGTTCTCGTTCAACCACACGCGCCAGTGCAGGACAAGGCCAAGAAGTCGTTCGAGCTCCTTCTCCCGGTCCTCCACGAGCAACTAGCCCTCGTCCAGGACTCTATCAAACACCATCTGCGCAAGCACCCCAGACCTTCCGTGCTCCCTCGCCGAATCCCTACGCTGCGTCTAACGCCGGCGGCCGGCCTCGAGCACAATCTTCCAGCCCGATCAAGCAATACAGCCGCGACTCCTACACTCGTGGCAGCTCACCAGGCCAAGCTCCCGTTCCTCGCGCCGTCTCCCCCAATCCAGCGTACGGCGGTGGTCGTCAAATCCCCGCATCCCGCGACTCTTATACTCGTGGCGGCTCGCCAGCCCAGGCGCCCGCCCCTCGCGCCGTCTCTCCCAGTCCTGCGTACAGCAGTGGTCGCCAAGCGCCTGTTCCTCGTGCAGTCTCTCCCAATCCAGCATACAGCAGTAGCCGTCAGACTCCCTCATCCCGTCCCGCATCCCGCGCCGTGAGCCCAGCACCACAGTTCCGTCAATCATATGATCGTCCCAGCAGCTCACGAGGCAGCGACATGGCACTACAGCTTGCCCCGGGCCCTGGCAGTGAGAGAGGCGAGGGAAGCGTGTACGGCGGTAGCCAGCGTAGCCGTGGAGGCGGAGGCAATCCCAGGCCGCAGAGCGCGTACTATGCTCCTAGCGAAGCTGGATACAGCAGCGCTGGAGGTGGCGGCGGTGGCGGCGGTGGCGGCGGTGGCGGCGGTGGCGGCGGTGGCGGCGGTGCAGGTGCTGGCCAGCTCAGCACCAGAGTTCGAAGCCAGAGCGTTGCAGAACCGAGGCAGTATACTAAGGAAGGTCGTATGATCATGCATTATGGTGAGTGCTTTCCCTTTTCCTCTCGCCTTCTTATTTAGAGTCGGACTAACTTCTCCTCAGCTCGCGCTATGTACATGTACCAAGCCCAAATCCCCGAGGAGCTCAGCTTCTCTAAAGGCGACATCCTCGCCGTGTTGCGCCTGCAGGACGACGGGTGGTGGGAGGCGCAGGTTGTCGGGAAGAATGGCAGGCCGGGCCTTGTGCCTAGCAATTATCTACAGAACTGTTGAGCGGGATTGATTGTCGAGTGTCTGCTTGTATGCAGAAGGTGTGTTTGATAGCGTTCTGCAAATTTGCTCAAGGTTTGTGTGGGTTTTTGGGCTACAGCATACGTGCTGGATAGCCTGAGTATGTGCGGCCGAGTTTGTGAGAGGTGTTTGGGGTTTGGGTTGATTTTGTTGCTTGGGTTGATGATGTTGCTGATGAGGATGGAGAGGGGGTGTAGTATATGGCAATGATAAATTGTGTATGAAACGAATCTCTTTCGAAATCTTGTATTGGATTGGATGTGAGTTGAGACTGGTTACTTTTAGAGAACTTGATGACTGTTTGCGGTGAAGAAGGTGGCGTCTTGCAGTCATGGCAATCAAATTGAAAATCATAGTGAGGGATTCACTTATCATGAAGGCGTCACGCATGAAGAAGATATGAGAGCAGTAGAGTTTAATGTTCCATTTTATATCTTTTAAGGGATACTCATCCACCTGGACAACTAGTTGTCATTGTCCCACAAAATTTGAGCCATCTATCGACTTGAATCCCTTCTTCTCCGGTTTCGAGTAGAAGCTGACTGCAGTTCAAACCTAAATCCCTCTGGAGAGGAGAGAAAAGAGGTCAGAAACCAAAGATCTCTCAACCCAAATCTGGATGTTAATCCAAGCCACAGCAGTATCCGGATAGTCCACCGTCATATCCGAATGTCAAGTTGTCTTCACTGAAATCTCGCAGTTTGGTCTCTTGGTCCATACAGCGTTACGAAGCATGGCCCCGCACAGCTAGCTACCCATGCGACGAGCAATGCGTTCATCCCTCACATTCTCTCTCTTTCACCTTTCGGAGTCACCCTCGACCACGACAAGATGAGCCCCGCCGACACGGATATGGAGGACTCCAACCACGCCGGCGACATCAGCGATGACACCTCGAAGAAGAAGAAAACACAACCTAGAGATCGTCTCGGCGATTCTGACGACATCATCAGCGACTACGGCAGTGAAGACTCCGAAACCGCAGGCGATGGCGAAGCACCCGTCAAATACGTCAAGGACTGCGCCCTCCTCCCAGACACCACTCCTCTAGACTGGCCGCACATCTTAGATTTAGACCAGGAATTCGGGACAAACGAACCCGAGTTCCGCGTCAGTGATCTCCGCCTCGCCGATGGCGTGGTGACGGTACTCTGGAACTATGACCCGGAAGCACTGAAGCAGTTCTTGGATCCGAAGATCAAGATCTTTGAGTTCGTTCGACTGCTCCCCGTGGGCTCTACCTCGTTTAGCAGCGTCATCCATCGGAAGGGCAGTTATGTTCGCGTAAGTAGAGCTTCTAGAACTTCCTGTCATAACTTTGACTGACTAAAATTTCATAGGCGGGATGGTTTGAGCGTATCAATCAGAGAATACTATCGGGAAATTGTCACGTATGGGAGACGCGAGCCGAAGCCTTGATCAGCTTGTCCGGAGCCTAGAAGTCTACCTTTGGCGCCTATTGCGCTGAGAGCTATGGACGCTGGGGCGAGATGCGCAACATCAACGACGGCTACCCAGCTGAAGGACAAGTAGTAACCGGAAGGGCCCTGGAGAGATGGCTCATCAAGATTGGTAGAGCGGTGAATTTGACGAAGTGAAATGATTGACTCGAGTCTTGACATTTCACTCATGTAGAAGCCCACGTGTTGTTAGCATCACTCACGAAGCAGACTCAATGCCCCACCATAGATGTGTGTACAGCTTCTTGCCATTGCCATGGGTCCTTTGGTATACTATCATGGATCCGAACAGGACAGCGGTTCATCCTTTTGCATAACCCCAAAACTCGTTGAACACCTCAAACGGCGCCATACCTAGCTAGGTACTCAGACCAGATCAACCCAACCCGTCTCCATATTGTTGTACCTGAAGGCAATCGTGACCTCCGCGGTGGGAGCCCACACTCTCTGCGAGATCATCGTAGAAGCCAGCTGGCTACCAATAGCGCGACCCTCCTCCTCGTCTTCCACAGTCCTGTCGTGTGTGTGACGCTTAGGGATTCCTACCATGTGCAACCCCTTGGTTCCTTTGCCCCACCAAGCCCCTAGGCTATGGCAAGACACCCTCCCCAGAATATACTCCCAAGCGCCAGAGTAGTTGATTCTCGCCTCCGCCAGATTCTTCCAGTCATGCCATCCACCCCCCTGATATCCCTGGTCGGTCTTGTACCGGGTCCTGTACATACCAGCCTAAAAACCCTTTTCTTAGCAAGGACGAAACGCGGGAGCCCGTATGAGGTCTCTATCATTTACCTTGACCATGTTGAGGTTGCGAATGATCGCATAGTTGAACTGCTCACTATCCTTCAAATACTTGACGGTAAACTCGAGCCTGCTGTACTTGGGATCGAGGAAGATCTCGAGGGCTTTCGAATTATAGTTCCAGAGCACCGTCGCAATACCGTCGGCCAGGCTGAGCTTGATGTTGTCCGAGTCGGAGGCCTCCACAATGTGAGCATGGTGCGGAGAATTAGTTGCCGGTAGGTGCGGATGAGCGTCGATGCGCTTGAAGGGGTACAGCTCGTGGCTGATCTTGGGGGACTTGGCTGGTGTGGTGATGATCTCTGTCTCATTGCTCTCCTCGCTCTCATCGCTCTCATATTCAGAGTCAGTGCCGCGGACATCGTCGCCGGATTTGGCTATCTTTGACGGAAGCATGCTCTCTGAGGTCTCGGCTTTCCGCTTCATGCCTGCGGTCTGCTCGTTGTTGTCGGTGGAAGCCATGGTGGCGGTGATATGAAAGTGTGACGACAGTGACGGAAACTGTGGCAACGTCTGAAGATATGGCAGATGGATGACTCAGCAGTCAGAGCAGCCTGCTGGAAGTGTAGTCCGGTGAGGAAGTGAAATGTCGCGTAGACAAACGGCCGGCCCAGCCTCCTCACTTTTTCATCTCTTCCGCCATCTTTCTTCCTCTCCACTCCAACAACCTCCCCCTATCTTACACCAACCTTTCTTGCGCTGGACGCTCTCTCAATCTTCATTTCATTTCATTTCATTCCCTAGAACTCTTTCGCGCCGGACGCCCCAAAATCATCACCCGCAAAACGCTGCGCGTTACCAGAGTGAAACTCCAGAATGGCCGGTCCACCACCTCGCATTAAGGGAGAAGCCTATGGATGGCTGATGCTCGCCATGTAAGTTGGTCTCTGCCTTTGGCAATATGTCAGAGCAATGCTAACACTGCATAGGATGAAGAGCCCGTCGATCGAGGTTGTCGTCGGTCCAGACACTGGCGATTCCACGAACAGCTGACATATCCAAAGCTATCTCCTTTGCTCCAATGCGAAGTTCTTCGAGAAAGCCCTCGACCCCGTTCATGGATTCAAAGAAGCGACCGAGAAACGAGTTCACCTGCCTAACGTCGACGACATCATCTTCGGTCATTTCGTCAACTTCATGTACACTGGTAATTATGCTCTGGCCGAGGCTGAAGAGGGGACTGGTGTCAGCACTCATGCCAAGATCTGGGTTCTTGCGGACATGCTCGTTGCGCCCCGTCTTCAAAATCTCGCCATGGCCAGGCTCTTCGCTGAAAACATCTCGGAACCCGAGCATCCAGAACGATCGAAACTACTCTACGTCATCGACCTTCGCATCATGCATTTCCTTTACTCCAATACCACTGAAGAATCCAAGCTGCGACGTTTCTTCGAAGATGCTGTCATCACTCATTGGGATAACCCTGGCATGATCGAATTCGAGGATGGCGAGGACACTGAGGATGCTTGGGATGAGCTGCTGGATGAGAACCCAATCTTTCGGAAGGCGCTCCTGTTTGATCTTACTCGTCCTCGCGCGGCCCGCAAGCGAATTCTTCGAGCTATGGAGGCTTACTTTGTTGGTGCTTCTTGGGCTCATGTTCACGAGAAGAAGAGAAAGTTTGATGAGCTCGACTAAGGGGAGATTCCCTCGATCGCTGCCTTGTGGACTGGAATGCTGAAGTTGGAATTGTTGCTGTTCGGAATGATGGATGACTACTAGGATTGGCTTTCCCGTCATGTCTCTGGATTTCTTTTGTACTCAGCGGAAATGCTTGGAAATGGATGGTGATGAAGTACGATCCTTCAAAATGAAATACCTTTCATAACCTACATGAACGTGCCTGTCTTTCCCCATGAACGTATCTTCGCCGTCAACTTTTCACACCGCGAGACCAGACATGCACCCCATTGACTTTGACATCACCTCTTAGATTTTCATGTCGATGTGAGGGCAGCCCAAAATCGTCACCATGCGGAAACAGAGCTGTGAAATCGCACCTTGTGATATACACCCTGCGGTCTTTGACATCTGGACTAGACCTTGGGTCCGGATGTGGGCTACCTCAAGCGGCGTTACAACCCGGGAAAAGAGCCATAAATTTGCACCCTCTGATCTACGTCTTGTGGCCCTTAGATCGTCGCTTGAGCTCGAGTATGGTCATTAAGGACTTCAAGCGGCGTCGCGTACCTAGAAAAGAGCTGCGAACTCACGCCTCCTGATTCAAGCCTTGCAATTTTTGACATCGCGACTCGATCTCGCCTTCGTACGTGAGGTACCTCAGACGGTGGCGCGTACCTATTAAAGCACTCTAGTTGGACACCGTGCAATTTGCGTCGTGCAGATTTTGACACACAAGCAGAATCAGCATCCGAACTCAAAGCGCCTCAAGCAGTGTCACATACCTAGCAAAGTACTCCGAATTCACAGCGTTCAATTTACACCCGGCGAACTTTAACATCGCCTCTTAATTTCAAATCAGTACACGAAGAACCTCAAACGGCGTCACGTACCAAGAAAATTACCATAATCTCACAGCCCAATTCACGTTTCTTGAACATTAACGTTGTCTCCTAGCTTTCCATTCGCACTTGAGGGACCTCAAACAACGGCGTGAACGTAAAAAAGTACCAAGGTTTCGTGAAGTCTGATTCGCGTCTTGTAAAATTTGACATCAGCCTCCGATTTCGCATGCATATGTAGAGCACTTCAGACAGCGGCACGTACCTGGGAAACCACTACAATTCGAGAGCGTCCAATTCCCACCCTGCGGACTTTGACATCCTCACCAGGAAATCATTCCGTACCTAAAGGACCCTATACAATGGCATGTTCGTGGAAAACTACTACGATTTCGTAGCGCCTAATACGCAGATTTCGAAACGGTACATCGTCTGTGAAAATTCTCAGCTCTTGAGGGTACCCTTACGTCGCCGTGTATGTGTAAAACTACTACAACTTCGCAGCATCTAATATGCAGCCTCTGGTGTGTTACATTCTCGTTTAAAATTCCGAGGCCCCGAGGGCCCCTCTTACATCGCCGCGAGCCTGGAAAAGCACGGCGATCCGGGGAGATCGAATATAGGCCTTCGAGAACGTTACATCCTCATTGAAAATTTGAGCCTCTGGGGGAACCCCTTCCAGCGGCGTCTTGCTGGAAAAGTGCCGTAAATTACCGAGTTCTAATATAGACCTTAGAGACCTTTACATCCTTCTTGAAAATTCTAGGGTCCTCGGAGGACTCCTTCCAGCGCCACCTGCCTGGAAAAGTCTCGAGATCCGGGGAAGCCTGGTATACGCCTTGCATACCTTTACATCCTGCTTAAACTCCGCTGAGCCCCTAGGGGCCCCTCAAACGCCGCTATCGTGTTGGAAAAGTACCGCGATTTGACGAAGTCTGATATAGAGCTTCCGAAATGTTACATCTTCCCTAGTTCCCACTCGGCGCTTAAGAGCGCTCCTGACGTTGCCAACGTACCGAAAAAGTGTTGCTATTTCGTAGTCTCTGATTATAGGCCATCCAGAACGTGACATTGTTGTCGCTTTCTGCAGAACCATTAGGGGCACCTCAGACGGCGTCATCCTGCCAGAAAAGCGCTTGATATCGCTGCTAGAGACATGAAAAAATTTGCACGAGAGGAATTGAGACTTCTTTTGAGTAGTTTTGGATGATATTTTACCCACCTGGAGCTATTCTGCACCTCTTTCTAGACTGAAAAATGGAACGACGAAGAGGAAGATTTGAAGAGGAAGAAACGTGACACGACGATACTTTGTAAATTTCACCTACCCACTTCGGGTTAAATAAACCAACCTTTCCACAACTACCCACAAAAGCACCGAGAGCGTAGTTGTTAACCTACCTAAAAGAAAACAAACATAAGCGACCAACAGTCGCCCCACCGCGTCCCTAGAAGAAGCAACAAAGCTCCCAAAACCCCTAAAACGGCCCCATCGCGTTATAAAAACACCCAAAAGCACCGAAAGTCTCGCCATTAAACTACCCAGAAAGACCGACATTACCAACCAAGGGGGTCGCCACATCGAGTCCTTCAATCTCCTAAAAGTCCCCAAAACGCCTAAAATCCGGTCATTACCCCCCCTCCCCGTGACTCCGCACTGCCCTCTCCATCCACTCCGCCTCCAGCTTCAAGCAACACTTCCAACACACCTCCTGCCGGCACGCCCGCAGCTCACACTGCCAGACCCTCCCCCCGACATTCCTCCCGCAAGCGTCGCACCCCACCGGCACCTCACACCCCACGCGTACCCCTCTCGCGTCCCAAAAGCTCACAGGAACGTCGTTAATGCTGCTGCCAGGGGGCAGACTCGCGAGCCTAATTTCGCGGAACAGGTGCCCGGAGACGATGCAGTGGTGCTTCGGATACGTGAATAATGAGCCTTTATCCTCAACATTGCACACTTGACACGGAAGGGTGGGGCGTTTACCTGGACGCTTTGTCGCCTCATTGCCGTTGTTCACGTTGCGTCGACGCCGAGGGGACGCCGGGCCGCCTCCACGCTGAGGGTCAATTGCGGACACTTGCGCCTCGATTCGGTACCCGTGGTCTGCCCTTGTCAGATCATCCAGCAGGCCGCGTTCGAGGTTCTGCAGCGGGCTTGCGACGCTGAGGGGGGCCGATTTGGGCTTTCGTTGGAGGAAGTTCGCGATGTTGTAGCCCACTCGTCGCGACGGAACGTCCACGATTTGCGGCATTGTTGCGGGTTTCGTGTAAAGCACGGCTCGCTGGCCGCCGATGCCGGACTCCAGAACATCGGTGTCGTATTCGCTGATTGCGGGGTCAGCTGGCTTCTTGAGGGGAGTCTGGGAGGCGCGATACTCAGCCGAATCCGGCTCGTCTTCCTCTCGGATCGGGGGCAGTATAGCGCGCATTCTCTGTCGGATCTTGATTCGCGTGCCGCGGACTCTGGAGGCTCGGACGGCCCTCAGAAGCCCGATGAGAACCTGTTTGTTCAGTACTGCCTCAATAATGCGTTGAGGGACACTTACGCAGTGGGAAGCTTCGCCAGAGCCGCTCCGTTCCTCGCCACGAAGGTTCTCCATCGCCTTCACCCTCTTCAAGGTAGGTAGATTCGGAGCCTTATCCTTGTCCTTCTGCCCAGCTCTATTCTCTTTCAAGTCCTCCTTCGCACCGCGAGCCAACCGCCCACCAGACCCAGTATCAGACCCAGACCCAACCGCAGAACCGCCAGCGCCAGAAACAGATTGTGCTTGTGTGCGTGTAGTGTCGCGCTCCGTATACGTACCTCGAGATAGAGCCTGTGCAGCTTTCAAATCGCTGATATCTCCGCGCCTGCGAAGCCCTCCACGAGCCACCGGCTTCAACGGATCCCTGGTCTTGTGCGAGTCCCACAGTGCCAGCGAGCGCATCTGCGGAATCGGCAGAGCTGGCGCGATCGATTGGCTGAGAGTCGGGCCTGACAGGTCAGAGCCAGAGCTTGATGTATCCGATCGAGGGCCGTCGTCCTGCCACCATGGTCGCGGGAAGGGCCAGGTTAGCGAAGGACTGTGTTTCACATCGGACATTGCGGCGGTCAAGGAGGAGCAGTGTGCGTGTGTGTTATATGACGTGGCGATAAGAGGTGCGTGCGAGGCGTGAAGATCGATGCGCGACGGTCGAAGCGTGGTGGTCGTTGTGATGAGCGTGTGAGCGCGCTGACGGAAGGACGACAATGGACGGCTCGAGACTTGTGACGCACACAAGAGTGAAGGGGACAGCACGCTCGACAAGCAATGGGCGCTCTCGCGCGTGGAAAGCGGTGTGTTGTACTCGATCGTGCGTGAAGGTAGGGCTCGAACGGTGGTGTAAAGGGTAGGAGGTGGAGGAGCGTTGGACGATTTAAGAGGTTGAGCGAGCAGGAGTGAGGTGAAGTAGCTCGCTTCGACGCGTCACACTCAGGTCCTGTGAAGAAAATTGGACGATTGAGGGATGGAAATGAGAAGGTCGTCGCGTTCACATGAGAGCAGGTGGCTAGAGACCTTGTTGAGGTTCGAACTAGAGCACCCGCTTCTTCACCAAGTTGTGCAGTAGGAAAAGTGATGATACGAGGCGATGATTGAGCTATACGAACCATCTTACATTCAATTGCGCTTGGGGTATTTCAATCATAAAAACCGACTCATCATGCGCTGGACACCTTCGCAATGCCTCTGAAAACGTCCCAATATCCCCGTGACACTTGGGCGCCTTGGAGCAAATAAGAAAACTATATCATCGCTGTGTATGCAAACCTTGAAATATCGACACTAATATAATCTACCGCTATGATAAACCAAAAGCAAACCTCAAGGCCGATCTTACGAAAAGCTCAACCGCGCAACTTGTTCCACCCGTCCACTGCCGCTTCTCTTGCGGCCTTCGCTCGGTGACGTTGGAGATGCCAGCTCTAGAGAACGACGAAGACCTAGGCCAGCTGTGTTACCGAGACTTTGAGAGCTGTCAGGGCTCTTCGGCAGGCGAGGGGTGTGCATTGATTCGAGTGAGTCAGGTTCGCGAGGAGATGCAGAAACCTTGCGTGGAGAAACACCAAGCCCTCGATGACCCTCCATAGGTGGCGGTGACCTCGTCAAGAAGTCCGCAATCTCTGCCTGACTAGTTCCAGAAGTAGAAGCTGCGTCACTCTCTTCGTCGCTGGCCTGACTGGAAGTTCGTCTGTGGCTCTTTGGCGGCTGTCGTTGTAGGAATTTCTGGATGGCGTTTCGGTCGTCACCTTCGTCATCGTCGTCCTCGTCCGATGTACCGTCGAAATACGAATCGTCCCACACTGTTGAGTCTCTGCTTTTGAGACTCCGATTAGACGCACTGTGGGCATATCCACCTGCACCATCCATAGAGCCCTTAAGCGGTGCTAATTCATCGGCCACCTCCCTCATTTCGCTGACCGTCCGTTTAGCTGGGGGATACAGGTCACTCTGGCCTTTGACTTCTTCACCGTCTTCTTTCACAGGCTTGTCGACACCATTCGCTCGGTCAACTGCAGGCTCATTCTCATCGCGGGTGGTTGCAGCGTAGGTATCTGCGAAATGCGTATCACAAAGGTGTTTGACAACAGGCCAGCCATATGCGTTGGCGAACATACGCCGGACAATGATGTTGTTATGTGCATCTGGCTCAAGTCGGACGAGGACTTTGCGCCATGATAAGTCCTTGTGATACGCTCTGGCAATCTTTTCTTCGACGCGCATACCACCAGAGTCGTCTTGACTCTGCTCACTGCTGCCGGAAGCGAAGCTCCCCTGCTCGCTGGAGAACGACCTAGTCAATCGACTAGGGCGTTTCACTGGCGGAGGAGGAATATCCTCTGGGTGGTAGACTCTGTCGTGAAATATAGTCCGAGAGCGCGAAGCAGGATCGATGATCCAAGAAGTGGGAGGCACTGGCGGACTCAGAAGGTCACCGGCGGATTCGAAGATTGTAGTCTTCGGTGGCGCACGGAGATCCATAGGATTGTTTAGAATGGAGTCGCCCCTTGTGGCACCAGGTCTCTTGCTCTGCTGCTGGCTGGTGGTGTTGTTGGCTGGTTCCGATACGGTCTCAGAAGACGGTCCGCTACTGAACCCTTCACCCTCTCCGATTGCCACGGTCTGACTTCTTCGGAACATCTTGCGGTCTTTACTAGTGTGAGCTGCTGACGGACGGAGAAAATTGAGAAATGTTGATAGAGTATTTGTGGATTGTGGGACGTCTTTAGAGCTCGTTGCGAGTTCGGTTGGAGCATGTTTCTTTCCATCCAAGAACTGATGCGCCTCGGGTTCAGCCATGGTGTTTTGACTTGCATTGTCCTCGTTAGTGACGTCTACACCAGGCTGAGGGACCACGTCATCACGCCCGGAAGGTGATTCCAGTCCATCATCGTCATCATCCGAGAAGCCAACTCTGGATGGATTAGGTGAGGACGTGTTTTGCCCTGTCAGTTGGCCCCATCCCCAGCCTGCAACTGTGCCTATCAGTCCATTGTCCCTCCTAGCTTTATCAACCTTCCCGAGGCCTCTCCAGTCTAGGAAAAGCAAGCAGCTAGTTCGCAACGGGACAATGCCATCATTGACCACATTGGAATAGAGTGTCCTGTTGCGGAACATTCGTAGGACATGATGGGCCGGTCCCGTGGGCAAGATCCGGAGAAGAGGTTTAGAGCCTGGATCGGGTTGGCGCTGCTCTTTCTGAGCAGAGCTTCCAAGCCCACTGATCATGGCAGTCCAGCCACTGCGTGCAATTGTGGGTGCTCTCCAGGTCAAGCCGAGATCTTGACCTGTCCTGCCAACAAGACCAAAATCAAGAGCGAACTTGATATACATGGGGTTCTCGTTACTCAGGCCGAGGTATGGGGATGCTAACGAGATGAAGTTCACCGGTTCTATAACCTCGAAGAACGTTGGAGAGTGTTTGTGGATGTATGCAATGGCGTATGTCTGAACAAGTCCTCCCAGAGAGTGGCCAACGAAGCTGATGCTAGTATATCTGTACGCACGATCCTCAACTGGGCTCTCTACACGCAAGATACTGCTACCAGCGTGTGCTGGGACACCTTCGTCGGGGTCGGCCTTCGTAGTGGAGAATGTGTTTGAGAGTTTCTTTCCCGTAGACGTCTTGACGGGCAAGAAAGGCTGGTCTGGGTATGTGAGTTCAAGGACATATTTCGCAAGGCGCTTCCCGAGATATTGAATGCCTCGCTCTGTGCGGATAGCATTGCCATGGAACCCTCTAACGACAACCTCTTCATCATCACTATCTTCTTCTTCTTCCATGTCTTCCTGGCCACCTGACAATGGTGCTGTAGATGCTTCTGCATTTCCTTGATTGCTGTCCGATTTGTCCGCGTCTGGTGACTCGGAATTGGTAGACGACCTCTTCGCTCTACTGGCGCTAGACTTCCTTCGTTTGATCTTGCCTTCTCTGGCTTCCTTGGCAGAGGCATCAATGCTCTCCTTGAGATACAGCATGTCGGCGCCGGTGTTGCTATGCAAGCCATGAGTGATGATGACAAGATGAATTTTCTTCCGCTTCTGTGTGTTAGAGCGACGCTCCGGTCCTCCAGGGTATCCAGAATGTTCCCGCGAGCTTCCTGACTGCTGGTTATCGTCATCATCATCGTCAGCCCACACGGGTAGCTGAGGTTTGTTCCATAAGGCCTCCGTATCTTCCACAACCAGCTTCACCGCCTTCGAGTATACGCCCTTTGGTTGGGCCGAATGATGCTTATTGTGTTTCCGCTTCGCCGCCTGCTGGTGGTCCTTAACGTGGCCCGGAGCGCCATGGTTGTTTCCCGTTACTGCCGAAAAGCCTAAATCTAGCGACCTTTCATCCCTGGCCACAAGAAGTTCGTAATTCACAGACGCAGAAGTTGAGAAAAGTATTTGTGAGGCTATCTCGATGATCCATGTTGCGCTTTTGGGTTCCCCGTCTGCGGTCCGCTTCAGATTTGTTTTTCCGCTGACCTCACGGATGTCTTCGGGCAGGGTGAGCGTCGCACTCCACGATCCACCAGCCTTCAAGTTCGGCTCAAACTCCGGTATGCCCTCCTTTTTGGGGGATTCGACTTTACGATTTGGGTTGAAGGTAGAGGGATATGTTGCGACATGGATAGTGTAGGGGCCATGGAGGTATGCAGCGCGGAGGGGTATAGCGGAACTGTTCTTGATTTTTACATGGAGATGGGTGGGAGAAGGAAGGATGCGATCCTCGGAGGGGGTATATGTAAGAGAATAGCTAAAGCCATGGTTAAGTTAACCTCAGTGACATGGGAGCATTCCGTGATGCTTACCGAATGACCTCCCCAACTTTCACACTTCCGATCTGGTGAACAAGCAGCATCCTACGTGCTTGCTCCTCAGCGGCCAACTGTTCCCTCTTCGACGAGTTTAGCAAGAAAAAGGACGGCGGAGAATTCTCGCAGCCCTTGTCGGGGAGTTGGGCGAGTCCGTAGGAGCGCGCGGTGAGCAACATGAATGCCCAGCTACTAGTGCGTTCGGTAGTTGACGGATGCTGTTTCTACCAGACTTCGCGCATGGCAGCGGCCTTCAACATCTATCGCCGTTCGTAGAGCGGTGGGATAGCAAGGAGAGACGTGTGAGGTGTAGTAGGAGGCAAGCTGCGCTGTCAAGTGCTATCAACGCGACGACAACTCACGGAATCACTCCATCCAAACAAAGCTTGGCTGGCATCATCGTGCGCGTGCCTACTTCTGGTAAACTCTTCACGCGACCTTGTAGCTTAATATTCTTAGCTGTAAGGCAGGTACAAGGCGCCTGAAAGCTTCCCTCCACCGACGTCGGAATGAAGCACTATACTTCGAGCTTCATTAATGCACAGAAGCACAACCTTATTATGCCGGCGAATGCGGAGGTTATGCAGAGAAAGGACGAGTCACGTGCCCCAACATTGCTACACCATTTACCTATATCGAGACACATAGATCTAGGAGCTGGCCAAGACACAAGCGCGTACTACTTAGGTTGCCCGACGGAGAAAACGGTAAGGTACAAGCTAGTTGTTCTATAGTGGTAGCGAGCATAGCCTGGATTGATTTTGTACATACATACTTTACTATTGTCTGAGACTTCGAGAATTGAGCCATTACAGTGAAAGAGCAACTATGTTGTTTTTGTACACACCATCCGTAGTTAAGCTGAAGCGACTATCAATTCGACTCGAAGAAATTTTCCCGCTAAGATGTTTCCTGCAGGAGTGATTTTATCTTGCCATGATGAAATCCTGCAGGGCCTCGGATGCTCGCCGCAAAGTGGTGGCTGGTGGGGGGCTGGCGATACCAACCTCCAACCACCCCTTCACAACTCTTCCCCCAATTCCATCTGAGGCACCTCTGTGCAGATTCAGCTTCTTCAAACATCTTCACTTCACACTACACATTCGTTCCAACTCATTCGCGCCGCTACCCATACGCCGACGCGCCCGCGCATCCATAGTCGAAGTTGCGTCACTCGCTCCACATCACCGCATCGTGGCATTCCCGGATTGTTCCATCCGAAACCTCCCATAACTCAAGTCTTGTCGCCTCCATACGAATCGTCCACCTGAATCTCACCTCAGGAACTTGCGACCAACTCTATCCTCAACATCCGGCGCGAACATTCGGCGCAAAGCTCATTGAGTGATACGACAGCGACTACGAATTAACTCTCCGAAGTCTACAGCATCACACCCACATATCGACAGCAATGGCGCGCACGGTCGTAGGATCAGCAGTTGTGGTGCGGGAGCGGTACTACTGGCCCGACGCCCAGCTTAACATTTGGACCATCATCATGTTAGCCACGGCGGGCACGATTCTAGGAATCAACGCGCAATTCATGACGCAGCAAAGCCAGCTACGACAGCCGACACCATGGTACGTACTTTCATTTTCCTCGCACAGCCGTCGCCTTGGTCCGACAGCCACTGACTGATATGCTTGCGTCCAGGGTATTGCCGTATGGTGTCACCGTCGGATCCCTCGCCATTGCCTTCATCCTCATCGAGCTCATTTTGATCATGCAGCAGCGGCTGCTGCCAGGCATCATGATGCTGCTCTCCTTCATCCTGCTGGTCCTGTTCGTCACCGGCATCATTGCGACAGGGATACAATTGTTTGGCGGGCACAACGTGAACAACCTCTGCCAGACGTACGTGAATAATGAGAAGTTCACGGGACCAAGCGGAAATACGTTGGCGTGGTTGCAGCAGAACAGCATATGTACGTCTACCTGTCCTAGAACGAGACTCAGAAGAAAATCAGAAGCTAATGGATATCATAGGTCAAAGCTGGGACGCCGTTTTCGCTTTCTGGATTATCGGGACTGTTTTCCTCATATGGATGATCATTATGGCGAGTCAAGTGAGCCAGAACCAGTATGACTGAGCGCTGTATTCACTTACTCCACTCCTGGTTCGGTCTTTTCGCTATAAATGTGTTTCTTCTTTGTGTTTGTCGGAATGATTGATATGGTACATACGAGCATGGAGCTATATCATCGGGTGGCGTATATGGATTTGGGCACGAGAAGTTCATCTGGTTTGTTTTAGGAGTATGGAGATACCAGAGGGCAGCATGTCTTCAAGCGTGCATTTCAAGGGGTTTGTGGAGAAAAAAGACCTTAGTAGAACCGAAGAACTGTGGTTAATGTCGATAGTTTTGGTGGTTGAAGAATGCACATAATACCATAACTCTCGAGACCATTCAGAACTAACGATGATGCTCCTAACTATGCTCTAAGAAACTCCTCCCTCCATAGTAGAAGAATAAGTAACTGCAAGCAATGCCTCAACATAAGTTACATGAACCAACAACATCCATCAATTACACATCTAATCCCGGCCCCTCTCCCATCCAAACACACCCAGCATGCAACAATTCACAATTCCCATCCGCGAGTCAAATCCCACCTCCGCGTACCCCGGCCCTCACGAAACGCCACCCATCAAGCCAATAAAAGCAGATCCCCCGCACAAACCACACCCTGCTCCCGCCTATCGCCCTTAACCAGCCGGCTGACCGCGCAATTTCGCGAATGCCGACTGCTGACAGGAATCCCATTTCCTGCTTTCTGCTTTCTGCTTTCTGCTTTCCAGCAGATGTGCCCCTGAGCCGCTGAATGCACACCTCAGTGCCACGGTCTGCGAGAGCGAGGCTGCTCGCTGGAGAAGGGTCGCAAGAAAAGCAGCAACCACGACATCAAACGCATACCCAAAGTCTATTAAAAAAAAAAAAAAGGGTTTCAAACACTCCAATGCTCCCCCCCCCTCCCACTAACTAGGAGGTACGGACCCAGCTCCGTCGCCCTCCCAGCATGAACCCCCAGCCCGCATCCCCCCCCCTGCCACCGACGCATAGACTCCTTCTAAATCCCTAACTACCCATTAGCGCCACTCCCTCCTGCACAAAAAATACATTACCATACCACCACCCTCCCCCACGTAAGCAAACGCCGCCTCCAAAACCAGCAAGAGTCCCCGACCACCGCTCACCCAATCAGCACGCCCTGGCACGAAAAAACCTTGGAAAACGCGCGAGGGACGCGCCGAGGCGCGTAAGTGGGAGGAGGGGGCTGGAATGCGAGGGTGGCGGGTTGAGGGGGCAGCTGAGAAGCTGCAGTGCTGAGGGGTTAGAGGCAGGGCAGGGAGGTCAGCGATCAGATGAATGATAGACACTGTTGCTTTTTCGCTCTTGCAGCTGTTTAATTGCACGGCTCAGTCCTCTATGTCTTTTGCTGAGAGGTTGTGAAGAGGATGTCGCACAACCTCCGTTCCATCGCAACACGTGCCGCCCACCACCGGGAGGGGGGCATCACTAAAGCGCCTCCGGCCCTCCGTGGCGTCAGTCGTCATCGAGCCATGATTTTCCGTCGTCGGCTATCTTGATTCATGAATAGATTTAAATTTCTTGATTTCTCGAGCTGAGCCCAGAAGAGCTCGGCTGTGGCCGGCTCGCTACAAACATACGTGCTAGACTAAAAAAAGCCCTATCCCCTGCCCTGGTGTATCTACCTAATTGATCCGTGATCCCGATCTGATCCTCCTTGGCCAGATAGTGCCGCTGCAGAAATACATGTGTGGAACTAGAAAAGGGTGGTCGTGTGGTAATGCGAGATGAGACAATGCGTTGTGCAAGCGGTTGCGGGTGAAGCGCTTCGCTTAAGCAAAACTTGGAAATAGGACAGGGGGGAAGAAGGAGGATGGCAAACAAAAATAGCCGCCCGTGGTATCTGGCTTCAAGCGGAGCCGACTGCATGTGTGTCGGGTATCGGCCTTGAGGGAATTAGATGGAGTGATGAAAGACGGCTCCAGATCGCTGGTAGTGGAGACCAAAAACACCCCAAGAAAAATCGCTGAACCAAGGATGTGAGAACCAAACTCCGGTGCTAGAATATCAAAACAAAAGCCGTCCCAAATGTATTGAAGCAAACGCCGTTGCTATGAGGGTGAAGGACAGCGAGAAGATTACGTGATAGAAAAGGCCGTGCGGGCGTGGATTGCTGGGCTGGCAGCATGATCTGGAAAATCCAGGGTCGTGTCGAAGTCATTAGTCGTTTGTCTCGTAGACTGACGGCAGGGGTAATCGTATGTGGGGTGTCCGCGATGAAAACATGTCCAGTCTGTATGTTGTTCATGAACAGAGCTCTCCGCCAAGATCCATGCCTAGTCCTGTTTCTACTTTTCCGACCCGGGTTCGCTCTACACCAACATTCGGGCTGTTGCCTGTGGGTGGGAGTAGTGTGTCGAAGTTGAGTCGCTTCCGGGCTTCCCGCGCCATAAGGGGGGTCTTTCCAGCGGCAGGAGTTCGGTTCCATGGTTGAGCCATTTGAGCTGGACTGGGAGTCATGTTCAAGAACTCCGCAAAGTTGAGGTTTGCCGAAGGTGTGCTGAGGCCGAAACCTGAGAACGGTGCCCCGCCTCCTCCTGGGGTGGACATCATGGACGACGGTAGTGGTGTCGACTTAGGTGGAGGCGTGGTAGGAGGGTAGACACGGGGTTTGGACGTGCTGGGGTGAGCCGGAGACGGGGAAGTGGCTAGATACATTAGTAGGTTGGCATCTTCTTCGCCTTTCATTTCGTTGCGAGAGGAGGCATTGAAAGCACTATTGCGAAGTCGGGCTGAGCGAGCGACAGCGGGCGGCGGCGTGCGCGGTGCTCGGGGAGGAGAAGACCGCAGAGAGCTTCGGACCTGGAATGATGTGATTGGAAGGTCTTCATCGTCGTCTTCGGAGAGTAGCGAGGGGGAGTCTGGCACGGTTGAGGTTTCCGAGACGAAGGATAGGCTTGGGGCATGCTGGATCCGTCCGAAGTGTGCATGTCTACCGTGGTACACCGGCGAAGATTCGGGCAGTCTATAGGCACTCTTCCACGAGGTAGCAGTTGTGTTTGACGTCCTGACCTTCACGCGGGCATGGTTGCTAGAGGCTGGATATTTGGACAAGTGTCCATGCTTCGGGCGCTTGCTCTGGCTCGAACTGCTCCCAGAGCGGCGGACGTTGTCTGAAAATATCGGGGCCGCAAGAGGGGAGGAGTCGAGGGCGCTATGGGGGTAGAATCGGTCGGAGACTGTGGAGGATGCTGAGGACATAGTCTCATTGCTCGACCCCGGGCGTTTCCGCTTGAGTTCCATCTCAACTCGCGGCTCGAGTGCGTCGAGGCTCAAATCCTCCCAGCCGTGCTTGATCTTCACATTGGCTAAGGCGAGGCGGTTCTGGAGGGCCCGGGTCATCTGCAGACTGAGTATCAGCACCCAATGCTTAGGGGGAGGGGAGGCCGGCCGTTGTACCTTTGAGACTTGGGCTCTCCGCAGAACCTTGCTGGCAACCTCAGCGGGCTGGTCGGCGGAAGCCATAGTCGCAGCAGTCACAGATTCGAAGAGCTGGCTTGGATGCAGAGGCAGAGGTTGCTCGCAAGTGTTTCAGGAGGTTCGGGGTGAGCTGAGGGCGGAGGCATGCGAGGGAGAGCAGCGCTCGGGCACGGCCTCGGTGAAGAACTGGTCGGTCCTGGCGTGGCTGCGGGTAGGGCCCAGGGCTGGTGAATGAGCCGGCGAGGCTAGGCTGGATGAATTGCCGGGGCGGAGTGCTTCTGTCGTGAGCGGCGGCGTTGGCTGCAATCTCTCGCGGGCGCCTGGTGCAAGAAGCTTCCAAGGTTGAGGATTTGCGATTGGGCCGTCTCCAAAGCGACGCCGGGAGCAGGCATTTCAAGGTGGATACGCCGCTAGCCCGCTGCAGCCGGATAGTACGACGGCGGTATTTTACGCCCTTGGCGTGCATAACCTGTGCAGGCTTGCAGTTTAACGGACAGACGCTGGTGCACGGCTCGATTCTGATAGCAGTCACACAGCCTTGCAGTACGATGTGTAGATGATCTGAACTCTTGCGCTGGAGAGGAGAGCATGATGCTAGAAACAGGTGCCACCCACCACCGACCGCAACTGCTTTTCGTAGAAACAAGGGTCTTGAAGATGCCCGTCCACGGACAGCCTCCCGTGCTGAATGCTCTCCCGTGGTTCTGCTCTCGTGGCATTCGGCATTCCGTGGGCCGGCTATCTTGCCCAGCGCTACCACATCTCGGCCAGGTGTGGGCCTCCTGCCAATCGGCTGGGGAGCCCTGGAGCCTCCACCGCTTGGAACTGGAGAAACAAGTACGGCTCTTGCGTCATCACATTTCCCTGGGCCTATGCCAATCTCCCTCTGGCCACCCAGTTGCCCACGTGAAGCTCTCCAGTGCGAGGCTGTTCGGAGGCGATTCGCGGCGCTGCTCGCATTGTCCTGCTCGCAGACGCCCGGGGTCCGTTCCTGCTGGCGCCGTTGGTTGTACAATTAGCAGCAATAAGAAGCGGTGGCAAACGCGCGCCCTGCCCACTTGCTGCTCAAGAGCATCGACAAGTGCCAGTGCATGCAGAGATAAACCTGCCGCTAGATAGCTTAATCTAGCGCCCGAACTGCTGCCGCTCCGAGCGATCCTCCACCCTCACTCACCACCACGTTGCAGCCCGTCCGCGGTCTCCGTCTTTTTGGTCTCTGCGTTGGAGCTGTCTTGTGCCTCCTCCTCCGCTCGCTGCTGTCCTCCCGTTTTTCCCTGCATTGCACCTACATACCCCGTCCTGCTCTGTCCCAGCCGTGCTCCCCACCCGCCGTCATTCGCTTTCCCCGGGTCTCCATCGCATGATAACGCCCCGTCGCTACCCTCCGCTCACCTGCTGCCAGACAGCTTCACGTCCGCCCTCGTTATGCCCTTCCTTAAGAACCTGCGCAGAAGGTCCAAATCAAGCTTCCGCAAAGACGGTCCCTCCAGCAAGGCCGACCCGAATATCAATACCAATAGCACCAGCAACGGCAATGGCAGCATCATGCGGAACAAGTCCTCGTCGACCCTTAACTCGACTCCAGGCACCTTTGGCTCGACAACGCCGCCGAGCACCCTCCCGTCAGAAGAATCCAACGGCGTGCATGGCGGAACTCCTCCGCCGATTCCCCAGCGCCCGCCAATAAACACAAAGCGATACAGCCTCAACGTGCGTACTCGGCCCCGCGTTTTACGCTGACACTCCATTGACCATATTTTCGCTACAGGGAATGAATTCCTTCGGCACCAATGCCTCACAGAGGTCTTTAAACACCTCGTCCCTTCTCGCGCCAAGGGTCCTCTCCATAACAGACAACACTTGGGTACGGAACTTGCCCATGACTCGGGTTGATTGCGCTAACAGCATCCAGACACACCAGAAAGTGCTGTTAATCTCAGGGACGATCGGTGACCCGTCACTGAAGCCGCTGGACGGCACTTTGACCTGTTGCCATCACCAAGACAGCTTCCCCCCGACCAATTGGCCTGTCCAAGACTCTCACTTCAAAGCACTAGTCCACCTACAACCTGGGCCAAATCGGCTGCGTCTGGACTTTACTTCACCAAAGGTGTCCTCCGGCACCACCTCAATCCCAGCGCATTCATCTTTCATCCAGATCAATTACCTTCCTCTCAACTCGTCTCCGCCTCTGCATTTAGCCATAATTCTTGGGAAGGATTCCCCCGGAACGTATGATGCGGTACCCGAGCGGTTACAGAGGGAAGGGAATGGATTGGATATTGCAACTAGGAAATTCCGCATGGCAGCATACTTATGGCAAGCCTTCACCGGCGAACAAATGTACCGCAATGGTCTAGGTCGTCGGTGCTTCAGAATTGAAGAACAATGGCAACCTGGCACACTTACGTACGAGGATCAGAATACCGGAACGATGCGAAACGAGGCCAAAATCCATATAATCAGATCGAATAAGACCATGGCTGAGATCAGAGATCTCGATCTTGCGCAACAGTACGACAAGGCTACCAAGAAAGGGGACCTCTTTGGAATTGCTGGGGATGCGGTGAAGGAATACTTTCAGCTCAAACCTGGGCAGAAGCACTACGTCTCGTGCTTGTTTCTTGACACTCACTGGGACCCGAAAGTGAAAGTCGTTCGGGGACATGCTGCGCTTGGCGGCGGCGATGGCGACCTTCAGCTTGCTATCTTCGGATCACACGCGCTACAGAGCTATCCAGCAAGTCTTGAAGAAGTTGTGCCCGCATTCTCAGATTGCACGAAGACTGATACGGCGTACGTTGCAAACGACTGCAATGAGTCCGGGAGCAACTGGGAGGCGGCCAACATTGGCATTGGTGCCCATATGCATGAAACAGGGCATTTGTTCGGGTGCCCGCACCAAGAAAGCGGTGTCATGTTACGCGACTATGTTCGACTCAACCGAACGTTTACGTGTAGGGAACCTTACTCCACGCGCACAAAGTCTCCAGGACAGCGCCTTGTCTTGCAACAAGACGAGTGCGCATGGCACAGACTGGACTGTCTGCGGTTCCGCTTCCACCCTTGCTTCAAACTTCCGTCTGACATGACGCCGAGCGCCGACGGAAGCGTTCAAGTCTGGACAGTTGATGGTGGAGTGCTAGCCACGGCGCCAACTGGTGTAGCCTGGATTGAGCTATACACAGAAGGAGACGACCTTTGCCGTACTCACATCGAGTACTTCGACCCGACCAGTGGCAAATCGCCTCCTGCCCACGTTTCGCTCACCGAGTCTGACCTGCGAGACCGGTTACCCAGGGACAAACGAAACAAGAAGCTGAAGCTGGAAATCTACTCAACCGGCGGAGGAAAGCATGTCGTAGAGGACTTTAGCCAACTTGCCAATACGAAGAACTGCCGTGTTCGCCTTCCAGATGGCCGATGGGGCTTTCGCGGCAGCAAGCTTGGCTTCTCTCAAATGGAAGGCTCTCAACCGCAGGAGGTCATAATCGACAGTTGTTACATCCAAACCAAACTCCTCAAGACCATTAGAGTCTACCATGGATTTGCTGTGGATGGAATTGAGTTCTTCTACGAAGACTCGGAGAGCCAGCTGTTCGGGAAGAGAGGAGGAAAGGCTGGTGGCTCAGAATTTACTTTGGACACTCGGAGAGGCGAGCTCCTGATGGGCTTTTACCTGCGAGCCGGCTTGTGGATTGATGGGTTACAAATTCTGACTAGTCTGGGACGGAAAAGCGAAATCTTCGGGAATCCTACTGGCGGCAGTGGGTAAGATCAAGTCGGTCACTTTTCGCTCATCGCACATATGCTAACGTGTTTTATAGACATACCCTACTGCCTCCCCGCGGGTACATCATAGCCGGCATCTCCGGTTCTTGCGCAGGATGGCTGGACGGCTTTTCTCTAATCATCACTCGTTGAAGTCACCACAAACGGCTTTCTAGCGCAGCAATAGCCTTTCTCACACCACTACTTACCGGCTACAAACTCTAGCACCCCGCCGTCGTCGCTCTCGCCGGTTCCCCTTTCTTCTAGCGTTACGGCGAACACGGCATATTCCCTGTACTGTATATACAACAATTTTTTTTGGCCAGGATTGTCAATTCTGTATTGGAAGGATTCGCATTTGGCACCAACAAACCAGCTTCTGTTGGCCTTCTTCCTACAACAATGTGCCAGCCCGCTTGGCCGGGAGGTGGCGTTGTAGATCGGAGAAGAGATGGAGGGATTAGATGTCTGTTACATGGACGGATCGGTGGATTGGTCCTACTAATATCGGTAATGGAGGAATTTGAATAGGGGCCGCGGTTTAGCGGGATTGGGGCGGCGGAATACTGGACTCTGCGAGGCAATACGTGGATGATGAGGCGGGTTGGAAATAATAATCATGATATCATGTCTAGGAGTGTATGCATGAGCGTGAGGTTTCGAAAGAGCTTGCTCCCACACTCCTCTATCACATGAATGTTTCGTTCCATTGAAACAAATCTAGACCTGATGCGCCACTAATAGACCCGTGCGGAATCCTTGGCAGACGTGGCTGTGTGGACGTCATTCACGAACTTCACGAACTTCCAAGGTTGAAAAACAAAGGCTCCGTCACCTCCAACCACTGCCCTATTTCAGCCAACCCCCCGGTTTCCACCTCTGTAAACACACATCGCCTACTTCCCTACACTCTACCCATTCGCTCGAGCAAAACCATCGCTATGTCTCGACGAAACGGCGGCCCCAACGGCGCTGAGAAGGACATCGCAGCACCGGTCAAAGACTTGACCAAACCCGATCCGAGTGGGTAGCCCGAGAACTGGACAACTTTAGCAAGCGTTAACGGCCAATAGCTCAGGACAAGCAAGCAAGACTGCTGAACTCCGATTCTGGTCACTTCTCTCTGATCCGGTACGACGCGCCTACTCGCAAAGCCCCACCTACTGCACAGCGCTCTAACCTTCGAACAGAGCCCTACATCTGGCCGACTTCATCACCGCCTTAAATGGTATGTTCTCACTGGGCCCAAGGCGCGAGCGCAAGCACTAAGACTATATCACAGGCTTCTGCGGAGTTATGTCCGTGTTCTCGTCAATGCGATACTGTCTCGGCGATCCACATTCATACACCAACATCTATGCCGCTCTCGGATTCGTTCCTCTAGGCCTATTCTTCGATTTCATGGATGGCAAGGTCGCAAGGTGGCGGCAGAAGTCGTCCCTCATGGGCCAGGAGCTGGACTCGCTGGCGGACCTGGTAAGCAGCCTCAAGTCGCGCCGTTCAAGTCGATATCAGAATTAGAATTCAGACTAATACTGCTGGTTTAGATCTCCTTTGGTGTCGGGCCGGCTGCTGCTGCCTTTGCCATAGGACTCCGCACTCCTGTTGACCATGTCCTCCTAACCATCTTCGTCCTATGCGGGCTGCTCCGCCTCGCTCGCTTCAACGTGACGGTCACCGCTCTTCCCAAAGACGCAACCGGGAAATCGAAATATTTCGAAGGCACGCCAATTCCAACCTCTCTCTCGTTGGTCAGCCTCATGGCATACTGGGTATCGCAAGGCTGGGTGTTGGAGAATATCCCCTACGGAACGGCGCTCACCGGTACTGCGTTCGAGTTCCACCCAGTTGTGGGTCTATTCATCGTGCATGGCTGCTTGATGGTAAGCAAGTCGCTCCACATACCGAAACCGTAGGTTGGAGGCTGTAGCAGAGGCAAGGTGCACTCTTCCGCTTGCATCGAACAAATAGCAGGTCTGGGCCATACATGTTTGCTTCAGGGTCGGCCTATAGAAAAGCGCATGGCATGAATGGCGTGTTTAGCTTGGGATGACTCGACTCTAGTGCGTGGCTTGATTGAATGCGATGATTTCTTTGGAAAGCTCGGTTCTACGGTTGGTCAAAAGCGTATAGAGTATCCGAGTAGGATTTTGTGAGTGCGTGGGAGTATAAGAAGCCATATGCAACACCCCATCCCTTAAATTTGGCTTGACATAACGCGAGTACTTCGGTTTTTGTCGGTTTTGTGCCACGACTTAGTGCTTTCGTTTGTTTTCGAAGATCTGGGGAAGTTAACGGGAGTTGACCCACACCTGATGTTGCTGGGGCATCCCAGAGAATATCATCAGAAAAGAGACTGCTCTTCCGGCACTGTCTTTAAATGCACATTTCCCCGCATGATTATTCCCCGTTCAACTCCTCTATTCTCCCTTAACTTAGCGGCATCTCTAGCGCGCGGCTATCGGAGCTTTTCCAATTCCTAGGTCTCTCGAATCCACCCTAGTGTTCTAGCATCGCGACTTTCCAAATAAGGCGTGATAGATAAGAGCATCTAGGTACCCTCCAAAACATTGAGAGGCGAGCTGAATAGAGCATGGACACGAAGGCCTGCATCGCATCGAATCAGGCAGCGACCCGCAGGCCACCTCACTTCTCGGAAGCAAACCCGCCCGCTTCTGACTTGTGACCTGTCACCCGCACCTTCTCTCCTCGGTCAATTCTTACATCCACTCAGACAAGCCTGTCGAGGCTCTGCAGTTTCCGGTGAGCAGTCGATCGTAGCCTCACCTGGGATTGGCTGCTGGCTGCCCCACCTGGACTCGCCGTTACACTGCTTCAACGACAACCACCACCAGAGGTCCAGCGTCGATTCTCACTGCGACCACGAAAAAGAAATTGTACGTGCTTATCTCAAGTACATGCCAAGCTGGCGGATGACTCGAAACTGCCTCTGGTCTGCTGACACTATTCACACTACTTCTACGGCTCGGTCTTGACGAAACAATCGCCCTGGGCACCGCTACCCTCTATGACTGGTGTCCAAGATGGATATCTTCATTCGAAATGTTCCGCTTCAATCCACCACGGATCAGCTGAAGGATTTCCTGAGGACCAGCCTGCTCCAGCTTGGCGTTCTCGCGTTCGAGCTCAATAAGGTCAGGAACAAGAACTTCGCCATCTTGTCTCTTCCCGATGTAGATAAGGCGACGCAATTTCTCCTTCTACACGGAGCGAGATTTCGGTCCACTCCAATGCAACCTCTGTACTTTGGCGGGTCTGCTCTCAACTGCACGGCCAGCAAGAACGCGCAAGACGAGCATCTAAGGAAGAGCTTACAGCTGGCCGACAAAAAGACCCGCGAGAGGCAAAGCCAACCTTCAAAGAATGCAGCTCTGAATTCCAAGCGAAATCTTCAAACCGTCTTTGCATTCCGGACGTTGCATTGCGGAGCTTGGTCTTATCAGAATTCCCTGCTTACTTTCGATCAATACTATCGAGACGAGAGAGCTGGGACAATTACCTTTGGTACATCCTCACTTGTGGTTCTGCTGCATCGCAATCCAGACCTCCCCCATTGCCGGCTTGATGTTCCGTACTATAGTATCGAGCATGTTCTTACGGGGAACTCCACGACCGCAACGATATCCCTTACCCTCAGGTGGCCTCCAAAGATCTACGAGGATACACTTGCAGGTGACATATACAAGCCCAATTCCACTACCACTGAGGATCTTCTAGCCAGCCTGATGAAACTTTCAATTAGTTCCGCCAAACTGGCTCCGACCGCGCCGGCGTTCATTCCTTCGCAACAAGACAGGTCTCAGGGAAAGAGGATTCGGCTTTCATCGATTGCAAAAGGGCATGAGGGTACTGTGGGATCTTGCTTTGTCTACCAGGTTTCCCTATCCGACCGACGATTGATGGAGGAGGCTGTTCGGACGATCAAAAAGAGGGCGGGTATACCCGACCACATGACCTTTGAAACCCGTGTGCGGAAGCCTCCAACCACCTTCACGCAAGACTACTCTAGACTGTCTTCCGTCTTGGCGGACTATACGAGAAATATATCTTTGACCTACCCAGTCCGGTTCCAGCTGGAGCGTCTGGCGCTGAACGGCATCCTGTCACCTTCAACAATCCAAATCCTAATACCAGGCTTAGCCAGCCTTGTTGCCGTTTACAAAACAAACCAAGTCGCCACTGCTTTAGGAAGACTAGTACATGAAGTTGAGTTTCCGGGTCCACGAGCAGAAACCAAGAATTTCAGGCCCGATGAACTGTTAAAGCGCCTTCGTCATCATACTGAAGCTGCATACAAAGAGCAAGACGAATCAATATACAAGCGCGTAGAGGAGCGTGAGCATCTGGCCCTCGTCCACAAAGTTTTGATCACTCCATGCGGCCTGTTACTCACTGGCCCCGACCCTGAGGTAACGAACAGAGTTTTGCGCAAGTACGCAAAGTATCACGACTATTTCCTTCGAGTTACCTTTGGTGACGAAGATGCCACGCCTGTTCATTTCGACGCACGTGCAAACCAAGAGAGAATCTACCATGGTCGCTTCAAGCAGATCCTTGACAAAGGGGTGAACATTGCCGGTCGAACATTCAAATTCCTCGGGTTCTCGCATTCGTCTCTAAGAAGCCAGTCCTGCTGGTTCATGGCACCGTTCACGCTCGACGGTGGATTGGTGTTTTCTCCAGACGTGATCAGAGGCCTCGGAAACTTCACGACCTTTCGTTCTCCTGCGAAATGTGCTGCCCGGATTGGTCAAGCATTCTCTGATACCTTGACATCCGTCTCTCTCCCTGACGGAGCATGGTTTGAGACTAAGGATGTGGAGAGAAACGGCCGCGTGTTCAGTGATGGTAAGTTCTCTCCTTTTGCACGCTGATACGATTCCTCACTGCCTGAATTTCTTCAACATATCCTAAAAGTGTGCAAAATACTGACCAAATATCTCAGGCTGTGGAACGATCTCTATGAAACTTCTTAGGCAGGTGTGGCTTGAGTATGGCGTCGGAAAATCGTTGAAGCCAACAATACTTCAAATTCGAATGGCTGGCGTAAAGGGAGTAGTCTCGCTAGACTCTCGTCTCGATGGCTATCAGATTTGCACACGGCCATCAATGGAGAAGTTTCATGAGGCAACCTCTCATGACATCGAACTTTGCGGCGGGTCGTTCTCACCCTTGCCGCTACACCTAAACCGTCAGTTTATCAAGATTCTGGAAGACCTTCAAGTGCCAGCCAAAGCGTTCTTAGAGCTTCAAGAGCAAGTAGTCCGCCAGCTTCGACAAGTCACACTCCACACCTTGAACGCATCTGTTTTCCTCGAGTGGGCCCACATAGGACAAGCAGCGAAGACAGCGAGCCTGCTTAAAAGGATGCACACCATCGGACTTGAATTTCAGCAGGATAAGTTCCTCACCGACACCATAGAAATTGCAGTGCTTTCCAGACTCCGAGAAATCAAGCATCGCTCCCGTATTCCGGTAGAAAACGGCTATACGCTTTACGGAATCATGGACGAGACTGGATATCTGAAGAAGGGCCAAGTCTATGTTGCAACGGAAAAGATGAAAGATGGGAAGCGACAACGTTCGGTGTTAGTACGAGAGCGAGTGGTGATCACTCGAGCACCGGCACTCCACCCAGGCGACATCCAGTTGGTCGAGGCTGTTGACGTGCCATCGAACTCACCGTTGAAGAACATCTACAACTGTGTCATGTTCAGCCAGTGGGGAGATCGAGATCTGCCGAGCCAACTCAGCGGCGGAGATCTTGATGGAGATCTCTATCAAGTCATCTATGAACCTCGACTGATACCAAAAGTGACCAAGGAGCCGGCTGACTACCCTCGTCAGGAGCCGGTAGACATCGGACGTCCGGTTGAGCCGAAAGACATGACCGACTTCTTCATCAAATTCATGGAAACGGACCAACTGGGACGCATTTCCACCCTTCATCAGATATTGGCCGACAAACACACCACCAAAGACCTCCCAGGAACGTTCCACCCAGAGTGCATAAAACTAGCAGAAATGGCCTCCACTGCTGTTGATTTTTCCAAGACAGGCATTCCGGTAAGCGACATAACTTCTCTTTGAGTAGAGCCTGACTTTAGCAAATCGCTGACTGAACACGTTTCTAGGTCGACCTTTCCAAACTCCCCCGAGGAGACAACGGCGTCCGCCCCGACTTCATGGCCACCGGACCCCGCGTCTTCGTTGAGTCCAAAGGCGCCGTGCTCGAAGACGCCGAAGAGGACGACGACGAAGTCGACCCCGTCCGCGCACTCGACCCGGACCAGCGCAAATTCCGCTACTACGAGAGCGACAACGTCCTCGGCCGGCTCTACCGCGCCATCGACGAAGCAAAGTTCTTCGAGCAGATGCAGAAGGACTCAAGGACTGCGAAGGCCAAGGATCCGAGAAATAGCTTGATGGAAAAATTGTTGCAGCATGTCAAGCGCGAGACGGTGGGATTGCAGTATCTGCAGTATATGGATTTGGCGAGGACGTTGAGAGAGGAGTGAGTCTTCCTTTCCTCTTCAAAACTTCAAAACGCAGTGGGAGAAGAATGCATCTAACGCCAGCAGGTACGAATCCAACCTCGTCAGCATAATGGCACAATACTCCACCCACCCGGCACATCCCCTCAATGAACTTGAAGTCTTCTCCGGATCTATCCTAGGCAAATCCCTCGGTGCGCAGAATAAGCAGACCCGCGAGCACGCGAAGGATATGGTTGAGCGCTTCAACCGCGACGTCACCGCCGCTATCAAGGTGATTGTGCAAGGAGATGAGGAGGACGAAGAAGACGATGACGTGAAGAGGGAGGAGGCGCTCCCGCGTGCGCTGGCGTGCTTGGAGAATTCGCTGAGGGAGGTGGGGAGTTGGCCAAGGAAGGGGCTGGTGAGTTGGCGGTATGTGGTTGCGGCGGTTTGTTTGGAGGAGCTAGAGAGGGCGAGGTTGAGGAGCGGTTTGAGGGGGCCGGTGAGGCTTTATGCATGAGCGTGAGGACGACGTGCTGCTGAAAAGTGCTGAGAGGAATCGGAAGGCTATAGCCATGGGAAGGCATACATCACGAAACGGGGTGAAATAGTCTCCGAGCTGGTCTCTTTCAAGGGCATTGGGCGCTATGTTATGGATGCTATGGGAGATGCCCTTGGGCTCTTAGGTGTGGCTAAGCACATGAATGGAAGCTGAGAATGATTATTGAGACTCGTGCAAGCTGCTTTGCTATTGTCTGTGGCATCCAAGAGAAATTGGCGAAGATAAAGTGTCAGCGGATCAGTGGTTCAGTCACGTACTGCTTACGACTGCCAGGGGTGCTCCAGTACGACATGAGGAATGGAGACAGGATATTATGCTCTCAAGCATGTGAATTGAACTTAAAGATCAGGCCTTAGGGAGACGCGTTTGCCACGGTAAGACTATGGTGTCGTGGGGGTGGGCTGCGGGACTCGCCGTGGAGCTTTGTTCTCTAAGTGGTGCTATGGAAGGACTAATACTACCCTTGTACTTGTAGTCGCATAGTAGAACTGCTAAGCCCAATAAGGAGCATTATGCGTAAATACAGTGCCGCTTTAACGAGCCACACCTAACATCCTGCTGAATTTGAGAATTCCAAGCTGTCCGCCGTGTGCTCAAGGCGGTCTAAGAAGCGCTTGAGGTTGTATTGCTCCGTACTGAGATATGAGTGTATCCAGCAAACCAATACTGCTGAAACCCAGAGATTCTCTTTCCGATCGCTGAAATCCAGATGGGGCACACATTTGACGGGTCCCTTGTCCCTACTCTGGACCAGAAGGGTGCGTCAAGAAGGCGGACTGGGCCTGCAAGGTCGCCGATATGGCAATCCAGATGCCTGATACCAGGAAGAGAAGAGCAAAATCAGGACAGGATACTTTGTATAGGCTTGGCGTCATGCAGAGAAGAGGCTGTGCTGTTCAGGGATTGGTGTTGGTGGATGATGACAGCAGCCCGTCCAATGCTATCGACTTTAGCGCAAAATGCACCAACAGCCTCGACAAAGCCCAGGAGCCCCTCCAGGCCTCTGCGCCCGCTGCTTCGTCAATGACCGCGACATCGACACGAAGCCAGGTAAGCAGCGACTCGCGGTCTCCGCAGGGTCTACCCAAAGGCTGTCAACAACCTGGCCATCGCCGTTGAAATTGGCGGGCTCTAGTGTATCAAATAGCGCAACCGGAATCGTCTCCCTCTTGTCCATCACCTCTTGAACTTCTACTATTCCTTGTCAGAGCCAGTTGGCCTCTTTATAACTGTGCTGTAGCCCCTCATACGGCCGTCGTTCTGCTAACGTACACTATCCCTACTCTTGTCCCACGTGGAGGACCCCTCCACGGATTAGAGAATCACCACTATACGCATTCTCTATGCCTGATTCACTGCTCTCACCTAATCAGAGGGGCCTATCCTCACCTTCCCCGGGACCAGACAGGAGAAGCGGCCTGCCTCCTCGCATTCGCCGCCGCAATCGGGTCATCTCGTCGTGTCTCGAATGCCGTCGCCGCAAGCTGAAGTGTGACAAGCTGCAACCATGCACCAACTGCACCAAGTTCGCCCGGGACTGCGTCTTTCTCGCCCCAGCCTTGGATCCCGTGGGCCAGGCCAAGCTGGCCGAGGTCAAAGAGAAAATGGGCCTGCTGGAGCGGACTCTGGAGCAGGATGTTGCACGCAGTAAAAGCGAAGCGCGAGACGAGAGCTCGCCCTCCTCGCAACTTCCAGGCCAAGATATAGTCGAAAGCGACGAAAACAGCGCTCCCGAGGACGAGAAAGACCTTAAACCCAATTCCTACGTTACCGAGGACGCAGCATACGACGATGCCGACGATGACCTGGTCGACCTGGGCATTCAGCTGGGGAAGATGCGCATCACAGATCGCATTGGAGGCTTTGTTCGACCACGCTTTCAGGAGGAGATTCAAGAAGCGTTGAAAGAAGTGCCGCCTCCTCAGCCCGGCAACCGATATCCCGTGCGGACACCAACCTCGTTCCTAGGTCCGGGGCCCGACTACGTTGCCCCGGCGTCCAGCTTCTTCTTTGCACCAGAACCACGGAGAATGTCATTAATGTCATTTCTTCCTGCAAGAAGCACAGCGGACAGGTTGCTCGTTCAGTACTGGAATGCCGTCCACGTTCTGGCAAAGTGCTTGCATCGTCCCAGCTTTGAGAGACAGTATGCTACCTTCTGGAGTGACATAGCAAGCGGCGTGGAGCCAACGGCCTCCTTTCAGGCTGTCGTGCTCGCAATGCTCATGTCTGCAGCCATCAGCTTACCAGATGAGACTGTACTTACTGAGTACGCCGTCGCAAAGGCCGATCTAGTCGAGAACTTCCGTCAGGGCTGTGAGACGAGCCTCGCTCGCGCCAACTTCCTCCGAACCTCTAAGCTCGAGACTTTACAAGCTTTCGTCATGTACTTGGTGAGTAACCCCTCATAGTGGCGTCTGGGACGTCTTGGTTGGGTTCTAATCCCGGCTAGATACCGCTCTGTCGAAGTGAGATTTCGCGTGCTCATTCAGCTCTCACCGGCACTATAATACGATTAGCTGAATGTATGTCCCTGCATAGAGATCCCTCGAATTACGATGTATCAGCAGTCGAAATGCAAGTACGTCGGACACTGTGGTATCAAGTGTGTTTCCTTGACATGCGGACGTGCGAAGCCACTGGCCCTAGGCCTCAGATCCGTAGGGACGACTTCGACACCAAGTTTCCCCTGAACGTCGATGATGCCGATCTGGAGTTGCCCAACCCACCAACAGAGGACGCAAGCCGTTTTACCGACATGACTATTACGCGCATACGCTTCGAATGCAACGAAATGCACCGCCTGACCTGGAACGAACGGCCTCGCATCGAGCGAAAGAAGACAACCTTCACCTCCCTCCTCGGCAAGGTCCAGAGCTTCGGCAAGGCGATGGAGACGAAGTACCTCCCAATCCTCGATTCCCGGGTCCCACTCCAATACATGGCGATGCAGATCTACACCGTTCTCTTCAACCGCATGCACGTCCAGATCCTCCACAAATACGCCTCCAACCAAGACCGCCTCATGCCCGAGCGCCTGCGCCAAATCATGATGGGCTCCTGCATCATCATCCTCGAGCATGCCATGGCCATCGAAACCATCCCCCACGTGCGCCTCTGGGCCTGGTACGCCGGCGCCTTCCAGCAGTACCACTCGGCCATCCTGCTCCTGTCCGAGTACTACGCCAAGCCGCGCGACGACTTCGCCCTCGAAGCCCGCGTCTGGCGCGCCCTCGACTTCGCCTTCGAGCTACCCCCGGACCTCGAGGGCGGCGAGAAATCCCGCATGATCCTCCACGAGCTCAGCGACCGCCTTGGCGTCTACCAGTCCCACCGCCGCATCCGCCCGCCCAAGAGCATGGCCGAGGCCCCCGGCCCGCGCATCCATGCACACGAGTTCAAGCGCCAGGAGGCGCGCCGCTCGAAGGAGCGCGGCGAGAGCCTGACACCGGCGATCGACTTCAGTGGCCCTGGCGGTATCCTGCCTAGCACCGAGCCCCTGGATTACAGCTTCACCTACCCCCGCATGCCCGACGACATTATGCGTGAACCCACCTATCAGCTTCCCGGGATGGTGAGCCCTATGCACGGCAGCGACTCCTCGCCCTCTATGAGCAACGCCGCGAACCCCAACGTCGGCGGGGCTGGGAGCATCAACAACAACAACAACAGCCCGGGCAATGCGGATAACATGCTAGATATCGATTGGGTGCGTACTCGTTCCCATTCCCATCCCCATCGCCCTCTTCCCCCTCACCACCCCAGCCCATCTTGTCGATTCCCCCCCGGCCGCCACAGCCGCTGTACGACCACGACGGCGAGGGGAATTGGGTTGAGTCTGAGCCCCGTGTTGAATATTTTCGAGCGTGTAGAGTACAAGCTGACAATGTGTAAACAGAATGAGTGGGAGCGCCTCTTCCCCAGCGACATGAACGCCGGCGGCAGCGCGGGCGATATCATGATCCCGCCGTTCAGCTTCCCGCATTTCAGCCCGAGCGAGTTGGAGGAAGGGTGGGCGGCGGGGATGGGCAAGGATCCGCTGGTGGAGTGGGCGGGCGTTGGTGTGCAAGGGGAGAGTCTGAAGTGAGGGGGGTTTGGGGCTGGGTTGGAGTGAAGCGTTATGAGGTCGACGACATGCATATGTGGAATGGGTGGGGGGGAGTTGAGAGCGTTTAGCGGTGATGCGGGGGATTATGGTATGGGGTGGTATTTGTGGCTTTGATTTGCGGCATCGCTAGAAAAGGAGCTGGCCGCCTTGTCTCTATTGTACATGATATTCCAACACTTTGATTACGTTTTCTTGGCCGTACCTTGGGTTTGAAATTTGGAAAGGGGGATGGTATCATATGTATTTGCCCTCTGGGTCAACCTTGTCGAACAATTCCATCGTTTTCTCGTACCTGGAGTACTATTAGCGCATAAACAAAGAGAGGGGAGGGGAGAGCTTGCATCGTAAACACGATCCCGCCACTCAGTATCAGTCTCCCTAACCTAGGCACAGCGCCAGACCAGAACGTCAGAAGGCCCTCTTCTCTGAAAATCTTGGCGGCGCAGCTGAAGCTGTTCTTGTACAGCGAGCGGGCTTCTATCGATTGCATGCTACTCGTAATTAGTGCCATTACATACCGCGACCCCAGTCTCTCATGATTTAGAATCTCTTACCGTGTCTTAACAGTGTCGAGTGGCATAGTGGCATACACCGTGATCACGCCCGCCATACCGCCAATTCCAAAGGTGCTGATCACCCCCAGCTTCTCTCCTGGCTGGACATATGATTGCGCGAGTTGCTTCAGAGCTGTGTAGCTGGAGAAGCGCACCGCGGAGTTTGCAGCTTGTCGCGCGGTGGTGGGGAGGAAGCCTTGGAAGAAGCCGCGAATGCCCTTCTCTTGTGCTATTATCCGCGTGCCGTGGAGGAAGCCGCGCATCCGGGGCTTGGCTGCTTTGCGGTCGTCGATTCTACGCGGGAATTGGGTGATTAGCATGACAGATTCTGAAATCTGGACGGGCAAGCTTTCAGGCACATTCCTGAGAGCTTATAATTCACCAGGGCCCCTCAGACAGTGGTACCTGGCAGGCAAGGCCGCATTCGAGTAGTGGCGATTGTGTGTACAAGAGTCATGACCCAGCAAAGTATGATTTGCAGGTTCTACTCACAGTTGTGTCTTTATGCTCTCAAAAGGTGTCACGGCGAGCAGGGACTCGGTAACTCCGGCGCCAAATCCTGCTACTACGTTCGCGGGTCCGGATACCTTGCCATCAGCGTCGGCGAGTAGCGCCTTGTAAGTGTCGAAAGCTACGAAGCCTACGAACGCAGGTTAGCCTGTCCTGCCAACTTCTGAAGAGGGAGCGTCACTCACGTATTCCCGCCTTCAGCGAGTTCCCGATTATCAGCGTCGTGCAGCCTGCGTACCATTGTTTGCCGAACGGTGGCCAAGGGAGCTTCTTGCTGTTTGGTAAACGCTGGTTCAGTTGTGTCCGAGTCTTTGCGACTGCGTGGTGGGTCAGGGGATTTGTTTAGGTGGATGCGGAGAAGTTTGGGGTGAACTTAGGTACATTCGGCGGGATATGTGATTGCTAGAGGAGAGTTAGGAGGGTTTCTTTGAAGGTTTGGAGTATTGAACTTACATATTTCTACGGCTCCGGCTGTTGCGCCAGCGATAATGGACCGCATCATGCTGGGCTATTAGACGTGTTAGAGGATGTTAGCGACAGGCTTCGGGCATGATACCTTCTTCTTCTTCTCCCCAGTAGTAGTAGCCATCTCGGCAGAGGCCTCTGGCAACGATTGAAGGTTTAGTATGTAGCAAGAAGATTTCAATGTGTCATGAAGCTATCCAGCGGGATCGTGGGGTATGTTTTCGAGAAAAGAGGTCGCGATGACGCATCCGAGGCACAATGACCAAATCTGTATTTCGAGGTTTCTTCTCTATTAATATTTCTGGAATGATTTAACGGTTTTTTCGAGGGTGTATAGAGGCACTCAATTGATGTTTAAGGACCGGAGGCGGTATGGATGTCGTCGAAATGGAATTGTGACGAGTGGCACGTGTTGCAGCTTGGCACTAGGAAAAGCTTCGGCGCTCAGATCATCGTCAACTTCTCCTTCAACATCCATACATTCCCCTTCTACTTTTTCACTCGTGCCTCTATACCCAGCATGCTTTCTCTACGGAATCTCGCCCGCGCGGCGCCGCGATCAGTTGCCCGTCTGTCCACCAAAACTGCCCGCCCACAGTTCTCCCTTCTCCGCACAACCTCCGTCTGCCAACCGTCGTGGACACAAAGTGCATCGAGACTCGGGGCCTCATTCCACACTTCTTCGATAAGGAGACAGGAAATTGGTATGCTACGCTGCCTCAGGATACCTATCAATGCTAATAGTATCACAGACAATGCCGAACTCGTCGCGAAGCTGCAGTCGGAAATTTCCATTGAGGAGGAGACACGAACCGATGAGCAGTACTCCAGCAATGTCATCAATGACTATCTTGAGAACAGCCCATTCACCGTATGCCCATCCCATGTCACTGCAAGACGAGCGAATAACTAAATTTTGGGATAGCTCGAAGAGACAGCAGGACAGGAGGAGGTTGTTCTTTCCCGGCAGATAGGCGATGAGACGTATGCCTGCCAATCATATATCTTCGGATTACTCTAACAATACGCAGCATCCGCGTTGCCTTCACCACCGCCGATCTTACCAACGAAAACCAAGAGCGAGAAATGGACGACCAGGCCATGTACGACGAGGAAGAGGGCGTTGAGGATATCATCGGACAGCAGTCAGGAGGAGCTAACAGCAAGGGTGCTGCGAACCAGGGCCGAACTGCCAACGGAAATGTGAAGGTCGCCCCCGAGGACAGCGTTTCTCCCGCAGACAGGCCCGAGCTGGACGATGAGGTGATTGACGAGGATGAGCCTCGCGACCAGAGCTTCGCTGCCCGCGCGAATATCCGTATCGAGCGCCCAGGAAGGGGTGCGCTCGCCATCGAAGCTGTTGCCCAGGACGGCGACTTCGTGATTGAGAACATCTTCTACTTCCCCGAAGCCGATCTGGCCGACCCGAAGACCGCAGAGAAGGACTGGGAGAGGCGCAACCTGTACACCGGTCCTCCATTTGGGAACCTTGATGAGGACCTGCAGATTCTGCTCGAGAAGTACCTCGAGGAGCGCGGCATCAACACTCGCATGGCTCTGTTCATCCCAGACTACATAGACTACAAGGAGCAGAAGGAGTACCTCAGGTGGTTGGGCAGTAAGTCGCATCATGCCATATCGACGCTTCAGTGCGAGATGCTAACACTTTTACACAGATGTCAAGAACTTCGTCGATGCTTAGATGCTAGCTAGCTAAGAATTCGTAGTCGGGAGTAATTCTCCTTCTCTGTATTATTTGTAACTACTCCAGATGTTTCTACGGAGGCTTGACTTCTGGGGCGTAATGCGGCCGTGTACATCAGTTGTGAGATGGGTTGGCTCGAGGGGCGTGTGTCGTTGCTTGAAGTCTTGAGGAGGCGAGAATGTGGTATCCATGACCATAGATTCTCCAAAATACTCGCAAAAGCGCAGTTCCACTCTTCTCATCTCACCGCCCTCGATTATTATGTGACCCCTGCTGTCTTCGCAGCACTGATAGTGCAATCACAGCGCTCGCGGGATGCCTTACAATCCTAGGCGCAGTGCCCTTTTCGTCCCTTCCTTCCTACCGTTTTCGAAATCCAACGACCCGAGCAGTGTGCTGGGCGCGTTGGGCTCTGTTATTGACCGGAATGTGGCCACATTGTTGCTCAAGATTGACCCTTGGGTGGATAACTGGACTCGTGTCTGGTACCCTTCTTCTCTAGCCTAACGAACTTCATCGTGTTCAAGCCCACCCACTGCCCCTCCCAATCCTTCAGAAGCTTGACATTGGCGGCGTCCTCCAGGTCTGGCATCCAGAATCCCGAATCGTACTCGCGCATCTCCAGTTTCTGCCTCTCCTTCAATTGCACCTCTCTATTACTTGATGGGCGCCCCGGACGACGCTCAGCCTGCAGTGTCGCTAATTCGTCGTCATCTCGGCGCAAGAATTTCTCGATGATAGCATGGATTTCTGCGTATGAAAGGGTCGTCTTGTCGCCAACTTCAGTTTTGATAAAGTTGATTCTGTCCACTAGAGAATTTTAGTTGGTATCGTTTATAGAAGAGGCAATCGCTCCAGAATACGCACCATACGGCCGGTTCTGCTTGTTTCTCAAGGATGTGAGTCTGATAATCTTGTCATCACGGGCACTTGCTCGCTGCAGTCGCTGGGTGTCGCGGCTGTGCTCATGAAGCACGGTGTTGCGACCCTTCTTCTTCGCGATCTGTTTCTGCACCTTTTGAAGGCCTTTTCCAGGCATTGTGGTCGTGAGGTGTCGAGTCTAGTGAATGTTCCGCTCAAAAAAATATTAGCGGGGAAAACCGAGAAATGTGGCCGAGCACGAGGCTGGCCTTGGCACCGGGGATCGCGTCGAGCGCGTCGAACCCAGGCATCTCCAACATCCTCCGCATGTCCCACAAAGTTTCTCCAACACTGCTCTTCCTTTTCTTTCCCTTTTGCTCTCGTACACCTTACTAGAGCTCTTCGTGCGTGATGAAGCTGTAGCATCTAGAATCCGCCGGTGTTTGAGGCCTTCACCTCCCTTTAGCTGTCAACATGGGCATTTCCGGTACTTATATTCCCCAAAGCGTAGGGTTTCCACTGATGGATTGTAGGCCTCCTCCCCCTTCTCAAATCAATCCACAAACCTTGCAACCTCAAGAAGTTTTCGGGCCAGACAATCGGAGTCGATGCCTATGGATGGCTCCACAGAGGGACTGTTGCTTGCGCAATAGATCTAGCGCTCGGCAAGCCCACGACTAAGTACGCATACACATACACACGTCTCGGTCTAACCAGTTACTCATATTTTACCAGATATGTCGAGTTCGCCATGAGTCGCGTGCGAATGCTCGTCCATTTTGGCATTATACCGTATATTGTCTTCGACGGGGATTATCTCCCAAGCAAGTCGGGAACGGAGAAAGAGCGCGCAGCCCGGCGAAAGGAGAGCAAACGAGCCGGCTTGGAACTTCTCAAACTGGGCAAAACATCCCAAGCACATCTGGAGCTGCAGAAGGCCGTTGATGTCACCCCGGAAATGGCGCGCATGTTCATCGAGGAACTGAAGCGCCATAACATCCAGTATGTTGTCGCACCATACGAAGCCGACTCCCAACTCGTCTACCTGGAACGAAAAGATCTCATCCAAGGAATTCTGTCTGAAGACTCCGACCTCCTGGTGTTCGGTGCCAAGTGTTTGTTGACGAAACTGGACCAGTACGGGGATTGTGTCATGATCAACCGCAATGATTTCACCGCATGTAGAGAAGTCAGTTTTGTTGGCTGGACGGATAAAGAGTTCAGGTGCATGGCAATCCTCAGTGGCTGTGACTATCTTAGCAATATCGACAAGATGGGCCTGAAGACAGCATATCGGCTTCTCCGAAAGTACAAGACCATCGATCGTCTTATTCGCGCTATCCAGTTCGATGGTAAATTCAAGGTTCCAGCGGACTATCTGGACTCATTTACCCAAGCGGAAAACACTTTCTTGTATCAATGGGTGTTCTGCCCCCTCTTGAAGCAGGTCGTCAATTTCATGGACCCCGAACCAGGCGTCCAGATCGAAGACTTACCATATATCGGACGACATGTACCACCAAACCTTGCTCGTGGAGTCTCATCAGGCGACCTCAACCCTCATACCAAAAAGCCAATCGTCGTAGAGGCTGGCGTTCGGACACCGTTCATACCCCTTGTGCCATCCTCGCGAAAGCAGAGCACGGTGCAAACCCCGGACCTCAAAGGTTCCAAACCGATTGACACGTTCTTCAAACCAAAGCGAACACCACTTGCGGAACTAGACATAAACCTTTTCACACCATCTCCAAGCCAGCAGAGGCTGATTCAGCGGCCTTCAAGGCCGTGGTCTGCCTCTGCTGCACCATCGCAGCCTCTCCGTACGGCCTCATTCCCCTCCACAGCGCCACAACCATCTCGCAGAACAATCTCGGAATCTTGGACTGGAGGAGCGCCTGCGCCGCGCACCTCGAAACGCCAGAGGCTGTGCGATGATCCTACGCCTGGCGAAGCCTCTGCTCGGGTTGAGTCCGGCCGGAGTAGGTTCTTTGCTTCTGCCGAGCCTAGCCCTTCTGTCAGGCCGTCACAGGCAAAGATTAAAAGCAAGCAAGCGGGCATCGAACCATGGTCTGATGATTCGATAGAGGAAGCAATGGCCGAGCTACCTGGTTTCGATGACTTCCAACCCAAAACAAAGAAAAAGGTGCCAATCTTCACGGACGACTCGCAGACTTCTGCCAGCGGGGCTTCGCAATCCACCATAGCTTCTAAGAGTACAGGGGTTGAGTCACAGGAGACTGCAGGTGTGATCACGCCTGCGACTTCTTATGGTAGCCCGGCTGCGATTGACGATCAAAAGGAGGTATCGTCCTTCAGTGCGCATCTGTCTGCAGAGATGCAGCAACTGAAGTCCAAGTTCTCATACCAAAAGCCACCCGATACGAATGTTCCACGCGCATCGAAGATTCCTAGACCGAGGTCATCTCCGAGAAAGAGTGCTGCCCGAAACCTCTCGGCCCCGATGCCACTCTCAATGGTACAGCCCTCTAGACTGAGCCCTCGCTCACGGAAAACTTCTGGACGTTCTTCGATCAAGAATAGAAAAGGAGCTGCCAGGCCTTCTCCACAGTCATTGAAACAGGCTGAGCCATTGGTTGAAGAGCGTATCGTTGACTCGTTTGCCAAAGCCTGCACATCGGAGGAGGTCGAGGACGATTCGCTCCCGGAACTAGAGGACTCTGCGTGGTCTGCCATGGAAGCCGAAATTGTGGTCCCCAGGAGTGATCCCATAGTTTATGATGAATCTCTAGCCACCGATACTGCGCGGATGACAGGATCGGCACAACTAAAAGGCAGCGAAGACTACATCGTTCCTGACAGCGAGGCAGAGGAGAGCGATGGTTCGCCACTCCGAAAACCTTTCCTAGATCTCGGCAGATTTGCTTTCACGGCGAATTGATCCATGGTTGGGCTCTTTCACATCTTATGCATTCACGAAGCGGACTGCGGTTCACCGGCGTTTGGGGTATGTTTACTTTCTGATATTTCTGGCCTGGAAATAGGCCCGGGGGTGGGGTGGATATAGCGGTCCTAACCTGGCGGCACGGCGGGGTGAAAGAGGTAATTCCTATTCAATGACTCTAACGGGTCACAAGTTCTGCATTGTTAGCTGTCTATACCCATTTGGCCTATAGCGGCCACTATCAAGTCTACTCATATTCTTTCGTTCTGCGGCATGTGATCACTTTTCATGTGCGGACATTGTATCGCGGAAGCAAGACATACTACGTTCTATTTTTCGTCTCACCGAGCACGTATCTAGGATCAGATCAATAGCACACGAGCTCTAGGTCGATGAATATAAGCGAGTGTTACGCAATCTTTGGTGCGCATTCCGCTCCCGCATGCCAACCATATCTAACCGGACTACAGAAAGCCTCTGTTGTCAAAACATCGATTCTCACAACATCCGGGGCGCGTCTCAACCCCTGAAAATTCGGCAGGTAGTCAACACAAAGAGACCAGCCATGGACACTAAAATGGCCAACAAAGATACCTCGAACATTGCATCAGCTGACGAAAATCAGAACTGCTTCTCAAAGAGACCGTTCCAGATCAAAGAGTCTACCCTTCCTTTCTTCCTCGCCTAACAGCCTCAATCGAGTTCCATTCTGTTCTTTGTCCGCAAACTGCGCACCCTTCGTTCCGCATGCGGCCATCAAGCAACCAAGCGGTCTATTTAACGCGCAATGGCCTTGTTTCCGGCCGTCCTCCTTTTTCTGTTGTTTAGCCGTCTGCAAGATTTCTGATTTGGGAATAAGCAGACGGTCATATTCGTACGCTTTTATCACTCTTCAGTCCAGTGACCGGTCTCATCTACGTCACACACTCTCTAAACCCAAAAACCTGACCACAATACCCCTGAACCATCATGCCACCCAAGCAAAAGGGCAAAGGCGCCGCCGCCAAGAAGGGGAAGACGACGCCATCCCCCAAGACGACGTCAACCCGCAGGTCGACGACAACCTCCAAGAGGTCGACAACCTCTAAGACAACGACGCCACCCGCACCCAAAAGAAGACGCCTCACGCCTCAGCTCACCATCCCCGGCGGCGGCAAAAAGGCCATCAAGAGACACAGCGACGGCATCCGCAAAAGCTACATTACAGATGGTGCCCGCAAACGTAAAAAGACCAGGCCTTTCGGCGCTCCGCCCTCTCAGCCCGATGAGGAGGAGGATGCGCCTCCACCTCCGCCTCCAAAGAAGACGAAGGCCAAGCTGGCTGCCAAACCAACAGCCAAAGCCACAGCGAAACCACAATCCAAACCCAAACCCGCTACCAAAGCAAAACCCGCTGCTAAACCCAAAGCTACTACCAAACCCAAACCCGCCACGAAATCAAAACCCAAAGCACCCACCACCACCGCCGCCACCAACCGCGTCGCCAAACCCGCCCCCGCCCGCCGCCGCCTCACCCCCGCCGAGAAGAGCGCCGCGACGCGCCGCGCCAACGCCGCCGCCGAAGTGGCGCGCAAAGCGCAGGAGGACGCCGACGCAGCAGCCGCTCACAATGCTCTAGTGGCCGGGCGGGGAGCGCGCGCGGGACGGCGGTTCGAGAGGTTCGAAGGGACGGTTGTGCCGGCGCCGAAGCCGAAGCCGAAGACGGCGGTGGGGGCGAAGCCGAAGGCGGCTGCGGCTAAGACGAAGACGACGACGAGGCCGGCGAAGAAGGGGGAGGCGGTGCCGAAGAAGGGGGTTAAGCCGAAGAAGGATCTGGCGACGAAGGCCGCGAAGAAGGTGACGGTGTATCTAGCGGATGAGAGTGATGAGAGTGAGGGAGAGGGGGAGAGCCAGGGGTCGTCGGTGCTGTCGCGGAGGTCGGATCTGCCGAGTAGGGCGGGGAGTAATCCGAGTAATACGGGGAGGAGGATGACGAGGTGAGGCGGGGTTTGAGGAGGTGTTTTGAGGGGGCAAGGGGAGGTTCTGGTATCGAGGAGGTAGATGCAGGGTTGTACATCAAGATCTCGATGTTCCATCTCTGACGCAGTCGTTTTTCTTTTTGGTTTGGACGGGGTGTGTATCGATATTGTTCGTAGATGTATCAAGTCGTTTTTCAAAATCTTTTCATGAAGAATGAGTGGTTGTTGATAGTTCACGTGCAGGAGTTCCCCTTTTATCCCAATCAATGCCCAAGGCTCGCACGTCGATAAATTGCACCGCGCCCAAATTCTGGATTTTCGTCAAAGGATCCCAAGCAGTGATGCGTTTCTTAACAAAAGTAGTGAGAGCAGCATCATCGTTGATTTGACCTAGGACATCGAACGTTCCTCCTGTTTAGCCAAATATACACTCCCACTAAACGCGTCTCTGATTGATGGAAAGAAACAAGAACGCATTGCATGCAAAAGAAGCCGGTGAGTTCGAGGCAGTCATAGAGTCTGTGATATCTACCTGCTGTGCCCGAGCGCGGACGTCTTGGAAGTCGAGAAGGGGTTAGAATGGCGTCTTTTTGGAGAGCTCGGATGTGATGAGAAGTAATGAAATATGGACTGTGCTGCTTTATGCATGGATCCCGATCGTATTGCTTGAGAGTGAAGATGCGGGCTGGAGTCGTTCCCCGGATTCATTGAGATTTAGGTGGCACGAAGATTCGGAAACAGGCGACGAAATGAGGCGAAAGGGTAATGAGAATAGGAAAACGGAATCATCAGCTTTCATCATTGGCTTCTAGGTACCAAATGGACCGTGATGTTGTACCTGTTGTTCTGCTTTGCTTCAGCGGCGGTACAAGGACAAGTAGTAGCACTTCGACGTCCTTGCATATCACCTTCGGTACTCAGATTTGACCATACTGATACGGAGATCAGCCACCTATTTCAGAGACTTGTCAAAGCGCGATCTTGGCAAGAGCTGATTATGTCCCTTGCATTCCGAATAAAGCAGTGTCGTGTCACGCTTGTAAACCTTCTAGATTAGCAATCGTACTCTCGTACTATATTCCACGGCACGTGATGATGACTGCAGAGGTGAAAGGAAGAATCCACTCGAATTTCTTGACCATAAGCTTCTGGCCTTATCTCGCAGCACCTACGCTATTTTGGCAACGCCATATCAATTATGAGAGAAACCAAAGAGACCTATCGTGGTTTGATCAAAAACCCAAACTCCGAATACCGCCTATCGCCTGCCATACTCAGTGAGGTCTGTGTGACTAAACGCCTTGCTATAGCATTAGGAAGATGAAACATCTCCAAACTAGACACCCGCTACTTCAGGGTCAACGTCGAGATTCCAGTCGATCTCTGAGCCCTCTCCGTAGCGCTTGACCAGCCATTCATTCGTCTTCTTGAAGTGACCGCAATCGAACTAGGTCAATATGTTAGCCCAATTCGAATATTGGTAACCGTAGCATCTGGAAGGTGATGTTACTTACGAAACCTTTCGACGCGCTGAGCGGGCTGGGATGGACACTCTTGAGAATATAGTGCTTCGTTGAGTTGACCTTTGACACGCTGGCTGCCGCCGAATTGCCCCAGCAAAGGAACACCACGCCATTGCTCCTCACTCTGGACACTGTCTCGATGACTTTGGACGTCAATGCCTCCCATCCCCTCCCCTTGTGAGAGTTGGCGTCACCTCGACGCACAGTCAGGACAGTGTTGAGCAGCAGCACGCCATGGTCCGCCCAAGGGGTCAGCAAACCGGAGTTCTTGGGCGGTGGCTTGAAGTCTGGGTAGTCCTTCGTGAGGGCCTTGTACATGTTCTTCAGGGATGGAGGAGCCGGCGTAGGCGGCCGGACAGAGAAGCAGAGGCCATGAGCTTGATTGGGACCGTGGTAGGGGTCCTGACCGAGAATGACGGCCTTGACGGTGTGGAGTGGTGTGTGACGGGACCTACGTGAGATATGATCAGCAATTGAAGATGCAAAGCTAGTGGCCAAGCTAGGCTGCAGAGAGAAGAGAAATCGACGAAGAAGTGGAAGTCGTACCAGCTATACACGTCTTTCATGGGAGGATATACGGTTCCACTCGCAACCTCCTTCTTCAAGAAACGCTTCAGGTCCAGGAAGTCATCCTTGACAATCTCATCCTTCAGCTGAGCAAGCCAGCTCTCATCGAGCGTGTCAATCTCCAGCTTCAACAGCTCCTTCTGCTCATCGGTGAGTTTCTCAACCCATGCAGCTTTGTTGAACTTGGGTGGAGCAGCGGCAGCCTTCGTTGGGTTGGGCTTGGGCGCGCCGAAGAAAGACGTGATGCTCCCCTGGCCAGCGGTCTTTGCCTTCTTCGCGTCGGTGGCGAGTTCTGCTGCCTTGCGCTTGAGGGACATGATGGCAGAGTAGGGGGAAGTTCCAATTGGAATGGGGGGATGGTTGGGGAAAGAGGAGACGCGGGCGGCGACGCGCTTTAAACGTGGTCGGGGATTAAGTGCCGGCCCGTGCTGTTTCTAGGCGGCAGCCCCAGCTTTCGGCCCCCACTCGCGTGAACGTCGCGAAGAAACGTGCTGACGCGCCATGCCGGTTACGTCACAGTCGCTGGAAATGGAGAATAGCACGGACGGTAAACAGGCGACAGGCAGGCGGCATGGGCGTTTGTTTGCTGGCGAAAGCTATGAACCCCGATGACCTCAGAGGTGAGAGTGCAAGTACATAAGACCTCACTACAGCGCAGTGTGTCCTCGTTCTATTCAACCACAACCCAATATCAAACTCTACATTACACTGCAAAACTCCTCCGAACCAATTAAGATGACTGAAAACACGAACCCGGCCAACTTTGCGAACCGCCCGACCGAGGAGGTCCGCGAGATTGCTGCTATGGGTGGTCGGGCCAGCCATGGCGGAAAGGGCACCGACACTGAAGTGAGTGAACACTATCAACCTGCGTGGTCCTTCATGCGACTGTGTAGATGCTGACCTGCGTGAAAAGTCGCACCCAGACCGCAACCCCGATGGAACCTTCACCAAGGGTAGCGAGCTTGCCAAAGAACTCGGAGCCCAAGGCGGCCACCTCAGCCATGTCAACGATGGTGCTACTCACCCCGATCGCAATGCCGATGGCACCTTCGCCAAGGGCAGCGAGGCTGCTGGAGAGGCTGGCATCAAGGGTCGACACGCAGCCCACCATGCAGTAAGTATAGAAAAAACCCATACAAGAATCTGTTCCTGATAAGAGGTAGACTGAGCATCCCGACCGCAACCCCGATGGAACCTTCACCAAGGGAAGCGAAGCCGCACGAGAGGCTGGCATCAAGGGAGGCCATGCGGCCCACGAATATCATGCAGTAAGTGTGATGGTCCCATGACTTGAATATGCTGTTGACTAGAAGCAGACTGAGCATGCCGACCGCAACCCCGACGGAACCTTCACCAAGGGCTCTGAGGCCGCCAAGGAGGCCGGAGTCAAGGGTGGACATGCAAGCCACGGCGCGGCTGTTTGAGCTGTTGATATGGGCATCGATGAGCCGAGCTTATCATGAGATGACTGTTTCCTTTGTTTTGACGGAGATGGGACCGAGGCTAGCATGAAAAGTGATGAAACCAATGACATTCTCTCATACCTCACGGTCTCGTTACGAATTGAAATAACAAATGATGCAATGTGATGCAGCTCTCGATGGATACAAAGAAGATATGAACTGTGTGGCATAGGACGAGGAAGGTGGTGGACGAATCAGTGATGGGAGTGAGACTACGAAGAGGTGGGCACGTCTATCGGTTCCAAGATGGGTAGGTCTGACCTTTTAGCGAGAGATATACCTTCTTACCTAGGAACCCCTTGGAGCGGCACGCAGGGCATAGAAAAGGTGGCATTCCAATTCTACGGCAAGCTGTCTCCTGTGTACACCTGTCTGCCACGAGTATAGAAGCAAATCTGAACGGCGGTTTTGAACAACTAAAACCGTTCTGCCCTGATATTGATGTCCTGGTACGTGGCAGGAGGATCCCAATCGACTCACGGAGTGCATGTGGCTGATGGTTGGGGCCATGAATCCTGTCACGTCGGAGTCTAGGCCTCCAGATGCAGCGAAGCCTTGATGCAGGGGAAGATAATGACAAGATAACGACTTGCAGGAGGATACAGACCACAAGAAGCCTCTCTCTCGATCCGTATATTCCTCCTCTTGCTTTGAAGTACTTAGACGTCGATTTCGAGACTAGGTACGTTGTTACCTTTATAGGTTGCGAGCATTTGATGGAAGATATCCCGACTATCTGAGATTGGAGAATAACTCAAAAAATGTGGACCAGTGTGGAGTGAGGGGTCCAAGACCTTATGCGCTGGAAACCACTCCCTGCTCTCAAAATCAGCCACCAACACTCCGATGCCACGATGGCGGATCCTCCGAGGCAGCGTCACGCAGGTGGGTCAGACCTGCTGTGCCGCCGGATGGCTTACAATGTCTCCGGAAATTGACCCGGAGAATGCAGCAGTGCCCAACCGGCGTGATGATGGTAATGTTTTCCATTGGGCAGCTTTACTCTTGCTTCTCGTGTCCTCTGTACTCAGCTGTCAGCGTCTTCGCAACGAGGAACGTGGAGCAGGGAGCCCGAGGATCTATGTGTCAGACAACACAGCGATCAGCGCATGTCGCTGGGCAGGGGAGAGACAAGGTCGGTGAGCGGTGGGTGAGCGGGAATCTTCATTGGGGAGGTTTGTCGTCGCATGGCGCGGCCGTAAAGTTGAGAGTTGAGATTGGCAGAAGCCCGCAACACTTCGCTGCTTGATATCTCCACGACTATTGACGGTATGAGGATGAAAGCAGCGCTGCTGGACTCGCAGCAGTCCGTTCTATCAGATGGCCCGATCAGCCAGCTCCAAAGCCGGCAGAACATGCTGAAAACTGACAGTGACAAGCAAACAGAAAATTCTGCACTTTCCAACCTTGCACTACTCCATTAACGGGGATGATCTGAGCCCAAAGCGAAGTTAAAGCCCACCACTCGGGGTCGTCAGCACGACTGCAGCTTGGGCGGCGCGTGGTGGTGATTGGGGAGGTGCCTGATGTGTGGACCAGAGCCCGCCGAGTCGGCAAAGGCGGTGGCTTCTAATCCCATCGACCAGGCCCTCGGGGACAACCACCACACTCGATCCCTTCTGCTGGGAAACCGTCACTCCCGTTGCGCACCGGCCCTCCCTCGATGCTTCTGCTGCCGTCAACATGTCTCTGAGCGTCCCCCTCCAGCATGAGTCGGATGACCCGTCGTCTGGCGAAGCCATCAGCCCGCGCTCCATTATCGAGCCCGACGTACGTCCTTGCTTTGCAGCCTCTCCCACCGCCCCGCCGCTCACCCAGCTAACTCGCCTCTACATACAGTCTGATCTGTCGGAGGGCGCCCACAGCGACTTCACGTTGGTGTCCCTGACGCACCCGGCGTGCTCAATTGCAGTTGCTTATGACCATACAGAAGCACAAAGTCGGCCAACCAGAGCATCTTTGACTACGTTCGCGAAAATGGCAGGACTTATCACAGGTACCAAGCAGGAGGTACGCCGAGTCCCCTCAACAACACCACGGGTGTTTCGTACAATGAATCTCTGCTGACAGCCTGCTAGCATACCCGTTCCCGAACGACCAGGTAAATTTTACTGCAAGCATCCACGTCCTCAGGTTGTACTGATATGGACTGGAATAGTCGGAAATTGAGCGAATGGACCTCCTGTACGAGATATTGAAGGTACTGTTCAAGGGAAAGCCCCATTTCGCCCCACTCAAACACCCAAGGAAGGTTATGGATATCGGGACGGGCAGTGGTAAATGGGCTATAGAAATGGGTGAGTGCATGGCCAAGTCCACGTTTGGGTAACAATGTTGACATTTCCAAGGCCACAAGTACCCCAACTGCGAGGTATGTAGTCAGTTGGCCCGTAAGGACTAGATTCTGATACACCACAGATCACCGGGACAGATCTCTCGCCAATACAGCCGGAGTGGTAGGCAAATCCCGTTACGCGTGGAACCATACTTGCTTCTAACTACTCCAGCAGGGTCCCAAATAATGTCAAATTTGTCATCGACGACGCAAACGAGGACGATTGGATGGTCGAACCAGATTCCCACGATTATATCCACACCCGGGTGCTGCTAGGCTGCTTTCAGGACTTCAGGGAGATCATCGCAAAAGCATACAAATACTTGAAGCCCGGCGGGTGGATGGAGTCGCAGGAGTACATGTCGACCGTTTATTGCGACGATGGCACCATGCGTACCGACAACAAGTTCGCCGAGTGGACAAAAACTCAAGACCAAGCAGCGATGTCGATAGGTCGGCCTCTCCGCATTGCGAACAAATTGAAGCGGTGGTACGAGCAAGCGGGATTCGTAGACGTGCACGAAGAAATCTTCAAGCTCCCTGTGAACTCGTGGCCAAAAGACCCGCAGTTCAAGATGCTTGGCCGGTTCAATGAAACGCAAATATATGATGGTCTACAAGCCTTCAGTTTGCAGATGTTCCAAAAGGGCTTAGGATGGACCAAGGACGAAATCGAGGTTTACCTCGTCCAAGTCAGAAAATCGCTCTCAGATCGGACCACCCATGCGTATCATAGAATGTAGGCTTTTCCCCCGCCGTGCTTGTGGGCTTCTTTGCTAATACATCTTCTAGTTACGTCGTATGGGGTCGCAAGCCGACAGAAGAAGAGCTCGCTCAACGGTGACCCCAATCATCTTTCTAGCATCAAGCATTCATCTAGCCACGACTCTAACGAATTTCTTCTATTTATTCTCCAGCATTTCAGCGGCGTAAAAATTGGATACATGGGCGGTATTCGAGGTTTACTCGAAGTGCCGTTGCAAGAAACCTCTCTGGCGTGGGCGCAACGCAGCTATCGTGCTAATACCAACTCGCATTAGGCAGGCCTCAATGCGCCTGACGGCCTGAGCAAACATCGGAGGATCTTGCCAGTCATACGAAGGATGGAATAGTAGCGTTATAAGGGCCGATGCGGACAATTTGGGGCGTGGTGGAAATGCTGGGCTTCTCTTGCCGTGGTAGGGGTTTTCGACACTCCCGCATAGGTTTATGGCCTAGATCTATGGAATGTAAAACCTACCTCCGTAGTCAGAGCAGTATCAATAACAATCTCCAAAAAGTCATTCGTATTGCCAATGTCATGTTGGTACTAAGATGCAACTGATTTGAGTTTGATCTTGGATAGAATCCCAGAAGTGCTGGCAGGCGCCAGGAACTCGGGGTCTGATGGATCTAGGCCTTCATATCGCATTTCGTATACGCATGCAGAGTTTCGTGAACAGGGAGGGGGGGTCTCAACTGACAAATTCCGGGATTGTCTTTCTCCTTGGTTCACGACAAACGAACACCTGCCAGAGTCATGTGACGAGCATCCAAATCAAGTACCTCCTCGGGGAAGCTCACTTGTCTCTTATTGGCCAATGAAACCTCACGATAAGGTTATCCCACGCTTGCGGGAGCGCGGCCAGAAGCACTGACTCCAGGGAGGCCCTATTCAGCCACAGCGCGCTTCAGGTTACATGACACCTGCTCCATCCGACGCCTGACAACGAAAAAGCTTCGTTCCTGCTCGACGAAACGTGCAATACGGTGTCAAGACGAAACAACACTCTTTGCAACAGACGCAGCTACTAATAGCATGTTTGCCAAACGCGCAGTGTAACGACGACAGCGAAGAACGACGTAGAGCTGACAAGTGGCCGCCAGGAGATCTACACGTCGACAATAGCGCGTGCGAGGACTCTGTCACCGCAGAATGGCAGGAAATTGTTTGAAAGAGCCCGCGGAGAAGACGCAACTGTGCAGTGTGTGGCCTCGAGCGTGAGGTTGGGATGCTGATAACGCCACGAAGAGACAGCTGCACACGTTCCGAGATAAGGCCAACTGGGCGATCTCCAATTTCGACGCCCCTGGGCCAATAACGCCCCCGTTGTTTCTTTTTCCTTCAAAATTACGACCTGCTGGAAGTGCAGCCATCACCGGTCGCGAGTGCGCCAGCGTCATCTTTCCGGCCAGTGGCTTCTCTTGCCTTAGCATCTCTAGATCTCGCTCGGGACTGTTAGCCAGCCGACTTTGCATCTTCTAGGCTAGCTACGGCTCCTTATCTGGGGAGCATTTGTATTAGCATTGGTCCTTGCACGCTGCTCCCACGGCGGCGCATCTGGGCAGACGTCTTGAGGTCTAGGCTGACGGTTGGCTTCTCAGATCTGTGCATGGGTGCTGTCCGCGGATTCGTGAGATCCAAGGCCTGAGCAGAGCTCCGGAGAAGCTTCATATTCTGTCCCAGTAGACAGGTTCCCCCCCATGGTTATAAAGCGGCACAGGTCTCAGGGCTGTCGTATTCGACGCAAGGGCATCACTGCATCTACTTCAACCCGCAATTTCCTTCGTCGGCATCCTCCATCTCTCTTGTTTGACCCGTCCACTAGCATCCCCTAGGTCATACAACAATCATCAGGATGGTCAACATCGCGCTCCTCTGGAAGGCCCCGGAGGTCAATCCAGTGAACAAGAAAGCGAGATCGATACCCTTCTTCAACCCAATCAACGTCTATGGACGCGTCTTCTTCTTCGCCTGGTTCGGTTTCATGATCGCATTCTGGTCGTGGTATGGTGAGTGATGATGCTCGCTTGCATACGCTTGTCTATAAGAATCCGGGCTAATCTGGGGTGCAGCCTTCCCTCCGCTTCTGTCGGATGTGATTGCAGGGGACATCCACATGAAGCCGTACCAAGTGTCCAACTCGAATATCATCGCCTTGACAGCAACGTATGCTTAGTCCCAGTCCAAATCTCTCCTCAAAGTAAACCTGAACTAACAATCTCACAGTCTGCTTGTTCGTCTAGTCGCCGGACCGTGTTGTGACCGCTTCGGACCCCGTCTGACCTTTGCTGGATGTCTTCTTGCTGGAGCTATCCCTACCTTCCTTGCAGGAGCGGTTTACAATGTTTCCGGTCTCTATGCCCTTCGATTCTTCATTGGCATACTTGGTGGCAGCTTCGTTCCCTGCCAGGTATGGACTACTGGATTCTTCGACAAAAACATTGTTGGCTCAGCAAATGCTCTGACTGGAGGACTTGGTAACCTTGGTGGTGGCATCACCTACTTCGTCATGCCCGCTGTCTATAATGCTCTCCGGAAAGACGGTCTGACCAAGCACGTCGCCTGGAGAGTCTCGTTCGTCGTCCCGGGTATCCTGATTGTATTCATCGCCGCCATGCTAGTCCTTCTCTGCCCCGACTGCCCTACTGGCAACTGGTCAGAACGACAAACTGTCGTGGAAGCTAGCTTGCGGCAACACAGCGTCGCCGGTGTTGTCGATGTCCCAGGCCACATCTCTTCTGAGAAGAAGGAGACGGGAGCCTCGTCTCCCACTCAGTCCGACGATGAAAAGAAGCACGGGTGGGCAGATAACGAGGCTCAAATGAGTGACCAAGCCATGCTCGACACTGCCCGAGGCGACGTTATTCAGAAGCCGAGCACGAAGGAGATCATATTCGTCTGTTGCTCGCCTCAAACCCTTGTCACTGCAGCCGGATACTTCTGCTCTTTCGGTGCTGAGCTCGCCATCAACAGCATTCTCGGAAATTACTACCACAAGAACTTTCCCAAACTCAGCCTCCAGGAGACTGGCAACTGGGCTGCCATGTTCGGCTTACTCAACGGTGTAACGCGACCTCTTGGTGGATACGTCTCCGATCTTGCATACCGCCGAACGAAGAGCGTCTGGGCCAAGAAGATCCTCCTCCACACCTACGGCGTCATCACCGGCTGCTTCCTGATCGCTATTGGTGTGCTCGACTCCAAGAGCCAGGCAACTATGTTTGGTCTTGTTGCTGGTACAGCATTCTTCCTCGAGGGTGGTAACGGTTTGAACTACGGCCTTGTCCCCTTCATCCACCCATACGCCAACGGTGTCGTGTCCGGCTTTACCGGTGCGATGGGTAACTTTGGTGGTATCATATTTGCCATCATCTTCCGGTACAACGGCAAGAATTTTGGCAAGACGTTTTGGATTATTGGCATAATACATATCGCCATCAATTTGGCGGTGTCATGGATCAAGCCGATTCCTAAAGGTCAAGTTGGAGGCCGCTAAACCTCTTAGTCGGAGACTTTCTTTTCATTTGTTGTATTGCTTGCGAGGTATCATGATATAATGGTATAAGGTCTGTAGTTTAGAGCTGCCTGCTGTCTTTATTCTAGCGGCCTTTAAGATATCCAACTTGTATATGTTATCATTTTCATGTTCAATGTACTTGGAGCGCTTGTGATACCAGCCTCTACATGCTTAATATCAACAGAGTGAACCTTGAGCATCCTCGTCGCCAAATTCATACTCCACTCGTTGAGCACGTGATTGATGACAAACAAAGCATGTTTAACCGAGTGCTAAGCTTCGTGGACCTCATTGCTCAACTTTCGCTCTCGCCTCCACCAAGTACAAACTAAAGCCCAAGGTTATACAACATGTCTTTCGCGCGAGGAGAGCGATTTGAACTTAATCTTGACTCCGATGATGAGGAACAAGATGCGCCACAAGGGAATCACGAAGCTGCTGCACAACCACCGCCCATCTACGACTTCGTCGGTGATATCAAAGAGCGCGTATCAACCACAGCAAAGCCTCCAACAGCCCCAACAATAAGAAGCAGCAAAAATGGGTTCCCGACGCATAAGAAGCGAGACAGAGTCTCTGCATTCAGGCAACAAAGAGCTACAAATGCGACTGCAAATAACCAAACTGCGCCTGCAGCGTCAAGGAACTCTGAAGTACTCAGACGCGATGGCGAGCTAACACGCGAGGAAACCGAGCGGGAAAGGATAGACCGAGAGAACAACCAGCGCCTCGCTGAGATGTCACCGGAAGAAATAGAGCAAGAGCAGAAAGAGCTCTTCGAGGGCTTAAGCCCAGCACTCATCCAGAGGCTCCTCGGACGCGCCACCATCGACGATGGGCGGAACGAAAACGCCTTCGACTCAGTGCTACCCTCTACTGATCCTCCTAGATCCCCCCCAAAACCTAAAGCCGAGCCCTCCAACAGAAAAGTCACATTCGACTCCTCCGTCTCTGATATACCTCCTCCTACCGAACCCGCCGCCCCTCCATCTCCACAACTACAACCCACCACAGAACCAACCCCCGCCCCCCCAAGCATCCACTTCCCCCAATCCCCTCACCCACCCGACCTCGACCCTACCTCCTCCACCTTCCTCACAGACCTCCACGACCACTACTTCCCCTCGCTCCCGCACGATCCCTCCCGCCTCGCCTGGCTCACGCCCCTCGACCCTGCCGACACATCCTCCCCATACCATCCCTCCCAGAGCGCGCTGAACCCCTCCGATCTCCGCTTCGGCTTCAACGGCGCCCTCATCCCGCCCCGCATGGCCGCTGCTATACCGACGACAAAGGGCCTGCACCACCACGGCGACGCGCCCGAGGCGGCGGGGTACACGATCCCGGAGCTCGCGCGGCTGGCGAGGAGCAAGGTGGCTGCGCAGCGGTGTGTGGCGTTCCAGACGCTGGGGCGGGTGCTGTATAGGCTGGGGAAGGGGGAGTTTGGGGTTGAGGAGGGCGTAGTGACGGTAGATGGGCCGGTGAGGGTGGCGAGGGATCCGGGGTTGGCGGGGGATGATGAGGAGGATGAGGGTGGGGAGGGGGATAGGGCGGAGAGTGTGGGCTCGGCGATGTGTAGGGGGCTTTGGGAGTGTGTGGAGGAGGGGAGGGTGGTGGAGACGCTGGTGGATGAGTCGGAGAGGGAGGGGGGCCATTTGACGGCGAAGACGTATGCGCAGGAGGCGTTGTGGAATTGGAGGAGGGGTGGGGGGAGGAAGAGGAAGGCGGTTTGAGGGATGGTACTGGCGAAGGAGTTTACTCGAAATCGCATCTAGCAAGTGCTGCGTTGAGTGGATGAATACGTATGGGTTCTCTCAGCCCCCTTTGGTCTAATTTGGGGCTTAAGGGATCCTTGGACCTTCGCATGACTTTTCCCGTCTTCCGTAGTCTATCGGAACAAACAAGATTAGGTACACAGAGGCTTGTGCATAGGCTGGCAGAAACCGTCGATCGCAAGAAATAGCTTACCGTTTCAGCTTGGGCAAGGAAACAGACTATTCAAAAACCTTTCAACCGGGTATACCTCTCTAGAAAAGAGCTTTTAAACTTGCACTTCGATCTGATCAACTCAACTTTCAAAAGCGCCCGTCAACCCGTTACGAGAATAGCGAGGGTTTGACGATCACGTGATGCAAGGGATCGACGATGCGTCAGCCCCGGTCTTTGCTGTCGCTGCTGACTGGCGTCTTTTGCGAATTGCTAGAACCTTGGCACTTGCTTCCTCTTTAGAATTACCGAAGGGGGATGTGGAGGAATCGTACCAAAAAACCGCCTTAAAGCTCACTCACGATGACGATAACATGTCGAAAGTGCCTACCAAATGCTCCCTGGTCTAACACCCGCTTTCCACATTTTATTTGGGCTTCTTGGGAGGTTTGCATCACGATTTGTGTTCAGCACCTGGTTTTGGTGGGGAACGCTAGGGCCGCCAGTCACCTTGCTCTCGATGGCGCCTGTCAGGCCTGATCCGCAATTTCTAACAGGTAGAGTACTTGAGTAGGTTATTGTATATGAGGGTGTTATTGTAACGTACCCTGCGGGTGAGCTGCCCATGCGGGCGAGCTGCCCAGTCCGTGCACCACTAGAAATTCAATAATCTAACCTTAAATAACTCTACAACCACCTAATAAAAAGTTATACAAATTTAATATATTATTCTTATATATATAAATACTTAGTATATAGAATATAGAGTCTATCCTTATAGTAGTTAGCTAGTAATAAAGGGTAAGTGTCACGATAGCGCTACACGCAAGAGGTCGAGGGCTCAAAGAGGAGCGTTGATTAGGTGCTATGTACAATGCTACGTGGAGAATCAAGACGTTGTGTAAGGAACAGGAAGACGGGAGACGGGCCACCGGATATAAGGGCGTGGCCGAGCGCGTGGCGTACGGCCTCTATGCCGTTTCGGCGCGTGGCACGCGTGTACGCGAGGTCCTTACCAGATCAGGTGATAGGAAAAGGGGGCAGCCGGTAGGTGGCTGGAGCGGGACAGGATAGGAAGCGGAAGCGAGACGGGAGCGGAGCAGGGCAGGCAGAGCAGGAGGCCGGCCAACGGTAGTAGGCCGGTGCAGATTGCTGGAGTTGTAGCAATCTGCGGCAGAATTTCGGTAGGTAGGGTGTCGCGGTCGATACCGTGACAGTAAGGTCTAAAATAGGGGTCTAAATTTAATAATTAGTTAACTACTATAAAAATAGACTTTATATTCTATATACTAAGTATTTATATATATAAGAATAATATATTATATTTATATAACTTTTTATTAGGTGGTTGTAGAGTTATTTAAGGTTAGATTATTGAATTTCTAGTGGTGCACGGACTGGGCAGCTCGCCCGCATGGGCAGCTCACCCGCAGGGTACGTTACAATAACACCCTCATATACAATAACCTACTCAAGTACTCTAACGCTATCACGCCCTTTCGCCCTTTCACCAGCGCCTGAGGTAAAGAACATTAACCCAAATCACAGTCTGTGCATCCAACAACACGAACTTCCAAGTAGGCCTTGAGCTATTCGAAAATCACAGGATCCGAACTGAGACCGTGAATTCGGATGACGGCATCGATCTATACGGGTTCGACTATCAGCTGCCACATTGCACAGAACTCGATGACATTGAACCCGCTGACAATCTATCAAATGAACTGCCAGATGCCGGCTTCAATTGTTCGAATAGATCCCAATCCTTCGAACGTATCGAAGATGATGTTCTTCTTGCACATGATTACTACGGGCTTGACGAAGAATCCGCGTTGCTCGGCTGGGATAGCAGCCTACCTCCAATGAAGGGCGAATCAAATCAATTAACCTTTGATCTCTCTACATCATCCGATGTCCTCGACAAGTTTCTTCCATCAGAAGATAATCTACAAGTTTCCAACCGCTTCGTATCCCTAGCAGATATCGAACTTCAACCAGGGGACGACCAATCCCACACGGAATATCTTCCAACGGTCCGCTCTACTACTAGCATCCAACCCGCGTTTTTCCATGAATCGACCCTTGATAATCAACGCGTCCTTTCTAGCGATTGCGCTTTATCAAGCTCCTGCATTCGTCATCCGCATTGGCAAGGCGAGGAATCCTCCCAGGAGCAGGCTCGGGGGTTAACCATTGATGGGTCACTCTTACGTCCAACTAGCAAATCTCATTCGAGACCGCCACCTCGAGGAGCAGCCTCTCAAGGCTCGATTGGGAAGACCAACCGTAAACAGCAGCCACCAACTGCTCCGATCAAGGCCTGGTTCGAAGCCCATTCATTTCGGCCGTATCCAACCAAGGAAGAAGAACAATCCCTCATTGAGCAGACTGGCCTAAACATACAGCAAGTCAAACGATGTCTCACAAATTTGCGAGCACGTACAAAAAAGAAAGGTGCTTGAAAATTTTATAGGTCCCCTAAAAAAAGCTCCCTGCTAACTTGGTCATAGGCGTGGTCATCGCTCATTGCTCGTCGCCCTCTGAAATCCAGTATGAATACACGGCGAATGACAACCATCTTTGCAGGGATTTGCTCACGAGTCGAACGACATCGACAGGAGAATGGCTCGGCATGCCCGTCTCTCCAGCTGAATCGCAAAGTTCGCCGAGTGGCAACTCACTGACCACAAACACCTCATCTCCTAGAGTTTTGGAAGAGGGCTTGAGTGGTAGCCTGCCCATCTCCTCATTTCCACATCGTGGTGATTCTCCAAGAAATTTTCCGGCGTCTCCTCCAGGTCTACCGCAATTTCAATCTTTGAACATGGGAGCCCTGCGCAGTGTGCCTGGGAGAAAAGGGAAAAAGCCACTCATACCTCTACCCGTTATGTTTGCTGGGGAATCAACACCAGAACCGAACACGATCTCAAATAGCCTGCCATCAGGTCTGCAGAAGCGGATTTTCCATTGCACTTTCTGTTTCAAGCATCTGAAAGATCGCTACGAATGGAAGCGCCATGAGGCTTCTGAAGTCTTTGCTACCAAATGGATATGCATGCCACAGAATACCGCCGTATCGAACGGCACGTGTGTCTTCTGCGACACGGCACCCACCTATATGCCTTATGCTTGCGCCCACAACATCGAGCCATGTTTAGCTAAGCCTCTTCACGATCGGACATTCGGGAGAAAAGACCAGCTGAAGCAGCACATCCAGCAAGTGCACTTGCCGCCTGACCAAAACCCTCGAGCTTCTCAGGTGCCGACGAGAGCAAAGAAATCGAGGGCCAGCCTCCAGATTCCGCCTTTGTGGAAGCTAGACTGCAATGCTATTGATCTCCGCCCTGGGGCCCTCTGGTGCGGATTCTGCAAGACAGACCTCGATACTTGGACACAGAGAGTGGAACACGTCTCTGCGCACTTTCAAAACGGCGCTACCATTACGGACTGGTTTCCGAAAGCTTTTTAGACCACCCTCTCAGTTGATATCCGCTGTTTTCGTTCTCGGCGCACCCACGCCCTTTATGACTTTTGCAGCGTGCAACATCCTTCTGCTTCACGTGAGTAGGATACAAACTATGATTTCCTTCTGCACTAAATGTGGCTATCAACACATATGCACCCTCCCCGCTTTTTCCAGCGCTTCTAGCAATTTCGGCCTTTACAGCGCAAACTGTTGCTATCATGTCTTTCATTAGCCCTGTCCCATCTGCTTCTCATATCCCAATGTAGCAAAATTTCCATTGCGTTCTTAGCGTTGTTAGATCTTTTTTTTTGGGGGGGGGGGAGTTCGCGGCGCTACTCATATTCGTGGTTTTCTGGCGGTATTTATATAGCCTCTACAATGAACAAGGCTAGAAAGCCATGTGTTTCATACAGTGAGCTCATGTGATGATCATAGCCTAGTATTCCCCAAATTCCTGATATAACCATCATAACGCCTAGATGGTGTCGACAAGAACATCCACGGCATGCATGTAACTTCTCATCAGTGCTGGACCCCTCATTGACATTTTTGGATGGCATCGATGTTCAAAACACGACTCGACCGCGCCAGCAAATCATATAGACCAGTAGTCTCGATACTCCACGTGAGTTTGATTAACTGGTGTTTTGCGTTACTAAGTTAGGCCCATCAGCGCCAGGTCGAAGATTGAATTAAAACGTCAAACGTTACATGTAAATCTCAAACATTTTCACAAACAGACTGATTCATTGACGTCTAGAATGTGTATTGAATTTCGAGCCACCGCCAGTCCGTGAACCAGCGATGAGTCCCGCAGGACGAGATCCAGTAGCCATGAGAAAACACCGGTATGCCATCTCCAGCACACAATCGCCCAGAGCACTTTTTCTGCTACCGCAGCACCTATTTCTTCGCCGACTCCTTCTCATCAGCCTTCGCCTGGGCGCGCTTGGCCCGCACACCCACAAGCCTGGCCTCGGAGCGCGCAGCACGCAGCGTCTTGTACGGGCTCTCGGTCTTCTCGACGGAGCCGATCTTGGCCTCGGTGAACTCGATGACGTTCTTGATGGGCAGGACCGACGCGATGGAGGAGAGGGTGTCGCCCTTCTTCGCGGCCTTGACGTCCTCGGCGGAGGCGTCACCGGTCTTGGTCTTGCCGTGGCGGCGGGGGAACAGGATGAGGCGCTTCTTGTATTCCTGGAGACGCTCGACGTTGGCCTTGAGGCTCTCCTCGGAGATGTTCTGGCGGCGGCTGTTGGGGGGGTTAGGTATGGGGTTGGTAGGGTGGAGGGACGGCTGGCACGTACGGGTCGACGGAGATACCGATGGTGGGTGCGAGCTTGCGGGGGATAGCAGCAGCCTGAGTGCGATTAGTTGATGCCGCTTTACATTATAAAGAAGTCCCATACCTTCAGCTCAGCCAAGGTGAAGCCACGACCAGCGCGCACGCGGCGGTTGTACTTGATGGTCGGGCATCGCACAACAGGGCGGAGCTTGTCGACGGGACGAGGAGCTACAGCCGCGGCTTTCGCAACACGAGCATTGCGGCGGCGCAGCTTGCGGCCTATGGACCGTCAGACTGGGGGGTTCGATATTGAAACGCAGACTCGAGGTCGCAGTTTCGCACAGGCGCCACTGCTCTCAGGATATAAGAGGGGAATTACCTGGCTGATCGAAATGGCAGCGCACACGACTGAGATTGTCAGCTTGTGGTTCTAGATGAGGAGGGGAAGTTTTTGGGGGTGGGCTCGATTTGGCCGATGAAGACGTACCGTTGCCAGTCCTTGCTGCGGAGATTGTTAGCATTCTGTGTTTCGATAGTATCAATTCAAGGACATACTGGAAGTGATTCTTCTGAATCTGCTGGTTATGCTTGATCGCCATTGTGGAGGTTGGCGCGGATTGTCGATGCTCGAAGTTCGAGAGAGCGGCGGGTTGAAATTGAAACTGTGGTGCGAGTCCGTGCGTTGTTCGGGTCGCGCGTTTACATTTCTCCGATATCAAGCTTGGCACGCTCTTCACATTGGAGGCCACGACAAGTATTCAAGAAGTTTGAGAATCGAATCTCTCATATTCAGCGCTATATACGGCCTCGAATCTACCTAGGGCTCTATCCTCCACTTTCATCACCATCGTAGATCCCATGCCCCCATTATGGTCGTCAAAATCCATAGCCTTCCACATGTCCACGTTGAAACACCAAGGGAACCCTATAAAAAGCCCTATGAAAAGTGGCGTCAGAAGATCCGGTCTCCGATGCTCCAGAGACGCCAAGATATCGAAAGTCGCTTGTGACCATATCATATCGATCACTCAAACAGACAGTTGTTCTGCTAATCCCTGAGCAAGCCTCCAATGCCCAGCCCCACTCCCTCATTCAATCGCCCCCTCTTAGTTGGACTCCCGTGCACATCGGTACCATCTAGCCTCCTCTTCTCATGCTCGTTCGGCCTGTTCACTCCGGGCTTCTTGACCTGACCGAAAATCTTGCTCTGGATCAGGCCATTTGAATATCGGTCCTGTGATGGCGGGGCTGACATCTTGGTCTTTTGCGACGGGGTGCGGCGGAGCATGTTGGTTGCCATCTGACTCGCCTGGGACTCTGGGATCTCGTCTTCTGAGACTTCGTCGTCGTCTACGCTAGACGCCGTGATGGTAGAGTTGCTGCTTTCTCGACGAGCGTGCTTTTGGGGATACTGGATCGGAGGTGCTGATTGTGGTACAGCGTTGATGGCGTTGAAGGTAGGCGGTGTGCGTGGCACAGCGAGGTGTGAGTGGTTCGCGCGTGGACGATTTGGTGTCTGCGGTAGAGACGACATTGACTGAGCCCCTCGAGTGTGGCTGAAGCGTTGCTTTGGTGGCTGGGCCCTGGTGGGAGTGGACGGCGCTGTGGCTGTCTCCTGGCTAAGCATTTTGTCTGCAAGAAGTAGTGCTTCGAATGGCTGCTCTCTGAGCGGAGGATGCGTCCTTCCCGTGTTACGATGTCGTGGAGTGCCTATGTTCGACCTAGGGGGGCTGGCATCGTTCATCTGGTCGAGGAAGGGCAGGAACGGAGCGATGTGGTCCCTATTCTTTCGGATGCGCCCTCTCAGGCGGTTGTTCTCTTCCCGCAGACTTGCTAGTTCCCCGTCCCGGTGCTCAGTGAGCCTCCGCTGGTGGTTGAGCGCAGCTTGGAGCCCATCATTCTCGTGCTGCAGCATTTGGCAATCCCTAGTCAATTCGTTCATGAGAATTGCATTCGCAGGGCTAACGGCCGTCTCATGGAAGCTCTGCGCGGGAGACATCATCGTCGTTCGCCGTCTCTCCTCGGCTTTTTGTAGAACATCGACTTCGGCCTGGGTCATGGCAAGTTCCACAGCCATTCGATTGGCCGATTCTCTACTCTCAATCCACAACATGTTATGCTGTAGCTTGTAATGTGCAGCGCTCAGTCGAGCGTCCCGTAGCGCAGTCGAAAGCTCTTCAACCATGGATCTCAGCTCCTCGGCAGACGCATTGGTGACTTGCTCGGAGGTAAATAGAACGGTTGACGGCTCTGCCACGCCGGGATTCTTGACAGTCGGTGGAGGGGACGATAGGTGGGGGGTTGGCGGGGTTGGAGTTCGAACAGGAGCGCGCGTGGGAGCAACCTGCGAGGACGGCGGCGGCGTCATTGAGGAGGTATTTGGAGGTGCTGGCGATGCGAACTTGGCCCTCTCGGGAGTGAGAGCAATTGGCATGGCTGATGGCACCGGGGAGGTAGAGGCAAGCTGGCGTTGCGGAGTAGTCGGGCGGGAGTTTGGGGAAAGCTCAGTTGTAGATATGAGCGAGGCCCGCGCGGCCTGCGAAAGTTGTGCCTGGGCGTCCATATTGTTTTGCGAGGGCTCCAATGGCGCGACTCGGTGGTCCAAGCCCCGGACACGTCAGATATACAGGCAGCTAGGAGCGAGTCGCAGCGCAGCAAATCCGCGAATTCCCCACACGAAAGCAGCGTCGAGCCAGCAGGCGGCAGCGGGGCGAGCGGGCGGGCGGGTGGTTGGCGCAAAGGTGCAGGACGAGGCCAGTGGTGGTCGCGGCGAGGTTTGCGCGATTTCAGGCGGGCGGGGATGTCGCGTCGCAGAGCGCGTTGCACCGGACGATGGGGCGAGGTTTGCGACTGCAACGGCCACGTCTGCAGGTTGGGGCTCGCGGGTCCGACGTGTTGCAAGAAGGTGGAATTGGGGAGCGAACGAGGTTGTCGTTGGCGCAGAACACACCCAAGGCCTCGAGCCGGTCGCATCCCCGCCAGATGTGGTTAAGCGTCCGAGGCCCCGTTGTATGGGCAACCAGCGGCCGACCATGAGACCTACTGCAGCTGAGGCATTCGTACGCGCTGTATGGAGGTGTCAGGTATGTCTAGCTCTTCGTGCTGCTTTCTGCAGGAGTCAATCCGCTGTATCGCGCGTGCTCTGTTGTTTCAGGAAAGCACGTGACCGAGACATTGATACGAGATACTTGGGAGGCACCGGTAGCATCGTTCCCGCTGGGTTTGTCAGACTTGGAGAACAGATATCCCGTTGATTGACTGAGAAGGAATAACAATCTTGCTTGAGGGTGTTGGATTGATGGTTGTGACATGAAGGCGTATGGAAGTCTGCCGGAGCAAACTTGTCTAAGACCCCCTACGTAGTTGCAAACTCCCTTTGACATATATCATGGTCATGTGACTGGGTTTTCCACCTCTGAATGCCGGTCAAGCATCACTGATCCGTGGTCGAGCAGGCATCAAGTAGTTCGTGGTACTCTGAGGTCACGCTTCTATTTGCAGGTCAACATGATCAACATGACCCCTTTCGGCTGCTGCGATGTTTCCCCAGCATCCGCCGCTGCACACAAATCAGCTAAAGATCGCCAATTCACCGTCTGCCCGCAAATCGGAGCACCTGCCGCTCGTTGGCCGTGTGTTTGCCGCTCAAGCCACCCACAGGTCCCCCCATACGGCTTCCCTGCTCCCGCTCGTTCAAGCCCAAGCTCCTCCCTTGAATTGAACGCGCCTTGTGTTGACTTTGATATTTCCATTCGCAGCCTGGTTACACCTCCATGCTGCTGTTACAATGGAGCCGTCGTCCTTCTCCTCGTCCACCTCCAGCCGCCCATCTGGCCTCCCTCGACCCTCAAGGCTGCCTGTGCTGAGATCCCCAGCCAGCAATTCGCAGCTCAAGCCACAGCCTAAGCCCGCACAGCCCTCCGACACTCTAAGAAAGAAACCATCCGCGTCAACCCTGTCCCGTCCAACACGCCCGGCCTCTACTTTGATATCTCAATCGAACTCTCGACCCTCTTCACAATTGACCGCAAAGAGATCCACACCCTCTTTGGCCGCGAAGAAGACTACAACCGACGATGGTGTCTTCAAAAAGCCAATTGGGAGGCCCCCATCGCGACAAAACCGACTCAACAACCCGATATTGCCTACCACAAACAACGAAACGAGAGAAAACGATAATCTTGGTTCACTAAATGGGTTTCGAGCATCCTCGCGGGCCTCTTCGCGGGCCTCCTCAAGACAGGGATTTAGGGACGGAGAACAAGGGATAAACCTCCAGGGAGACAATGGAGAGGTGGAATTGAGGCCAGCGGCCAGGAAGTCTCGACCTTCGTTGTCGGACCGGACAGTCGAGAGTCTATCCCAGCTAGATTCACCCAGGCAGAAAGGCAGGAGGAGGTCAAGTTTCTTTGCCACGGAGAGTCCAATGGGGCCTCCTGCCAGACCTGCGTCCGCCCTAGGGAATAACATGGGCCGGCCAGGAACGAGCGACGGAACCTTCGGCACAATCTCGCAGTTTGGTCCTTCTACTCCTTCGAAAGCCCCAAATTCGAATATTGGACAACCCAGAGGGTCACTGACAGCTCCAGGCAAGAGGAGTGTCAGTGCCGCCTTACCACGAAGTGTTGGGACCCCAAGTAAGCTAGGTCTTACTACGAGGCCTACATCGACCCAACCTGCTTCTCAAATCCAAAGTATCAAGTCTGCGTCAAAGGCCCGACCACTTAGCATAAGCACGACAACGGCCGCGAGAACGCTACGGCCACGCGCGAGCATCAGTGGACTATATGGACAGCCACCTTCAGGCGGGAGAACTCTCAACCCACGTGCGAGTCTCAGTGGGCTACATGATCGAGCTGGACTAACTCCAACTCCAACTACTCCATCTACACCTGTTACGCGTGGGGGTGTTTCTAGCGTCGAGCAATCTCCTGAGTTGTCGGCTCGGAAGGTTTCTCATTCGTCGGCAGCCTTAAGGGAGCAACTCTCAAAAGCTAGGGCAGCTGCTCGGCGGTCAAATGTAGGAGGAGATGTTTCGGAAATAGCTCCTGATGATACTGAAAAAATTGAGCTACCAGTTCAGCAACCGACGACACCGCTGAAGGTATCTTCCTTGTTAGCTGAGCCACGAGACCAACTTGCCAATGCCAGTACGGCTGCTCGACGGTCGAATGCAGCAGAACAAGTCTCAATAATGCCGCTAGTTAGCACTGAAAGTCCAAAAAGACCAGCTCAGCAGCCGGTAAGGCCCTTAAAAATGTCTGCTTCGTCGGCAGCACTACGGGAACAGCTCGCAAAAGCAAGAACAGCTGCTCGACGGTCGAACGCAGCAGAACACATTTTAACAATAGCCGCCGACGATGTTGAGAATATCGAGGTACCGGCCCGACAGCATACGAAACCCTTGAAGGCCCCAGCAAAGCGTCCTACGAAACCGAAGGCTATATCGCGCCCCGCTCCTGCACCGCCGTCCGATACAGACCAGAAACCAGTACACTCATCGGCTGCACTACGTGAGCAGATCGCAAAAGCGAAGGCGGCCAAACGGGCAGCAGCGGCAAAGGAGAAAAAGGAGGTATCCACACCACCACCTAAAGCTGTTACCGAAAGCGAGCATGCAATTGTACCAGACCCCGCAGAGATTGCTACGTTTGATTTCGGGCTTGACGCAGACCCTTTCAATCAGGGCCCTAAGGGCAGTGTTTCGCTGATGCGAAAGCGAGTGGACGCTGCTAGACTTGATGGGCGACTCAATATCGCCGCCATGGGCCTGAGTGAGGTACCTGAAGATGTGCTGAAGATGTACGAATTCGACGCCGATAAGTCTTATATGGCTTGGGGAGAGTTTGTAGATCTCACAACCTTCATCGCTGCTGATAATGAGCTCGGAACTATCCCCGACGAAATGTTCCCCGATGTGGACGTGCATACTATCCTTGATGACATCCCAGGCCCGCAATTCGGCGGCGTTCAGAATATTGACCTTCATGGAAATTTGCTACCTACCATACCGCTCGGCCTGCGGCGCTTGCCCCTCACCAAGCTCAATCTTGTCAGTAGACATACCCTTTCTCTATAGTTCGATCCTAATGAGTACGCAGTCTCGAAACAAGCTCACCAATGACGCCATGGGCATCATCTCGCAGATCTCATCACTTAGAGATCTCAAGCTCACCGAAAACAGTTTGCAAAATAGCCTTCCGTCGAGCATTAGGAATCTAGATCAATTGGAGATCCTCGAACTTCAAGGAAACAAGCTAACCGATCTACCGGAAGAGATGCGAGAGCTCATCCATCTTCGCACTCTGAACGTCTCTCACAATAAGCTCGCCTCCCTTCCTGCGACTCTGTTCACCGTGGTCTCCCTAGTAGACCTCATCGCCACCAACAACTCCTTCTCCGACTCCTTCTTCCCTGAAGATGTTCAAACTTCTTCTCTCCAGACACTCAACATCTCTTCCAACGCTCTCACCTGCCTCACGACCACCACCATCTCCCTACCCGCCCTAAAAACACTCGACATCAGTATTAATCGCCTCACTCACCTCCCTGATATCGCATCCTGGACCGGCCTCGATGTTCTCCGCGCAGGAGAGAATAAAATTACCGCACTTCCGCCGGGTTTCACGTCCTTGATGGAGCTTAAGATTGCGGACTTCAGCAGTAATGATATGAGGGTCATCGATGAGAAGGTCAGTCTTATGGACGGACTAGAGACCCTAAACATAGCCGCGAATCCGTTGAGGGATCGAAAATTTTTGACTATGGATACCGAGAGCGTTAAGAGGGAGCTGTTCGGGAGGATAGATCCAGCCGAGGTGGAGAAACTTAGGGGAGGAGATGGGGCAGGGGATGTGGAAGAGATTGGGAGAAGAGGACCAATGATGGTTTTTTAAGGGTATGGCGTTCATTCCGGGGGTATTTGCTAAGGTTCCTTATTCAGGCGTTTCAAGGGCGGAGGGGGCTTGTTGCAGTATGCTTGGGTATTGTCATTGGATTGGTATTAAGCTGTGTTGACTAAGTGGTGTAGGATTAACATGTTTAATAATTCTCAAATCACTACGATTTGCATACGGTGAGATGCAGGCATTTATTTGAGCTTTTTTCTTATCGCCAATAAAGTTCTGCAATACGATTACTAAGTGTCCCAGAAAGATCTGCTCGTTCATAACTCAATTCCCAACTCTTTCGATCAATGTCTCAGTTAATTTCTTTGCTCTAGGTGACTCTTCGCACAAGCCGAGCCTATTCGTGGTTATATGCCTCGTCCCGAAGAGGTTGGATCGTTCTACAGGTCATCGAGATTGAGGTCACATATCTCTAACCAGTATTCCTCGTTCTCCGAGTAGTTTTCATCCACCTCTGAATCGGTCCCCGACTCAGCTTGCTCCAACTCGGCCGCATCAGTGGGATCAATGTCCTCGAACACCAACCCATTTCCATCGTTTTCGGAGTCGCTCCCATCCTTCTTCGACTCACAGTCGTTTCCATCCACTTCTGAATCGGCCTCAGGCTCACCTTGCTCTAATTCGGGCCCTTTCCAGGCTCGATGTCGTCGAGCTCCGACTCATCTGTGCCGTTCTCGGAGTCGCTCCCATCCTCCTTCGATTCGGCAGCGTCATCCTCCTCGCCCTCCGACTCAGTCAATTCAGCATGGTTGCCCCAAGGGCCCCACATGTTGAAAGACCACCGGCCTGCCAACCAGTCCGCCCGAGGCTTCTCATCAAAGACTTCCTCATATAGTTCTTTCAACCTGTCCATATCTCTGCGAGCAAAGTAGATGCCGCGCATGGCCTCGATCGCCGAGCGCTGATCGAACATGTGGTTGGTAACCCCTGGTGCCCTCGCTCGCCGTTCGCACAGCACAAGCCTGCAATATGGACACATATTGCTCGAGTTGCCGACTTGGTTAACTAGTTCTCTTAAACATTTTCGATGAAAACAATGTTCGCAGGCAATAACCACCGCATCCAGGGCGCCCGTGCTTTCGAGGCAGACGCCGCAGTCTTCAGGCTGGCCTACGTAGGGTTCTGAGAACGCCTCGATCTGGATCGCGTCCCCAGCTGGCTCGTAAGTCTCCTCAGCTGTATAGCAAGCCAACAGCATGGCGACACCCTCGTTCAGCTCACCCCGAAGCGTCTGGCCCACCTCCCACATCCCATTGAGAATAGGCACGATCGTCGAAACCATATTGAATTGTTTCGTATCCAGACGCCTCTGCCTTGCAGTCTCCAGCCGCATCTCCTCGATCCGCCGGCGCAGCTCCTCGTCCCGCCGGAATGCGGTTGGGTTGGCAGAGTATGCGCTTAGCCCATCGATGCTCTGGTCGGGGTGCGAGGGGTCCACGGTATACCGCATCGCCACCTGGAAGTTCATGAGGGAGATCCAGAAGGTCTCTGCTGGTAGCGGCATGGATGCGGCGGTGATGTCCGCGCGGGAGAGATGGAAGAATGGGGATGTTATGTGCTTGAACTGGTCGGCTGGGGTCTGGTTGCTCGCGGTGACTTGTTCGAGGGCGCTGTGGAAGGAGGACCAGAGTCGGAGACACTGGGCGAGGGAGGCGATGTAGTTGGTTGACATTTCGGGGTTCGGTTGGATGACGTTGCGGCGGCGGTGGTGGTGGTGGTGATGTGGTTGTGTGGCTGGGTGGGGGGGTTCAGGAGGTGAGTGGAATGGTGTTGCGAGATTTTGGAGAGAAGACAAGACGTTGGGGGGTCTTAAGGTAGGTGGTGATACGGCCCACCATGCGAAAGTGAAGGTGTGGGGAGGAGTGTAAGTTCCATCCTAGTGATATTATTTTGGAGAGCGAAGGACTAAAGTGAATGTATATAGGGCGATAAGACTCGAATCTACAAGTGAATATTATGGTGGAAGGACATAGTTAGGTAAGCATATCAGTCTATCACGTCGATTCATCGAAACATCTTGTTAACGTAAGGATGGCGCTCAGGAATCGCGACGGCATGTGTACTCATGAAGAGAAACGCTGCTGATTCCGATTGGATTGTTTTGTTATTATGGGATAACAATCGTATGGAACGAGCAGGTGTGAGAGAGCCACTGGGTCCGCCAGTATCTAGGGTAGGTCAAGGTACGTTCCTTCACAAAGATCTATACTCTACCACCACTGCGGACAACACTTGTACTTTCACATTTGGTGTACCTCATAGACTCTCACATCTCGTATATCACTCTACTTTCACATTTTGAGGCACGTTCACTTTTGAAAACGGTTGCATAAAATGACATTCGTTGCCCCCATTCTACTCTCCGTATTCTTCACAGCAGTTGCATACCACCACCCGCAAACCCACCCTTTTACCCACATCACCTCTACGCCAACCGGATCCATAATGCCGCTGAACCCTCTTTCGCCCGCCCGGCGTCTCGAAACCTGGCGCCACCTTGCCTGTATCTTGGATTTGCAGGAGCGGTATGATCCTAACACCACTCCCTCGGATCACTTCGAGTTCCTAACCCCAACCGATATCAACATTCGCGCGGACAACCTCTGGAAACTCGGCCTACCCCTGATGACGCAGAATTTCCTCTGTGCGCTTATGCATTTCCAGGCCGCGATGCGCTACACCATCGAACCCTCCATCATCGACTCCAACGGTGAAATCGACCAGGCAGCCCCCCTCACCGACGTGCTTGCCCCGTATCTCTCCGACTCCTCAGCCTTCTGCCGAGACGAAAAACCATACGCCCGCATCTTCGAGCTTCAGGCGAAAGTTGATGAGCTGTCCGAGGAGTTCGGTGAGAAGTTCCTCTGGGTACCATGCGTCACTGATACTATCCTGAAGCCTATGTGGGAGATTGGGCAAGCGCTGCGCCGCCAACTCAACGAAGGCGTGCAGATGCTTGTGGGCTGTTACACTAGCCAAGACACTTATGAGCCCACCGGTGCTGACATTCAGGTATCTGAAGTGTCGAGCGTGTATGTCGGACCCCCGGAAGTCTGCGCCATCTGCCTCGAAAACACTGGCGCGGTTAATGGAGTTACTACTGGCTGTGGCCACACTTTTCACTCTGATTGTCTGGCAAAAATGATCAACGGTGTTACCGATTCCAGCAATTTGTGCTCCTACTGTAGGTTCGTCATTTGTGAGCGCCGGTCTCGTCTTCCGGGCCCAACACAACACATCTTCGACCAACACTCCGCACTTGTTGGTATACACGCCATCGCTTTCGCCCGAGAAGACCTCAGTTGCCTCAAAGCGCTGTACAAGCAGGTCTTTGGGGGCTTTCCACCTCGAATTTGGTTAGCCGATGAAGATCCGGAGCAGTGCGCCTGGCAGACTTGGGAGCAGCTCCACGAAACCCCGAACAACGAGCTTTCTGGACATGAGCCTGAATACGATACTGAGGCCGATCTCGGTGACCACCGGCGCGAATTCGATGATTAAAGGGGACAGAGATGACCACCAACGCGCTCTGTCCGAGTCCTGAAGAAACACGGAAAACCCATAGCTTCTCTCAGCAGGAGGGGTCAATTCATCTGATATAACCTACAGAATGGTTTGTTCCTGATTTTCTCAGATACGCTTGTTTAGTTCGATGTTGTTCAAAAATTCCCATTCCAATGCTTCTCACTTAAATTAAGTAAGAAGCTCAACGAACTAGCTTAGAGTCCAATTAGAGGCATCCCAAGAATGTATTACTTTTACTCACATCTGATTACGTCTAAAAACCCCGTCAAATAACTTCTCCTAGCATCTAGCCACCTTGAATCTTGCCTAGGCCAAAATTGACCCTAGAGATACGGCTCTGGGATTAGTGTCTGAATACAAGCGCTTTCCTAATGATATACTCAACGTTATGCTTGGACCGGCTTTGTATGTACCTTCATATCTGATTTGATCTTGTCGTGTTCACCATATCGTACACATGTGCTTTAAAGCGGAGTTGGAGGACCTCAAGGCGAATCTCGGCGAGGGATCCTGATTTAAAGGCCTCAAACTGTTACATCTTGAGCGATCTATTTCGGTTGGTGTAAAATTAGCTCAGGCTTTTATTATGTTCTGCAAAGAAACAGTGGATACGGCCTAAATCACCTACACTAGATATCGGACAGCGCCATTGAGATGTTTTGGAATTGGTCTAATGTACAGGCTTGTAAATGTTACATCTTAAGCACGTAATTTTTATACGTGTAGAGGTGGCTAACACCATTTTTAGGTTGCGCAAAGTGAACGTGAACTGAGTCTAGGTTCCGTGTTCTAGAAATCGGACAGCATTCTTGAAACGATTTGGACCTAGCCTAATATGCAAGCTGGGAAACGTTACATCTTAGGTGCCTCGTTTTCATATGTGTAGAGGTGGCTCACGCCGTTATCAGGCTGTGCAAAGTGAACGTGGACTTGGTCCATTTCCCGGTTGCTAGAAATGGCAAGGATTCCGTAAGGAGTTTTGCAGCCGGTCTAATTTAGAGGCTTGAAAACTTTACGTCTTAGGCGCGCTAGTTCAGTACGCGTAGAGGTGCCCTAAAAAGGTAGGCAGTCGCGCAAAGCAATGACGGACTGGACGCATTTCAGGGGCTCGAGATTCTCGATGCTATTCCTAAAAGATTCTGAGATTGCTCTAATTTACAGACTTGAAAACTTTACATCTGGCTATTGAGAAACCTAGTTGATGCGGGGGTTCCTTAGGAGGATAAGTGATCGTACAAAACAATAGAGGAGTCAACGTGGTGCACGCACTCGGAGTTTTAGATGCTTTCTTCATCGGATCTACAATAAGGCTAATTCACCACCTCTGGAAGGTTACATCTCGATTTGAAGAGTCTGCTACGTGCAGAGGTGTCTTAAGGGTGTATGTAGACACCCAAAACGAACAGTTAACTCAACGCTCCGGAATTTGGATGTCATGTTTAAGATATCCTAGCATAGTTGTAAATGGGAGGTATAGTTACAAATAGTTACTAGCGTTACATATAGTTCATATGGTCACAAATGAGAAATCTAGTTATAAAAAGGCCATGTAGTTACAATGGTTAGTAAAGTGATAAATAGGTCAATTTCTGGATTTATTCAGGTAAACGGGACAACTGATTGCAGGAAGGGTGGCATTATTAAGACAATTTGACTATCTTACAGCTACGCGTAGGGCAAAGTCCTTCAGAAAGCGTCCTCCATTTCGACGTCGGAGTCGCTAAAAGTCCCCCTTGAACCGGTGGAACTTGTCTCGTCATCATCGTCATCCTGGTCACCCTCGTCGTCCTCGTCGCTACCCTCGTCGTCCCCCTGTTCGCCCCCCTCATCATCAGAGTCCAATTCACCGTGAGGCCAATCCTCCCACGCATCGTCCGGAATTAGCCAGTCCCAGGGGGGTGCTTCCGCGAAAATAGAGTTATACAGTGACCGAAGCGTGGTTAAATCTAGTCGAGCGTAGTAGATTGTGTGCATAGCTTCAAGGGCTAGGCGTTGATTGAAGTGATGCTCATCGGGACCTGGAACTCGAGCTCGGCGTTCGCATATGATATGTCGACACTGTGGGCATTTGTTGCTCGATTCGGTGACATTATCTATCAGGGCTTGGAGACAGTCTTGGTGGAACGCGTGGTTACATCCGATCACTCTGCCGTTGTGACGTCCAATTGAATCGAAACATATGCTGCAATCTTGTGCCGGGCCGTCGTAGGGTGTTGAGACTGAGCTGAGAGGTATTGGATCGCCGGTTGGCAAGTAGGTGTCGTACGCCTCATGGCAGCCCAACAGCATCTCCACACCCTCGTTAAGCTGCTTGCGCACCTTTTGTCCAGCTTCGTACATGGAGGACAAGATGTTGCTAGACTTGATGGCCTCGTAGACGTCCTCTCGGTCATCAAGAGTCGCGCAGAGCTGTTCTACGCGCTCCTCCAAGTCGCAAATCTGACGGTACGTCTCTAAATCGGATTCGTTGCAGAAGGCCAAGCGATTGTGGATGTGCGGTGCGAGCATGTCTATTGCATCTCCGATATCTTCTGCATCGGTGGGGTCGTAGCGCATTACCTCTTGAAAGCGCTGAAAGCCCCTCCAAAAGAGTTTGGTTGGCCCGCTTAAGTTGATGAGTTCTCGAAACGGCACTACGACTGATGTTGAGTTGATGACTTCAAATTGATCTGCTGGCTCCTCCGATTCAACGTCGATATCTTCCAGTCCGAGAACAAACAATCCCCACGCGTCGATGCGCTCCCTATGAAGAACTTGATTCGGAGGCGACATATTGGCGGGGTTCGTCAGGTTGTGAGGTTTGTGTAAGGGCGAGAGTTATCAGGGAGTAGGCTGATGTACTGAGATACGGTATAGGCGCGAATGGCAGCAGTAATGTAGAGTAGGGTTAGAGAACCTAGAGAACGTTTTTAATCTTTTGCTTCAACGTAAGAAAGCGTTGAATGCGTGCTTTGTGAATGGATATGTGTATCTCCTATGTGGAAGGACGTTGAGTACTTGAGACACAAAAGAATACCGAAGTACTCCGTGGAAATAGGATCTAAACATTGTACAAATTCAAGAAATATACATGTACCTTGACTTCTGGTTGTTAGCCACCTGAGGTATTAGCTTGACGCGTCTCCGGTGTGCAGCAGAAGAGTGGTGGTGGTTTGGTTTATTTGAACAATAAGATTGTGTTTTGTGTACACTTGTCAAGCACCGCTTGGGCTCCTTTGGCGCGTTATCAAAAATGGTAAACAGACAGTTCCGACAAGACTTGTAGCTCTCCAGGACACCTCAAACGGTGTTGGGCTGCCGCTGTATGTCCAACGAAGCCTGGTGCTTTGTTGATGTTGATGTTGTGGAAGAGGGCTGTGGGTATGAAGTTTGCTCTACCACCCGTGGAGTATAGAGTACCACTTAGAAGCTGCAGAATCTTGCACGGGCGGACTAGCGAGTCACCTCGATTTCCTTCATCCATCCCGTGGTAACGTCCAAAGTTGCCTTAAGCATACGGAGGTGTGCTCCAGAATCCTACGCATAGCACACAAAATGCCTCACCGAGCTCAGCCACCAACACGCTCGCAGCTCTAGTGGGCCGTGTCATATATGAGGCAGGGTCTCGCATTTCAAGCGTTTAGATGAGAGACAAGCTTCGGGGAGGACAGAGCATGTAATTTTCCATGGTTTATCGCATTGAGTTGGTCGGTATTTCAGCTTTCAGTAGTCATCATTGTCACATAGACCGTCATATCTTCTACAAATTTGTCATTTTCACTCTTGAAAAGCTCCCTGAGTGGTATCAGTCGGGATATGCACGACCCAGACCGTGTCAGCGACTAAGAAGTTGCCCTGGCTCAAGGCACTTTCTTTCATGGCTGGATGTTGGGAATAATGATCTGTTTTCTATTCCCATCAACTCTAGCCGATGCACCTTCTAGTAACGTCTCGACTTGTGGCACCCACCATGATCCAACCATCGCAACACAGGACCAAGTGGGCTCATAGTGCCGGTGCAATTCCCGGCGACTGAACTCTGCTGTCCCTCCTTGGAACAGCATGAGTATCCACCGCTCATGTCTTCCGGCCTCATACTCTCTAACCCATCACGCCCGGATTGAAGAATTTGACGCAAGTCTTCCATCCAAAGCCAACCATCAAGAGCACGATGCAGATCCTGAACCAGTGGTTGGACCGATTGATGCTCCCCTGCGCATGGCGCTCGAGTGCCTTGATACGCTCATCGTACTCCTTGAATAACTCGTAGGTTTCGCCGAACTGATTTCGGACCGCATCACGGAATGTCTGCTTTTGGGTAAGGCCTGCCGGGGCGACTTTAGGATCGGGCTGGTGACTAGACCGGTCATCCTCGGGCGTGGTCTCGTTGGCGGCCTGCTGCAGGAGTTCGTTCAATCGTTCCAGCTCGTCGTGGTCGAGGCGATAGCCACTAGTAGGCACACCTCCCTGGACACGACCGACACTGGCTTGGAGGGCCTTGCTCTCTTTGGTGAGTCTATGGGCTATGCCTCTCTTCCCCTTGCTCATCCGCTTAGCTTCATCAACGACCTTCACGCCCTCCTTTCCCATAGCGGCTCCAGGCTTGCTGGCATCCGCATACGCATCCATAACATCGCAGATACCATAGTAGTCGTAGCCTCCAGTCTGAGGTACGGCACAACCGACATCGAGACCAGAAGTGATGATCTGGAAGGAACTCGTGTCTTCCTTGAGTCTAGCTTGGTATGAACCACGATCGTTTCTGCGCTCAATGCCATCGGAAACCTCCCCGTCTTCGCTTTCATCAGAGTCTTTCTCTACGTCTTCCAACCAGTTTCCGAGAATCTGTATGTCTTGCTCATGGCCCTCACGTGCCGTGAGTAGGATCGAAGGAGTACGTGTTGGAGAGGCCCAGAGTGACGTTGCGGCTGTTGAGGCGTCATCGTGAGATGCTTTCGTTGACGATTGGTCCATTGTAGTAGTGGATTCGGAGACTGTCCATGAGGCTTCAGTGGAGGATGGCTTCTGAGGTTGGTGGGCCATGGTTGGGTGGTGGGCGGTGATTAAGGGAATTGGTATGATTGGGACTGCCAGAGGCAAACTGGTGTTGAGAAGGCGAGTGAAGTGTATGGCACTGAGCCGCGTTCTGGGTGATTTAGGTTGTTCTCCGCTTTGGGAACAGGATCGTACGACTTTTTGTGAAGTGATCACGTGATACCAAACTTTGGTCATCTGCTTTCCTTATTGCGTTGGCTTAACTACCTATCTGTAAAAAGTTTCACTCACTGAAGGATTCCAGGAACACCAACAGAAAACCATGCTACATGCCTCAATTGGCAGGAATTCCAGCATCTACAAGAATATACTCTTCGCACAACACAAGACCAAGCAACCAAACACAAGGCCAAGCCAGAAAGCCACACCGATATTGTCCTTTTCATTGTTCAACTCCTCCGACAACCGTTTCGGCTCCTTAATCTCACGCTTCCTCCACTCGTTCCGGAAGTTTTAAAGGTCATGCACTGCTTGATCCCGAGAAGAACGACCGCCTGAGACCTTTTTCAGCATATTCAAATCATCCCAAATACTAGAACTAGCCGCAAGGAGCTGTGGATCAGTCTTGTCGTTAGTAGTCATCACTTTCCTTCAACTTGTTTCGCTTTGCTTGAGGCCCATCGAGCTTCTGGTTTACTAGCTCATTCCAAATCTTACTGGCGTCGGACACTTGGCTTTGCGACTCATCGTCGTCTGGTGCCCGTTCTTCATCGACATTCTGTTTTGGTGTGTTGAAGAGTACACACTCTTTCGCGTGTATCCTTACATCTGTATGAGACCGTACTCTATCATCATTGTGGTCAACGCTTCCCTTCGCTTTCGTGCAATAATCTACAACACCGCTGATAACTTTCTTGCTTCCTTCGTACTGTAATGGCATACTCCAGCCATCGGTGGGAAGTGTGACGGTGCAGAGATAATCAGTGTTATCTAGCGTGATATTACATATGTAGAGATCTACCTAGGTAGTTGTGATGTTACTCCCCATTCTAGTGACATGCTTATCAATATTGGTATCTGAGGATGTCCGGGTGATGCTCTTATGGAATACTACAGATTCAGGACGATGGGTCAAGATATCGAGAAATCGATAGCGGAGCTGCGTGGTTTGTCGTGGTTCCCTTCGCCCGTATTCTTACCGAAGAGAAAATCTGGAAGATCTATGATCTTGGGGGGCACAACAAGTTACGGGAGAAGTATCATGCTGCACTGCTCTTGAATGTCCACAAAAAGGTCAAGGTAAAGAATAAGATTAGAAAACGTCAAAGCTCTGGTCTTCTGGCAAGAAGCCGTTGAGGTCGAAAACGGAAGACTGTGAATGACTGTGCGTATGTCCTAGGAAGAGGCAGTGCAGTACTGGATTAAAAGCCTACATATAGTCATCATTCACTACTTCCCAAGGAGATTCCATTGAATACTATGTCGGCAATACCTGACTACCAGTCTCTGATTGGCTGAGACCCTGATCGTCTGTACCCGATGAATGATGGATATAACCTTACCAAAGATGAACACAATTCTCAAATGTAGATTACAAAAGCTCTCTTAAGCAGTTGCGATTAGGGTGACGAACTGGAATAGAAACAGGAGTAGAACTAATGATGTTGCTGATTGAGCTTGGCAAAGGTGACGATTTCAAGATTTACGCCCAGTGCGCAGACGAGGCGGGCAGTGCTTTAAACCCCCACCAACATCCTCCACTTCATCGCCGCATTACGTTCACTCCACCCGGCCTGGGACGCATATTACCAGCCCGATAGCGCTTCTACGGGCCCCAATACCCCCCTTCGTTGATTGCAAGTTCCAACCGCCAACCTGGAGGCTGCATCAGCTCGTATGGCCACCAGAGACCGCTTTAGCGGTTTCGGTGAGCCTCCAACAACTCCTCTGCAGCGCTACATATGTACGTTCCCGCGCGACCCCGAGATATCCTGCGCAAATTCTGCAAGAAGCTGACCTTACGATCCTCTCCAGTAAATGCCTGCGATCCCCAAAACTTCGAGCCAAACCTCGCCCTAAACCTCGAGATCTCGGACCTGATCAACGCGAAGAAGGGCAATGCGTAAGGATCCCCATGCCTCAATTATAACCTCTTTGCATGCTCTAAGTAAAGGCGATAGACCCCGAGAAGCCGCCGTTGCGATCGTCCACTATATCAACCACCGCAACCAAAACGTGTCCATTCTCGCGCTCAACGTAAGGTCGCCTAATCTCAATCCTTCGGGAACCAGTCGCTGACCCCCATTCTAGCTCCTTGATATATGCGTCAAAAACTGCGGCTATCCCTTCCACCTCCAGATAAGCACGAAGGAATTCCTTAATGAGCTCGTGCGGCGCTTCCCCGAGCGCCCGCCAGTGCATGCGTCGCGGGTGCAGGCTAAGATCCTCGAGCTGATTGAGGAGTGGCGACAAACAATATGTCAGACATCGCGGCATAAAGAAGATCTGGGGTTTATTCGGGATATGCACCGGCTGCTGAGTTATAAGGGCTACGTGTTTCCGGAGGTGCGGAGAGAGGATGCTGCGGTGCTGAATCCGAGCGATGTAGGAAAACCCGCTCCATGGATGCTGAGGGGAGCATAAGCTAATCTATGTGCAGAATCTGAGGTCCGCAGAAGAAATGGAGGAGGAAGAAAGGGCGGCGCAATCGGCGAAATTACAAGAACTCATTCGACGAGGTGGTCCACACGATTTGCAGGAGGCCAACAAGCTTATGAAGGTCATGGCAGGATACGATACAAGAAACAAGACAGATTATCGGGCGAAAGCTGCCGAGGAAGTGGGCAAGATACAGCAGAAGGCTAAGCTGCTCGAAGAGATGCTACAGGGTTATAAGCAGGGAGACCAGATAAAAGAGGGCGATGTTTTCGAGGTATGCGCATGCGGAACCTCGTCCTATTAACTTAGGAGACTAAATTCTTTCTTAGGAACTTGCAAATGCATTAGCAAGCGCACAACCGAAGATTCAAAAGATGTGTGAGGAGGAATCGGACGACCACGAAGCCGTCGCAAAGCTATTCGAGATCAATGACAGCATTCACAGGACGATAGAGAGATATAAATTGATAAAGAAGGGTGACATTGAAGGCGCGTCAAAGATACCCAGGGGCACATTAGGGACTAGTGGAGCAGGCGTATCAAAAGGACCCGATAACGAGCTGTCTCTGATCGACTTTGGAGGTCCCGAAGACACACCAGACGCACAAACCGCATCTTCGTCATCGCAAACCGCTCCTACAGGCAATCATCTAGAAGACGATCTTCTCGGGCTATCAATAGGGGGGGACTACTCTGGACAGACTGGAGGCATATCATTGGGATCTTCCAACGGCGCTGGTAGGTTCTGGTCCGCTTTTTCAATGTATGTCGCTAATTCATTCAGGGCTCTCTGGCTTCTCATCCGGAGTATCGAGTCCAGCACCACCTCCGCAGCCACAACAGCCGCCTTCCACAATACCACAGCCAAACTACGACCCTTTCGGCTCCATCAGCAGCTCACAGCCCCCTCCACCGCCCATGTCGCCTCCTTCCTTCTTCTCGCAGCCGCAAATCACACAGCCCCAACAACCACTACCTCGACAATCCGCCGCCGACCCTTTTGCCGCCCTCTCCTCGCCAGCACCTCGGCAAAACTCGCCATTCCAGTTCCAGCAATCCATTAGACCCTCCGCCACACCAGCTGCTTCAAATGACCTTCTTGGTCTGGGAACCCCTTCCGCTCCAGCTTCTCAACCCGTAAACGATGACGACGAATGGACGTTCGCATCTGCTGTTCCAGATCTTTCGAAAGACATTGTCGTCAGCAATACACAAGTGCAAGTCACCTTTAATGTGGTACGGGAAAACGACAACGTAATTTTGATCAAGAGCAAGATATCGAACAATACCGCGCAACAAGTAACGGATCTGACGTTCCAAGTTGCGGTTTCGAAGGTGAGTTCACTATCTTAATTTCATTTCATTTGACACTGGCATACTAATACATTGGTTAGGGCTACTCCCTCTCCCTAGAACCCCAATCAAGCGTCTCATTGGCTCCGCATCAAGCCAACGGTATCACCCAAACTATCCGACTTAACGGCGTCCCGCGCGGTGTTGGCGATAGGGTCAAGATGAGGTGGAAGGCGGCGTACGCGGTCGCGGGGACGAGGACTCAGGAGCATGGGGAGATACCAAGTTTGGGTGTTGCGTGAGAGGCGGCAGGTTGCTGTGTGTAGGGGACGGTTTTTTGATTGGCATTTGTAGCGGGGCTTGTTGGGGTGGGTATGGAATAGCTGGCTCGGCACTAGAAGTGGGAGCGAGAACTAAGGAATCTAAAGAATTGAAAGCCTGGATATCCCCCCTTTCTAATCCGAGAGTGCTGTGAGTGTATTGCTATCTCTCCCAGCAGCGGGAATCTCGGCCTGGTAAGTCACATGATTGGGATCTCGATCAGGTATAAATTCTTCTACACCCTCTGTCCAGAAATCCCTTCGTGCAAGGTGGTGGATGAGGACTTCAAATCGAGCAGCCAAAATCGTAATGCGACAGAGTTGTTGCAAACGAAAAAGAGACACGTGTCATGGCTATGCCAGCTCGGGGTTTGTTCAAACCGGAGATGTACCGCCTGTATGGAGGGATTTGGCCAGAGTTTGGATCAAAACTGGCATACCCTATGGTTCCATGGAGAGGACCGGGTGGAGATGTGGAGGAAAGTTGAGAGTGTTATGGTGATGGTCATCTTCTCCCAAGATTCCTGAATGCTGATTTGTCGCTGACATGCTAGGCATCATCTGAAATGTGGTTAGATAGTGATCATCGCTGGAGCGAATATGAGTAGGATCCGGAACCAACCCTCATGAACCACCTTTCCACCACGTTTTGACACCTCCTTCCCAACTTCGCATGAGATCAAAGTTCCAGTACTGTTGCCAAAGACCATCGTGTGCGAGTGCATGTTTTCTTGATTGCCTCTGATATTGCAAACCGTTGGCGAGAAGTTACTCTTGGTCTGGGAGCTTTTATACCCGCCAGACGGGATTCTTCTCCTGGTAGACTAATAGATACCCCTGACTTCGGAGTCACCACGTGGTCGCATCAGAGAAGAAAAGAACGGGTGCAACGCGATTTCGCAAGTGATATCACGAGCTCTATAGCTGATTCACGTGATGGGGCAGAAGTTGGGGTATAAAGATCTTTCGACCTTCGACTAGCTACTGGGAATTTCCAACGAAGTCAATTAGCCGCGATGGCTCCTGTGGGCTGTTGGGCTGTCACCACAGCGGACAAATGGGGTGGTCCGATGGCTGCATTCGAATGAGGAAGGGGTTTGTGGAGAATGGATATGGCCCAAGGCTAATGCTGTGGATCTTCAGTGAGGCGCTACGATGAACTCCAATTATGGGCAAGAATGCGATAGAACGTCGCTGATTTGGGACGGTAAAAAGGAGGTGGGTAGGTGAAGAATGTTATAACTGTGACGGAAGATGGATAACACCATCATCTTAACAGTTTCGCTAGTCTACACGCAGGGACACACCATAAGGGGAGTTGATTACCACTTTTTAATTCCACCAAGGAGCATGTTTCTCCTTCTTCGTAGGTTTGACGAGGTTCATAAGATAAGCTTCTTTATTCTTTTACAAAGAGCAAAGAAAACAGCGTATACTGACAGGCGTTATAGCCTTGAACAAGTACTTTTATAATCGAAATGATTGAGGACACAGCTCGGTCAGGTGTGAGGCTCGTGATTTGATAGAGCCAAAGTGGCATGTCTGAGCGCGGCCGAAGCTAGGTTGGGAATAAGGACTGGTGTGAGATTCAGAGAGATGAGTGACTTCTTTTACTGTTCTAAGCTTCGTGTTCTGAAGCCTCTCCCTTATCTTTTTTTTTTTTTTTTTTTTTTTTGAAAGACTGAAGTCTTCACACCATTGTGACACTTCAATGTGGACTCCCCGCATCACTATTCGACCCTCTCCTCCTCCCCGACCCAATAATCGTCTCAAGTTCCTCAGCCCTATGGACAGTTAGCGAAGCCTCAACCATCCAAAATACGAGAAACCACTCACTGCTTAACTGCATCCTTATAATAAGAACTCTCAATCTCCTTGTTCCCCATCGCATCCTTATCCTGCAGCACCGACAAGCAAAAGAAGACGATATTCCCATACATCGTATTCGTTCTTGTCTCCACTTCAGCCACTATATCGTGCGCGTCAAGCGGTCCAGATGCTATACTATCAATGAATATCCTCGCGCCTGAGGTCTGCTCGTCGAACTCAATGTACGTGATTGGAGTTTTCAAGGCGAGTTCGGTCAGGAGGAGGCCGAGTCTAAACATCTGGCAGTGCTTTGTCAGGTCGCGGCGGTCGCGGCGGGCTCTGTTTTTCTCTAGCACTGCAGTGAGGGTGCGTGCTGTAGGCGCATCGCCCGGCGCAGCGGCCATCATAGTCGTCCAGCGGGCGTCGGCGCTGCGGCGCCAGCGGATGTTCCTCGAATCCATGAAGTCGAGCCATTGGCTGCCGAGGAGACGAAAGCTGCCTTGGATGAGGCCGCATGCGATGGCGACTTGGTCTTGCGGGTGGACCACTTGCTGGGTGAGGATGTTAGAGTTGAGGATCGCACTGAGAGGTTCGCGGTACTCCAGATCGGCGAGGTTGTTGCTGTGTGGTATTGTGACTTGAAATCCGGCGCTTAAGGGTGCTGTGGGTGGGAGCATGTAGCATGGTCTAGAGACATCTTGGATGAGTGCTGGGACTGCGGTGGACATGTTTGGTTGAAGCATTTGGCGGTCGGTCCCTTCGCGAAATTTAATCGGGTGGATCAGTACTTCGTGTGTCCTATTTCCGCCTGATAGGAGGAAGGCGAAGTCTCGTTTGTGGATTTGGGGGACGCTGATGCCAATATGGCAACGAGCGCCTTGGGCGCTGGCTCTGTGGAGGAGTTCTGCGTCCTTCCTGGCAGCTAGTGCACTGAGGACTTTCTGTTGGACGGCGTCCATCTGGGAGTCACCTACGCGAAGGATGATTCGTCTGCCCGGAAGTCGCTTGATGTTGTGGAAGATATCTGGATGCTCTTTCTCGAGATAATAATCTGACAATCGCTCTAGATTGATGAGCTTCCGATTGAGTCTCTCGAGTTCGATCTGCAAATCACCGGCCTTGTCCATTACGCTTAGCTTAAATTTTCTAGTCCAGGCAGTGTTCTTGCTGATTCTCTGGATGCACATGCGAACCAAACGCTCGTCGTATTTGCTGTCATAGTACTCTCTTGGGGCTCCTCTGGGCCTAGCCCTAGTGGCACGCTCGACAACACCGTCCACCTCTTTACCGATCGTCTTGGAGATGATACGGATGCCTCCTAGTGTTTGCTGAATGCGTTCCCAGCCTAGCTTCCCGAACAGCACATGCATGTAAACTATCGGTCGGCGCTCTTGGACGTCGTATTTGCGCCGCCAGCTGTCTAATGTGAGTTCGCAGACTTGAAGGCCTTCTTGCAAATCGAGTAGTCGGTCAGAGATTTGGCGCCATTTCTCTACCTGTTTGGTGAAGGAATAGAGGATGTTTCCAGTCGTAGCAATAGCGCCGAGAATTGAGACAACTTCTGCCATGATGAAGTCTTCAGAGTGCAAAATACAAGTTTGAGCGGTCCGAGCAGTTTTGTGCGGAACTATGAGATGGATGGAGGATGAGTTACGCACTTGCCTAATATTTAGTTGTGCCTCAGCTGATTTTGGCCCCCAAATTGCTGCCTTCACGGGAGCACTGCCACTTTTGTCCACGCGCACCATGCATAGCCTTGTGCACCCACATAACAGCCACACGACAATGTATAAGCAGGTTGCCTAGCTAGAGGGCGGAGGCTCAAAAGTGTGTATGACCCATCTCTTTCTCTCGGCTGAAATCTTGTGTCCTTGAATCCGCGTCGTCGCCGTTTCGTTTGAAAAGAAAATTACCATCTTAGCAATGCCTTTCGCATCATCTGCAGAGGAGCTCGCCGCAGAAAGGGAGCCTGATCTCCGTCGTTCTCGGTCACACGGCCACGGTAATTTTTGGGACCAACAACAGGCGAGGGAGCGTTACGAGCGTGAGCTCCAGATACAGCGACGAGGAGTGAACCGCCGACATAGGGCCGGCCCTTCGCTCACAGTTCCAAATTTTCAATATGGACCACACCAACCGCAGCAGTCATCCCGCTATGACGATCAATGGGAAGAGGAAAGGTTTTACGTGCGGACTCCAAGCGCACCAAGAAGCACCGAATTGCCAATTCGGACAAGTAGCCGGCGCCGCCCAAGTATCAAAGTTGAGATACACCAGGACAAACTCTCTCGGTCTTCTTCGCCTCCACCGTCATACTCTCCAACGACAGGAACTTCGCTCGTAGATCTACGTTTACAGGTCAATAACATTGCAACCAAGCTGGCTGATGTCAGTGCGCTTTGCTCTCGCAAGCACGACGGCGATGCGGATTCTTCGAAAGGCCTTTCATTCGGCAGCATCGCAGCGCAGGTGAATGGAGATGCATTCCGTCTAAAGATCTGGAGCTATGAAGTCGGACTGGAGAAATGGACCGAGATTGATGCTAGCCGAGAGAAACACGTAGAGACCGCGCTACGCACGATGCAGAGGATTTCCAATAGAGCGAGTGACCTAAAAGCAGACTGTGCGAGAGCCCGATACCGAGATTTGACGATACCAAGCATTGAGACAGATCTGGATTTGGAGGAGTATGATTCAAATGACGAAAACGAGTAAGTCAGCTCCAAAGCATCAGTGCTTACGCATAGATGTTAACAGACTCTTAGAAGCCTTGAAGATCCGACGGAGTCGTTGGGTTTCGAGATTCAATCTTGCCTTAACTCGATCAGCCTTCAGATCCAGACTCTTTCAAGGCTGACGCGGGCATTGCAAGATGCCACCTGTCCCAACGGAGTCGTGAACGAAGAAATGACAGCTATAAATGGGCTTGTTGCGGAAGTCGATGACTTCTTTGGATCTCCAGAAGCGCTGAAAAAGCACTCAATTGACGAGAAATTTGCTGGCAGGAAAGCTTTAGAGGAAGCTAGGTATACGGCGAGGCTGCATTAAGGACATAGATGGAGGCCATGACCCGCTTTTGAACTGCGTAATCTTTTAGAAGTATTGAATCGAGTAAAAAAAAACAAGGGAGCACTCCAACAGGGCTAGCGTCAGATGAAGCATAGCGTAGCGCCCGGTCGACTTACCAGGTTCAATTCGCCACTTCCGTTACACAACACATGCACCGTGTATGCGCGCGACTCTCGTGCATTCCGCGCTGATGTTACAGTGTAGCAACTTGCCTACGCAATTGACAACTTCTTCCCCCGCTCGAAATGGATGGACTCACCCACGACTCATCTATTCTAATCATTGGAGGAGGTACCTGGGGCTGCTCAATTGCGCTGCAGCTAGCCCGGCGGGGTTATAGGAACATCAATGTTCTAGACGCGTCAGAGTTCCCTTCGCCAATTGCTGCTGGAAATGACATCAACAAGATTGCTGAAGAGGGTAAGAAACATGTAACTTGGTTATAGAAAGAGAAATTAAGGCCCAGTAGCCAACCCGCCATCGGAGGACGACTCTGATGAGAACTACATGTGGAACCGTATTCATCAGATGTCGATGCACGCATGGCTGAACGACGATTTACTTAAGCCGTTCTACCATTCTACTGGCTTTATCATGGCCGCATGCGGAGATGACGCCTATAAACACGTGCTGGAATATGCTGCGGAGGAGAAGGCGGAACTGGTTCCTCTCAAAACCGCAGATGACTTTCAAAAAACGATGCCCAAGGGAGTGCTAACCGGATCTTTTCCCAAGTGGCGTGGGTACTGGAAGAAGAAGGGTGCTGGATGGTTGTTTGCTCGAGGCGCCCTCGAAGCCATGCATACTGAATCTATCCGATTAGGAGCCAAATATGTGACTGGAGGACTACAAGGCAAGGTAGACTCCTTGATTATTTCGTCGTCTGCAGAAGATGCACGGACTATAATTGGTGCAAAGACTGCCGATGGTGCAGACCACAAAGCAGACTACACAGTCCTTGCAGCGGGCGCGAATAGCGACGTGCTGCTAGACTTCAAGAAGCAGCTTAGGTAAGTGACTCTTATGATGGCGCATGTAATCTCAATGATAACCTCCGCTTAGACCAACAGCATGGACGCTTGCGCACTTACCAATGTCGATTAAGGAGGCACGAATTTGGGGAGACTTACCGGTGTTATACGGGGTCGATCGAGGATTCTTCATTGAGCCAGATGAAGAGAAACATGAGCTCAAGATTTGCGACGAGCATCCTGGGTACTGCAACTTCGTTGAGGTGGACCAAGAGGTGAGGTCTGTGCCTTTTGCACGTCAACAGATTCCCGTCGACGCAGAGCATCGCATGCGGGTATTACTGGCTGAAACAGTGCCTCACCTTGCGGACCGCCCTTTCAACTTTGCACGAATTTGCTGGGATGCCGATACCGTAGACCGGTTCTTTTTGATTGACCGGCATCCGGAAATCTCAAATTTGTTGGTCGCAGTAGGCGGCTCTGGACATGGTTTCATGACGAATCCCGCTGTGGGTGTTATAGCCGTGGATGCTCTCGAAGGGGTCATGGAGCTGCGACTACAGAAAATGATGAAGTGGCGACCTGAAAATGCTGTTGGACGAGACTGGTGTGCCACACAAAACAGATTTGGGGCCGATGGGAAGATAATGGACCTGAGCCTCGTCAAGGACTGGACCAAGATCGAGAAGCCTAATGAGCGCTCGTAGTAGTTCGTCTTTGCGACTATTTGATGCTTCGATGTTTTTCAGAAATCTGGGTATGACGTATAATCTTGAAAGGGTGAATCATATCGGTTTTGAGTTTGACGTTCACGAGTTGTCGTCCGTAAGCAGGTGAGATCCAGGTGAGCATTTTGATACTAGTCAATAGTCGTTTTGAGACTTTGACGGAATGAAGCTTATATGTCCATCACTAGACTAGGCCCGATTCAGAACAACTAGCCAGGGACTAATTCATGTAAACTAAGGTTGAAACAGGCAAAGTCAGCAACGGCTCTCCGATCAGCCGGGGCGCTGGACTGTATAAAGAGCCCTCGAACCCCTCGTTCGGATTCTTGACATTGTGTTCACTGGTAAGCAATGTCTTACTTCCGTGTAGATTTGACGAAGTCGTGCGGAAACAACTGACCTAACCTCAAAAACAAGTCATTTCACCTACGATTGCCTCTTTGCACTCCATACTTCGACATCAAGGAACCTTGAGAATGAGTACTCTCAAGATCTCAAATCCGAGACTCCCTCTCGGCTCAACCGTCCTCGTCACAGGTGTGAATGGCCTCATCGCATCCCAGCTTGCAGACCAGCTCATCCAGGCGGAATATCGCGTTCGAGGGTCCGTCCGCAGTGTGTCTAAGTATGCCTGGCTTGACAGTTTCTTCTCGGATCGATACGGACCAGACAAGTTCTCGCTAGTCGAAGTCACCGACATGCGCGTGCCGGGTTGTTTCGACAACGCCGCCAAAGATGTCTCCGGAATCGCGCATACGGCGACTTATATGGATTTCACTACTCAAAACCCAAACGACGTGATACCACCAGTACTCCAGAGCATCACGACGGCGCTAGAAGCGGCAAAGAAGAGCACTAGCGTTAAGGCTTTTGTTCTCACGTCTTCAAGCTGGGCGACCAAAAGTGCGGAATCGAATGTCGAGGAGTATATTGACACCAATTGATGGAACGAGGCAGCCGTAAAATCGGCATGGGACCCTTCTGACACGGGAAGAGCACCTACCACAATCTATTCTGCCAGCAAAGTCGCAGCCGAGCAAGCGCTCTGGAAGTGGGCAAAGGAGAACAACCCCAAATTTGTCGTCAACGCCGTTCTACCGAGCACGACGACGGGAGGGATACTCAACCCCGAGAAGCAAGGGATCCCGAGCACAGCTGGCTTCGTGCAGATGTTCTATAACGCACAGAAGACCGAAGATGTGCAGTTCCCTATGTCGTTTGTCAAGCCGGGTTGGTATATCGATGTCGGTGACGTGGCGAAACTCCGCATTGCAGGCTTGGTCGATCCGGGTGTGACAAATGAGAGACTGTATGGATTTGCGGGAGACTTCACCTGGGATGACGTCCTCGCTATTTTCAGGGAGTTGGACCCTAAGAGGACTTTCTTAAAGGACTTCGGCATGGAACGAGACAAAGTGGATATTAGGCCGCGTGGACGGGCTGAGGAGGTGCTCAAGGAGTGTTTCGGGGTCGGGTTCACGGGCCTAAAGGAGACTATAACGGCTAATATCGAGAGCTTTACTAAACATCAGGTTAAGAGTGGTGCCGGCTGGGTTAGCACAACTTGAAACACAGTTTAAATACCAGAACAGTCCTAAGGTCTTTATGCACGTTGTTGGCTAAGACACGGTGCCTGGGGATGGCTCAATTACATGAATAGCTGGTGGATTCAGACTCTTTGAATTCCCCTCAATGGATTTGGCGTAAGGTGCGGAAGCTCGATGAATGTCTATTTATGCATTGAGTGCCCAGGTGACAATGGAGAGATGGTGAGTGACGTCAGCAGTCGATGGGCCAGCCCACTACTGTATTTTGCTCTCCACAACCGTCGATAGAATGTTGCTCTCCCTTAAGGATGTAATTGGAAGATGGAGGTGAAATGTGGCAGTGGAAGATGACGCGCCACAGACCCTTGTACGCGATTTGGCGCTAGCCAGGTATAGCTGATTTCAAAACACAACAAACATTGGAGCGCTGTAGAAGTATTTCCCCACTACAACACCACAACACCTCTTCGCACTCCGGCCATAACACTACTAACAGACTGCAAAATGTCGTCTACTTCGCCTCGGAAGTCAATGCGAGCGGCTGCTACCCGCCGGAAGCCCGCCGTCATCGATTCGTCCGACGAGGAAGAGAACCAAGCACCCGTCAACGATGACGGTGAGGAGGAATTCACACCAGCGCCCAAGAGCACCCGGAGAGCACCCCGGCGGAAGGCTGGAGAGGAGCCCGCTACACCACGAGCATCTAGAGGCGGCAGGAGGGTCAGGGCGAGCGAATCTGTCGAGCCAACACAACTGTTTAGCCCAGAGAGTACGGCACCAGAACCGGTGTCGCCTGCGAAAGGAAGATCGCCTAGGAAGAGTGTACGAGGAGGTCGGAAACCGCGCGTCTCTGTTGCGCCAGATATGTCAGAAGTGCCAACCCTACCCACACCGAAGCCCTCAGTCTCCCCCGAACCTACAAACGTGCCGGGGACACCATTGGCAGATATTACGGAGCACAGTGCGATCAACGAGCGAACTCCTGTCCCAGAGACACCGCAAGTCGCAAAGGTGGATGCGCGTACAACGGTGCTGGAGAAGCCGATGGATATTGTTGTGAGGACACGGGCTACGGCCATGCCGTCGACGCAGGAGCCTGCTGCACCTAAATCACGAATTGTAATCACATATTTGATTCTCACGAATTTCAAAAGCTATGCTGGGAGACAAGAGGTCGGGCCATTTCACACCTCGTTCTCGTCCGTGGTGGGACCCAATGGATCTGGAAAATCAAATGTCATTGACTCCTTGCTCTTCGTCTTTGGGTTTCGAGCAAGCAAGATGCGACAAGGGAAGATTTCAGCACTTATTCACAACTCAGCGGCGTACCCTGATCTCGATCATTGCGAAGTCCAGGTCCATTTCCAAGAAGTGATGGATCTCCCCGGAGGAGGCCACGAAGTCATCCCGGATTCAACGCTCGTCATTTCGCGAAAGGCCTTCAAAAACAACGCAAGCAAGTACTACATCAACAACAGAAACTCCGACTACAAGGAGGTTACCACTCTGCTCCGCGATCGAGGCGTGGATCTGGACCACAAACGATTCCTTATCCTACAAGGTGAGGTCGAGTCCATCGCGCAAATGAAGCCAAAAGCAGCCAACGAACACGATGACGGACTGCTCGAGTATCTTGAGGATATTATTGGAACCTCGAAGTACAAGACTCCCATTGAGGAATCAGCCGCAGAGACGGAAACCCTGAACGAGGTGTGCTTGGAGAAGAGCAACAGAGTGCAGCATGTCGAGAAGGAGAAGAACGGTCTTGAGGATAAGAAGAATAAGGCGCTGGCTTTTATTCGTGACGAGAACGAATTGGCTACCAAGCAATCGGCTTTATACCAGATTTTGATCGAAGAGTGCAATGACAATGTGCAAGTCACCCAGGAGAGTGTATTACAGATGCAAGCTGAACTTGGCGAGGAGCTGCGGAAGCACGAGGGAAACGAAGAGGGCATAAAAAGCCTTGAGAAGCAGTACAAGAGCGGGACCAAGCAGTACGAACAGCTCGAAAAGCAAACCCAGACTGTCATCAAGGAAATGGCGAAGATCGACAAGGAGACCGTCAAATTTGAGGAGAAGAAGAAGTTCTTGGCGAACAAGCAAAAGAAGTTGGAGAAGACCATTGAGACCAGCAAATTCTCCGTTTCTGAATCCGAGACCCACGCCAAGCAACGTACCGATGACATTGAACGAGACTCCATCGAGATCGCAGAGTTAGAAGAGAGCATGAAGGCTGAAGAGAAGGAGTTGGCGTCCATCCGAGAAAGTCTCAAAGGAAAAACACAGGGTCTCTCTGACGAGATAGCCACCAAGCAGAAGTCATTGGAGCCCTGGAAAGCAAAAGTCAATGAGAAAGAGTCTGCCATCGCCGTGGCTCAGAGTGAACTAGACATTCTGCGTGAGAAGGAAAACTCCGGGGCTGTTGCAATCACCGAGGTTGAAACGAAAATAGCTGGGCTCGAGGAGTCCAAGACTACCAAAGCTGCCGAGCTTCAGGAGTGCAAGTCTGAAAAGAAACAACTGGAGAAAAAAGCTGAGAGAGTCCAAGCGGACATTTCGGAAGTCGCCAAGAGGGAACCTGCATTACAATCAAAGCTGTCCGGTGCCAGGCAGAAAGCCGACGAGGCCCGCGCGAGTCTCTCAGCAACACAGACTCAGGGGAACGTATTGACTGGCTTGATGCGTTTGAAGGAGTCCGGACGAATTAGTGGTTTCCACGGGCGACTAGGAAATCTCGGTGCTATCGATCAGAAATATGACGTCGCAATCTCTACAGCCTGCCCTTCCCTCGACAATATCGTCGTTGACACAGTCGAGGTTGGACAGCAATGCATAGAATACCTCCGAAAGAACAATCTCGGTCGAGCGAATATCATTCTCCTCAACCGGCTCGCAAAACGAAACCTGTCCGAAATTCAGACTCCCGAGAATGTTCCTCGACTCTTTGATTTAGTCAAGCCCAAAGATGAGATTTTCAGGCCAGCTTTCTACAGCGTCCTCCAGGACACACTAGTGGCCAAGGATCTTGAACAGGCTAATCGTATTGCGTACGGTGCGAAGCGATGGCGTGTGGTGACCTTGGACGGACAGCTTATTGACAAGTCCGGCACCATGAGTGGTGGTGGTACCCGAGTTGCCCGAGGAGGGATGTCATCCAGGCTGGCAGCGGACGTTTCTAAGGACCAGGTTGCGAAATTGGAAGTCGACAGGGACGCATTGGAGCAAGAATACTCGAGCCTTCAGCAACACCAGCGGGAACTTGAAACTTCCCTGCGAGAGCTGATGGACCAGATCCCTAAGCTTGAGACCAAAGCGCAAAAGCTCGCCCTCGAACTTGAGAGCTTTGATCGCAACATCGCTGATTCTCAACGTCGTATCAAGGAATTGGGCGCGGAGCAACAGACAGGGAAGTCCGACAAGGGCCGGATCTCGTCGCTAGAAAAGAGCATCGCCACGCTAGAGAGGGAGGTGTCCAAGCTACATACGGAAACTGCTGGTGTCGAGGATGAGATCAAGACTCTGCAAGACAAGATCATGGAAATTGGTGGAATTAAGCTCCGAAGTCAAAAGGCCAAGGTCGACGGCTTGAAGGAACAGATAGACACTCTTTCTGACGCCGTCTCCACAGCCGAAGTCGCCAAATCGAAGGCTGAGAAGCAAAAGGTCAAGCACGAAAAGGCGTTTGCAGAAGCTACGGCCGAGCTCGAGAAGATGGCAATCGAAGCGGACAAGGTCGAGGAAGACATGAAGGCACAGATCAGGGATGCTGCTGGCACCAAGAAGCAGGCCGAGGAGGCGCAAGATGCCCTAGACACGAAGAAGGAGGAGCTGCAAGCTGTCAAGGCCGAGCTTGACCAGAGGACGGCGGAGCTGAATGAAACCCGCGCCGTCGAGATTGAGATGCGGAATAAGCTCGAAGAGCATCAAAAGAGCCTGAACGAGTCTCAGAAGAAGCTCCACTTCTGGCAGGATAAACTAGGGAAGCTCAAGTTCCACAAAACCAGCGATCTCGGCGAAGACCAAGAGGCGGACGGCATACCGACATACACCAAAGACGAGCTCCTTGACATGGATAAGGATGACCTCAAGCATGAGATCGCTGCTCTTGAAGCGAAGAACGAGAACGTCAACGTCGACCTCGGTGTTCTAGCTGAGTACCGTAAACGAGTCGAAGAGCACGCTACTCGGAGCATGGACCTTGCTGAGGCAGTGGCGGCTCGTGATACTGCAAAGAAGCGATGCGACGATTATCGACGACAGCGTCTGGAAGGCTTCATGGAAGGCTTCAGCCAGATCTCGTTACGCCTGAAGGAGATGTATCAGATGATCACCATGGGTGGAAACGCGGAACTCGAGCTCGTCGACTCACTAGATCCGTTCTCTGAGGGTATTCTTTTCAGTGTCATGCCACCGAAGAAGAGCTGGAAGAATATCTCCAATCTCAGTGGTGGTGAGAAGACGTTGAGTAGTTTAGCATTGGTGTTCGCCCTGCATCACTATAAGCCAACGCCGTTGTATGTCATGGACGAGATTGATGCGGCGTTGGACTTCCGAAATGTGAGTTACCCATTATTGGTCTTAGTTTAATGTGCTTTGCTAAATCCAGTACAGGTCTCGATTGTTGCGAGCTACATCAAGGAGAGGACGAAGAATGCTCAGTTCATCGTTATTTCACTGCGAAATAACATGTTCGAACTTGCATCTCGATTGGTGGGTGTATATAAGGTCAATCATATGGTAAGCTTATCCTCCCTTCCCTTTTACAAATCACCTGCGTGCTAACGCTGCTCCACAGACCAAGAGCGTGACCGTCGAAAACAAAGATTACCTCATCACCGGGCGGGCATGAGTTCCCTTCACTGTACCTTTTTCCCTTTTCCGTACGGCGTTCTGGTGAATGCTGTGGCATCTGGTAGGGCTTCGGGGTTGCATACTAGTAGCAGTTGGGCCTGTTGATGACATAGATGATAGTAATGGAATGATGTCTCAGTTTATCCGATATCTCCTCGCGAATGATGCCTCAGGGTCCTTGCACCAGTTCTAATTCCGTGGTTGATATAAGGGTCCTCCCGCTAGTCCCGATCTTAGCGTCGATTTCATGCAGCTCTTCTCCTGACTGAGTAGGTCTTGGCGTGAAAGCGGGTGTACCTGACGAGACCTTGAATTACTCTTAATAAGGTTTAACAAGTGTAAGGAATGGGCTAAGAATGTTCAGTTTTAATAAGAAGATACGTCAATACATTTGGGGCTTGCTAAGAGAACTCGTTATGGCGGTTTGGATTCTTTAGGTGAATAGGTTGACTAGGTCAGGTTTCGCAGGAGGGAGGTTTATAGGGTGATGCCTTGGTGGATGGGAGGGTCAGCAAGGGATAAGGGTGACAGGGTAGAGACACGGGGCACATGACTGCACGTGAGCTTCGGTCCGTTTCTTTTTGAGTACAAAATTTGCCTGGCGAATGTTCTGAAGAGCAAGACAATTAGGATGAAGAGAAAGCGGGCATATATATCCAGCATTTCGAAACATTCAGCCCATGTGATGCGTATATGCAATAGCATAGGGACCAGCGTCAGCTAGCTGACTTTTGCTATATCCAAAGATACCTGGAAGAACACTAAGGTGCGGCAGGTAAGATGACGAGACACTCTATCTGTTACAAAAAATCCAACGCTCCAACCAATGCAAGTAGCAATACAACCCATAAAACCTAGCGACACGCTAGAAATGCGGAACCCCACTCTTTTGATACAACCAAAAACCTTTGCGCAAACACCAGAAACGCCACCAGCCGAGCTACAATCCCATTACCGCCGACGAGATATTGTTACATATCCTGCTAATGTAACAGTGGTTGGGATTTATTTACGGCCCTAGTCTGACTCCTCCGCCTTCTGGACTCCGCGGTATTGTCGAAGTACTAGGCAGGACGCCGTATCGGCCGTAGGTTTTCTGGTCGACAGAGACGTAGTGAGGGAGGCGACCTAGGAGGTTGAGCTTGGCTTCGATCCAGCGGAGGATCTTTTCTGGCGGGACGAGGAATTTGATGTAGTTCAGGCCCCCTAATTTTGTCAGCATGAGACAGGATCAGGGTGGATGCTAGCAAGGAAACATACATAGGTATCCGAGCCCAGCACCGCAGAGATGTCCTAGGAAACTCGTGTTGGGGACTAAAAAGCTTATGACGAGGATGAGGATTAAGGGGGTGGTCCAGGTCGGGATTTTGTATGGTCCAATACTGGGTATGGATTAGCGATTCGTAGCTCTTGAGGCGTAGGGATCTAATACCTGAAGTTCGGGTTCGCTTTGTGAGTCTTCATGGCTTCGCTTGATAGCAGGAGGAACACCCATATGCTACATCAGTCAGCTTCGCCGTACCCATAGTTCAGTACAACAAGCTCATACCTTGCGCCCATGATTGTGGTATTGCTTCTAAAGACACCTCGTTCCAACAGGGTGTATAGGGCTCCTGGGATGAGTCCAAAAGCTATCCATCCATCAGACATGCCCCTTACAGCCGGTATTGGAGATGCTTACGTCCGGTGAAAAGGAGGAGGGTGGGTAGTGTCCCATTCTCAGCCTCGAAGCGCTCAAGTAAAGGGGTTAAAGCGAGGACATTGAATATCAGATGCACAAACCCGAGGTGCATCAAGGGAAACGTGTTCAACCGGTACACTGCGGATAGGGACGAATTAGTCCTTGGTTCATGTCTTTTGGAATTGACGTCGCGCTTGATATACGAAGAATTCAACAGGGTGAACAAGGGAAGGAATCCGTACATGAGGCCAGCCCGATTTCCTTCGGTATCAGGGCCGCCCATTCCCTCAACCAGATGATAGGAATCGACAGCGCCCACAGCGCAACGATGACGAAGATGAGCGCGCGCGTGCATAGGGGCAGGCGGAAGATGTAGGAGCGGAGCCGCAGCGGGTTGAACTGGAAGAAGGAGGACGGCATGACCGGGGAAACAGGCTTTAGAAGCCCTCGATGTGTGCTGGAGGAGGGCGAGAGGAATGATGCGCGTCCCAAGGTTCTCGCGCGCAAAAGAATCTGGGGAGGCGGACCGACGAAACGCCGATCAACGTCAAAACCACAGCTTTCTGACAGCGACGAGGGATGAATGGATTGAGGGGTCTGAGAGCATGTCGTTGTTAAGTATGTATATATTTTCTATTGTGGAAGCTGTTCTAAAGCTGATTAGTTTGTAGCATCACTCCTCGCTCTCCGCCGCGATGCGCGCCTCCTCAAGATACCCCCCTACCTTTCCGCGCTGTGTATCCTCGTCGGAATAGGATGGCTACTGGTATTGCCCTTGCAAGAGTATTCGAGGAACACCTACGTGTCTGAGAACGCCCTGCTACCCGGCCAAGTGCATACGTACTTTACTGGGAGCGAGCATAATATCTTCAGGGCCTACCGGCATGAGGTTGCGGAGCTAGTACACCAGCCGTTAGAGGGGTATGTACTTCCTCACGTTGGATTTTACCTTTCAAGGACTCATTGAGTTTGCAGGAGAAACCAGAGGCTTGCAGAGATATTACGGTCCTCCGGACTGAAAGTCGCGACTCAAAATTACGAATACTCGGCCTCAGGACGGACAATATCTGGCCAGAATGTGTACGCCATTCTTCAGGGTCCCCGGGCGGATGCTACCGAGGCAATTGTACTTATAGCAGCTTGGAGGAATATGGATGGAGAGATTAACCATAGCGGAGTAGCTCTCGTCCTAACACTTGCTCGCTACTTCAAGAGTACGTTGATTAACATACCAGTAGAAGAAGTATACTAACAGACTCTAGGATGGTCACTCTGGTCCAAGGATATCATCTTCTTGATAGCTGGGGACAGCACGGCAGGGCCACAAGCATGGGTAGACGCCTATCATGACTCTCACTCCCCTGCATCAATCGAGCCTCTTTCTATCAAGAGTGGTGCTCTCCAAGGAGCCGTTGCTATTGACTACCCAGCCGGACCATGGGGTCACCGATTCGACAAACTGCACATCGTATACGATGGTATCAACGGCCAGCTTCCTAATCTCGACCTCTTCAACACGGCCGTATCAATCGCCAGTGGTCAAATGGGAATTGGCTGCACCCTTCAACGTATGTGGAAGCACGACGACTCATACCAAGAGCGCCTCCAGACTATGCTCCGAGGAATGATCAGCCAAGGTCTCGGTCATGCTTCTGGTCCCCATAGCAGCTTCATCCCCTATCATGTCGACGCCATCACTTTGCAGACTGTCGGCGACGGCTGGCACGATGAGATGTCGTTGGGTCGAACGGTCGAAAGTCTGTTCCGAAGCTTAAATAACCTCCTCGAGCACCTCCATCAGAGTTTCTTCTTTTACCTCCTTATGCAAGCAAACCGCTTCGTTAGCATTGGGACCTACCTTCCCAGCGCCATGCTGATCGCGGTAAACTTCACCATCACCTCCATCGCATTATGGGTACAAAGCGGACGACCCGCTAAACCACCATCGCCCGTCTCAACCGACACCGAGCCCTCCGAGGCTCCCAAGATGACAGCCGTCGAGAAAGACGACATGGTAGCCCTAATCCCGGAGCAATCTCTCGCAATCATAGAACGGGAACTGTTCCTCCCTCTCGCTTTCGTGGGGAGCGCGCACTTCCTCGGCCTCCTACCTCTCTACATCTTTAACAACACTTCAGAAAGCGTATGTCTCCGCCTTCCCTCTCCACACCAACTCTTTCAGAAGAGCTCAACTAACATCCCCAGTCCCTCACCCTAGCCTTCCACATCACCACCTTCCTCGCTCTCTTACTCCCACACCTAACCGCCTTCGCCCTCTCCCTCTCCCCACACCGCCCTTCGGCCCAAGAAACAACCCTAATCCAATGCCTCTCGCTCCTCCTCCTCGGCATGTTCCTCTCCGCCCTCGCAACCCTCAACTTCTCCCTCGCCTTCCTCGTTGGCATCCTCGCCACACCCCTGACGTTCGTACGACCAACATCCTCCCGCCCACTAGCGGGATTGCAGACGCTCCTCCTAATCGCCGTCAATCCCCTCGTTGTTACTACCCTAGCGACGAGTTACTGGGCCGGCGGTGACGTGTCCCAGCTCAAAACAGTGCTAGTGGCTGCGGCGGAGGGGTGGCACGTGTGGGGCTTGTGGACGCAGGTGGTGGTGTGGTTGGTGTGGTGGCCGGCGTGGTTTGCGGAGAGTGTGGTTGTGGCGGGGTCGTTATTCGGGGAGCCGTCAGAAGCAAAGAGCGATAAAGCGTAGCGCTGAGAGCAAGGGTGATGAAAAGGGAAGAGGGAGACGAGAAGGTATGATATGTAAACATAGAAATGCATTTGGGATGTGTCACATGATCACAAGAAAAAGATATGTCTGCGCGGTTGATTCTGTGAGGACTTGTGGGCATGGTGGGTACGCGGTGTGGCCCTCGTCGTGTACGCGGCGTAGGCAAAGATTCGACTGCTGCGGCTCGACTGGGGAGTTCTTTTGCCATTTTTACACGAAACGTCTATACTCCTCATACGCCGCGTGAATTGTCTGAATCGGTGTCGTCTAGACTCTCTAGTTCGAGAAGTGCAGAAAGTGAACTGGAAAGGGTGTGATTGCATGGTTTTGACAGGTGGATGACGGTGTTTGAGGTGCCTCGTCAGGTTGAGGCCGATTCGGACACGATGGTAAGGTTTCGAGGGCCATAAACCCGTTTCCAAGAATGGTTTAGTGTAGTAGCACACTCTTGAGCATATACTTCACAGCAGCAGAGAGATAGCTTAAGTCTAAAATTTCTCTTATTCGTGACCGACTAACTGCCGGGCCCAGAGCGAGTGCTCTGTTACTCCGGATGATTATACATGCTCCACAGGCCCTGACTTTCCGGGCCGCAGAGCACCGCAACAGCTCCCTATGCAGCCCAAACATCCTTGCCCACCCCCTCAATCCAGTTCCCTAGCTGGTTGACGCTCGAATCCCATTCACGCAACCGCCCTCGCATGTTCTCGATCTGCTTCATATCTAGCACCTTCGGCTGCACCCAGTTGATCCGTGCGATCTCTGACACCTGGTCAATCGTGCCCCTAAGTAGCCCCAAGCTCAGCGCCTTCATGATCAAGTGCTCGATCTCGTTGGGCTGGACCTTCGTTTCCTCGGAGATCGTAGCGAAGGACATGGCGCGGTCGTGCGGTGGGCGGCGGAAGACGGTCTCTGTGAGCGCGGAGAGCGAAATCTTCTGGTAGAGGAAGGTTTGGTGTTGTTGGAGGAACTCGTTCTTGCCGATGTTGCCTGCGAGGACATCGTAGGCGACTAGGTCGCCGCGGTTGAAGGCGAAGAGGAGGTCTCTTAGCCAGGCGTGCTGAGTATGCGAAAGGGTGTCTAGGATCGGGTGCAAGAGAAGTTCACCGAAGTTGTAGATGCTGTCGGAGACGAGAGCGGCGATGGCGAGGTCGTAGGCGCGCGATTGGCGTTCTGTGGTTGTGAGGTCGTTGACGGAGACGCAGGCGAGGAAGAGGAGGCAGTTCTTGTAGTAGGCTGCAAAGTCCATTTTGTGCTGTTCACGTTAGCTACCGTCATGTGGGTAGATGCAAGAGGGCATGCTACCTTGTAATAGTCCGCATTGGCACGGTAGAAGGATGCGTGCACAACGGTCTCCACCGAGTCGAAAGTGTCTAGTATCTTCTCGCACTCATCGAGCTTTTTCCGCGCACCTTCATACTCCTTCAGCTTCAACTGGATATCTGCGGCTGCCACAGTGGCGTATACGTAGGCGTCTTGCGAGGCTGGCTTGTTGACCTTCTCGACGAGCGCTGTGAGGAAGGTGAGGCGCTCTTGGTTATCTTCAAAACTGTAAGTACGGAGTAGAAGTATAACACAGCAACGTCTCATTCTCACCTCTATAACATGCAGCTGTGCTTAGACCTAGCTGGACAAGCTTCAACTGGTTGATCTTAGCCGCAAAGGTCTTGATGAAGTTGTCGTATAGCTGTATCCGGTGTCGTGCGCTGGCGGGTGTCTGGAAATATTCTAACAAGGCCTCCGTGAGCTCGTGCCATAGCTTCCTCTCCCAGTAGTCCTCGAAGGAAATGAAGTGCGTCTGGAGGTCGTCGGGGGCCTCATCCCGCATGTCGCCCAGCAGGTTGGGGATCGTATCTGTGTCCATAGCCATGCTGTTTTGCTTGTCCAGATACTGGAGTTTTTGAGGGTTTGAGGAGAAGGAGAGATTAGCTCAGCAGGACGGTGTGAGTACGAACGCAGATGGTGTTTTGGTAGAGTTCTGGCGGCGTCAACCAACAGGCAGTTGAAGCTCCGCGAATGCGATCGGTCTTGGCGCGCGGTCGGCGCTAGGGTTTTTCCATCACCGAAAACCGACCTCGAACGACGTGAGAGCTACTATCCGCACGCCTCGACACTACTCTCTGAAGGCATTGACCCGACCATGGCGTTCCCTAGGCATTGCGCTCGCTCTGGCGCTGGTCTGACGACAGCATTGACCTCGCCCGCCCACATTCCGAACGTCTCGAGGATTTACCGGCGGGGTCTGAACGAAGATGTCAGGATCACTAGGACCGGCAAGCCCATTCTCACAGTATCCGGGGGAAGGTATGTTGATTGATAGTGAATCTGAAGGTACATGTCTGACGTTCTTTCCAGATCATCACTCGGAGGTATAGCCACTTGGCACGCACGAATCAAAGCTTCCGCTCACTCATGGATCAACAGGCTACACCGCGACCGTCTTCGGAGCTACCGGTTTCCTCGGAAGATATATTGTGAACCGACTGGGTACAAGTAAAATCGCTGAAGTTATAGACAAAGTCTGACGGGAAGCAGCTCGTTCGGGATGCACTGTCGTCGTTCCCTTTCGCGAGGAGATGGCCAGGCGTCATTTGAAGGTTACCGGAGACTTGGGACGGATAGTGTTCCTTGTAAGGAACTCGATACTGGAGTGAAAGCGCACGCGTTGACATTGGTCAGGAAATGGACCTTCGAAACACAGCATCCATCGAGGAAAGCGTACGGCATTCAGATATTGTTTACAACCTCATCGGACGGGATTATCCTACAAAGTTAGTCGTACATGATTAACATAAATCCGGAGCTGATAGGATGCAGGAACTTTGATCTCTACGACGTCCATGTAGAGGGTGCTGAACGAATTGCTGAAGCCGTTGCGAAGTACGACATCGACCGATTCGTCCACGTTTCCAGCTACAACGCAAACAAGAACTCTCCGTCAGAGTTCTACCGAACAAAGGTCTATACACCTAATACTCGTGTTGTAGATGATTGCTAAAGTAGGGTTAGGCATACGGAGAAGAAGCGGTCCGCAACATCTACCCCGAGACCACCATCGTCCGACCCGCGCCAATGTTTGGGTTCGAGGACCGCCTCCTAAACTCGCTGGCTGGCCAGAAAAATTTCATCACATCGAACTGGATGCAGGAGCGGTTCTGGCCAGTTCACGCCATTGACGTCGGCATGGCGCTTGAGCAGATGCTCCACGATGACACCACTGCATCGGAAACATACGAGTTGTTTGGACCCACCAACTACTCATTGGGAGAGATTGCTCAGCTAGTCGATCGGGAGATCGTCAAGAGGAGAAGGCACATCAACCTTCCCAAACCGGTGTGGAAGCCAACGGCTGGTCTCATGAACAAGTGTCTGTGGTGGCCGGTTGGGTCTGCCGATGAAGTGGAGCGTGAATTCATTGATCAAGCCATCGATCCGAGGGCGAAGACTTTCAAGGACTTGGATATCGAACCAGCGGAACTCAAGAGCTTGACATACGAGTATCTGGTAAGTCATCGCATGCTGTTCCTAAGCTATGATCCTTGTGACCTTGCTAACCATGATTCATCACTATAGAAAGGCTACCGCAGCTCCGCTTTCTACGACCTACCCCCACAGACCGAGCGCGAGAAGCGGGAAGAGAAGAAGTACCTCCACGTCCTCGACGACCAGTAGTTTCATTGCTGTCTTCAATTTCATTTCTCTATCAACCCAAATCATATGCCTTTGTGTAAAAGACAGCCAAAGCGGAGCGGCGGGGCTGGGCACTGTGTATCGATGGGATTGTACATATCAATGCGAACGGACTGCATATATTCTAATCTGAGGCATCAACCGCTAACTACGATGGAGCTTGTGAATGGGTAGATTCAGGGGGAGGACCTGAGGGGTCAGGCTAATTTGGCCATTCAATGGGTCTGGAGATCAAAAAGATCAATGAGGTTGATCCTAACTGTTTTCGACAGAAGAGGCTAACTACCCACACAGAACGGTGATCTTGGTCACAAGAAGTAAATCTCAATGGAAGCGATTCTTGTCCGCCTGCACATCGTTCTCCAAAAAGAGCTCGATCTTGTCGTTCATCTTTGGACCAATGTCATTCGATAAGCAACAGCAGACGATACCTACTGCACCAAACGCGATCGATGCGAGACATATCGTCCTATGTCAGAGTCAGCCTTCAAGTTTCCTACTCAAAACAGAAAAGGGAAGGAGGAGTCTCGTACCTCAGTCCCACGACATAGCTTTGAACGACCGCTGCGCCCGCCGCCTCAACAATTGCGGTCGTAATCCCGGGTTATTTTTCAATGGCTGTCGCGCCGAGCGGTAGTGCGGCCAATAGTGCCTGAGCCGTGGAAGGGGTAGCACCAGCCGCGATGGCTGCCTTCGGAACGAGAGACGCCGCATGGGATGCTTGAACGTGCGACAGGATGGTGAGGTAGATGGACTGGGACAATGCACCACTAGTCTAGCGGGCAACACCTCTATCTCATTGTTAGTGAATACTTATAGGGTAAGCGTAGGTAAAATCACGGCAAGACTTACGCCAATGCTCCGGAAATTCCCAGCTGCGTTTGTGGCACTCCCGTCTGGATGAACGTGATACTCAGCGTTTGCGCCCATCCATACGCCCCCTCACAGATAAACACAAAGACCATGATCGTGGCCTTGTTGTCTGGTTTCATGAGTGCGAGTAGTCTGCCGAAGAGTGGCATAACGAAGAAGGATCCGATGAACTGGTATTTCCAGTGGCCAATTCGAATGCCGAAAATCTACAGGAGGACTGAGCCGAAGATGAGACCAAGATTTTGCGGCAAGGTGAGCTCAAGAGAGTAGGAGAGGGGAGTGGTGGCATTAGTCCAGAGGACGTTGATCTGGAACGACTTAGCAGGCGAAAAGAACAGAACCAAGGGAATTAGAGCTTACGGCCGTTGGGTAGGCGATGTTGACTGAATAAAAGAACATGTTCACGATAATTCCGGCAATGAAAGGGAATGTGCTGGTCCACACGTAAGCATTTCAACTCCTTCTCATGGTCTTTGGGAGAAAACTTACAATTCTCGCCCGTAGTCCTTCGCAAAGATCTCTGGCGGTGTCATCGGCTGCTTTAGCGGCACGAAAGTCTCATATAATGCGAATACCACAATAATTACGAAACCCGCGACCAGCAATCCGATGACTTTAGGATCACTCAATGTTATGATCTGAGTGTAGATCACAGCAGTGAAGACGAGTAGCGCCCCGGTGGTGAAGAGTACCGCGCCACAGTAGTCAAGCTCGCGAAACGCCTGTTTAAACGGAGTGCCACGGGGATGCTGTGGCGGCTTGTATAGCCAGACTAGTAGCACGAAAGAGATGCAACAAGCAATCGCCGGGCCGTAGAAGAGCCATCTCCAAGCTTCGCCGTGGCGGATAGCGTAACGGCCGGTTATGGGGCCAAAGAGGACCGCAACCCAAGTGCTCAGGTCTATTCGAGGTGAGTATGGGATCTCAGAGGTCAGGATGACAGGGCGTAGTACTTACCGGCTATGAGGACCCCTATGTGGCGGAGGCGATTTGGTAGTAGCTCTGGCAAGGCGAAAGCAGCGAGTTGACACAGTCCGCACCCATGCCTATACAGGTGGCACCGGCAATGATAGCTTGTGTGCTTTTGGCTGAACCGATGGCGATATATCCGACGAACACGGCAACGTTGCCACTGATGATGAACCAGCGCCGGCTGAATATAAAGCTCCCTCCACTTCAGGTTCTTAGGCCAAGGGAGTTAGCCCAGGAGCAATCAACAATGCTATGCGTTCCTAGCTATGGTGGCAGTGCGAGTCTCCTGTGGAAACTGGGGGTGATGTAACGGGCTATGTCTCGATGCTCGCTCGCGGGGCTCTTGATGGATCAACTTGGGAGAAAGAGATGCAGCAATGGTTGGAAATCTGTCTGGTGATTGGGTGATGGAGAAGCATACGTAAAACAACACACATGTGCGTTTTGCTTTCAAGAGATCGGAAAAGAGAGGAGAAGTTGGCTGATGTGGAGGTTGTGTCGAAATGAGGCGACCCAGTCTCTGATGGAGTGGAGGGTGGAAGCATCAACTGTAATGCTGGGCATCGTTACTAAGGACATGTGGTGATGGCGATTGGGCTTAAATACTGACGAGTAGCAGAGGCTTAGAAGGCGGAAAAAGGCTGTCCTTATGCTGAAGAGATAATAAGCAGCGTTACCTTGCCTACCGTCATCAGTCTTTCTCACCCATGAGTCTCCTGTTTCATCCGTTTTGCTCCTCCGTCTACAAACATGATAACTTTCCATGTCTGCATTTGAACATCTCCCCCACGGCTCCACTCGTAAAGAGGGTTGGCTGCCGCATCGCCCCAAGCCAGCACATGACATGTCTTCAGAGAGATGTTTGAAGCAATACTTGGAGGCGCTCTTGTCGAGAAATCAGGGCTCTTTCGAAAGGAGGGGGTTTATATTCTACAGCCACCTGTCCCGTCACGAGTTTTAGCTGAGCACCTGACTTCCTCGTGCTGGTAGAAAGAAGTCACTTGACTACAACATAGACCAGACGAAGGAGTGACTCCGGAACACCTACCGGTATGTAAAGTTGTAAAGCCACTCTGTGTGAGAGAAGTACGAGAGTTAAGAAACTTAGTAGATGCTAGCTAAGCTCAATGGAAGTAGCGTAGGAATGAATCTCACAGCTTCGAAGCAGTTGGAATGTTCTCAACGACGTAATATTTTATGCTTCCTTCTGGTGAGTTGTGCCCTCTTTTCCAACTGCCTTTACCTGAGTGTGATGGCAAACGCTTCAGTACGCTTATTCCTCAACAAGGTCACCACTGGCAACGACGTCGGCGTCGCATTCGTGCCCTGCGACCTAGCTGCCCCTGTAAGTGCCTGCTGTGCCATCGGAGAATCATGCACAGGAAATGGCCCTTGCTACAGTGGTCTGGGTTCGATCTATCGCGCCGTGTACGGATAGGAATTGGGGCGAGTCCTGTCCACACATTTGCAGGGAAGCCGACCCCAGGCTTAATGCAGGTACGTATGCTGCGAATTCTGGCCTCCTTTCAAATTACCAGTTTTGTTGACTGAAAGCTGAGTTTTTGCGTGGTCCAAGGCGCCCAAGACGGCGGTCAATGACTCTCAGACTGCGGAGCACCGAGCGCTAACTTCGTCTGCGGTGACAACAGTGGATGCGACAACGCTTCGCTCATTTTCGTCCACGCAGTTGGTGTAACACTCGGCGTCATGCTCCTCTCGGCGATAGGGTGGGCTCTATGGGAACGGCCGAGAACGAGGCGTCTTATGAGACAGAATGCTGGCACGGTGACAGGACCCGTTCAGCATGACGCGTCTATGTACCAACAGACACCACAGCCTCCACTAGCTGAGGTTGGCGACCATGGGAGGGTGTGGGAGATGCCTGGGACGTGATCTCGGTTACTCGTCTGATACGAAGAGCAAGAGAGGAGTGTTGCGTCCAATCGGATTATCTATTCATAATATTCTCAAGGATGTCAGTCTCGACCCTATTTCCTGACGAGAGGTAGCAATGCATCAACACTACTAGAGCTGCAGGCTATCTGATGCGAGTCTCGTAGATGATGACCTATTTGCTTGGCTCACAATTATTGGCCGGGTTTGACTGTGCAGATACCCACGCCGCCTTCAGATGCAAGCTGTAATCGCACCTCTCCATCGCTCTTCTCGAAGGCGGTAAAGGCCATACGGCCATGTTTCGATGCTGCATATTAGCGCCAACAGGAATCATACTCTGTCATTTGCAGTTGAGACATGAACCCTTGTTCAAATGCGTAGGTAGATGTTATTCGTCTGTCCCCTCGGCAAATATACAATGCAGCCACCAGCTGCCTTTCGTTACCAACCAGTAACTGAAGCCAGATGACTTTCCTAATGATCATGCGCCGTAGCCAGCACATCCAATTCCGGCAACACCAACGTCAACAAAGATAGGTAGAGAGAATCAAGATATGCGTGCAAATGCCGCCAGAAATGCCACTAACCAAAGACATGTGTGAAGGAACACGAATCGCAAGAAATGTAACAAACTCACACCTTGATGAGGTTTAAAGCTAGAAATCGACAATCGTAGTGCCCAACGCCAGGGAAATGCCCACCCATATCCAATTGAGTAGATGAACTGGAGCCAGGGTAGAAAGATAACATAACGCCAAGGGAAAGCATACAAGCACAAACTGACTTGTCGGACTTTTACGTCCAGTAATATTACGGTTCTCATACTTCCAATGCCCCAACCATGTAGAAGAGAAGATATGCATTCGCGGCTAAGACTTCGCTTTCTGGGACTAGTACGACCTTGGAATCGTCGAAGAGAAACCAGTCGTTCCCTTCCCGGGAATAAGAAACGTAGTGTCCAGAGTCGATTTTGCCCTTGTGAACGACAACTGAGGAGAGTTCATAGTATAGAGAAGGATATGGAGAATTGATATTTTGAGAGGAATTGAGATTCGATAGAGAGGGGTTTTTTAAGGATGCTTTCGTGGTTGGAGCGGTAGTCTTGCAGTGCGTCGTGTACGGGTACATGTCCAACGTGAGCGGGAATTTGATTTTGGTTTCGAGTTTCGAGGACGAGGATTTGGAATGTTCGAAGCGCTATAAATGCCCTTGTTAGCTAGTTTTCTACTCTAATTTTTTTTTCCCCCATATATACCTTTAGGTGTATTGGAAGAACCGGCGGTAGTCGCTTTATACTGAGCTGCTTCGTTGCATTTTGCTGTTGGCCACCGCAATTCCCACATGTGTATTCGGCCGCCGCTAGCCTCTCCCTCCCAGTGAACCTGTCGAGACAGTCCCGGATATCGATCGCAAAGTCCTTGTCGCCTCCGTCGCCACTTTGTTGTAATTTTCGCTTCTTCGCTTGGCTACGTAGGTCGAGACTGAGGTCCATGACGGGGTCCAGTGCTGTTGTGACGTTGCGGCATTTGTCGCATGTGACGGTACTCTGCAGCATACCCGCAAAAGTTTGGTGGATGATACAACCGCAGTCGGAGCCATGGGAGTCTGTGGAGCCGCCATTTTCGAGGTGGAGCGTATTTAGGATGAATTGCATGTATTCATGTGCGTCTTGTTGCTGATAGCCTGCAAGTGCCTGCGTTATATTAGCACAAGTTGTCCGAAATTCGTGATGCGTCTCCTCTCCCGCGGAGTGTGTACCTGTGCAGCCATCCAGCTCCCAAGCAACATACTGACAGCTCCATATCCCTCTGTCTTCTCCGCTGAGTGGAACTCGATGATTATCTCGTCCATAGCGCAGCTCACGCATGCGTCCTTTTCACAGTCGGCCGGTTTATGACCCTCGGCAAGATAAAAATTTCGGACAAATGGATTGTGTAGAAGTGTTTGTAGGATGACGCTCATGAAACAGGTCTGGCCCATGTTATAGAGACCTCGCAACCCGATGGCGCGGCAAGGAACGAAGGTAGAGTTGTGGCGAATGAGCTGAGAGTTGTCCGGGCTGTTCATCTCTTCGTGTTTCCGCTTCTTGCCTGTAAGAGCATCAGATCGGGCTTGAATACAGATACCCGTACAACGATCTGGAACTACGAACCTTTCTGCAGCCGGAGCGTTTCTAGAGCCGGGTCGTAGACGTAATCGGCGCATGGGTGGCAATAGAGATATCCTTCTCGTGATTCCACAGCTACCCTAGTATTAGCCGTGTGTTCTAGACATGCTGGATCGTATATCCGTACAAAAGGCATGCCCCTTGGCGTCAAAATGGCCGTCTCGAACCTCCTCGGTCATCACGTTCGGACATTGGAGACACAAATATAGAGGGCGGAGGGAGACGACGGACCGGCCGTCGGCATTGGCAGTAGATCTGTGGGTTTGTGCTATTATACTAGGCTTGTCGTGAATCGTCTGGAGGATCTGGATATAATTTCTGGTGGCGGCCTTCTTGGCCTCTTCGAAGAGCTCCCGGACGTGTTCTGCGATGCCGTGTCAATATTGGGGGGCGACTGGAGGAGTATTTCCGTGTAGAGGACCTACCACACCCAAAGGCAACGCTGGATTCCATGCTATTCGCGGTGACGGCGGCAGTCTTTGCATTCTTGGTGACTTTGGGCGACGCCAGCGCGGCGCCCGAGGGCGGCTTGACTGCGATGCTGTCCATGGTGGTGAGGGAGGAATCACCGGCTACATGGCTCGCAATGGAGAGAGCGAGCGTCGGGGGTCTTTGGGAGCGTCACGGGGAAAAGTGACGGCCTGCCCTCGCAGTGAAATGGTGGTGGTGGTGAAGGTTTGGGATAGTTACCGGAATAGCTTACGGTCCCAAATGACCCTTAATTGCGCGCCGATCTCCCGATCTCTGACAGGGGCACCTCCGCTGTGGCTGCCGCTCAATATCAACGGGGAACCGACATCTCTCCTCTTCCTCAACCACCACGCATCCTGCACTTCGGTATATACAGAACACGCTGCTTTCTCATCTCCCTCTAGACAGTATAATCCCATGTGTGCAACGAATACATCCAAGGGAATGGAACAAGGCTGTCCCTCATTCTTTTTCTCGTGAATCAAGCTGTATCCTCTACTCCGCAACCTTCCTTCCACTCCATGGGGAAATCTTTCTTCATATATTCATGTAGGTACCACAGTCAGACCTCAAAGACCCTAATGAGGACAGGGGTGACGGTGTTAACTGATAGCCGAGATATCCAGCGCCCAGGCGGTAAGTAATTGCTTTTGCGTAGGCAGCAACTTCGTTCTTATTGCCTCAGGCATATATTTCGCTCAGCCTCACATGTGCCGCCTCTTGTTACATACACCATCGGAGTTTTTCTTGCTTCTGTTCAAGTGCTCTAAGCCGCATGATAAGGTGGTTCAATCGTTCCGTCCAACTCAACTCATTCTCCGTTAGGTTGCAAAGAGTCCTAATGGCCCTCTTATGTTCAGTCTGCTGCGACCGCCTCTGCTCTCTCATTAGCGATGGATATAATTACTCTCGCCTTAAGACCATCCCACCGACCAGGTTGAGGTCTGGTAACGATGGAACAACGTTCGGATTCCAGTACGAGTCCATGAAAGGCATCGCCCATTGGGTGTCAGTGCAGTTATTCGTATTCGAGTACGACTTCTTAGGATACCTCAATGAGTGGACAACAAAGGGTTGCTTGGTCGCAACATTATTGGTCCAACGCTTCAACTACGCAGCGTCACATAAGCTCCGGAATCCAATCAGTTTGAGTGTAACGCAGCGCTACTGGAGATGGATGCCCCAAAGCTTGAACTCCATCGAACTGAAGTTGACAGACGTGACGAAGTGTGCAGACCTATACAGTGGGGCTCCCAAAGCCGATTTAGCACGGTGCAAATACCGGGTGACGGCAGACTCCAGTGGGGCTCTATCAAACTCAGGCTGAGGTGTACGGCTAACGTTTCTAGGCGATCCACTCTCGAAGACGATTCTAAGCCGTCCAGATCTCGAAAACAGCGACACCGCTCTCAAATCTATGATCGCGCTCGCAAGACTCTGGCTGGTGGAATGCGACAAGCACGGAGGCTGTAGCCTACCAGATCCTCCACTGTTACCAACAAGGGTAATTTACGTTGCCAGTCGAATGAGGAGTTATATCTGCATACTACTTACGCCGAAGAACACGGTCAATTCGTGACACTCAGCTACTGCTGGGGTCATCAGCAAACAGAAGTAACGCGTACATCAACGCTGGCAGAGCATTCGAACTCGTTATCATTTTCCAGGCTACCAAAGACAATACGCGACGCCATCGAGGTTACAAGAGCTCTGGGATTCATGTATCTTTGGGTAGATGCTATCTGCATTCTGCAAGATAGTGAGGACGACAAAGCCCAAGAAATGTCCGAAATGCCGTACATCTACTCCAACTCAGCGCTGACTATCTCAGCGGAGGATGCAACTGATTGCTCCGAGGGACTTGTGGTCCATGAATCCGATTCTTCCTGGCCACAAGTCATGTGTCGCATTCCTTTCTTTTGCAAACGCAATACTCGGGGCCATATCAACCTAATGGATGATTCGGCTCTGGATTCTGCTCAGCCGTACAGCGCTGGCCATGTTCATACCCGAGCATGGACATTACAAGAACACTGTCTTTCACGACGAGTCCTTTCTTTCGGCATTACAGTGCGTCGGCGCTGCCTCCGCGGGAGGTTGAAAATATTCCCACCTTAGCCTGCAATCGGCCACACCCAATCCTTGAGGAATCGCCCTCATTAGTTAGCCTAGTTCTCGATCAAAAGCGGGAAAACCGTATCAGTGCTTGGTACCGGATTTTGGAGCTAGCCTACGCCAGAAATATGACCGACCAAACTGACAGTTTACCGACCCTCTCTGGACTTACATTTAGGTTTAACACGGTATTACGAGACGACTACCTAGCCGGAATCTGGAAAAATGATCTTTTCCAAAGTCTATTATGGCACGTCGCAGATGGTTCCCTCGCAAGAGGCATGGACTCCTTCGCTCGACGCAAAGCAAGGGCTCCAACCTGGTCCTGCTTGTCTCTCCGGCGCCCTGTGTCTGTCTCGCGAGAAGCTCTGGGCGATTTGATGTGGGCAAAGTGTTCTTTTGATCCTTTAGTTCTTTGCGAATACCTTGGCCACGATATCGAGCCGGAGAACTCTGCCGCACCTTATGGTAGGGTTCGTAGAGGCGCTCTGACCTTGCGCGGGCCACTTCAATTGTTCCAACAGACGTTGCACCAGATTGCAATATATGCAGATGATGGTCGGCTGACGAGCATGCTGTCGCACTCCGTAAACAATGAACGCTACGGACATTGCTGGGGTTAGCGATTATCCGTGACAGACCAAAAGAAGCACAATACGAGGATGATTATGAAGGAGATTATGATTTTGCAGGACTTCTTCTTTCTAAAAGAGCGGACGGTACGTTCGAGAGGATTGGAGCTTTTGTTTTGCGCGCCTCCTACGACTATGATAAGCAGATGGAGATTACGACCGTCACGCTCGTTTGACAAATGTCTGCAAATTCTTATTGACCAATCCTGTAAGTTTTCCCGAACTATTCCGCTGGCTCAAATATTTCCTCACTCAATAAACTGAATCGTAGTTCGTGTTAGGAATTGTTGGCTTGGATGTACCTGAACAAACCTTTGGGTACACTTCTTCATTACTACCAGTGTACAGTCAAATATCCGGACAACGTGTAGATTCTCCGCGGCTACATATTTGCATGGTAAATATTCGCATCAATCGACCATTCATCACGGTCCATGGTACTCCATTACATCACTAGAAATACTCACGATATACGGGATGCTTCAGAGCGCGGGTTCAGATGTCTCACAAGTTCCTAAGAATCGGTTGCCATTATTTCAGAACACTTTACGTAACGACCACTGGTCGTCTATCTCGAAGGGCTTCTATCTTCGTTAAATGGGCGAAATCTAGTTCTCGGGGACCACTGCTACGAACCAAACAGAAAGTTGAGAATTTGGCCCTACCGCCCCGTGTGTCTTCAGTCGCCTTTCGAATAGTGAGACTCGTGTAGCTCTCCAATAGTCTACTCACAGAGACAACAGGTCTTCCGCTGTTTCTATCGCAGCGTCCATGGATGCTTTCCATCTCCACGAGACCCATTCTTTTTGGATCGTCCCGTCGTGCATTGAGATTAGAGCTCACGTGACTTTCATGAAGCCTCGATATCTGTATATAAGCCGGAATCTGGGCTTGTATAGATGGCACTGCTAAGGCTCTTCTACGTACCATCAAAAATATACTGGCCAAGAGATTATGGCTGTGTGTGCTGTGTGCTTCAGAGTCAGGATCAAGCAGATTCTCAAAGAACGCCGGGGAACACCATCTCTCGTTATCTGGTGTGGTTTTCTCTCCCCATCAATAGTGATGGTAAGGCGTACTCGTTATTAGTAAAACCCCTCATTATTGCCTTGGTCTGTAACGGATGGTCTTCTTCACCAACTCTCTGCTCACCCCCGGTCCACGATCCATTGTCGCTTCTTCATGGTACTTTTGATAGGAGGTCGGCTCACATCTACTTCATATTAAGTTTTGGGCTTTTACGATTTCAATAACGAATCGCGTTTCTGCTCCGTCTCTGAGTTCTGTTTGTCGGTTCTGCGGAAGTTTTCATAGCTGCTAGGACAGAGATTGCCGTTAATACACCACATGATATTCGCACGGATGATTATGAAAGCTGAGACACGAGATGAACTCGGTGAACGGATAGTAGCACGTGGGTCCATAACATGCAAAGATTCCAGATGCAGCAGTCCCACGCGACAAGAACGATAACGGGGCAAACCAACCGTACTGAAATCGCGAAACATTGCATCGGAAGCCAACCCTCACAGGAACCCACCTCCATACCATCTCATTCGCTGCAAGACAAGTAATATTGAAGGAAATATGATCGCTTCTCCCATTCCACACCAATAAGCAACGCCGCTAAAGCAACCAACGGCAGCAGTTTGCGATCGCACCAATCAGACACCCGCACCCCAGACCACCACCGCGCCATCTACACTGCCTATGTTAGGAAACACAACCCCGAAGTCGTGAACAAGGAGGCAGTACTCCGCGATCTTAACATCTGCCGAAAGGCTGCCGTGCGAGGTCAATCAAGCCGCATAAAGAGTATTTGATAATAAGTAGCCAGTCGCCCCCTCGAAACCATATCAACGCCAGGAACTCCCAGCTCGAACAAATCCTCCTCCTCCTCCTCATCATCATCGCCCTTCTCCTTGATATCCTCCGCCTCCTCGTCTAACAAAGCGACCATGCAAGTCCGCGTCGCAGCCGTGCAAGCCGAGCCCGTGTGGCTGAACCTCTCCGGCAGCGTGGACAAAACAATCGCGCTGATCCAGCAGAGCGCGAAGGACGGCGTGCAAGTGCTCGGTTTCCCCGAAGTGTGGATCCCTGGGTATCCGTGGTTCGTTGCGCGCCAATCTGCCCCTTCTTGAGTGAAGCTGATCGGAGATGGGGGGAAGTTAGGGGTATTTGGACGACGTCTGTGATTGGTGAGGCCCGATTCGAAAGATCGAAGCAGTTGGTGTTGGAGGTATGGGAGCTAAAGCGACTCTACAATAGGCAATGTCCCCATGATCCACGAATACATGGCGAACTCGCTAGTCCGCGACTCGCCGCAAATGCGGCGCATCCAGACCGCGGTGAAAGAGGCGGGCATGTTCGTAGTACTGGGATACAGCGAGCGTGACGGCGCGAGTCTGTACATGGCACAGTCCTTCATCTCGCCAGAGGGCGAAATCGTGCACCACAGGCGAAAGATCAAGCCGACGCATGTTGAGCGAACGCTGTGGGGCGATGGGCAGGCTGATTCGTTGACCTGTGTTGTTCCGTCGAAGTTTGGGCGGATTGGGGGGTTGAATTGTTGGGAGCATTTGCAGCCGTGAGTGTTTGTTATGGGTTATTCAGGCGGAGAACGCTGATGTTGGAGAATAGGCTTTTAAGGTACTATGAGTACTCGCAAGGCGTACAGATCCACGTCGCGAGTTGGCCTCCGGAGTTTGAGATGCCAGATCCGAAGAAAATAGCGTGGCAGTACCATGAGACTGGGGAAGCGAGCTACCGAGCGAGCCAGTTCATGGCTATTGAGGGACAGACGTTCGTGTTGGTTGCAACGCAGATATTGACGGAAGAGAATTTGGAGAAGAATAACTTGACCGGGAACCCGGTCACAAAGACTGTAGGTCGTCGTTCCGATCATGACATGCGGATGGCTAACAGTACGGACAGCCTGGAGGTGGCTTCTCGATGATCTTTGGTCCAGATGGAAAGCCGTTATGCGAACCGCTAGATACTGGAGAGGAGGGCGTATTGATTGCGGATATCAATCTTCGCGATATCGATTACGCGAAAACTTTCATAGACACGGTAGGACATTATGCCAGGCCAGACTTACTCAGTCTCCTAGTGAATCCGGTTGCAGCGAAGCATGTAACGTTGATGAAGTAGAAGGTAGATTAATCTCATGTTTCAAGCTAGCTTTCAAAGTAACGTGGAAATTCCTCCGGACTTGGTGGAGTACTTCGTAGGTGGTAGATCAGATGAAAGACGGAATGCCCGCGCTCGTATCGATGAGATCACGCCAATCGTCAATGTGCTCATTTCTCTGGTCGGAACGGAGGTCATTTTGCTTCCACAGAGTCTTGATAATGCCTCTGACAATCTGAACGTTGCCAATTCGTCTCTTCTCGTCCATAGAGTCCAGAATGTCAAGAACCCTGATTCTGTCAATATCCGACGTAACATGGCATGCCAACATAAACAGAGGCCATGGACTGGTACAGATCTCCATCCAGTCCATGAGCTCGAAAGCTTCTCGAACGAGGCCTGGGACATATTCTGCCGTTAGAGACGACTCGGGTGCCACTTGATGCAGGTACAAGAGAGCACCAATTCGGTAGAATTCAGCTGTGCGCCTCACACGTCCCGCATCGACGGTACCTGCGTTTTGTCCCAGGCGAAAGGAAACTTCTTGATTCAGACCCTGTAGTCGGTAACGAATGATAGAGGCGAGTTGAACAATTCCGGAGTCTGGGCCGTGCGTGCGTGAACGTATTATCAAAGCTCTGAGATGATTGATGCACCCTATAAGCCGCATGACTTCGGGAGAACAACCAAGTAATCCTACGATCTGCATGGCGTTAGTGTCTTCCTTGAACCAGACGACTTCTATGATGTGGTGTGAATACCTTGCGATCATTGTCATCGCTAGAAGGGACTATCACATCGCTGGCCGAAGTCCCCGAGAATGTCGGATAGCGTTGGCTATACTCGCTGAGAATGTCGTGATAATCTACCCAGACAGAAAGAAATGGAAGTGGAAAATCTGTACGGGCCGCTTCGGGTATAACTTTTAGTATATCCTTCGCGGCCTTCAGATGCAGTGGCCAACTCGAGTCGGTAGGATCAAAAACCTGGTAGGTTGCGTCAGCAGCTAGTATTATAGCTCGAGAGTTTGACGAAACCATACGCTATAGACGCATAGCATCATGCAAGAGGCCGCTTGCGCTGCTACCGAATTTTTGCTTATCCACAAGGAAATGCATAGCCTTTTGAATGCGGCCATCTTATACTGTATAGCGTCTTCTGTTTTGGACAGATGAAATGATGCTAACGCTAAAGTTGCTTTGAGGAGGCTTTTCGTAGAATCTTCAGATGAAAGTGCCATTGGTAAGATGTTCGTTCGGAAGCCATTGTTGTCGTCATCAATCGTCGTGATCATCCGAGCCAGAACGGTATCATCTCCACTAATGTTAGCTGGGTACGCAAGCGCAGAGCGATATGTGCTATTTACAATACGATAGTAGAAGGCCATCGTTCTCGGTCAGTGTCGGATTTAAAGAGAGGCTTCTCATGATTCTTGGAACCATGACTTCGGAAGGATTCTCGGTGATCAGGTCGAGAAGAGAGGGCGCAATGCCTTTCACGTCAAATGCAGTAGTGTTGAGGAACGCTAGCCCCCCTCGAAATTTCCTATAGCGTGATGATAGTTGAGTGAAGTTGTGCTCTATTGAATACCGCTTTTGCTTGCGTCTGCCGTCGGACTTTGTATCAGGCCATGCAAGCTTCATTCCATAGCCTTGACACAGGCGGTTCGTCCTCGAGCAGTTCTGGCATGTGGGCAGGATTCTGTCACACCCGATCTTCCGATCTTCGAGAAGTCAGCTGACTGTGGTTGTAAAAGGCTGTGGCGGGCGTGAGATAAACCTTTGCATGTCCAGCAGTTCTGGCGTGCTCTTAATGACATAGTCTGCAGCCAAGGAGTATTAGCCAGAAAGATCTAGCTTGCTCCTGTAATGTTGTGTTTGCGAATGCCGGTAGGAGAGATAATTGTGGGTCGGCACACGACTCAAAGATCTTGATATGCAATGGCTGTCTAGATGATATGTCGATTACACGCCCGGGGGTGTCCGGATACCTTTGTAATCCTTGGCCTTCTAATAGGCATCTAGCGGCAACTAACTGTAGCCCCAATGCTAGGTTAAACCTTGCCGGCCCTTGATGTCGAACAGTTGTCACAAGGTTGTGAAGCGTAGCTGAGAGAAGTTTTAATCACTTGTTGCCATCACGGAGAGCACCGTGGTGATGAGGACTTCGTTGTAATTCTTAGAGCGGTTCACCGCTTAGAAATCATGGCTGCAAGATAACTAGGGAGTTATGAATCATGGTCGGTTTGAGCCTTTAGGGAGAGCCTGGAAGGCTCGGTAAATGACCGCGCTAGTTTCAAAGTAGCATGGACACTATATAAATGCACATATCAACAGCATCTTCGAAATCTGCCTTGTGATCTTGGACACTTCAAGAAGTAGGTAACAAATTTTTGTAATTCCCTTTAGTGCCAAGCTTATAAATCTCTGCCATGAAAGCCGATCCTAGCCCGATTCCTGTCCCTATTCCTAGGCCACCAAATTCTCCTGAATTTCATCACGGACTTCCATATCTGGACCATGCAGATAAAGTCTAATTAACAAAAAGGCCCCAGTCCTTGACCTCGAAGCTCGCTAAAACTTTCTCCCGCACCATCGCTGCCGCTTCCAGCATCACACCTGGCTTGCCGTTCTCTAGGTCTACGCTTCCGAGAGCATACTCTTCAGCTACATGTGGTACGTTGATGGCGATTGTGATGTCAGTCTTCTGCTCCGCAAGCCGTACAAGCGTGAGCAGGATGGCGGTGAAGTCGGGCTGAGGATTGCGTGGGGGAGTTGGTGGTGTGGCAGGTGTTTGGATGGCTAGAAGGGTATGGGCTGGAGTAGAGCTGTGAGATTCTTAGCGTAAAACTCAGTGAAGGATCATTTTGGACGTTATCAGATTAGGAGTAGAAGAGGGTGGAGGCTGAAACACGTAATAACGAAGACTTCCTTGACGCAATGACAAGTATGAATGAGACGTAATACTGAAAGTAGGGAAATATTCATGGGGAAAGAGAGTAAGGCTTACGGCATCTTTGCTAAAGTCGCCTGCTTGACCTCGTGGAAGTTGGTGGCATCCCCGCTGCCGTCTACGATGTCTTGGAAATGCACCTTCAGCGCTGCTTCATCGGAGGCGGCATCTTCGACCCACTCGAGGATGTCGAAGATGATGGATGTGAAGCCGTTGGCATCGAGGTAGACTTCTTGGGTGTCAGGGACTTGGCGTATGTCGCTTTTGTAGACAGCGAGGTTAGTAGGGTTGGTTGGGTGTGAAGGGATTGGATAGACGAACCTCACGTCGCCAAACCCGGTTGGGAGGTCGACGGTTATGGCGCCACCGAATAGGTTGGTGTGTTGGAATGACATGGTTCTTATTCAAGTAGACAGATTGTCCGAGTGAAGTGGTTCTTGTAGGAAGTCGTTGTTATGTGGTATGAAGGAGAGCCGTCTTGCATTATATAAATTTTATTTGGCGATGGTGGATGCAGGTAGCAATCAGGCAGATGGTCAGGCAGCGAGATGTTTCTACCTGGTTGGCAGCGCCAAATTTCAAAGCAATTTTATGAAGGTGACTTTAGTACTCTATTTGCTGAGGGTATCATGTGGGATCTTCTCCGTTTCAGATGCTCTTCTCCTCCAACCTTTCCTCGCTTTTTGGTGAAGGCATCAAGGTCTTGGACCAGGCACCTAGGCAACACTGCAATTTCCTCCAATGTCTAAACATTTTATATGACCCTATAGAACCTTGAGGTACCCCATGCAGCCTCACCCCGCCCAAGCAATGCCCACCCATAACGCCATGCCATGCAGTTTTGTGGTTCCATCAAGTCGTACATCGATTCGTGGTAGTTTTAAGATCCCAAGAGACTCCCACTCCTCTACACTGTTGCCGCCGCACCACCGTCAATCTCCATAAGTGTTGTATTTGTGCGCTTCCCGTTGTCTGTTCCGATTCCCACTGCTGCCTCCGCCGCCTTCTGTGTGTGTGGTTCTTCGCGAAGTGCTTTGACTCTACAATTCGTTAGTGCGCGCCCAATATTCACATCTGTAGATCTCCGTCCGTACCTCCGCTTGTGAGTGCTCCCCTTCTTGTGCCCCAGAAAGTTGGTCTCGCCCTCAAACCATTTCGCGCACTCGGTGCAGTACCACTGGCCGAGGCCGGGCAGGTCCTCGACGGCGTGGGCCAGCTTGTACTGCTCGAGGTGCTTGCCGTCAGTCAAGTCGGCATGGATCTGGTCGAGATCGCGGGTGTGACGGCGCGTCTTCTTCTTGGACTGCGAGCCCCGTATCGCCGGCATGATGGCTCGGTATGGTGTTCGGGATGTCGGTTATGCTCGAGAGTTTTTTTTTGTGAAGATGCTGGCGAAGAACCCGTTAAAGCGGACACAGGGGCCCGTGCTAGCGCGACCCTGGCTGTGACGTTTCGCAGGACTCTTGAGCTCACAACAAGCTCCAATTGCTCCGAGAGGCGGTAATAAATATCGATTCACGGTCACAAGCCGCTGCCTGAGCTCTACCGCAACTTTCAGAGGGCGCAATAGGGTCTTGCACGAATTACAACGCTCCGCGGCCGGAGTGGGAGTGGGGCACAGATGCAGCAGCTGCGAACAGTTCAAGCGAAGTTCGGGCGGCTCCTTCAGCAACACCGTGGCCCAACTCTGGATATACGAACGCAATATAGAAGGAACTCTTCTTGTCGGACACAGGAACGATTGAGCAGTATATAAACAAACCAAAGCGCCTTCCTTTCACGTGCCGGCCGAACGGGAAAGAATTGCCGCGCAGTTGTGGTAGAGCGTTGCTTTTAAGTTGCCGAGGGTGAAGCAAAGCCTTTCAGCCAGCTTTCCCGCACAGCCCGCCGACTGGCGAATGAGAAAGCGGTCATTATCTACCAACTTGACGTTCTTCCTTCCATTCTCCGCTTCTCTCCACCACCACCACCACCACACTCTCCCCTCTCCCATTCCACCACCACGATGCAGAAGTTCTCGCGCCTCGGTCGTGTCGGCCAGGGCCTCATGGGCTCGCGTTCGCTGGCAACCGTCAGCGACGCTCCGCTCTCTAGGAAGGTCGAAATGACCAACTGGGAGAAGGGCCACTACATCAACTACAAGAAGATGAACGAGAACCTCAACATCGTGCGCGGCCGCCTCAATCGCCCCCTGACCTACGCCGAGAAGATCCTCTACTCGCATCTTGACGACCCGCATGGCCAGGAGATCGAGCGTGGCTCCAGCTACCTCAAGCTTCGCCCCGACCGCGTTGCCTGCCAGGATGCCACTGCCCAGATGGCCATTCTGCAGTTCATGTCCGCCGGCATGGACTCGGTCGCTACGCCTACCACCGTCCACTGTGACCATTTGATTGAGGCCCAGGTTGGCGGCGTGAAGGATCTGGCTCGTGCCGTCGACATCAACAAAGAGGTCTACGACTTCCTGTCCACCTCGTGCGCCAAATACAACATTGGTTTCTGGAGGCCCGGCTCTGGTATCATCCACCAGATCATTCTCGAGAACTATGCCTTCCCCGGTGCTCTCATGATCGGAACCGACTCCCACACTCCCAATGCCGGAGGTCTCGGCATGGCTGCCATTGGTGTTGGTGGAGCTGATGCCGTTGACGTCATGGCCGACCTTCCTTGGGAATTGAAGGCTCCCAAGGTCATTGGTGTGAAGCTGACTGGTGAGATGTCGGGCTGGACTTCTGCTAAGGGTGAGTTGTGTTTTCATAATGTTGCGGCTATACGGATTGCCCCGCTATACCAAGCCTCCGATTAGCTCCGCACTAAGCGTGCACGCGTTCGTCAACGGTTCTTCCATGAACCATTAGATGCGGAAAAACAACTGCAGTTTTGATACCGCTACTGGATTCCCACGCTAGATGTCCCGCGAAATGCGCTCGGAGAGCTCCGGCATTCAATTGGCGGTTTGCGACTCAGATGGTTCTCTGGGATGCTATCGCGAGAGGTGGCTTGATTAGCTATCTTTCAGCACAAAGCTAACATTCTTTCAGATATCATCCTCAAGGTCGCTGGTATCCTCACCGTCAAGGGTGGAACCGGTGCCATTGTCGAATATCACGGCCCCGGCACCAACACCCTCTCCTGCACGGGTATGGGAACCATCTGCAACATGGGTGCTGAAATTGGTGCCACAACCTCTCTCTTCCCCTTCAACGACCGCATGTACGACTACCTAGCTGCCACCAAGCGTACCGAAATTGGTGACTTCGCCCGCGAATACGCTGCTGAACTCCGTGAGGACGAGGGTGCCGAATACGACCAACTGATCGAGCTCAACCTGTCCGAGCTCGAACCCTACATCAACGGTCCTTTCACCCCCGATCTTGCCACTCCCATCAGCAAATGGAAGGAGGCTGTCAAGACCAACAAGTGGCCGGAAGAGCTCAAGGTTGGCTTGATCGGTTCATGCACCAACTCGTCGTACGAGGACATGTCCCGTGCTGCCAACATTGCTGAGGATGCCATGTCCCATGGTGTCAAGGCCAATTCTCTGTTCACTGTCACCCCTGGTTCCGAGCAGATTCGCGCTACCATCGAGCGTGATGGACAACTAAAGACCTTTGAGGAGTTTGGCGGCATGGTTCTCGCCAACGCTTGTGGTCCTTGCATTGGCAAGCAACACTCCCCTCTTTCACTGTTGTCCTTGCTAACTCACTATGATTAGGCCAGTGGGACCGTAAGGATGTCAAGAAGGGCGAGCCCAACTCCATCATCTCCTCCTACAACCGCAACTTCACTGGCCGTAACGACGCTAACCCCGCCACCCACGCTTTCGTCACCTCCCCTGATCTCGTCGTCGCCATGACCATCGCCGGTACTCTAAACTTCAACCCCTTAACCGATACCCTCAAGGACAAGGATGGCAACGAGTTCAAGCTCAAGCCTCCCCATGGTGATGGTCTTCCCCGCAACGGCTACGACCCAGGCCAGGATACCTACCAGGCGCCTCCGGCCGACCGCTCCAAGGTCTCCGTCGCTGTCTCCCCCACGTCTGACCGTCTTCAAATTCTCGAGCCGTTCAAGCCATGGGATGGAAAGGACGCTCTTGATGTCCCGATTCTTATCAAGGCTCAAGGCAAGACTACGACTGATCACATTTCCAGTGAGTAACATTGTCGGTTATATCCTTACATGCTCTAACGATATGTAGTGGCTGGCCCCTGGTTGAAGTACCGTGGCCATCTCGACAACATCTCCAACAACATGTTGATCGGTGCTATCAACGCCGAGAACGGCGAGGCGAACAAGGTCAAGAACTTCAAGACTAAGGAATACGATGCTGTCCCGGCTACTGCACGTGACTACAAGAAGAACGGCATCCCATGGGTTGTCATCGGTGACTGGAACTACGGAGAGGGTTCGTCCCGTGAACATGCCGCGTTGGAGCCCAGACATCTTGGCGGACTTGCCATCATTACCCGATCATTCGCCCGTATCGTGAGTGTTCTATTACGCTGATCTATTGCGAACAACTACTAACCCACCACAGCATGAGACCAACTTGAAGAAGCAGGGTATGCTCCCTCTAGTCTTCGCCGACCCGGCCGACTATGACAAGATCCAGCCCGAGGACAAGGTCGATCTATTGATCACTGAGCTCGCCGTTGGCAAGCCAATGACCCTCAGGGTCCACCCCCACGATGGAAGCAGCACCTACGACGTTAAGCTAGTGCACACCTTCAACGAGGGCCAGATTGAGTGGTTCAAGAACGGAAGCGCACTGAACACGATGGCCAAGAAGGCGGCGGAGAAGAAGGCGTAAATGATGAACATGCAGTCTTTGTTTGCGATATCAAAGCAGCGAGAGGGCATGATGGGACGGCCTGGGAGGTCATCCCTAAGCCCCGATCATTCAGCGGAGGAGTGGACGATTGTGGATGATGATATAAGATGAGAGCTCGCAAGCGAATGACTGTCGAAGCGATGCATGCGATGATGAAACTTGATGGCCGTCAACTACTGCAAATGTATTCTTTCTGCGTGCCTGCGTAGTGTGGATGGGATGGTGTTATAGAAGCCTCTCTATCTGTATGTAGCTCTTTGGTAACAAGTTTTATGGGTTTTCCTTCCGATGGTTTTGTTCTGCATATGGCGCATACTTTATGATTGCTTCGTTATACAGCGGCCATGTTAGCGTACCTGAGTGACACATGACTTTACGGATAATGGCAGACGTGAAAGCCGTGCTTAAATTCGCCAACCCGGGAACTCCCGATCGCAAGAGGTTAAAGCTTCACGTGACACGCGCCGTTGCCGCACCAACCACAATCCCCAAACATTCGCGAACCCGCGAACTTCGGCCCACCAGCCTTACCGTTTCCCATTACTGACCTATCCTTGCAACGAGGCCCGACAACACTACTATTTTATTTTTTTGGGTCCTTGGATATTTCTTTCTTACCTTTGTCTCAGCCGACACGGATCGGATTGGATTGAGGATGGCGAGGTTGCGCAACCCAGCCCTGGTGCCGAAGTCGACACAAAAGCCGGCGCAGAAGCCGCTGCAGAAATTCACGGATGAGGATGAGGATTTTGAGAGTGGGTCGGAGCCGGAACCGGAACCGGAACCTGAGGTTGAGGAAAGTGGGGATAGTGAGGATGAGAGTTTGCCGGATCTAGATTATATTCTTTCGTCAAAACCAGGGAAACCGGGGAAACCAGTAGGAGGAGCAAAAGCAAGAGAAGGGATATCGAAACCGAACTCTGTGCCGGCACCGGCGCCGGTGAGGAGGAGGAGGATTGTGGAGTCGAGCGATGAGGAAGAGGAGGAGGAGGAGGATTATGCAGGGAGGAGGGAGAGGGGGAGGGGGGTGGGAATGGTGCCCAAAGCAAAAGATACGCCGAAGAGGCGACAGAGGATGCTAGGGCCTGTGGCTATTAATACGACGTTGTTGCAGAAGTTGTCGTTGGAGGAGTCGAGGAGTTTGGAGAAGGGGGGGAGGCGGAAGGAGGGTGGGAGTGGGAGACAGGTTTTGATTTCGAGGACGGAGAAGAAAAGCAGAAAGATCGACGCAGTCGAGACTGAGAAGCCGAAGGAAGTTGAAGCGGAGATTGAAGAGGTTGAAGAAGTTGAGGAAGAGGAGAGTATTTGGTGCGGTACGGAGCCAAGTGATGCGGAGGCTTCAGAAACGGAGGGGCAGTCAAAGAGGAGTAAAATCGCCCCGGCATTGTCGAGAACACAGCGAGACGTTAGATCAAAAAGCGAGTCGTTGGAGAGCAAGTTGTTGGAGACAGACGTAAGATCAGCTTCTGAGCCAGCATCGGCGGTCATAGACCTTACAGCATCGCCTTCACCAGTCAAGAAACCAGTACGACCAAAACAGCTTCCGAGGTCGGTTACTCTTCCGAATACTGCGAATCGTCCGTATAGCTCGTCTTCGAACGATCATCATGCTATGCTTCAGTAGTAAGTCAAACGCCATTTACATCCTCACGGTTTATACTGACGGCCAATCTAGCTCCCCACCTCGCAGTTACTCTCCTCGCAAAGCTGCCCCTGAATATTCTCGCCCGAGCACACCACCGCCTGCTCCAGCTAGCCCGTCAAAATCTCGTCTCCAATCACCCTCAAAGACAAAACCCCGCATTCCATCCCCTCCCCACATTCGGCCAAGTCTCGATGCTTTCTGGTCTGCCGACGTGATCAACACCTGGAACGACACCTACTCTCCCTCCAAACCTCTCATTTCGCCCCGAAAGCCCAAGTTCCTTGCAAACAACGACTCCGACGACTCTCCTACCTCATCACCTAAGAAGTCCAGAAGCCCCTCTAAGAAGGCCGATCCGGCAGTCGCAGCCGCCCGAAAAGCACGCAAAGACTTCGAAACCGACAAGGACGCCCTCGCCCATGCTTTCCTCGCCGAATTAGACACTCTCACCACCTTCTCTCAAATCGCCACGCTTACAGCCTCAACCGGCGGCACCAAAATCGTCTGGAGCAAAACCCTTAAAACCACCGCCGGCCGCGCAAACTGGCGGCGCGAAACCTTCCGCACCCGCGCTCCAGACGGAACCATAGAAACAAAATACCGCAACCACGCCTCCATCGAGCTCGCGACAAAAGTAATCGACAACCCCGACCGTCTCCGCAACGTACTCGCGCACGAGTTCTGCCATCTAGCCACCTTCATGATCGACGGCCAGCGCACGCAGCCACATGGCGCGGAGTTCAAAGCGTGGGCGCGGAAAGTGGGCCGGCTGTTCGGCGACCAAGGCGTTGAGGTCACGACGAAGCATAGTTATGAGATCGAGTTTAAGTTTGTGTGGGAATGTGAAGGGTGCGGGTATGAGTTTAAGCGGCATAGTAGGAGTGTGGATCCGGCGCGGCATACGTGTGGGAAGTGTAGGGGGAAGTTGGTGCAGACGAGGCCGGTTCCTCGGGGTGGTGGGAAAGGTGCGAATGTGGAGGAGGGGGGTGGTGCTGGGGGCGAGTATAGGGCGTTTGTGAAGGAGAATTTTAGTCGGGTGAAGAAGGGGTTGAAGGAGAGGGGGGCGGAGGCGGGGATGGGGAAGGTAATGGAGGCGTTGGGGAAGGAGTATAGGGAGAGGAAGGCTGAGACGGCGGCGAAGACGAAAGCGAAGGGGAATGGTGAGAGCTTTAGGGATGTTGAAGTGGCTTTTGAGGCATTGACAGTTGCTGATTAGAGGGAGTGTTCTTTGTGTTCTTCCTCCCGTCGTTCTATATCCACCGGGAGTGTCTCACGTACCTATCTGCCCTCCCAAATGTAATACTACTATCGCTAAATTCTTACTCTATATCGGAGACCTGATTTACACCCTCAAAAAAGTTACATTGTCCTTCCAGCTCCTCTGCCCCCTCCAGGGGCGTCTTACGTGGTCATCTATACCCCAAATTCTACATTAACATTGTTTAATTCTTACTCTATAACTATCGGGGACCTGATTTACACCCTTCCGACCTTTACATCCCTATTTTAGCTCCTCTCCATCCTCCAGGGGTGTCTTCCATACCTATCCACACCTCCAAACTCATAATAAAACCCCTCCAAATTACGATGCACCAGACTTATATTACCGCAACCCTACGTGATTATCCTACCAGGGGTGTCTCATGTGGCCACATACATCCGCAGCGAGCACACAAAACACGTTTAATTCATAATGCCACCCTCTTGGAGGGCTATTTAAGCCAACCATTTATGCAAAGAGGGCTACCAAAAGGCCCCCTCTGCGTCGACCAACGACCAACGACCCCCTCTGCGTCGACCAAAGAGCCCCTCCCTCTACGTCAACCAGCGGACCACTCTGCGTTACCTAAAGACCCCCTTTGCGTTAACAAAAGTGGCCCGCTTGCCTCACCCAAAGAGGCCCCAGACTTGCCTAGTCACGTGGGCGTACAGATCCGCAACGAGCACACAAAGCGTGTTTGAAATCTGGACGTCACGGACTAGCGCTCCTAGCGCGTATACGCACGCATGTTCAGCGCTGCCTGAGGTGGCCCAGCGAGATTGCTGACAGTGTGAAAAGCGCAGTTTTCGGATGAGTAGACGCATCACGAGGCACCTCAGACGGTGGCAAAAGAGCGTACATACATCGATTGTAGAAGAAATAAACGAAAGAAGTGTGTGAAATCAAACCATGATTTCTTAAATGGTGATGCTTGAAGACGTCGTACATTAGCACTTATAGTCTGCATGCGCCTGTTCAGCGCCGTCTGAGGTGGCCCAATGAGCTTCCTGACCGTTCAAAAGCATGGTATTCAGGTTCGTGACAGCAGTTTGAGGCACCTCAGACAGTGGCAAACAAGTGTGTAATTTATGAAATCAACCAGCAATCTCGACCCTACGCCTAATGACCGCTCTCGCCTCCGGGACCTGCAGCGCTTCAATCCCCAACTCCTCCAGCACGACCCTCGCGCTCTGATTATCCGCAAAGAGCCTCTTTTCCACCTCCCATAGGCCCAACGTGTCGCCCCTTCCACCACCCTCTTCCGCCTCATCATCCCACGCTTCCCACTCATCGCCTCCCCCAGCTCTCACGCTTCCCTTTACAGGGAGGCCGAGTAACTTGCAACCTTCTGCCCAAAGCCGCAACCCTATGCCGGCAACGCCTTCACCCTTCGAGCCGACTGCGGTCTCTACAACCTGAATAACAGCAGTTAGATCCGCCTGCAGCTGCCGCCCGCCGTGGATCGAGAAGGTGTGCCTGTTGACTACTGCATCGGAAACGACCTGATCTGCCACGCCAAGCACGAGCCTCACGATGCGCCTAAGCGGAGCGGGTGCAAGTGCCCGACTTAGGAACGAGAACGAGGTACGTAGCGTGTCCAGCAACGGGTCGAGCTCCGCAGTGGGTGACAAAATGGTGGTTGAAGAGCCAGAAAGGGTCGCCCACGGGTTGATGCCTCGGTAAGCACGCAGCGTCTCGCGCACTTTCGAGCTGAGGACATCGACAATGATCCCCTCAGATCGGATCCTGAGCTTCCTGTACGCTTCTGCAGTTTCATCAAACAGAGCGCCGTTATCAGCGTCTGCCCCTCCTTCGGTGACGGTGGTGGAGGTTTTGCCTGCTACATCGGCGATGGAGAGGTCTGCGCCGAGGCCGTGAGAGGGAGATGTGGAGCGCTGCGCACGCTCGCGAAGCTCGTCCCACAGCTCGATGAAGAAGATGTCTTCGCTCCAGTCGCGCATGGCGCGCTGGAGATAGTCTGCGCTTCCGTTGATGCGGCATAGGCGTTCTAGACCCTCGACACCGTGAAGCTTGGCTTGCTCTTCCTTGGTGACTCCCTGCACGGTGCGGCCTAGTGAGGAAGTCATGGCCAGGTAAGCCTCAAGCCCCGAATGAAGGCGTTCGTGGAACAGGTCGAAGATGGAGATTTGGATGTCTATCAGGAATCGAATCTTATGATTGAAGGAGGTAAGAGAACGATAGCGGTCAGTGATTGTTTCGAGGAGATCGTTGACACGAATGGCGCCTTTGGTAGGCTTGGTCGCGTTGGAGTTAACGGACTCATAGTCCAAATCTCCCATGTCGGGTGCGGAGATTATCTCGTGGTACCGGGATAGTGCGACTATAATCAGGGTGAAATCAGATGGTCAGCATAGCTCTTTGGCTCTATAACACGATTTGGAAGGTATTCTTTACAAGTCTTTTCCACTCCTAGCCATAGGCCGAACCAATTACTCTGGTCCAAGACTTCCCACGCTAATCCTTTCCACCCATCAATCCCATTTCCACCGTCATATTGCCAATCATCACGAATGGTAGTATCGAAGCTCATGATCTCATGCATGAGATGGCTAAATAGTTGAGGGTCGTTGGAGACTTTCGGAAGCGTGGCAAAGATCTTGGAGCGGACCATTGGTAGTAGTGCCGTAACGAATGCAGATCTGGCGTGAATGTAGACCAGGTTCATTGCCATATCTGTTCCTCTAAAGCGTGCGGAGAGTACTGGCTGCACGTAATTGACCATAAAGTCGTCGTACTCGTTCAAGATTTTTGTGATGTCGGCAAGGAACCATTCTGGCTTGTCGAGGCGGTTGGTAGGCCGATTGCCTCCAAAGTGGTAGCGGAAACGGGCCTGGAGAGGGTCTACAAGAACTTCTAATGGAAAGAGAACGATAGGAGTTTTCACGCCGCTCTTGCCCACCGGCGAGCTCTCCAGGGCTTCCAACTCAGGCATTTGTAGGTCCAGCAATTTCGCAATGCAGGCATCCCACCGACTTTGGAGGGTAGCTGGAATGACTGCTTTAGGAGTCGGCCATTTGATCTCTTTGAGTATAGCTTCCATATCGGCTGCAAAGGCATCTTTAATTTGTTTGCGGAGGGATTGGGAGGTCTTCACGACGTGGTCGAGGAGATGTGGGGTTGCGCCTTCGGCGGCTTCATGTAGAGGTACCAAGCGGGTGACGAGGGATTGCAATTGCTTGTATGGGCCCAGGGCTGCTTCGCTTGATGTTTGGAGTTGGGATTGTGCTTCTTTGCTGCGTGTGATTTAGACTCGCCTTCATGGCAGTAGGGTAGAGTAGCCTACTTGAGAGTGTCCACGTCTTGTAGCAATTCCACATATGCATTGGCAACGTCGAGCCGTGCCAGCTTCTCTAAGCTCGCCTCGAAGCGCCCAACAGCTTCATCACTGGTATCGGACCTCGTTATAATCATCAACCTGTTATCGATATCCGCCTGCTCCTTGATGAACTGGGCTGCGCGTTCTTTCTGCGCGGCCCCGTGGCGGTTCGAAGCACTCTTGGCCTCTTCGTGATCGCGTCCTGCTTCCTCAAGTTGCTGCTGGAGTAGGGTATGATTATTGCGGAGAGTTGAGAGTAGAGCGTTGAGCGAATCAAGGTCGTCCATGGTTTGCAGCTTGTCATCGAGGTAGTCTACCACCCTCGCTTCGCGCTCCTTGAAGTTCTCCATGGCAGAGCGTACAGCACCGTCTGAGGTGGCCTGGAGAGTTGTTAGCCTTGCGAAAACTGTCGTTTTACAATCTTTGATAACGTACCAGGGGATCTCAAGCGGTGCTAAGCAACTGTACACAGACGCAGAGTGAGCGTGTATAACGTTTTAGTATAGATGGTCAAGACGCGTTGTGGCTTTGAATTTCTCGGTGGGGAGGTGTGACCGCATTGTCTTGGCATGCACAACGTCCCGTTGACATGTGATCTAGCACCGTCTGAGGTGGCCTGATGAGCTATCAGACTTGTCAAAACTGTCGTTTCACAGGTTCTGGTAACGTATCAGAGGACCTCAAGCAGTGCTAGGCAAGTGTACACAAGCCGTGGGTGAGTATATCTGTAGAATATATTCGTACTTTTGCCATGCCAATCTAGCATCTATCTGCACACGCTAGGCACGAAAAAAGTGGCACACTCCTCAAGTGCTCTGCCCATATGTACACCTGTTTACCACTGCAGGAAGTGCTTCAGCAAGTTTCTACATAGCCCAAGGCAAAGAGCATCCATCTTCTTTGAATTCCTGAAAATACATTGCAGCAACCCAAGCAGTGGCAGATAGGTGTACACACGAGACGGCTTGTCCTAGAATTAGAGTGCCACCTTTTCCATGCCCCGTGTGCTACAAAGCAACTGACGGCCCCCTGGCGGCATCAAATGCAGCCTTTTGAATGGCCGGCTGTCTAGGAGCCCATTGCGCTTGGTAACAGTGCCAGTCAGCTCCTTAATTATCACCCCTTAGCGACAACCTAGTGAAGGCATCATTGCAGCATTCCTCATTCTTGCCCGCCGCCGCCCTACGGACGAATCCATCTCGCTCGTCCAGCAATGAGCCCGGAGCGCGCATCCACGACGTCTTGAGCGAAGCATGGCGCCCAATAGTCCTTCCTGGCCTTCGCATTAAATCATCGGAGGCGTCCCGAAGCGTCGCTAGCCTATTTATAGGGCTGTCAAACCTCGATTCCCGATTCGACATTCCCGATTCGACACTCCCGATGAGAAAAACGGGCGTTATTCGGCCAATCACACGGCTGCGATCTCGGGCGGCCTTGGCGATGGCTAGAATAAACGTGGAGCCTCGCTCGGGCAAGCGCACGCCTCGTCGGCTTCGCCTGCTCTGTCTAAGACAAACTTCGCCTGCGAAGGAGCCAGCAGAATATTGGCGGCTCGCTGCATTGACGTGGTGCTGCCGTGTCTCATGCCTGAGCCGCCGGGGCCTGGATACTCTATCCTTGAAATATCTTCCGTTGTCCCTGCGCGCCGATCTCTCTGCACCGCTGCACCTCCACCGCTCCCCTCCCGAACCCTGCAAGATTTCTGCATTTTCCCACATTCCTAGCACACCTCACAATCACCACCCACCGCCATGCCCAAGGAGAACAGGAAACGCGGCCGCCGCGAAGAGGAGAAGAAGCGCAAGCGCGACGGCCATGACGACGATGCCACCCACAAGCGCCACAAGAAGTCGTTTGACGGCCAGCAGGAGTTCGCTCCGTTTGACAACGAGCAGCAGTACTTCGAGGGCCTCGATGGCGTCCCCCACCCGGAGGAGATGCCCTACTACGGCCAGCTGGACGAGGAGGAGCAGGAGTACTTCAAGCGTGCCGACGAGCTGCTCGAAATGAACCAATTTGAAGGACCCGAAGAGCGCGCATTGTTTCTCGAGAATGTGTACCAGGAAGCCGAGGAGAAGGAGCTGAAAATCGCAAATAGCCAGTCATGCTCGCGACTGATGGAGCGACTGATTCTGCTCTCGACGCCAGCCCAGCTCAAGTCGCTTTTCCAGAAATTCAACGGACAGTAAGTATAATCACGAAATATCTCTGGCGCGTCCTGACTCTCTACAGCTTCTTGAACCTCGTACAACACCGATTCGCTTCTCACTGCTGCGAGGCCCTGTTCATACACGCAGCTCCGATGGTCACACAGGAGATGGTTGCACCGCTGGAGGACCTGACCTCGTCCGACCCAAATGAAATTGTGGCATCAATGGAGAACCTGTACCTCTTCGCTATAAACGAGCTCGAAGGCTACTTGGGCTACCTCATGACTCACCCCTATGCATCACATACTCTGCGTGTCCTTCTACTCGTACTAGCCGGTCTCCCCTTCTCCCAATCGAGTAAAAAGTCGCCTGTCCAGAGCAAGAGGAAAGAGAAAGTTGGTGTGGCCGGAGTGGAGAGGTCCAAGGGACTCACCCTCGAGAAGCGGACAGTGCCAGAGGCTTTCACTAGCGCATTGGAGAAGATCATCAATGATAGCGTCTCTGGGCTTGATACCACCTATCTTCGAGCACTGGCACTACATCAAACTGGAAATCCTACTCTACAGCTTCTCCTCCAACTAGAGCTATCGGAATTTGGGAAACAGAGAGCCAAGGACGAGAACTCGATAATGCACCGACTGCTTCCCGATGGCCCAATTGCAGAGGGCACGGAAAGCGCATCATTTATCAGTGGCCTCATATATAGCCCTATCGGCTCTCGACTACTGGAGACCATCATCGAGTTTGCACCTGGTAAAACTTTCAAGGCCTTATATCGCGAGTTCTTCAAAGATCGAATGGGAAGTCTAGCCAGAAACGAGATCGCGGGATATGTGGTGGGCAAGATTCTCGAACGGCTAAGTAAGGAAGATCTAGAAGAAGCGATGCATCTAATTGTGGAGCAAATACCCGGGCTCGTGGACCGAAACAGAACAGTCGTCATCAAAACCTTAATCGAACGTTGTACAATCCGCGGCGTATCCACCGTACCTATTGCTGCACAACTAGAAGCAGGATACAGCGGCGTGAACGGATTTGAAATATCGCGCCTCCTGAAACTCGGCGGCGAGGCGCCTTCAGAGGATGGCAAGAAATCGTCGGAATCAACTTCACATCAATCGCATCCCGACAAACTCCACGGCTCACTTCTCGCACAGGCTATGCTTGCTGTCCCTGGTCCACTCAGTAACCTAATATTTGACTCTCTAGCCCGTGTAGGATCATCTCTGTCGCTTCAGATCGCACGCGACCCCACCGCGTCCCGGGCACTACAGGCAGCCCTAACCTCACCCACTGCAACGATCATCTTCCGCCGTAAGATTATCCAGCAATTCTACGGACATATCGCTGAAATGGCGCTCGACCCTGCTGCTTCGCATGTCATTGACTCGGTGTGGGAGGGAACACACGGACTTGCTTTCATCCGGGAGCGTCTTGCAGAGGAACTGGCTGAGAACGAAGCAGCGATGCGCGAGAGTTTCGTAGGCCGCGCAGTTTGGAGGAATTGGAAAATGGACCTGTACAAGAGGCGGAGAGGAGATTGGGTGAAAGAGTCACGGACAAGCGCAGGAAACGAAGGATTCCAGTCCTTCCCGGAGCCTAATGGGGATGCGAAGAAGGAGGCAGAGAGAGGTGGCAAGCACCTTTCAGCGATTGAGCTGGCCAGACAGAAGTATGCTGCCAGTAAGAAGCAAAAGGAAAGAGAAGCAAAGACAACGGAAAAAGAGTTGCATAAATCAGCCAAGGGGAAGGGGAAGGCTGCGGTGACGGCGTAAAATGGAGAACTTAATGAGAGGTTTACACAGACACCAACCTTGTAGGAGTACAAAGGCGGAACATTAGGCGGTGAAGCGGCAGAAAAATAATTATACTTTTTTTCGTTCGCGATGTCGCAATCGTATCCACTTCTCTCTCTATCGTTATTCATTGTTCCACGGTTCACGTACATACTTTCACTAACTCCCTTACAACTATCTCATATTGTCTTTGCGATGGCTACCCACAATGGCCACCAGAACGGCATCACTAATGGACAGGACCCCGTACTGCATCGTGCAGACGAGGTCAAAGAGGTATGTTCACACTACAACTGGGATATACAAAGTTCGCATCTGCTGACAGAATGACTCCAGTTGCTAGACGCGGTCAGAGATCTCATCGTACCCTTCATCCATTCCGCCGACGTCGATGCCGCCACAAAGCATACCGGTCATGGACTCGTTATTCAAGGCGGTGGACCACGAACCGCACTGGTCGAGCACCACCCTCCACATAAACTCGAGCCGCTCCTGGCCTTAAGTGTTCCTAGCAAAGGGCAAGGGAAGGAAGGGCTACTGGAAACGGTCGAGAAGGTGTTGAAATATAGCGTCAACACATGGGATGTGGGCTTCCTCGACAAGCTCTACGCGGGCACAAATGCGGTGGGAAGCCCTTGCAGCATCTCCAACCTGCATCCTCAGTTCGCAATCTTGGTCAAATATGAGCTGACATGTTTTTCGTGAAGGTCGGTGTTGTGTCTGAACTCCTACTCGCAGTGCTGAACACAAATGTAACAAAACACCCCAGCTAAGCCTTTTCCACAAATTGCATACCAACCAATCCGCTAGGTCCACGTTTACCAAGTCTCGCCCGTCCTCACTCTAATCGAGAAAGAAACCACTACCCAACTGGCTTCTCTCTTCGGCTTCTCTGGCCCTCACGCGGGTGGTATATCGCAGCCCGGCGGCTCGGCCTCCAACAGCACTGCTCTCGCCATCGCACGCAATACGCTCTACCCACAGACTAAAACCGATGGGCTAGGCTCTTACAAATTCTCCCTATTCACAAGCGCACACGGCCACTACTCCCTCGAAAAAGCCGCCCAGATGTTCGGCTTCGGCAGTAATGCCGTAAATAGCGTTCCCATCGACGCATATGGCCGAATCAAACCGTCCGAGCTCTCCCGCCTAGTCGCAGAAAGCAAAGCTCGAGGCGAAACTCCTCTCTTCGTCAACGCCACCGCCGGGACCACGGTGCTTGGCTCCTTCGACCCCTTCAACGCTATCAAAGACATCTGCGAGAAGGAGAATATGTGGTTGCACGTTGATGGCTCGTGGGGCGGGTCTGTTGTATTCAATGAGGAGTACAAAAAGAGCAGGCTGGCGGGGATCGAGCGCGCGGATTCGGTTGCGATCACGCCCCACAAGATGCTCGGCGTGCCGATGACGTGCTCATTCTTACTCACGCAGGATTTGCGCCGGTTTTGGGCAGCCTTGCGGCTCGAAGCAGGCTATCTGTTCCACAACGCGCATGAGGATGTGCGCGAGGTGTACGATCTTGCGGAATTGACGCCGCAGTGTGGAAGAAGGGGAGACGCGCTGAAGGTCTGGCTTGCACTGCAATACTATGGCCAACAGCATTTCTCGGATCTTGTGGGAAGAGCATATGAGAATGGCGAGTACCTTCTCAAACTGCTGAAGGAGAGCGGGGATTTCGTGGTGGTCAGTCCGGAGCCGCTGCCATGTTTGCAGGTGTGCTTCTACTGGGCACGAGGGGGAAAGCTGGGGAGCGACGTGGAGGAAAACAGTAAGATTACGGAGGCAGTAGCAAAGGGGTTGGTGACGAAGGGGTGGATGGTAGACTTCGCGCCGGGGGAGAGAGGGAAGTTCTTCAGAGTTGTCGTGAATGGTAACTTGCAGAAGGGCGCGCTGGAGGGGTTAGTGAAGGGAATTGAAGAAAGTGCGAAGGAGCTAGGGTTCTAGGGCTAGGTCTATGGAAGGACGATTGGTTGGTATAAGTAAGGTTTTGGAGACGAAAGCCTCTCTTATCGCACACTCCAATCCAGCTAAGTGCCTGCTAAGGGAGTGAGATGTTCAATTCCCTCTTATTTCCATTCGCTAGTATTCTCCGCTTTTCATCAAAACTCGCGACCAAGGCGCGCGTTGGTACACGTCCATGGATTTCATGGCCACGACAACGCCAACACCATTGTTGTTAGAAGCTCGGTTTCTCAAGGTATAAAGCCGCTACAGCGGGATGGCTGTGAGGCCGGGAAAGTAGTGGTGAAAATCCAGGTGAAGGCGCCATGTCGATCCATCTCTGTCTATATATGAGTAGAAGGTTTCGCACAGACCTCGGGCTGCCTGTTTTGTGGTTCGCCATGTTGTCTGAATGGTCGAGGCCCTTGGAGTTGAAGACTGACTTCCAAGGTTTGTTACTTGTCGAAGGGACGCTCTGTCGCTATTCTCTACCAAATCTTCGTGATTTTCTACGTGCAAAACTAGATGCAAAGCGCTGCCTTCGGACACGTTACAATTTTGTGCACGGACAAATCTTATTGGCTCGCGTTCCTATGGTCATTCTTTATTCGTATTGTCAATGCCAACAATAGCAACAAAGCGCACTGTTAAGCCCTGCCCTCACATATATAACGACTCTTCTACGTGTCTCTGGAAGACTCATTACACACAAATCTTTCGACTCAGTCCTACTTGCTTCTTCAAGCTTCGAACCCAAGTTCTTCTGAAGCTCCCAGACAGCTACTGTTTCCCACAATCACAAACAGCGTCCTGTTTTCCACCATCACAACCACTCTCCTTCACAGCACCCTCAAGATGCCGCAGACTTCACTCAAGACCGCGGCCATCGCCACGGCTCTCGCTTTCGCCAGCGTCACCAGCGCACATTACTCCTTGGTAGACGATTACACGAAAGAGAAATTCTTCCCCGGATTCGATTTCTTCACCGGACCGGATCCTACCTCAGGATTCGTGCAATATCAGTCCCTCGAGCAATCCATCGCCAACCAGTACATCGGCTATCTCAACGATTCGGTATATCTTGGCGTGGATTATACCAACAAGACTCCGCAAGGCAGGCCCTCTGTACGAGTCGAAGGAAAGAAGGCTTATAACCAAGGTCTTCTCATTGTAGATGTCCTTCATATGCCGGATAGCACATGTGGCTCATGGCCAGCGCTCTGGATGTTTGGACCGAATTGGCCAGCCTCGGGTGAAGCAGATTTGCTGGAGGGCGCCAACGACCAATCCAACAATATAATGACCCTACACACCAGCGCTGGGTGCGCAGTCGATAATGCGTCCACACCTCTCAGCGGCGGCGGAAACGTCAATAACAACGAAGCCAGCTTTCTTGGCAACATGAATACGAAGAACTGCGACGTTAACGCGACCGATCAAGCCAAGAACGTTGGATGTAGCATCGAAGCTCCGTCCTCCATTCCTCCTCCGGTCTCCCAGCGCATGCGCCGCTATGGCAACGAAAACGCACACTCTGACTCGCTTCCTTCTTATGGAACCGATTTCAACCAGGCTGGTGGCGGTGTCTACGCCATGGAGTGGACAAACAAGTTCATCGCCATTTATTTCTTCTCTCACGCGACCAACGAGACGATGCCCAAGGATCTCCTTTCTGGCAATCCCAATCCCTCAGGATGGGGCACTCCACTCGCCCGCTTCGCTGGTAATGGCTGCGACTTCACGAAGCGATTCAAGGATATGAAGATTGTGATCAACCTCACCTTTTGCGGTGAATGGGCTGGCAAAGTCTGGACAACTGGCGGATGCGCAGCTAAGACAAAAACCGCGACTTGCGAAGCGTATGTCGAGAATAACCCAGATGCCTTCTCCGAGGCTTATTGGGAAATTGCTAGCCTAAAGTGGTTCGAAGACAAGGATGGTGGACAATAAGGACGTCTTTTGAGCCGCCTTTGTCTTCGCGCACAATTCTTCTTTGAGTTTCCTTTGTCTTGTTGAGGGCATTTCCTTTGTATCTCTTCCCATTCGAGCATTTCGATAATGTTGGAGCATGATCTTCCCACCTTGTCTTTTACATAGCTCGTCTTCTTTGGATACTCTCGGCGTTTTTTAGCACCTTCTTAAATCGCAACATCGTCAGTTCAGTTCCTTCTCTGAAATAGCCAAGTGCGTGCTCTGGTAGCATCCACGACATCTCTCGCCTTTTCCCATTCAATTCTACAACGAACACGTAAAATGAAATATATTACCCTTTTCTCATGAATCGCATGTCCTTTAATTGCTCGTTTGTTAGTGATGTGATGACTAAAACATGACTTTGGCAAACGCCATATTACACTCCCCATGACTCCACAACCCTCCAAAATAACAAGCAGCAACTGTTTCATGTTCATCTTGCATCAGAATCACGCTTCCACATGAATTCAAGCCCCTTATGCCCTCATTAACTACCTGAACACCACCACCGCTGCCACCACGTGCTACTCAACCATCCACCCGTCTCTTCTTGCCCACCTCTCACCTCCGACCGCCTCGATACAACACCTCACGCCGAAAGTGACCAAGATCACGCCCTCACGCGAAGCCACCGCACCCATTTCCCCCACTAGATCCCGCCACAACCCGTCCGCGTGCCATATCTCCCTCTTCCCCTCCTACGTGGAACCTAGCCAAGCTTCTCTATTGCCTATCTAGACCCCACCCGTGCATCTCTCCTAGCTTCAGGAACAAGGCCTCAACGCCCCCATGGCTTGCCCCGGCACCACCTACCACGGCCTCGCCGAACCGCTTCTCCAGGGCATCCAGCCTGCCGCCACCACACCCCAAATAGGCCGCGCTTCGTCAAACCCTAACAAGGCAGTGATGCGCGCTAGATCTAGAACCGACCCGTTGCGTGGCGAGAGTGCCTGAATGGGAGTGTTGGGTTCGCTCTGTTTCTTTGTTCCCACGTGGGATGGCGTTCGAGACCGATACTCCGCGGAGGGGATCGAGAGTCTAGAACAGGTGTTGAGTAGCCTTGGGAATCGGTACCTGACTATCGTAGTGAGATAAGGTGTTATAAAAAGGAGGGCCAGCCTTGTGTTCGAGGGTTCTTGGCGGTATCCCCAGCCGCACCAAATCGCTAGCCTCATCTTTCTTGCTCCTTCGACTCCCCTATCTCGAAACTCAGCGGCTACCCTATGGTCCCGACACCGCCTCTAAGCATGCTCTTCTTCCACCTTTTCTTTCCCAGCGCGTTCCCTCAGCACTACCACCACCACCAGCATATCCTTCTCCTCCCCCACAACACACCTCTATCACCACTACCATGCCCCTCCGCTCCAGCCCCAGTTCGAGACCTAGCACCCCCATCCCTCAAAGACCTGCTCCTATAGCCTTCCTCTACGCCAATCTGCCCCTCAGCCCGAACCCCCGCCCTTGCACCACCATCCCGTCCTGCCTACACTCGCCCTACTCCCACAACATGCTCTTCGATCCTCTTTGAAGAGGAAGGGCGAAGAGGGATACACCACACCACACCATACCCAATCCTCGTCCTGTCCTATCCCGGGTCCACGCTCTTGGTCACAGCCTCACCATTGTCCCTACCTTACCATCACCCACCATCGCCAGATCCAATATCTAAAGCACACCGATGCGTTGGGATCGGCATCGGCGACGGTATGCGAGTAAACGCGAAAGGCATACTCGGGGAGGGAATGTTGGAAGCAAGGACGATACGCGAGGGAGAGGATGCGTCGTGTTCACGATTGAAGACAATAGGGCGACAGTAAGTCAGACCAAGAGATGATTTTCGGGCTCAGCTGCTGATTTGATACTTTAAGGGATTGGGCGATGAGATGAGAGATGCGTACGGATAAGGGACGGTGCGAAGCGCGGGAAGCGGGGATTCGTGAACGAAAACGGATAAGGTGATACGAGGGCATCAGGGTGGCAAACTGGAGAGTGGGGACGAGAGATTCGATGGACGAAGAAGGATGGGGTAATATAAGGGTAGCAGAGGGAAAGCTGGAGAGAGAGAGAGAGGAATAAATGAACGAATGAATTAGTGCGCTATGCTTTGGTCAGCTTCTCTCTCCGCACTAGATAGCTAGAAATCGTCCACGTACCTTCGTAGCTACGCCAAATGAGGACCTTCGACATGTCAAAAAACTACAAGCATCACACTCTAACCGCACCCGCAAAGTTCAGTTACCATTTGAATAGTTTCCATTGATCCCATTATTATACCCATGCCCATCAATTCATGCCCCAAGTAGCGAGCCGATCGTGAGACAAAACTACCCATTCCATCATGCAATATCCCACCCACACATACCATAAAAGGAAAAAGAGAACAAGCCAGAGAACAAGGATCCCCCAAAGATCAAGTCAAGAGACTCCCATATATCACATAAACCCCGTCGCTCGCACGTAGTGTATGTAGTCACCCACAAGGCCCGAATCCAAGAATCGCCATGCAACATCAAATCAATCCACAGAAAAGGTTAGATACCACTTGGCCTTCCGTGTTCATTCGGTTCCGCCACCGTAATAGTTTCGCTCTCTTTCAAAGGACTCGGGGTTGCTTTTGTTGTTGTTTGGTGTACCAAGGCATAGAGTTGAGTTGAGTTGAGCTGAGTAGAGAAGGCGTCAATATTGTCATCTGCACGCAGACAACAGAGTATCAACATCTCATCTAATCCGCATCGTAATCAAAAGATCGAATAGTCGCGTGAAGATGACAGGGAAGGTTGGGATAATCTACAACTTTCCGGAGTCCTTGGCCTCTTTGACCTGCTCAAAGACCTGTACATGTATTAGCACCTCATCTGTAACTGTTAATACAAGCGGAACAAACATACCTTCAGCATCTTTCTCCTAGCTCCCAACGCATTAACGCCCCTCTTCTCCAATCCCTCATCATCCAACTCGACCAATTCAGTCCACTTCAGATCCTTGAGATTATCCGTGTACTTGTGGAGTCTCAGACTCCTAAGCCAGTTAGGAATGTCCTGAAGCAGCGATGGGTCCGTAGGGTCTTCTGGGGGCTTCGAGCTGCCGCGACGACCGCGTGGCGAACGGCCTCGGTTGATTTCACTGTGGTCCGAAATGTAGCCGCCGTGATCGTGATGGCTGCCGCCCATTCCGATACCGAATTGGCCGAGGTTGATCGTGTTGAGACCGTTGCCGACAAGAGGTGAGCTGCCGTCGTATGCGGAGAGGAAGCCGTTGTTCTGCGGTGAGGCGAAGTTCATGCCGCCGCCAAGACCGCCTTGCATGGCGAGACCAGGAGAATTAGGACGAGAGCGACGTCCATTAAGAGCAGCAAGCTGTTGAGCTTGAAGAGCAGCGGCTTGTTGGGGAGAAAGGACATGGCCCATTTCATTGGTCATGATGAAGTTGTTAGGAAGGCCAGAAGAATTCATCCCAGGGGATAGAGGGCCGTTTCCAACTCCTTGACCCTCGGAAGACCTAGCGCGACGATACTTACGGACGTCATCCAGCTGGATCCGGTTGTTGACGGTAGAGAGCGCAGCAAGCTTCATAGCGGTAGCATTCGCAACCATGTCTGCCTGGCTAGCACTCTGTTGGTTGGAAAAGTTGGACACCATAGGAGTGCTTAGTTGGGAAGCCCAGCTTCCGCCCTGCGCATAAGGAGAAAGCATAGGCATGCTGTTCGGATCACCTTGAGGCGCATTCAGTGTGGTGTTCTGAACGTTGCCATCACCAGAAAGCGGGAGACGTGGGGAACGCAGTCCAGCGGAAGGAGGTGGCTGGGTGAATTGGCCCATGGGCGGTTGATGTCCAGACGACGATTTCGGGCGCTGATCGGAGCTTCGCGGGCCCCACGGAGAAGACGGTGGCTGCGGTAGATTGTCTTTCCTCAAATCCTCAGGCGCAGAGATAGTCGGGGCGACCAGCGAAGTACGATCGCCAATAGCGCTGTTGCGATTGGAGACTGGCGGGATTCCAGTGGACTGAGTGAACTCGGCCTTCTGCTTGGCAATAGCAGCAGCGGCATCCGGGAACATATTATTGATCGTGGCCGTATCGAGACCAGAGTTGCGCTTCGCGCCTGGGGATGGAGGTGGACGACCGAGACCGGGTCCGAGGGAGTTTCTAGAGCCTTCGACACTTAGTTTGCTCATCGCATCGCTGAGTTTCTGGGACATGGGGTCTACGTAGGGCAAGATATCAATATGGGCGCTCGGGACTGGGAAGGGCTATAAAAGAAAGCACTCACCCTTTTCGCCAAAGTTGGCTGGGGAGAGGACTCCAGACATAGGGTGGCTCTTAGCCATCTGCTGCAAGACCTGGATGAAAAATCTAATTTGAACCTGGGTGGTCTGCTGGAGGAGAGCGTAAAGAGCGGCGGTCCTCTCAGCCTCGCTAAGAACACGGAACCACTGCTCAATTGCGCTCAGCTCGTCCTTGAAATCCTGGTCAAGTGTAGCAGCGGCCATCTCCTCCAAGGTAGCCTCGTACTGATCAATATCCGCAATCCACTGCTGGGCAGCCCGCTCCATATCGTCGGGGTTGCCAGAGTTGGTGTTGGCATGGTTGAAGTACACCTCGGACGAGGGTCGAATGCCACGGTTGGCCAGCGGCGATGAGAAGCCGCCCATGTCAGCAGACGCGCGGAGGTGGTGTCCAGCCCCGATCAGGGTACGGGAAGAGGGCGGCTGGAGGGAGCTTCTGGCCTCGCTCCTCGCCTCCGGGGTGCTGTTCCGGTTGCCGGCGATGTGGCTGGCAGACATGATGAATGATGGTTTCGAGGAGTCGAGTGTCGGTGGAAATATAGAATTCTGCCGCCAATGTTAGCCCCTAATCCAGCGGGATTGAGAGCAGGCAGGCGTACAAGTAGGTAACCCTTTGGATATAGCTGGTGCTGGGAAGACTCCTGCAGTTCCTGCTGGCCTCAAAGGAGCTTCGACTAGCGGGGTGTTCAGGAGAGAGCTGGCGGTTCGCGCACCATGCGTATGGAGTTGCAGGCAGTAGAAGGGGTACCCGGGGAGAAGAAAGAGGAGGTAAGTATGAAGGTACAAGAAAGGAAGGGGGGTGGCGAGAAGGGCGGAGAGAGGGCGAGCGAGTGAAGGTGGATGGTGGAGGGTCAGATTGGAGGCTGCGCTGCGAAAAGAAGATGCGCGTTTAGATTTCGGGTAAGGAGGGCCGCGCTAGCCGGATGCGTGACCGTTACGGCCGCTGACATAAGGCGCCGCGAATAGACGGCGCCGCGACCTCCACTGGGTTTGTTGCACACCCTATTGACACCAGCACTGTTTCAGGTGCCCATAGCTGGGCAAGAAATAGCAACTTCTACAGGCCTCGGCCTAGGGGAAGCCGGTGTATCCACTCGCTCCCGCGCCTGCCCGTGGAGCCGATACATTTACGCGTACAATGCCTCGTCACAGGTCTGTGTACCTATTTGCTACCGTCACAGGTACTTCAATATACTTTGAAGATCAGCGTCAAAGCGCATGATTCTACACGATTTATGCACATGCTAGGCCACCACGGACAGCGCTGTCTACCGTTAGAGAATGCGTACAGATCTAGCGAAACATCCGAACTACTTGCAAACAGTGCCAGAAGGTTGTATCTACCCGGTCTTGTGATGAGGCACTGTGTCACCAATTTAACTGGACATGAAATGAATGCATTGAACCATCCCAACGAACATTCTATGGTTTCCGACCCTTCTCTGATGAGTCCGTGTGATTTCAGCACCACAGTAATGTTTCAGACGGATCGTTTATTGCAGGAGCATCTGACAATCACATCGCTCCGACTGTGCCAAATGATAGGGCCGTCGCGTCTCCCGGATCAGGCGTTGCAGGCAGCTTGAGCCGGGTGTCCTTCACGCTTGGCTGTCACAGAAGGTCTTCGGTTGGATCCGGCATCAAAATCCTCACATCATCTACTATAATGGCATTACCAGCTCATCGGCCCATAACCCCGACTATTGACCCGACCATGACCGCAGCTTCACGCTCCCAGTTGCCTGCCAAGCCCGTTTTACCTCTACTCAGCGGACCAGTTGGTAGCTGCGAGCCTCGATTGACGCACTCCCGCACTGCATCTCTCACGCGGTCTTTGTTGGACCGCAATGTCCTTGCCGAGACCCCCCCACGATTCAGGATTTCCTGTACTCGTGGAGACAAGTTGGAAGCCAATGAGCGCCAAAAGTATGACGGGAGTGACGAAGTATCAAGACTCAGCAGTAACGGGTGTAGAAAATCTGCGGATTGCTTCTCCTCCTCTACTGGTGTTGATGGCTCCAAAAGCGGATGTGCTGGTTGTTTAGTAGACTCGAGAAGAGCCTCTAACGCTACGATGTTCTGACAACGAGCTGATATTTCTAGCAGAGCTCGATCCAGCGAAGGCAGCGTCGCAAGAGCACGGGAAAGCGCCGCGTGAGATGACTTGAGAGCTGTTTGCAAGTAATCTTGCAACGCGTTTATGAGAAGAGAGGGCTGAAACTGGTCCACGGATATGTTTGCTGACGTTGGAGACAGGAGATAAAGCGCCAACAGCGCTGACGTGGTGCGAGACTTGGTGTCTTCCGTCTGGGCATAGGTCGACGCAGACGACGATTGGCCGGACGAGGAATTTGAAGCTAGCAATGAAGACATTGAGAACTCTCTGACCACTTGCTGGGCCCGTGACGTGATTGTGCGTTCGGACGGCACAGCCAGCTCATTCTTCAGCGTCGTAATCACATTGATCCTGTCCAAATCCTCGCCCTCTTCTCCGGGTCTCGACGCTAGAAAGATCTGGCGCAGCGAAAGGAGCGTATTCGATGACCGAACCATAGCCCTGTGATCTTCCCGTTTTGTCGCACCCGCGCCTGAGGTACCCAACTCTGCCATCTGTACTTCCAGCTGCCGTCCAAGCATCAGACAGCGCGCCACTGCCCTTCCGATCTTGACCGTTTGACATAGTCGTTCCGCCGTGAGCCGGACCTGCTCCGCCACCTCATATCGCTCAATGACTTCCCTCTCCAATGTTTTATACGACTCGGTGAGACTGGCGACCTGGCCTTCAACCTCCTTCAATATCCGCCCACTGGACTCTGCCTGGTCCTTGGTGTGCTCCAGTAAAGGCAGGGCTGACTTTGTCGTCAAAGTATCAATATGGGTATCGATCTCCTGGACATCGAAGAGCACACGAGACAGAGGGGTCGAGAGATCCAAGGGCGTATCCGAGGGGTTGTTCGTCGAGAGCACCAAGGTATTGGCAAAGGAAGTGGCCGAAAAGGAGGGGTCCAGGAAGGCCTCGTAGTCGATGTATGAGGGCTCTGCGTCGGCCATCGTGGGCGCTAGGAGAAACACTGGTGCCGCAGAGTGAGGGAGGGTATCGTAAGTACCTAAATTGAGGTTTCGTTATGCGGCAGGGACGCTCTAACGCTCCTTCCTTGGGAGCTTATCGATAAGAACACCCCCCGACTTCAACCTCCACCTTTGAGTTCCACAACACCACCAACCTGCCAACAATACAGCTAATCCCGCTCCAGCCACCACAATGCCGCCTTCAATCCCCTCCCCAACCCTCCGCATCCCCATCGAACTCCTCACCCAATCCTCCTTCTCCCAATTCGGCACCGTCATCGAAAACCCCACCACCTCCCCCGCGCCGCCCTCCGCACGTCTTCCCCCTCCCCCCTCCGTCCTCGCAAACCAAAACACCGCCCGCAAATACCTCGACGTGACGCACATGTCGAACCTATACAGCCTCGCCCCGAGCCGCAAACCCGCCCACGCCTCCATGAACATGTTCGTGTGTTCCCCGCGCGACCTGCGCCCACACGAGCCCGTAGCCAGCATGCCGAGCTCCTGGGGCGACATCGACTTCGACGACGAGAGCGGAGACGGGGACGCTGGGTCACGAGCCCTCTTCGACGTGCATATTTTAGAACGGCACCCGTTTACAACCCAAACGTTCATCCCAATGGGCATCGGCGCAGCAGAGCAGACTCAATACCTCGTCATTGTCGCGCCCACCCTCCCGGCCTCGCGCCGCCGAACGGATAAACATCCGCCCTATCCTACCCCCGAACGGGCTAAGAAGCGCCGCTCGGTGAGGGAGATCTTTGCGCGGGCGCGGGCGAGCCCGTTTACGAATGAGGCGGCGCCGCCGACGAGCACATATAGTCGGCTGCATCCGAGCCAGCGGCCGAAGGGGCCGGGGTTGCCGGACTTGAGGAATATCAGGGCGTTTGTGGCGAGTGGGAAGCAGGCGGTGACGTATGGGGCGGGGACATGGCATGCGCCGATGGTGGTGCTGGGGGAGGAGGCGGTTGATTTTGTGGTGGTGCAGTTTGTGAATGGGGTTGGGGTTGAGGATTGTCAGGAGGTGGAGCTGAAGGTGGATGAGAGGGCCGAAGAGGGGATTGCAGTAGCTGTGGATACTGACGTTAGGGGAAGAATTGTGGTAAAGGCAGGGCCAGGGGCTGTGAAGGCGAAATTGTGAGAATTTGGGACTTGCTTTAAGGAGTAGTTGGGTCAAAAACGGGTATGTCTTCATGGATTTATGCTAATGTAATGTATTTCGTGGCAACCGAAAAATGTATATACGATATTATGATTACGACCCCTTTTAAGTCATGGTGACTATACCTGCGAGCTCACGTCGTGGTTGTAGGCCGACCCGGCCTCCGCCTTTCCGAAGGAACTCCACGCGATAGATCATCAGAATCGTATGCGTTATTACCAGTACAGGCAAAAAAGGATATTTGAGTTCAAGGCACCAAGTCATCAGTATCAAGATAGAAGACAAACGGCGTTGCATGAAAGATAGAGTTGGGAGGTACGAGATGAGATACCGGGATCTGGAGACACCGTCTAGCTTGCCCCAGTACCTCCACAAGGCTAGTGGCACTCCCAAAACATTTCCATTAACGCCTTAGAAGAATGGTCCAGAAGTTACACAGCCCTCGGATGCCCTGCGGATCGGACAGGGAAAGAAAGCTCCTTCGGATCAATGGCAGAGCGATCCTCTACTGAAAATGGACCAGCGCGTTCTGCGCTTGTTGTTTCCTGCCGTCGATATAGAACGCAAATTCCACTGCTGCTCCAGAGGGAACCACCTCAACCTCCCACGAGATTTTCTTGATACTCTCGCCGCAGGAGTTTATGACGGTCGTGAAGGCGGAGAAGGGGACGTCAATCGAACGGCTAACCTGGCACAACTCCGTTACGCTCGAAGTGCGACGACTTGGCGGAACCTCGTCCTTGCATTGATACAATTGGAGTCGGGAGAACCCCTCTGGATCTCTTTCATAGGCTTCATAGAAGGAGAAACGGATAGGATCTTTCTTTGACGTAATTTCTCCCTTTGCAAAATCTTAGTAGTACTTCTTGCAGCAAGTGTTAACATCACATACCTTCTTCAGAAACCATTGCATCTGATTATACTCCATCCACTTTTCTTCCACGATGCTCCATTCCTTGTCCTTTTGGAGATGTTTGTTCTCATCAAAGGGAATCCCAATTTTCATGCCCAGGCTGAATCTAGACACTGTTGACGTCACCTGGATGGGACTTATGGTCATGGAGTCTAGTCCGGAGGTATCTACAGCGCTACACCCATCAATAAACCCTTTGATAACGGCGCCGCGGCAAATGGCAGTTCGGCTGGAAACGTCTCTTAGCGATGAAGGACTTCTAAAGCCTTAGATGAAACATACGGTCTCATTCCAACTGATTGCAAGATATCGATGCCGTCTTTCGCGTGCTTCTTCTTCAGATGCTCATACAAATAGGGGCTTGCGCCTAGGCCCCCGACAAGAATGATACCCTAAACATCGTCAATCTTATTTCGGCCAATGAAGCAGTGGTGTCAATATTAGCACGCTCACAGAGAGTTTTAGGCCCTGCTTGGCCGCTTTTCGGAGTTGCTCATCTACAAGAGCATCAATGCCAGAGAAGGTCTCGGTGAAGACCCATTGGATGTGCGGGCTGAATCTTCAAGGTTAGTTATCTACAATAAATGCGTTCTCAAAAGCAAAGCTTACCTGCTAAAATGAATACGTCCATTCTTGATGAATGGTTGTCGGCTAGTATCATCCAGGCTCGACTTACCGAAAGCTTCGGCCGGGATCCTAACGATGTATTCTTTCGTCCTATTTCCAGGCATGAACTGTGGCTTGATGGCGTGTTCCCATTCTCCCTTCATAATCTCCTTAATTCCAGCCTTGCTCAGGTGGTCCCATTTCCGGCCAAGCCGAGCTTTGCACATTCTCTCGAACGTTTCGTCGATGAAGATGCCACCACAGAGACCACCTAGACGATGCGTCAGCTACACTTTCCACTAGCCAATACAAAATGCGGCCCATACCTGTTCCTTCAGCGGCTTCGTCCAATTTCATTGGGTTGACTCCTCCAATCTTATAACTGATAAGATCCTACGTCTGTCAGCATCTTTTTGTGAATGCACTAGCTATTATCTTTACTCACAACAGTACCACCTCCAGCGTCGCAGATCATATAGACCTCACCAGTCTTCGCCTTACGCCCAGGCTCACAAAGGGTGGATAAAGCAGCCGCCTCAGGCTCAGGAGCAAAAGTCAAAGTTGTAGCCCCAGCAGCTCTCCGGTCCAGAATCCCAGCCTTCTTCGCAGCTTCCTCCATTCCCTGTCTTGCATACCCTTTCCAAATTGCCGGCACTGTAATGACGACGTGGAAAGCCAAGGCATCTATTACCGTCTCTCCATGTGCTTTCTTGACAGTCTCGAGAACGTGTATCCAGATGGCGTGAAGGAAGTCAGAAATAAAGTCAATAGCGGTTTTGCCGTTCTCCTTCAGCATCTTGCGTCCACGTAGGATGAACTCGTTGTAGCGCATTTCCTCGTCCAGATCCTCGTCCTTCAGCAGGAGAAGCTTGAACCAGCGCACAGGATCGGCATCAAGGGGAATTTCGTATCCCCACATGATTTCATTGTGCTCGTAGAATAGTTCTGTGGGGACTTTACCCTCTTCTAGGCCGGTCCCTGGCCAGCTGGTGACTAGGTTGATTTGGTCGCTTGCGAAATCTTCTCCAGTCGCCCATGCAGCGCCAGAGTATCTATTTAAACGATGAGAGTTGGCAGCTCGAAGCAGTTAACCCAATCGAGGAAGATAAACGTGAACACTCACGTCGTCCCAAAGTCGATTCCGATGACCATGAAATCGTCGTCGTCGTGGAATGACGACGCATCATCAATGAGCTTAGGCCTACTAGCCAAGCCTGCCGTGAACATGCTAAGGCTCTAAGATGAACGCCAGGAAAGAGGTCCGAAGCTTATGTCGATAATCGTGAAGACACTAGAGATAAGAAGGTTGAGGAAGAACCTTTTGCGAAACTAGAAAATCGAACAGAGATTCCAGCTTCGTAGTGATCAGGCTGAGTCCTTAGAGAAGAGAGAGCTAAGAGCTGGAAAGATGTCCGATCGCGGTAACGTAGTGGACCTTGCACGTGATACAGACGCGGCTACACCCTTCAAATAAGCAGTGTTAGTTCCCCTCCCTAAGTTTATGATCAGGCTGAGACCCTAGATTCGCGCCTCATCCAGACTCGAGCCGGGCGGGCCAAGTGACCACAACAGGCCGGTCCAAGACTCCAGCCTAATACATTCCAATATTGGCTTGCATGAGGGACGTTCTTCATTAGGCTTTTCACTAATGATTGATGGTTGCCTTATCTGCAACCTGATGCTGACGCCGCCCTATTCGCGGGAAGGTGGCATACAGCATCTCTTCACGTCCGGTGAACTAGCGCGGAAACTGAGTCGACCCCTGTAAACCTCCTTTTCTGGGCTAATAGTCAGCTGGCTTGAAGATTCATTGGCTAGGCAGCTGTTAATCCTCCCTAAGGGCGTCCGGAATTGCTACCTTATACGGTAAGTCTGTGGCTTGATTTTAGCGCTAGTTCACCGGACGTAAAGACATGCTGTAGTGCGCATGAGTTGGACCCAGTCTCGAACAAAGGTGCATGATTCCCTGTCCACTCCTTTCTTTTTTGATCAGCTGAAGCTGCCCTAACAGCATGATGGGAGGGTCGGGACAGTTTGTGGTGCTGGGCTATTTCAGCCTTGTTGCAGATTAACCTACGGCTTACAGAAGGCAAAGCCTGGCCACTTTGCAGAAAAACCTTTCCCAATCCATGTGGTGCTGAGACCTTTTGCTGCTGAGATTTTCTTCCATCTGCTTGAAATCTGCCGGCTTCCTTACTTTCCTCCCCAGACTTTCGATATCAATTACCAGCCGTTAGCAAAGACAATGACAGCGTCCCATCCACCATTACAATCGCTTGAAGACCAAGCCGAGTACCAGGATCAAAACCGTTCAGGCGGACACGAAATCGAAAGGATGGATGCGTCTCCGCAATCGAATCCCATACACTCTCCGACGCTAGATTTTCGCGTTCCAAGCACTGCAATGACCGGCATCGAATTCGCATCTCAGCCTCAGAGCGTCGCATCTGAGAATGCAGCAGCAGAGAGCCCCCTAATACTGCCGCCCGTATCCCCCAAAAGGCTCTCGGTCTCAGCCTATAGTGGGAGTGATTGTGATCCTGAAGTGCAGTTCAATCTGCGTACTTCAGGCGTAGCTCTCCACGATGAGTTGCAGTTTGAGCTCACTGAGGAGCGCAAGCTTCGAGAAAAGGCAGAGAGCGAACTGTGTGAGATGAAGTCCAAGGCCAAGGACATTCGACAGCGCTGGAAGCTAGCAGCGCGAGAACTTAACAAAATCCAGAGGCAGGGCCAAGGTTCCGGATTCTACCAGGTTACAGATAATTACCTGATTGACTTGATAACGCGGCTGAGATACAACATTCGGAATATCGCTATCCAGTACTTTTCGGAGCCGCTGGATAGGGTTCGACGGCCTCTGGAGAATAGTGTTCTTTACGCGACCCTGGAATCCACTACCCCTGGGTCTGACAAATTTTTTGAATATTTACTTAGCTCGGCACAGCGTCCGAAGATCATTCAGGCGTTCTTTTGGAACGTTCTTGTTGATGATGTGTTCAATCGTTTCAGATGGGCTGGTAGGGGCTCCCGCTCGATGTGGAAGCTATACAGTATACTGAAACCCGGTGAGTATGAGCATGCAGCATTTTAGGAAGGCCCATGTACGCTGACACTTACCCTGAGATCATTGTTTAGACACAGAAGGGAAGACATATCTGAACCCTGAGGCGGAAAAGAGATTTCATGTCTGGAGAGCCAACACAGTCGGCCTTCTCTTAGATTCGATGACTAGGGAGTTGAGTCATGAAGTGGACGAGGAAGTCCAACAATGGAAGGCCAAGACTATCGACCAAGTCGAGGCCGTGATCTATTGGTATCGATCGCCCGATAGTGAGGGATATCAAGAGGAGTTTCTGAGAATTCTTGACGAGGCACTCGAACTCGACAAAGAAATCAGTAGACAAGTAACTGGGGTGCGATTTTTATTCCACGAGCAAGAAAGTAATCCCGTTTTTGACCCCTCTATGATGGAGTTGGAGAAGGACGAAAAGGTGTCGGGAGGGAAGCAGAAGGTCTCCCTGGTAACCTCTCCGGCCGTCGTGAAAAGAGGAAAATCCACCGGGGAGAGTTTCAATGAGGCAACCTTGCTGTTGCGTATGGAGGTGACGTGTGAGGATCCTCGAAGATGATGTCGTCCTTGAAGCATGATTTCCTATCCCTGTAGCATTTACCGGTGCGGGCCTAGTGTCAGAGGTGTGAAAAGGTAGCAGCCAGCTCCCCAATTTTCGCGCTATTCGACCGCTGTAAACTTGTTCCTACGAGTCATGATGCAACTCTAAAGACTGAAGTACAGGAGACGGAGCCAAACAGAGATCCAGAGTTGTGGGAGAAGACAGTCAAAATGAGATGGGATTGAGATGACGAGGAACTGCGACGCAGGCCTCAGCCACAACGGCGAGGGGCCACGTGATCAGAGCGTTACATCAGACCACTTCAGGCTTTCTTCAAACAGTTATTACCTAAGCATATGTTCTAAAACGAAGAAAAGTGTAAGCTCCTAGAGTATTCGGTCTTCTGAGTAGCTTGAGCACCATTACGTAGATGTAGAACGACGAGAGGGACAATGTAAAGAACGTTGCACTGCAGATATGAAATCCGAAATACAGACATTGGTACCAGACAGCAGATGACAAGTATATGAATCTAAAAGGCATTAGGTTATAGAACTAACTATAAAGGAAGTACTCTATATAGTACATGCATGGTTATTATAAAGCGGTTAGCACTGGTAACGTAGTCGGCAAGCTAGTGGGCCATGCAAGCTAGTGGGCCACCCAATTATTGGTGCGATTTAGACCTTTTAGCACCCTAGCAATCTTAACAATCACAGAATATTCCAGGTTGTGACTTAGGATAATGATATCCGTGGTTATTTTAATATCATCTGTTAATTTTTTAGATCTCTTGATAGCCCTGTTTAGCCGCAGTAAAATGTTGCCTAGTTTTGGCCCCTAAAATCAAGTAATACCTACAATATAATAGGATTACGCTGCTATACTGCTCCAAACATTCTCTTAGCTATTAAAATGAGCTAGATAGTATATGCAATCTTAAAGCTATACTTTATATCTCGTAGTTGTTGAGATTGCTGGGGTGCTAAAAGGTCTAAATCGCACCAAAAATTGGGTGGCCCACTAGCTTGCATGGCCCACTAGCTTGCCGACTACGTTAAAGAAGTTAAACCACTTGAAGGCCCCCTGTCCTAGTCTATCTTATTAGAAAGAACTAGCCGACATCCTCTTGGCTAAGTGCCGTGCCAGCAGAATCAGCGGCAGCGTTCTTATATCACCCCTCGCTCACTTCTCCGCGGCATCAGCGGCTAGACCACCCCATTGACCTACCGACTGTTCCTCGCATCCAGCTCTCCAACTCGCGTTGCGTCCAACTCCTTCGGCGACCCTATTAATTGATGCTAATGCTGGGGAGCATTATATATAGCTGGATTAAACGGATAAGCATACGGCGGATATAGCTGCTGCTGCATTTGCGCCACCTAGGCCCGTTTATCCTCCTCCGCAGTGCTAATACGCCTAGCCAGGATCCCTTCCGCCTTCTTCTCGCGGTAGAGTAAGAACAGGACCCCCATTAAAGCGAGCACTAATGGCACACTAACCCCGGCGCCGACGGTGGCGAGTTTACCAGTCATGCTTGTAGTGGTGGTAGTGCTGCTGGTGCTGCTATTTCCTGACGCAGTAATGGTAACAATTTGAGCGGTGGCTGATTCGGTTAAGTTGGCGGTCGAATTATAGTTCTGCGTGAGGGTATGAGTAGAATTGAAGACCTCAGTCGAGCCAGTGCTTCAATCCGTAATAACCTTGCCATACGAAAATCCGAAGGGGACAGATCCTTCGCCGAGGAAGAGGCAGGTGTTGTTGTTGGCGCGGTAGGAGCCGACGTCACAGCAGAACTCGCGCACGCCATGTGCGAGGTCGATGAACAGGCCGGTGGGGGTTATGGGGATGTTTGTTCGCGCTATATGTAGGTCAGCAATGGACGGCCGTAGACATGACAGTGGTGGTAGTTACTCGCCATTCTTGCACGACTGAAAGCGTTTCGATGTGGGGTCCCAGTTTATATCTGTACAGCTTTGCTGGGAGACCGTTCCAGAAGTATCGTAGCAAAGGTCGTTGTCGAGGCAGGTATCGCCGGCACCGCAACAGTGAGATTGTCTTGCGGAGTCGTTACATGGCACATCGTTAGGTGCGACAGCTCTGGACGGTAAATAGCATGTCTTTGCGGAGCCACGCACCAGGCGTGAGTAGAAGAAGAGAAGAACAGGTATTATATGTATTTCGCCAAGCTTATGCTAGATACCAGAACCGAGAAGAGCTGCAATAAGACGAACAGAGACCACAAACATGAAGGGACGAAAGAATGAAGCGAAAGACAATGAAGACAGCTGGGAGAAGCGGAGTATTTCCATTGCGGCGCTCGTAGAGTGGCGCCTCTGCTGGTGCGCCTGGTGTCGGGTTTTGCGTGCGGAATTGTCATTGGTCCACACCCTGAATATTCAACTCGCCCGTTCAAGAAAGACTAGTCTGGATGTAAACCTTCTTGGATTGTGACCGTCGAACACGTCTTAGACTGTCGGAAAAGATAGGCGATCCGGCCGGATCCGGGAAAGGCTAAGCGCCGTGGCACCTTCGAAGCTACAGCAGATAAAATTGAGGAAAGAGAAATGCTCTACTTGGAGCCGTGAAGATGCTCTCCACCTAATCGACTCTCCTGATAATATGCCCCTCGCCCAAATCAGTATGCCCATGATATACGCTCCCTCCTCCAGTTCAATATCCACCTCCTTCGTCATCTCCATATTCACATTCGCCGAGAATGCGACTGCAACATCAAGCCAACGACCCCACCATTGCACGCCTCTGTATGACTAATGTACCTGTTAGTAGCCATATCTCCATGTCTTAATCCAATAAAGACCTAGGCAGTCCACTCGAGTCGCAAGCAAAAGTACGCTACGTTGCGGACCGGAATACTCGTACCCCATCATTCACGCGTGGCTTCTGCTTTCTCGACATTAATAGCATTGGACGTAACAGAGTGTAATTGTTTAGAGATGAGATGGTATAATAGTGATGAATATGCCGAGCAAACGGCGGAGGAGCCTAAACCAACTCCTGTTGGCCCAGCAATAATCCATCTTAAGCACTGTAGAGGTAAGATAAGACTGCTTATCGGAGCCGTCTCCTCCCTCACATGCCCTCACCAAAATTAAAACCCCCTCCTCACCATCAACCTCTCCATATATTTCGAAAAATTTCAACCCTACTTGTACTAACCAGCAGGAACCTTGTCCCGTATCTCCAACATGCTAACCTTAGGTCTTGTTTTTCTTTTTTATATTCATTGTGTAGGTCCGCGTTCGATTCCCGCTCTGGACTTTTTTCCTTTTTAGAGAGACCTTCAGAGGGTGGTGTCTTGTTCCTTGGAAATTGCTTTTGGGCTCATGTGCTAGATGTAGGTAGATAAGGGTACGTTTCTTTTCCTGCTAGTGTTAAGTTGCAAAGAGCCGTTGTGGGTGGGTGACTTTCAGGGCGGCGACCTTTCTTCTCGCGTGGGTTATGATCAACTTTCGTTACAAACACTGGAAGGCAATCTTGAGGTGGAGACATACTCCTCATTTACGAACAAGGCCACACTTCTACAGTGGGAGGTGTGTTACTACCTCCGCTCGAGCGTCTTAGTCAATCATTCCGGAGAGAGAATAGCAAAAGAATATCGTCCACGCCTCTCGGTCAACAAGTATCCGATGCCGCCAACGAACAGGACAACCAAGTCAGTGCAGACCATGTCACGTGGAAGTTGAGTCGCCTTTAACGTAAACTAACGTCAAATGCCACATAATCGCATTGACCAGCACGCATTCTGTCGCAAAGCTCGTGAACCAGAACATCAAATTGTTTTTGTTGGAATGGAGTGGGGTATCTTCGTTCTTCGTCATGCCAATCGGCCGCCGTGTCGTAAAAATGGAGAGGGGAGATTTGCCATCCCAACCAGTCTCGCCGTCCTCCGTTCGTTATCCAAGATTCAAAGCGAAGTATAAAAGCAGGAAAGTCAAAATTCCCGCTCGCTTTTCTTCGCCATAGCTAATGCATAATTTAGTAAGGTTCCCTCGTCCGTCGTCCAGTGTATCTGCACCAGTCGCACTGCAGATCATTAGTTTATGTCAACATTTGGAAGGAAAGGAGAGGGCGATACTGGAGGAGAAAATTAACCCACGGTAGTAGCCGAGGAATTCTCGTTGTCCACGGGACAGAACTCGTTGCGGCACTTGCCGCACTTGCGGATGTATGCCTCTTTGCATTCGAAACACTATCCCAGGTCAGTTAGATGAACAAACTTCGGTCGTTTGAAGAAAGAGAAGGGCGCGTACAGTGAATCCGCATCCAAAACAATCCCGCTTGACGCCAATCATCTAAATCACAGCAGGTTAGCCTTTTCCCCTCGACGATGGAGCGAGCATACTTTGGCGCGCCACGACCGGATGTCAAGGCTGTTTGCACATAGTCGGTTCGCAGGTCCAACCAAAAAATGGCTGTCATCCGGATCCAACTAGGCTCGCAGAACTGCTGCTTGCTTCGGCCGTCTCTACTTGTTCGTGCGCCAAGGTAGCGGTGATCCTTGCTGCCAGCGCCTTGCACTTGGGCACGATGACGCTGGCGAAGCAGTGAGGGAAGCAAAGGTTTTCAAGTACCTTGATTTCTCGTTCGACCGCGATATCAAAGTCGATTTTCTCCTCGAAGTACTCGGTTTGTTGGAGCTCAGTGCGACCCGTCACTGACGAGCCTGCATAGCAGTTCTCATCCCACCACTTATGGCAACGCTCACACCAGCGCCCTTTGAGACAGTCTACACAGCGGACAACCAGAGGCGGTGGTCCAGAGCCATCCGTTGTGATGGGTTCCTGGGCTGCACGTATAGATGCTGACTGTCGAGGTGGAGGGCCCAAAAGGGGGAGATGGGACGCTGGGGACTGGCCGAATACTGCTGGTCCTTCCGGAGTCGAGTGGCAGCTAGCGCATCCTGTTGGGCCCAAGGCGACGGTGGCAATGGCCGGGGGAAGGTATCCAAAGGGGTGCGGCTCGCCGCTACTTTGTCCTGCCTGGATGTAGGCCTTTGAAGCATCGTGACGAGGTCCTCGACAGAGAACAGCGTCAAAGAAGATGATGCCCTCGCAAGCCTGGAGCGTAGGGCCCCATTCGTGGGGAACGCGCCTATGGATCATACTGCCATGGCTTTGGTACCATTTATCTTTGGTTCGGGCAAGGGAGGCGTTGAGGGCATCCGCTGAACGGTGGTTCCACTCGGCGCCAGGTGGGGGTTTCTTTTTCTTCGGGGAGTGATCTCCCAGGTCGTGGTCCATCTTTCGGGTTCCGAAGACGTACAGACCCTTGAGCTTCGGGGTACCCTCCGGTCTGGTGGGGCGGACGGCATACTTCAAGACGTCCATAAGCTTCCGTTCGTTCAGGTTCACAACCTCTCTAATCGAGAGAATGCGGACATTGAACCGATCCTCCGCAATAATCTCCTGCACGAGATCTGCAGGTACGGATAGCCCGTCCAGCACCAGTGTATGCACGTTCCTGAGGAAGTTGGCCCGCTGGAGGTGGGAGAAGACGCCGCGGATCGGGCCGGAGTAGAACTCGTCTTCGGTTAGGGACTCATCCATGCGCTGGTTGCGCCAGGTTATCCCTCCAGAGTCTAGCGGCACGTAGTTGGGCCAGGTGGACTTGACGTCGGAGAGCTCGAGATAGCGGAAGACATCGGGAGACTGTTGCACGAGGCGGCGGAAGGCCTTGGAGGTGGCTGCTAGGGCAAGCAGCCCGGACACGGGCAGATAGGGCGCCGTCTGGCGCAAGACCAGGGTGTTGGACAGCAGATCCACCAGCGTGGTAGTTGCGGCCATGGGGGCGTTGAGAGGGAGAGAAGATGGCATTTCAGACATCACTGGGGGGCACTCCACAGGTCATACGAGAGCACTGGCGACCGAGGCCACACGGGGCCGGGCTTGTCGGGGTTTTAGGCTCAGTGAGGTTGACCGCCAGTCGGACACGTGCGGTGATGCGCGGGGCCCCAGCGGGGGTTGGTGATGCGCAAAAAGAAAGGTGCTCCGGGGTGGTGTTGAGTGGTGGTGTTGAGTGAATGCAGTGTTGGCAGCTGCGGCTTTCTGTTGGATGACGATGGCCCAATATGGGGGAGTTGTGCAAGGGTGAGGCTCGATGAGTCGACCTGAGCAGCGCCAGCACCGTGACCGTGGTCCTCCGCCGGCTTGCTGGTCCGGGCAAGGCGTGAAGGCCGAGATCTTGGGTCCCGCGTGGGGCCGCTTCGTGGCAGTTTCCCGTGAGATTTGCGCACGCTCTTTGTCACTGCTGGCAGCTGGTGGGGAGGGCAGAGGCTTGTAGATGCGGCCTCAGAGTCTCTGTATCCAAGTACCGCCGTCTGAGGTGTCCCCGCAAGCGTACAGATTGTTCGATATAGAATAATCAACTTCAGTTACGCTCGGTCTTCGAAAAGACCCTGAAGCCCGCCCCGCCAATGGGGCGTGCCGATGACATGGTGGCCGAAGCTGCCAGAAGAGCCGCTTAGGTAGCAACACCACGCCTCTCTCACCACTCCTCCGATATATCCACGCCTCTCTGGTCTTCACTCGTTCCTGTTCTGTAATGCCCTTTTCTTCCGTTTGTCGATAGAGCTACAACATGTCCTCACCAGACCCCACATCGCTCGCCTGGTCCGCTCAGTTCGCCGTCACGCCCAAGTCGCGGACAACCACCCTATCGGGCGACAAAATACTCCTCCCACCCTCTGCGCTCGAGCAGCTCCTCGCCGCCGCGCCCGTTATTACAACCGAGTCCTCCGTCACTCATACGACCGCCTTCGATCCCTACAATCCATACACATACGCCGCTGAACGACAAGCACGCGCCCAGTTCCAAGACAGGCAGCAGCAGCTTCCACATCCTCTTACCTTCCGGCTAGTAAATCCGGAGAATGGGCGTGTGGTATATGCCGGTATTCGGGAGTTCTCGGCAGAGGAGGGCGAGGTGGTGCTAAGCAAGTTCTTGCGGGAAACGCTTGGGTTGGACTCCGAGGGTACCGGTGTCACGGAGAAAGACGATGGCATAAAGCGGGACCACGACGACGTGATGGTAAATGGCGTGGAAGAACTTGCCGTGAATGGTACAAGCCTGCCGAAGCTCACCATTCATGCCAAACAATTACCGAAAGGAACATACGTCAAGCTACGGCCCCTAGAAGCGGGATACGACCCAGAAGACTGGAAGTCGCTTTTGGAACAGCACATGCGCCAGAACTTCACAACACTCACAAACGGCGAGGTCCTAGTAGTGCAAGGGGGCAGAGGTCTTGGTGGCAAAAATGAGGAGTTCCGCTTCTTGGTCGATGGTTTCAAACCCGAGGGCGACGGAATATGCGTGGTAGACACGGACCTAGAGGTTGATATTGAGGCGCTAAATGAAGAACAAGCGCGGGAAACGCTGAAGAAAATAGCGGCAAAGGCTCACCGAGCACCAGGCACAACAGAGGGGAGCTCTGCTGGCGGAAAATTACAACTACTCAAAGGGCAAGACGGCCAGGTTCTAGATGGCGAATACGTGGACTATGATATTTCCTCATGGGATCGATCTCAAGGTCTAGAGATTGAGATCAGCGGTGTGGAAGATGACGAGGAGATCGACCTTTTCGTCAGCCCTTTCTCTGCCCAACAGCGCGTTCGACCAAGAGAAGACGATTACGTCTTTGCAGAAGTCTCGAGCAGATACCCGAAGCGTATAAAGCTACAGCCTACGAATGTCGAGTTGGAAGACGCTGAGGCTGTGTGGATATCAGTTCGATCATACACAAATGAACAGCAAGAAGACCCGAATCCCACACCAAGGCGTTATCACATCCGCGCGGCCCCCTTCGATCCAACAGACCAATCTACAATAAATAGCACCTCACAGTCCGAACCCGCACACAGTTCGGACGAAGTCCAATGCAAAAATTGCAACCAATGGGTACCACAGCGTACCCTTTTCCTGCACGAGAATTTCTGTCTACGGAACAACATACTATGCCCACAAGGCTGTGGAACAGTCTTTCAAAAACGCTCCGCAGAATTCGAGAACCACTGGCACTGCTCTCACGACACCTACTACGGCAATACGCCTCTCAGTCACGCCAAACACGACGCCACCTTCCACACGCCGCAGACCTGCCCATCCTGCTCCTTAGAATTTCCCTCAATCCCAACTCTCGCTCAACACCGCACCACGACATGCCCGGGCAAACTCATACTCTGCCGCTTCTGCCATCTCCAAGTACCCCAAGAAGGTGATCCACTCAACCCGACCCCGGAACTACTGCTTTCAGGTCTCACTCCTCATGAGCTTGCCGACGGCGCCCGCACAACAGAATGCCATCTCTGCAACGCCATCGTCCGTCTACGAGACATGCCAACTCACCTCAAACACCACGATTTCGAGCGTCTCTCCCGACCCGCACCTCGCCTCTGTCGCAACATCAACTGCGGTCGCACACAGGATGGCGTAGGGAAGAACGGTGACACCCGCGCCGGCACCCGAATGGGTCAGGGCCCCGGCAACGATATTGGTCTCTGTAGTGTTTGTTTCGGCCCATTATATGTCAGTCTCTACGATCCAGAAGGAAAAGCACTGCGGAGGCGGGTGGAGCGCCGTTATCTCGCACAGCTCCTCACAGGCTGCGGTAAGAAGTGGTGTAGGAACCCCTTCTGCCGCACCGGCCGGGCGAATATAGGTGATGGTGATGGGAAGGCAGTCGGAACGAAAGACGCGCTGCCTTTGATTAAGCCATATCTAGGGGGGATGGCGGGAGGGGACTATGCCACGCCATTGCATTTCTGCGTTGATGAAGCGAGTCAGAGGAGGAGGCTGTTAGCGGAGATGTTGGCGGCGGAGAAGGGCGTAGAAGGGAAGGGCGGGTTTGGCATGGAGTGGTGTCTAGCTGCGCTTGAGGCGGAGGGCGGGGATTTGGACAAAGCGAGGGGTTGGTTGAAGAGTTGGGCGCCTCAGAGGAAGGAGGTGAGGTGACAGGATCAATGATATTGATGAGAGATATGAGGCTTTTATAACATGAAGCCGCCTGATGGGCGATAGTCAGCTTGATACCCCTTGGACAGGTAGTTGGACTCAAATAATTAAAGAATGTCAGTGAGCCTTACACTGGTCTCAAACAAGGGCAGAGGGGTGCCTCGAGGTGTAAGGAATGATATTACATATTTGTGTTAGAAGATTACGAACATCTGTCCTCACCAGCCTTAACTGAACACTCGCAACCTTCCGAAGCATTCGGTCCCGAGAGTAGCCCGCTGTTACAACTAACCCTCTGCGACCGGGCTTTATACAGATAGTGTAGTAAGTATTAGGTGGATATTATCTAGCCAATTACTTAGTCTGCGCAGAATAGTGTGGGACTGGGGTGTATTTCGTGGACTAATTGTCCATGAAATCGTGGCGCTACCCTAATTAGATAGGCAACAAACCTTCAGGCATAGGCGTTTGCTGTGATTTCGTATGGCACTGTGCTGGGCCATGGCCCAAAAGTCGTCGGGGTCTTGACCCAATGCCGCACTGACGTTGAACCAAACAGCTCTCTGCGGAGCGCCGAAAACGTCATCTGAGGTGGCTGAGCCTTAGCCAAAACGCCTATGAAACGGTGTACACTCTCCCCCCTTGTATCGTACGGACTCGGCACCACCGTGCGCAACACAAGGGTTTTTGTATGTAAAATCCCCTGTTCTACGCACGGTCGTGTAACTTAGCCGCCGAACAAAACGAGTGACCTAACTTTACCATGTTTGTCCCAGCAATGGCGAGCACTTTATTCTTGGGACAGGCTGCTAGTAAGGGGCGTCGTGCAAGGTACACGGCACATGAACACGATCCAGCTTTTTTTGTCACGCATTAGAGTCCCAAAAGGGCCGTCTAAATCCAGGTAGCAAGTTCGAGCGTCTTGATCGACATCACATGTCTCTCGGCGGACCTGCCGTCTTTCACAGTCTCGCATCTCGATCCCCTCTACCCAGCAACCGTCAACGTCAGATGCGAATGCGAAGCTGACATCTCGACCGAAGACAATTCTGCCAAGAGCCCTCGAGGCACCTCGGCCGCTCTTGTTCTTCAAGCAAGCTTTCGTCCACCAGGAAGGCTACGGACAATTATAGATAAATCTCCTATCGAGTCCCATGGCTTAATGGTTACCAGAAAATCCTCCGGCCTGCCATCGATAGTTTTGTCAAATCCTTCATCCTCGTTGATGAACTGGCTGTTAAGCACATCAACGTTAATGCCTAGGATGGACGAGTGACTCGTTATTTGTCGACAGTTCAAGACATCGCGTCGGCATTCCATGTAAGCATCGACCGGTTGGTTATCCTGCTATCCGTGCGCGTCTCGCGTTCCTCGATTTTGATTATAGGCGGTTTAGGCGGAAGAGGAGGGGAGCTTCAGAAGGAACTTGCACCCCTTATCTCCTCAATGTGCATCCGAGCATTTTAGGAGGCATTCTAGCTCCATATGGAATGAATACGAGGTATCAATATTCGCGTTGGGGGGGAATTACGCGGGGTGCAAGGCATTAAAACTACCGAAAATCCCGGGACTCCTATTCGGAGTTCCCCATAACCAACATGGCTGACATTTTGCACCCTACGAGCGCTGCCTCGCCCAGCGAAGTTACATCTTCATCAAAAGACACACTGGTCCGATCGAGGATCGTGCCGTTGTCCAAAGACGCTAAACAATGGTTCAAGGCTCTTGACAAGATCGGCATCACCCGTACACGCGCCTCGAACCGCATTCTCGAAATCGTTTCAGGAAGCATGCGGACGGATGCGTCGTGGCTCGAACAAGACGATTGCGGTCGATACCTCTCCTACAGAGATCCAGGTCGACCGCAGATCATTGATATGCGTCTTATCCCTGGCCAATACGAAGATCCGTTTCCGCTTTGTAGGAGATGGCGGAATACAACGAGCAAGGCGAAGAAGCGGGAGAAGGACGCCATTCAATGGTACAGAGAGAATTTGACAGCCGCGCTGGAGAAAGAAGGCCACTTTCCACCATTCCCGAGAGACTGCAACTGTTTTCTGTTACCGGCTCCCAAGGACCCACGACTATGCGATAGTTGCCAGCGATGGGCAGACCCGGTACATCTTCTCTGGTGTAGAGGTGTCCCGCTCTACCGTAGACAAGACACTGTGCGAATCGATCTTGCGACGCTCCAAGAGCGGCCTGGATGTCTATTCTGCACCTACCTGCACGCTCGTTTTACCGACATGTATAAGGCCTACAATATCGACGGTTCCAAGATCGATGAGATCAAAGTGCAAGGTCCGTTTTGGCTTGATGGTGCTCCATGGACTGTTGCTGAGGAATCTGTCCACTTAAAGTGCATCCTTAGGGTGACGGCGAACCAGGGGGGGTGCAGTTTTCAAACGAAGCTGACATACTCGAAGAATGGGTGTAATCTGGTCAAAGTTGCTCCATGGCAAGACTCAACGGTTGATTTTGGACTAGTCCGAAATTGGGTTCAGACCTGCAAGGAACATCACCATCAAACCCTCTGCGGCACCGCTCATACCCCGCTGAGAGAGGACGCTGAAAGAGAGTTCCGGCTCATTGACCTCGAGAAAATGTGTGTAGTGCTCGCTCCTTCGACTGAGCAGTACGCAGCGCTGAGCTACGTCTGGGGAGAAAGCGGCGCCAAGCTCGCACTTGTAAAGTCAAATCAGAGTGTGTTCGAAACGGAAGGATCTTTCCTTGGACATGATTTGCCAGAAACGATTTTGGATGCAATGTCAGTGTGTAAGGAGCTAGGTATCAACTACCTGTGGGTAGATGCCCTGTGTATTGTACAGGACACCAACGAGACGAAGCTGGCCCAGATTACTTCTATGGACAAGATCTACTCTAATGCTTCGCTGACAATCATTGCATTGGCAGCAACGTCTGGCGCCTCGGGCCTCTTTGGTACTGCGAACCGCCGCCGACAGGAATGGGTCTTCTCTCGCCGGGCATACTTGCCTCAAATGCATGAAACACAGTCGTCGCTGCCAAATGAGCTCCTGGCTACTAAATGGAATACAAGGGGCTGGACGTACCAGGAACGCATCTTGTCTCGCCGATGCCTGTACTTTGGACAGGACTCGGTCTATTTCCAGTGTCGCCAGGCCGTTTGCGATGAACAAAACGGCGATTTCCCCAAGCCGGATGCACAACAGAAACCTCTCGAATTGGAAAGCCATCGGTACCCAAAAGGAATTAGGAATCTTTTTGTTCCTGTTGACAGACGCTATGGCGTGTCAGGACAGGATGAGTTTACCCAGTACTGCGAGTACGTCGAGTCGTACACGCGCCGCGAACTTTCGCAGAAATCAGACATGCTGAATGCTTTTGCTGGGATTTCAGAAGCTTGTTCCAGCGCTTTCAACACCACTTTCTTACATGGACTACCGGAGAAATACTTTCACTCGGCCCTGGCCTGGTATATCAATCCCAACGAACAACAGCCACAATCAGGGGAAGTTACGGGATTCCCGTCGTGGTCATGGGCGGGCTCACTTGGGTCTCGATATCACTGGTTTGAGAATATGGACTTGTCTGTTGTATATCTGAGTAAACCCCTAGGTATGGAACGCAGTCGTGGGCACGCGCACCGCTACCTCCAATACGGCATTTCTGAGTTGCACATCGTAGACTCTGAGAATAATCTGGTGCCTATTGGAAGCACTAGCATCATCGAGCCCGGATCCCTCAAGGAGTCTCACGACAAACCACTCGTAAAGCTTCTCGAACGGCGCCCTAAGCAGCTCGACGAGAGCCGAGTATCAGTGGCAAAGAGCCATCCACACAGCCTTATCTTCGCCGCGCTAGTAGCAGACTTCCTCCTAGAGTACGAGGACCCTCCTCCGCCCGAGTCTCAGAAAAACAAGCCCCGGAAAGGTGGAAGTACCATCAAGTTCAAAGCCTCAAACAAGTCCTCTGTCCCCACGCTGCTCCTCTCTAACAAGTTGGGGGAGCTGGGGCACCGGAACCGAGTAGCCCAGGAGCCGGTCACTGAACTAGACCACCCCGAAGACTCAGATGACGCCACGACAGAAGGGCCTATCTGTGCACAGGTTGTGGCGATCACGGTGTGTGAAGCTCCCATCGTTCAGCGGCTCCATGCGGACACCCCCAATTCTATAAAGAGAATGCGGAGTTTTTTCAGGATCAACGTGCTCGTTTTGCGGAGGAATGATGATGGGACATCGCGGAGGGTGGGCATTGGACACGTCCGCATTAAAGATTGGGTCAAGGCGAAGCCGAGCTGGGAAACTGTAGTCTTGGTGTGAATAACGTGTCCTAGGTATGGACATGTACCGTACGTAAGGAGCTGCGATCAAGAGATTCGATCGCTCGCTTCTTGTCGTAGCTAATATTGCGTAGGCGGATCTCGAGATTCGGGGATTGTCTCCAGCCGTCACCGGAGTGAACGGTTGGTCGGGGGAAGCGAAAAAACTACTTGAGACAGCTCGCGAGTCCTCAACGAGAGCGCCTGTGTCCCAGGCTATAGCTTCGCGTTCGCGTCTACTGTTGGAGGGTTATAAAGAGTATTAGCAGATGAGAGTTATTATCTTGATGGGAGGAGTGATCTAATTAATTGTTGAATATCACGGCAACTGGTGGCTGAAACAACCTAACAGGGGGTGGGAATGGATACATATGAGGCACTCCGCCCATCCATAGTCTGACAATCAATCAATCCTATCACTTGCCGCAAAACCACTGCTGAAGCCCATCCCGTGCGCGATCCGGTTCACGGGATTTTTCCACTGTTTGCGCTTCCTACGGGAGCCAATCCTGAGATTTTTCAGGATTCAGCTTCCGAGATCCCTGCGCTCTACACTCCCGGACCGAAGCGCGATTGCTAACTTTTTTCAGGATTCTGTTTGCCCCTCCACTCCATTCTCCCGTACGGGGGCAAATTACCTGGCATTTTCCAGGATTCTGCTTGCCCTTCCACTCCATACTCCCGTACGGGAACGCGATTGCTAACGTTTTCAGGATTCTGCTTGCTCCTTCTGTTGAATATCACGGTGGCTGGTAGTGAATATTATGGTGGCAGGGACTACGTACATACAGCCGACTCCGCCCTGTCCATAGCAATAACAATAAGAAGAACATCGTCTATCTCAACACTTTCCAAGGCTGCGTCACTGGAATTAGGAAGCGGCATTGCCGAAACGTTCCATACGGGATGCTTAGATGCTATTAAAGTCTTGTGGCCGAAAGGGAGGCGGCCCACAGGCGGATCGTGCAAGCTAATAGATTGTGCAAGCAGGTGGATCGTGCGAGCTAATCGATCGGAGGAGCTAATCAATCGTATAGTTGACATTGCTGACTCATTCCACACGTGATCCTGCCATTTGCGGACTCTAGCTGGAGAGTCGCCTAGGAAGAAACAGCACTAATTACAACTTCCGTTTCTGTGTGTAAAACCGCATCGCTGCCCAGGACCTGGATAGCGGAAATTGGTCCCAGCCAGATGATTTCGTAGTCGTTATTCTGGGACTCCTTGTAAGTGCCTTGCTTTCTGAGTGGTTAATTTTCGTACGCGTCTATTTGTGAGCACAGCTAGTCTAATATAGTATTAGTGGGGGCATCCCGACAAACTATTTCTCGTGTGATGCCCCCGAAAAACTTCTTTCTCTAATGTCCGCTCCTGGGTGGCGCAAAACCCACCGTACCGCAAAATATAAGGGGTATATTGACTTTAAACAACTCAGACTCTGTGCACACATTGATATATCCTATAAATCTATATAAGTTGTGTGCTGTGGCCACTCCAGAGCCCTCGCAACCCCTAATAAATTAGATAATTCAGGTGATTTGCTAGATGATTTGCTGGATGATTTGCTAGACGGTTTGCCGTCCTGGCCTGGAGTTTCAACCTGGAATACCCATTGTTTGGACGATAGCTGCGTCGGTGATGGTTGCGTCGGTTGGTATTGGACGGGCGCGGAGCGTTGGTCTAGCTGCCGATGCAAATCTTGTACTTGGGTTTGTAACTGAAGGACATCTGTTCGTAACTGGTAAACGAGTTGTTCCAAGTATTTTGAATATTTTATTAGAGTCCCGCTGTAGCAATCAATACGTCGTGGTTGGCTTGTGCTGGCCATCTCTGACGGCGATGAACAGAGGTGAAGTTGGACAAACTGCTACTCGTGTGGCTATAACAGCTTTGCATTAATCAAGTCCAACGTTTAGGTGGCTTCGATACATTCGCAACGGGGACTCCATGGCCGCCAACTACGTTCTTTCTCTACCACCATCGCCGGAAGTGAATTATGACACTTCACAAACCACCTTCTATGCTCCGCTAGACGTGACGAGCTCATCGACTTCGCTTGTTCTAGCGGAGAAAGTCGAATCCTCTATCGAAACCACGACTGTCGACGACGACCAGTTTGAATGGCCATCCTCTCCGCCTCCTAGCACGACGAACATGTCGATGGCTACAAGAATCTGCAGTAATTTCGCTGCACTCTCCACTAAGCACGGTTTTGTCCGTCACTGAGGGTTGTTGCCACCCCCTACTGACGGAGTATGTATTCTTAGCCAGCTAGCCTACGGAGTATGGTACGGTTAGCTCGGCTACCTTGATATAGAACACGGTTCCTATACTTAGCCCTCACAGTTCTACGGTACGGCTACGTAAGCCTCCACATACACAGAGTATATATACGGCGTACGTAGCCTAGATAGATACTCATCCAATACATCACTTATCTCGTTCAATGCATTGTTTCACCTCCATCCTCACCTACAACCACGCTGGCTGGTCCGCGCAAGACTGCATTAAAGTCAACATATACTCTACGTCGCCGCAGTCCTTTCTTGTCAAGATCCCTTAAACGGGTTCTCCCGCTGCAATCGGTCTTAGCAAAGAGGAAACGCTTCACGCTAAATGGGCGGCTAAGCACAGCCTAGGTCCTGCGATTCATGTAACAGATAACTAGAGCGGCGCTTTTACAATAGAGTACATCGTGGGAAAAACGCTTAGCGCTAAGGATGCAGCTGCGAGCCTGCCCCACATCATAGCCTTCCTTCGTCAACTTCATTCACAAGCATCGATGCCTTGGATGCGCACCTACAGTCCTCTCGAAGCTGTCAGAACGTACCTAGACACTGCAAAGAAGTCCTTGATTATTCCGGTTAACGATGTTTAAATTATTAAGGCTGTCATTACTGGCACAGAGAACGCGCTTACTGGCGAGAATCATATGTCGTTTATACCTTGCCACAACGATTTCCACAGTCACAACATCATTCAAAGCTCTGGTCATAATGATGCGATGCATGGTTCGCGCCTCTGGGCAATCAACTTCGAAAATCTTAACCTAGCAGACCCGATGTGGGACTCGAGTCTTTAGCTCTAGCGCGCTTATATGGCACGAATAGGTTAGAGGAAAAACGATCAGAGGCGTACATACCCTTGGCTTTAGCACATTGTGCTACCTAGTCCGCGAGTTATAGTCCGCTGTAGGTGAAACACTACCAAAATCTAATGTCGAGACTAAAAGTGGTTCAGAATATTGTTTCTGTGCAATGAGCTTCATAACAGCGCGGAAATTGGAATCCCAGAAGTCCACGAGAATCTACATAGTCTTATAGATTGATTAGGTTCTTTCGCTATTTTAATAATTTATAATTCATCATTTTTTAGTCGTAATCCATTCGCAACTAAGACATCGAGCCTAGACCCCGTAACCCAACGCCTATCCAGCACTTTTCATCGAAGAGAGTATGTCTTGGGCCATCTACTACACGACTAGCACGACAACTTCATTCTTCTTCTTTTTCGTCTTCGGTGTAGGATCAGGGTACGCTTCACGAGTGACCGCCTGCCACTCGGCATCGGATTCGAATTCCCTCCGAATAGAGCTAGTTAGAGCCACGGGTCCTTCTTCAACAATTTTCTTGGCAAGTTGCGGCGTAAGGGAATCAGCCTGGTAAACGGCAGCCAAATCCGTGAAGGACTGGAATGTTGTGGGCTCGGACTCATCCTTCAGCATGACGCTGATCACAGGTGTGCCATCGTCAGACCGTACCTGCCAGTATGGGAACAAAACGTGCTGAATGAAAGCCAGAATGCCGTTGCCCTCGGTTTCGCGAGGTGGGCAGAATGCTTTGGCAATTTTCATGCAGATGGCTTCTAGCTCGTCGATAAGATAGATCAATCTTGGACTTGGGATCGGAACTGCTCATTTTTCCACCTGCCAGACCAGGAACCATAGGGTTCATCAGGTGCGCGCGCACCTTCAAACCCAGTCTAGGCATCGCGCCATTAGCGAGGGCGAAGGTCTTGCGTTGGTCGAGGCCGCCAAATTCAGCGTTCACGTCGAGATACTCTTCGTCTAGGAGTTGCATCATGGGGTACATGCCGTCGGCCATGACGGGCTCACCCGTGGACTTGACAATCTCGCTGCTAGCTTTGATTGCATCGTGGATAGAGACACGCTTGCTCAGCCGCAGAAGATCGCGCGAGAAGGCGGGAGTGAGCTGGTAGGAGCTGCCGCGGACAAACTCGAGGTTGGTGAGATCAACGCCGACGCTTCTCAGGAGTGCGCGGATGACGCGTTCGTAGTACTGCGCTCGGAACTCCAGCACACCTTCAGGCGCCTTATCCGCGTCGAGGAATGCGTGCAGATCGGCCAGCAAGACCTTAACCGTGCAGCCCACCTAAAGGAACTCGGCAATCTTAACAGCGGGAAAGAAATAGGCAGCATATATAGGCGGACCGTGGTAGCAGTGCCCCAGTAGATTTTCAGCGGACGGACAGGAAGGATTTACTTGATAATGTCGCCCTGGAGTACTTTGTGGAGGTTAGACGCCATAAGCTCGTACTTTTGCTCGTCGGTTAGCGCTCTCACTGGCAGCGGGGCAGCCATTATGGGCAGCGAGGAAACGAGGAGACGATAGTAGACAGGAAAGCGTCAGATGTACAGCTAGCAATGAGAGCGACTTGGGGAACAAGAGGCCAGAGCGAGAGTAAGTTATGGCGGCAATTAAGTAGACCCTGAAATTCGCTTAGAGTTGTACAAGGGGGTAACCTGAGCGGGCTGCTCGCCCTCCCTGTAAGTTTCAGGGGCGTTATAGTAATATCCTAGGAAAATAGTGCTGGTACGACCATAATGCCCCCAAAACTGACAGGGAGGGCAAGCAGCCCGCTCAGGTTACCCCCTTGTACCTAATGAACCCACCCCTTAGCGCCTTAGCACCGCCCAAGCTGCGGCTCGGCCCGCGCCCGCGCCCAAGCTACATACCTGGCAGCTGATCTCTGGGCCGTGCCCTTCACCGGCTTGCCTTGTTGCCAGCCGAGCACAGTGCAGGACACGTCACCCAACAAATCGTTTTTAAATACGGCCTCAGCCTAATATCAGACATAGTCCGGCTAGCTGCAATGCGCCTATCCAGTTCTAGGACGCTCTACCACTTCCACAAGTTCCCTATTACCCGCCAAGTTTTCCACACAACGCCCTAGTCCTTCGCGTTCGTCAACCTAAAGCCGCTTCTGTGGCCATGTGCTGGTGTCGCCGCTGCGCCTCGTAGCCCGTCTGCCTTAACTGACCGACACCAAAGCGGCCGATCTGTTCATCACGGTCAAGCGGGTCGGACGCATGCTCGAGCGTGTCTATGGCGCCACTGTCTTGACTATCCTGCTACAGGACGGAATCGATGCAGGCCAAAGCGTGCCACACCTGCACGTCCATGTGGTCCGTCGCACAACGGCGGACCTAGACCATAAGGACGGCCCCGATGCGATATACACCAGGCTGGAGGGGGATAACAGCAACCTCTGGCAGCAGCCGGTCCAAAGGCAGCGACAGCTACGAGCGCGCCAGCCCAAGGCGGACGAGGATGCCCTGCAGCCCAGACAGGAAGAGGAGATGGCTGCTAAAGCTAATATGTTCAAGTATAAGATGAAAAGACAGGAGAAATGTGGATAACATCTGTTACTACTTGGGGAGGACTACTACCGCTTCGGACCCGATAAGGCCCAAGTTCAGGGTGCGGGTAGACGCGTCGGGCCCATATTTCAGTCTATCAACGCCTTCATGTGGCCAAGGCTCCTATGCGCGCCGCAAGCTCGTCGCGGAACCTATTAGGCCTGACAATATACAAGTTTCCCATCAAAATCATCTCTAGTTCTCGCGGCACCAGCTGATCAATCATCTCCTCAAGGCTGCCCAGTTCGGCGCACCCTACAAGCGGGGCAAAGACCGCCATAACTTCGATCAGCGAATGATACGAGCCGTTGAGAAGGAGAGCTGCAATAGCGAACTGCACCTCTGGTAACTTTTCCTCTGCGCCTCCAACGACTAGCTAGATGTTTAGGAAGCGATACGCTGTGCCTGAAGGCCCGCTCGTCATGAACAGACCATGAGATGTGCATGATGACACGATAGGATTCTCCTCCACTAGCCGATATTTGTTTGCTCCACAATCGTACGGCACCCGTCGGTTGGCATGAGACACCAATGTCGCGTCAGATCCGAAAACGAGTTGCACTTCTGCTTCCGAAATTGGCGGCATGCAGACTTCCTTCACACGTAAGGTGGTCCGCCAGAGGTAAGCAGTAAATTCTCCAGGGAGGGTGCCATCTTCGGGCGCCAGGCGTTCTCTCGCACAGGGTTTCCATATCCGGCGCAGATGAGATGGTGGTGACAGTATCTCATCCATGTTCCCATCGGCTGCCGTAGCGACGAGGAACTTCACACGTGTGGGATCGACTAGGTTGAGCTGGCCGAGTACGGTGAGGAATGAGTCCGTGCCTTCTTCACTCGATTTCGATAAACGGGCCAGAAGTTTGCGGAAGGGTGGAAGTAGATTCCGGAGCTCGTGGAAATGCTGCCGATGGTTGCCATTCACGCAATTTACGGAGTGCCGCGAGGCTTAAGTCGTCCGGGAGCCACTCGGGACGATGTTGTTCCACTGTGCCGAAGAAGTTGCATAGCCTTTCAAAGAGCATACGCATGACGACTTCTGGTAGAGGCGTGTCGGCCATGATTCTGGATATTTCTGCGTCCACAACGCGGCTGGTGGCAGTCCGGGACGTTCACTCCCGCACAGGAACGACCGGCGAGCCTAGCGCCCTTGGCGGACGCTGGCACGCAACTGCCTCAGCACAATAGCATGGCGAGACAGAGCTACTGTCACATCTCTCCCATCGCAAACCATCTCTTCTCCGAGGCGGAGCTTGTATTCTATGTTGGCGTACCAAAGTCTGACCTGAGGAATCTAGTTAAAGAAGGCTGGAAGTAGAAACCAGTGCCTACAGTTAATGCGCCGGCGTCATCCGCCACAATGAGCTTGATGCACCCTTTCGCGGCCTTTGGCGCTTTACTTGGGGTAAGCTGATTGTAAAGATTGACAATGCGGCCGACGAAGGTGACGCATTGAGCCCCCACGTCTAGCTCTTCGTAGTCTTGCGTGGGCGTCCATGAGTTGTCTAGAGTAGGATGCAACACAGCGTCGAATGTCTTAAGCTGTTGGAGGTAGTGCTCAGGCGGATGATTCTTATCAGGGGAGAGTTATGCTTTCATCCTCTGCGCCTTCACATTGCTTGTCATCGTGTCGACGTCCGTCAGATCCGTATCTAATCCCATCCCGTCGTCTACAGACTCCGCATACTCGCTCTCCTCTAAGAAATCATCAACCGATGGACAATGGCGCATGTCGCGTCGGCGCGTAGAGGTCGATGAAGGGAGTGTTGAAAGACTTAGTAGACAGTATGTATGGAGCTGGTAGAGCAGAGGGAAGAAAAGAGGGGGCGGCCCTCGTGCGCGGACCTATAGCCGACGAGGAGCAAAAGGCTTTAAGTACACCGGCAGGGCGGCCTCTTTTTGGGTCAACATGATGCTAGCGCTATCAGTGCCTCAGGCACAAGCTCGGCGATGAGCTTATCATCATTGTGTGTCATTGTGCTGTTGCTCAGCTTATGTTTGACGTTACAAGGCGTGCTGGTTTAAGAGCGTTGGCTAACCACGATGGAAGAACAGTTCCATAGCTTTGATTAGCATATTATGCCCCCGATAGGGACAAAATATGTGAGTGGCTGATAACTAACTCTAGGCCGTCCGCCGCTACTTGCGACACAGAATCTCGCCATGCAGCAGCCCAAACCAGGCGTCTTTGTCCTCGCGAAACTCATCCCACCCCTGTGCAACCTTGTCCAGCTGCTCCCTCGTCGAAAACCCTCCCTCCAATGCCATCGTCGCGGACCCAGATGACCTCGATCTTTGCGCCATCGACCCTCCCCAGTACTCGCGCTCCTCGTCGCTGCTGAAACACCAGGACCCAGCGCTCTTGGTGATGTCCTTCCTGGCGAACCCAGCTTTTTCCGCCCAAACGTGAATGCGACTGCCGGGATGGGGGTTGCCCCCCTTTGAAACGGCCATTCTTGTTGTCAGGTCGTACCATGTATTTAGCTTGTCCGATTGAGGATACCAGGTCATGGATGCCGACTCTCGACATGCGACCATGCCGCCCACCTTTGTCACACGACGCATCTCCTGCAACGCCTTGACAGGGTCGGAAATATGCTGCAGAACTTGGTGGGCGTGAACAACGTCAAACGCATCATCTTCAAAGGGCAGACAGTGAATGTCGCCAATCTCGAATGAGACGTTCGTGACGCCATTGGCTGCGGCGAGGGCACGGGCTCCTTCCAGCGGATCCAGTACGTATTCAACTCCGGTGACATGACCCTGCGGAACGAGGCGGGCCAGGTCAATGGTGATGGAGCCTGGACCGCATCCAACGTCAAGAATCTTCATGTTGGATCGGAGGTGAGGGAGCAAGTAGCCCGCCGAGTTGGCGGCTGTGCGCCAGCTGTGTGTGCGCAGCACGGAAGCCGAGTGGTCGGTCGTGTAGACGGACGGTTGTGATGGAGTCGCCATTGTCTTGTTATTATAACTTTTGAATTGGTACGGTCTGGTTTGTCTTGAAGTTTTGGTGAACAATTGGAGTGGGAGGAGATGCACAGACATAAATAGACGTCTGTTGATCGGAGTTCCGCTTCGGAACTGCGAAGCTGCCCACCACCAACAGGTCAGGGTCCAGACAACTTTTAACTCTCGTATCATGAGCAGTGGGCCACCATTGGTTCAACATTTCAGCTTTCATTGGAACTCAGGCCTAGTAGCCATGGAGGTGAACGCAGACAGCAAATAACATCATGCCAAACTCGTCCGCACTCTGCACCCATCGATCGATCCTCTCCCGGCGCCCTTTTGACCCAGTGTCCGGCGACAGCCAAAGCTCCGATATCATCAAAAGTCCATCTTCCCACTCAGACAGATACTGGCTATATTCCCGCTCCCACTCCCTGCGGCTCCTCGCCTCCCACAGACGCTTCGCATCCGGCACATACACCTCCCGCAGCTCCTGCGCGAGGAAGCTTGGGACATAGTTGTCCGCATTGTACACGCTGCTGAGCAGGTAAAATGCAAAGACGGCCCTGCGCTTTGCCGAAACAATGATCCATGATTCCCACGTTGGCCGAGAGCGAGCGAGTTCGGCTCGGGAGACCAGTCCAGCCTGCGTGGTACGGAAAGCCATCTCGTGCAGTGTGACCATTGTTGCATCGTTGACTATATTGCTTCCTTGTATGGGAAAAAATGTAGCCATAATGGAGTAGATAAGATACGCCTGAAAAGCACCGAGGATGTCGAGATCATCAGCGTTTGTTGTATCCTAAGCTATGTGAGCCAGTCACTTGCAGGCTTTGTGAGGGATGATATTACATAGTTTGCGAGTCTCTCCATCTCTCGCTGAATCGTTTCGGCGACTATATGCTCGCTCCCAGCCGCGCTGTGATGCCACAGTCGGACTAAACTGTAGCAATTAGCTAATGCAACAGAACTATTTCCATCAGATATCTGCATCGGATGAATTATTGGCGGAACACCGTTCTTTTTCACCATCAGCTTGGGGTACGTCCGAAGCACGCAGCTAATGTACTGCAACGTATACGGATGGAAAGCCTTGGGGACTTGCTCTCCGACAGCCAAAAAAGGCCACAGCCATCGGTCTCGTATCTGGTCGGCATCGGCAAGAGGAACAAGATCCAAGTTAGAAAAGTCTAGAGAAACACCTGGGCGATCTGCAGTCGTCCGAAGTTGTGTTGGTAGCGGCAGTGGCGTTGGATGGCCGCTGGCAGTCGTTCCAACGAGAATTGCGTCCGTGGGATCTGTAAAAGCTGCTGACAAAGACGTAGGCGTCGCAATACTTTCAATCGGCGGCACGCTGTGTCGAGAGGCAACTGGCGACGAAGGGTTCTCTGCCGGCGTTGCGTATCTGCACTGGCGGTTCGCCGCGACGCACCGAGCGCAGCATGGTCGCTCAAGGCCGCAGCGGACCTTGGACTTGGCGCACTGCAGACACGACTTTTTGCGTGGGGGCGTGGATCTCTGCTTTCGTGTCGAGTTCATGATGCGTGGTTGTATCATGGGTTGGACGGAAACTCGATTTAATGGTTAATTAGTGATTATGAAGCGAGGGTTTGCCACTAACGTGTTCTACATGCATGTGGTGGTTACAAGCGAGTGGTGGCGCTTAATTTTTGGTGCGATTTGGACGTTTTGACACCCCAGCAACCTCAACAACTATAAAAGATTTGAATCTATAACTTAGAATAAAGATATGCATAGCTGTTTCAATATTATAAGACAAATTTTTAGGGTCTCTTGATGGCCACATTTAGTTATAGTAGAGTTTTGGCCCCCTAGCATTGGGTAAGATCTACGATATAATAGAATTACAGAGACACATCACTCCAAACTATTGCCTAGCCATTGAAATGAGCTAAATACTATATGCATTCATATAATCTTATTTAATACTTTATGGTTGTTGAGATTGCTGGGGTGTCAAAACGTCCAAATCGCACCAAAAATTAAGCGCCACCACTCGCTTGTAACCACCACATGCATGTAGAACACGTTAAGTTAACGACTTCGGAACTCCGAAAATAGAACTTTGCGCCAACTAACCGATCAAATCACGGGACTCCGATCGCACCTCACATGTACTACAGCATCACTTGCTATATTTTTCATTAAGAGCAATGACCGACTATGATCGGAATTCCGTTTTACAAATACCTCCGTCAAGTGTATAAATATGCGTAGCAGCTCAATGGAATAAGATTGCAGACGTCTTACTCGTTATCATCGTCGTAATTGACTTACAAGCCAACATGAACATTCTACTTCGTGAAGGCCTGTTTGGCCGCATCTTGAACTGCTTGTCCAATGACAGAATTTTTCCTCATTCAGACGCTCTCACTTCCAAGGAAGATGCTGCGTCCCATCCATCCCCAGACTCGACACAGATGTCCCTCGACTTTGCGGGACCCGACGATCTAGACATGCCGAGAAACTGGCCAACACTGACAAAGGCCTTCGTTATGGCGGACATCATACTCCTCAACTTTAGCTTCTACGCGGCAGCTGCAATCTTTACTCCCAGCATCCCACTGATTGAACGAGACTTCGGTGCCACAACGAGCCAGGGGACTCTTGGGCTCTCGCTCTTTGTTATCGCGTACGGCATTGGCCCTCTGATTGTGAGTCAACTCTTCCCAAGGAACTCACCTGTGGGCACGCTAACATCTGTGCTTGCCAGCTCTCACCACTGTCAAACCTCCCATCGATCGGACGCACGCCCGTATACGTCGCCGGATCTCTGGCATTCTGCCTAATAAACATCGGCACGGCTCTTGCCAAAAACGTGTCCACCGTCTTGGTTCTTCGTTTCATTGGCGGCTTTGTTGGATCTTTGCCCATCAGTGTCGGTGGTGCAACTCTAATGGAAATCTATGGCCCTGCCGAAATTCCATACGCCATTGCATTTTACGCGGTTAGTGGACTCTGCGGCCCCATCCTAGGACCCGTATGTTCCTCCTCTTTCGTTAAGGTGTGTTGCACTAACGTTTGTCGACAATAGATCTTTGGAACTTTGGCAGTGTCAGTTTTTAATCCATCAACCCCTTTTCGCCAACACACACTGACAATGCCGTACAGTACACGGTGGAACACATGGACAGCAACTCTGTGGCTTCTCGCGGGAATAACTGCTTTTACAACAGTCTTCATCTTCTTTTTCATGCCAGAGACTCTGCCTTCCAACATTCTGCGCCGACGAGCGCAACGTCTTCGAGAGCAGAGCGACAAACCACAAGCCCAGCTTCCACTCGAATCTGCTGCGCCACGCAATATCTTCGTCGACATTGTACACCAGACAATCGACGACTTTAAACTATCCTGCATGGATCCCGTGGTTCTCTTCGTCAACATCCACACCATGCTCATCTACGGCATCCTCTATCTGTGGTTCGAGTTCTTCCCTTTTGGTAATCAGCATCAATTTCCTGTCATCAGTGGCGTCCGAGACTAACCAATTAACGTAGTTTTCGGAGAGATTTATCACTTCAACGCCACCCAACAGGCGCGTATGTTGCTCCTATTCCCCACGGCTCCATGGCACAGCTACTCACTACTTGCAGTCGCTTTCTTTGGTATCCTGACCGGCGCTATTCTCTCAGTCATGGCATACCTCCTATGGCTCTACTCTATCTATCAGCCGCGTGTGGCAGACCCAGATGTCGTTGTACAGCCCGAGGACCGCCTGTTTCCGGGGCAAGTGGGGGCGGTCTGCATTCCCGTCTGCCTATTCATCTTCGCATGGACGTCTCGTCAAAGGTAAGTGTTTCTTGCAACAACATAGTACAGATTGGCTAACTGACATGCGCAAGTATACACTGGATTGTGCCAATCGTGGGGACTGGCTTCTTCGCCCCGGGCTTCTACCTCACCTTTCAGTCCATCCTCAACTACCTTGGCGAGTCGTATCCGAGACACGTTGCAAGCGTTTTCGTCAGCAACACCTTCTTTCGAAGTTCTTTCGGAGGAGCATTGCCGCTCGCGGCGCCACGAATGCTCAAGTCACTGGGCATCGGATGGGCAGCAAGCACGCTGGGCTTCATCTCCATTGCCCTGGTTCCTCTGCCTTTCATTCTGGAGCGTGTAAGTGCACCACACAAAACCTTGCGCGATTGATCACAGACTTATTCTCGTGCTAGTATGGAAAGAGGTTGCGATCTCAGAGCAAATATGCAAACTAATAGACTAGATATGGAGTAGTCTGGGGCGGAGACATCTAGCCTAGCACTCAGCCGATGGCTGTCGTTGAATCAATAGATGGCGTACACGCGACTTGATTCAGTTTCGAGATTTTAACGTAGTCGATCAGCTAGTGGTCAGCATCAGCTAGTGGTCACCCTTACTTTTTGGTGCGATTTGGACGTTCTGACAGCCCAGTAATTTCAACAACCACTAATTATTTTAAGTAATGGCTTGGAATAAGGGGAGGGATAAACGCACACCCCCTTTTCACACCACGCATACCCTCCCCCCTGTCACTTCACCACCTTCTGATTGGCTCGGAGCACTGCTCCGGAGCCTCTAATTCGCTCGCTTAACTTGCTCACTAATTCCGAATGCTCTCTCCAAATGCGACAGCCAACACAGCCGTATGTGAGCTTTTACGTGAGCTTATACGTAAGCTTGTACGTGAGGCTGTACATAAGGCTAGACGAATCGGCATGGCTATACATCCTCTCCGTTTTGCAGCTCATCCTTTCCGATTTATGCAGCTGTATACTCAGGTTGCAGCACTACAACCTAGGATCAACAACTCATATGCCAGAAAGCTACTCTCCGAACATCAGCTGTAGAGAACCCAGCTGAAATCTCAGCTGTAGAGAACCGAGCTGAAGCCTCAGCTGTGCAGGGCTCATCTGAACTTACTAGCGCGCCACCCTGGGGGTGGCCCCCTTCCTTCCCCTAGTATATATACAACTAGCTAGACGTCTATAGAAATCAGAGTTCACATCAATTTCAACCTGAGTTGTATATACAGCCGTACGTGAGCTTATACGTGAGGCTATACAAATCGGCATTGCTATACAGCCTCCCCTTTTTGCAGTGCATCTTTTCCGATTGTGCAGCCGTATATACAGCCGTACGTGAGCCGTACGTGAGCTCGTACGTGTGAGCTCGTACGTGAGCTCATACGTGAGGCTACACGAATTGGAAAGGATGCACTGTAAAACGGAAAGACTGTATAACCATGCCGATTTGTATAGCCTCACTTATAAGCTCACGTACGCCTAAGTGAATGAGAAAGGCTACACATGCGGATGCACGTGAGAATAGAGCTCTGGACGAAGCTCCGAGCCGCTCCAGCCAATCAAAAGATCGGACGAGAGGGGGTGGGTGGGCGTGGAGTGAAAAGGGGGTGTGCGTAGAGTGATTAGGGGGTGTGCGTTTATCCCTCCCCATAAAGAAATGGACCTCTGCACCTTATTCTGCATTGTATGCCTAAAATTCTGCTAAGGAAGGCTCTGTGCGCGAATAATCTAGCCAATTAAATAGAATAGCACTGAGTGATAGGTATTCTAATTTGAGGCCCGGTGCGAGGCGAATTCCTCTCCGAGGGTCTGAGAACTTCTGGTCGCATTTTGCACGCTAAAAGCTTATAGGTTCCTCGTGCTTCTAAGATAGAACTCCACTATAACTGATTTTTCCCTAAGATTAGGTTAGCTACTTCTTAAGGTATATTAAGAAGTAGCTTACCCAATATTAGAGAAAAATTAGTGGTGATAGTAAAATGCGATTAAGGTTTGCCGCACTTGTAAAGATGCATCTTTTACCTTTAAGGCTGTACTTCGCCCCCCAATCCGCGGGTTAGCCTATTAAAATTTGAATGCATCAACAACTATAGCTATAGCTGCCAGGTTAGCCCCGTTATCGTTGGTTGAAGCCAACGTAGATTGGAAAAAAGCCGCACTTAACACCAAACGCGCGCCCAGAATCTCTCAGACGCTCCACAGAGGAATTCGGGGGTTGCAGAAGGTGGTAATTGCTGAGTTACGCAACCGCCACAAATTTCTCTGCGAAGCGGCTGAGATTCTGTGATAAGGACCTCGGGATGACCGCGCATCCGCCCGGGCATTGAGGGAACGAACGTCGTTGACATGGAAGCCTCCATTTTCAGAGGCCAAGCTCTCAATATATAGAGGCCTCCAATCCAACTTAATTCCGTTTATGAGGGAAGCTATTGTCAACAGGCCTTACCTCTCTTTAGGATCATCTCTACACACACCGCGTAAGTCTTGTTCATAAAGATGCTATCCCGCCTCGTGACCTCGGCGCTCGAAAAACTCTCAAATAAAGAACCAACGTCCTCAAAATCCCCTGAATTGTTGTATCCAACTCTGTCTTTCCCTCTACCACCTCCGGCAGGGACAGGCAGTCGTTCACTGTGCGCACGATGTCTTACCCTCCTCTCGCACGTTATAACGCAGTACGGCGATGGAACAGGAGATAACGACCTTGAGATTACTCACTCTTCGTCCATACCTGATCTCTCTGAAGCAAGCCAACGTAATGCGAACCTGAAAGCTCAAAAAAATGAGAGCTCGGAATCGGATACTTCGAGCACCCCTCCGCCTTGCGTAATCTGTACCAAGACTTTAACCCTCTTCAATTCCGCGAGGGCACATATCTCATTCGACCCTTCCATGCGGAAGAAACCATGCAATGAGTGGAGTTTGAGTTGGAGTGTCGCCGCAGGAGATCCGAAGACCCTTCCGCAAGTGAGAGTCAGCATGAGTGTGAACCGTAAGGGCCGGTATGGATGGGGAATTGGTAAGTACATTAGGATGTCACTTATGAATGTTCTAGTTGAGCTCGCAATCTAATATACGCAGGAGGTTTCGAGATTTACCCCGATTGGAGTGCCGCTGCTGCAGAGAATGCGGAGCAGAGAATAGACTTGGGCAATTATCCCGTTATTGTGTCCCTCGATCCCAACGAAAGTGCGACGGGAGATGTACATTCAGGGCAATCAGAGCTCGACTTCTCTTCGACACTAAGTACGGGGAGTCTGGCACCAGTATCGTCCTGGATACAGGAATGTGCGACATCCCATCCAAAATGCACCAAAGTCTTCGGAAGTAATGACTTTGGCCAACCTGGTGCAGTATGGTTCCCAGACCGCCTCATTCACATAACCTGCACGAAAAGCACCGAGACGACGAATTCGGACCCCCCGATCGTCACACGTACCGCGCGCGTTGTGCTGAAGTCCAACCCTGTGGATATTTCTCCCGACAAAGCCACAACAGGGATAAAATACCTTTCATTCTCTCACTGTTGGGGCCCTCCACCAGACCCCTCTGCACCGCTTGGTGGTCGTGCTGGCACAGTGCTCACGGAATTGAATCTGTCCACCTGGCAGACGGGCTTACCGCTCGACGATCTCCCGCTTGCATTCCAGCAAGCGATCATGATTTGTGCGTCGCTGGGGTTTGAGTACATGTGGATCGACAGCCTATGCATTCTCCAAGACAGCTACAAAGACTGGCAGGTGCAGAGCGCTGTAATGGGAGACGTCTACAAGTATGCGTGTTTGAATGTTGCCGTTCTGTCCACTAGCTGGCAGCTGGCGTAGGAAGGGCAAAGGATCAGTGAGGAAAGCATGAGTTGTATTGAGGTGCTAACGAGTGGCTATATAGTGAAGAGAGACCAGGGGTTGCAGGCAGCAACGGTGACAAAACAACAGGTGAACCTTGTCCAGCTGAGAAGTGAACCCTGTACAGCTGAGACGCGTAGACAGACGTGCGTAGGAGCATTCTAACTGGCTGCCACTAGCTCCGGCTACGAAGGATTCATTAATGATTCTCGCGACGCACGTGTCGAGTTTGGGTTCCGGGCCCTTTTTGCATCTGTCCTTGGCCGTGGCCATGAGGAGAAGAATACTGATGGTCAGGAGTGCGTCTTGCTTCATGGCAGGGCAAAGCTTCTTTGGAATTGGATTTCTCGGCTGGTTCACCAGGGACTAATGAGTCAAACGCACCGCTTTTAAAGCGAGCGTGGGTGTTTCAAGAATGCTGTCTTGCGCGGCGCACCCTCGCCTTTGCTAACAATATTGTGTATTGGGCCTGTGATGAGTGCAGCCGGGGAGAACAGCCAGACTGGGCCTTTCAATTTGAATCCATCGGCCTACGAGGGATACTGCATTCTGTACAAGAAACCGCCGCGACGCTCGCAGTTGGAGCTGCTGGAAGCGGAGTGGCACTAGAGCAAACAAAGATACCAAAAGAGCAGTTGGAGGAGTTGATCAAGGCCTTCGATATTGGCTGGCAGTCTTACGTGACGGACTACACACTGTACAAACTGACGAAGCACACTGACAAGCTCATCGCATTTTCAGCCGTTGCGCGGGAGATGGCCAATACGCAGATTATGGGGAAGAGAAGATACCTCGCGGGGCTATGGGATGTGAATTTGCCATTCCAGATGGCGTGGATTACCGTCGAAGGCCAAACTACTCCGCCAAGGAAGAGGGTTGGGGATGCAGGATATGTGGCGCCGAGCTGGAGCTGGGCGAGCGTGGAAGCGCCAGTGCAGCCAGCTTTCATATTCAATTTTGGTAATGGACTTGTTGCGCTGGCTGATGTCCGCGCCGCGGAAGTAGCGCTTGAGTCGGACTATGCCTTTGGGTCATGTCCAGTCTGCGCGAAATGCAAGTTGCCTTTATCTACGACAACAACGTCCCGCCTATTCTGTTGGCGTTCTTCCAAAGGAGCGGACGGGCACCATCTATCATGCGAGATGTAATGCGAAAACTGATATCCTCTATTCCGAAGAGCGTAGAGAAAGTTCGCTGGGGCTTGAGTGAGGAGGAAAAGCAAGACAAATCGTGGGTTGACTTCAAGGAGAGAGAGGAAGAAGTTGAGACGAGTTTGAAGTACAATCTGCATGTTAACCCCGATGCATTGGACGCTCTAGCACGTGAATTCCAGGCACTCCGGGGACTCGATGCTGAATACTACTCGGATTCTGTACAGACGGATGACAAGGTCAGGATTAAGTGGTCCAACGCCGAGAAGTGTCAGCGAGGGGGTGATATTGCCAGGGCACTTCTGGGATTAGAAGGACGATCAAAGTGTTCAAGATAGAGCGCATGATACGAGAATCTTGGTTGTAAGACCCTATCTCATAGATGGCTTGGTCAATACTTATGCCTCTATGTATGACTTGCTGCAAGCTAAACGCATGACTTCCTAACTGAAGACTACCAGAATACCTACTTTGATGTGCATATGCAACGCCCTCAAGCTGAAGAAATCGTTGGGATTTTTCAGGGCGACATGGATACTCAAGGGCGACAGTTTATGGCACACCGAGTTTCCTGAACCACCATGGCCTGACTGACGGTGTGCAAATAGCGCAGCACGGCCGTCGTCGTCGTCGGTTCAAGGGTCCACGGCAGGGCGGGATCCGGAGGGCAAAAAGTCGATCCACGCCGGGGACAAGGGCAGAAAATGCAGCAAATCAGCGCGGGCACAGTACGGGCGGTGCTGGCACTTGTCGTCGTCGTCGATCTCGGTAGTGGCCGCGGCGGATGAAGTGAGTCACGTGATAGCACTAGCGGCGTTGGCGCACGTTAGCGTCTCGGATTGGATTGTTCCTGGCTCCTGAAAGTGGTGTGGTCTCAACATTTATCGCATATATCCTCCTTTACCGTTCACCACAAACCCCCTTCCTGTGCAGCAACTCTCCCGGCTCTTCTTCCTCAGCGCGACCCCCATTGAATTGGCCCTGTCGACTGGCCGCAGCCCGAGTTTGTCGCCATGTACGCTCCCCCGTCCTCCTATCGTCACCCTTCCACCGCTAACCATCGCCACTATGCAGGAACAGCACTGTGTATGACCCCTTCCTTGCCCCGCCGGCTACCTACTGGGGCGGCTTCGAGGAGATCTCCAAGTACAATGTCCAGCTCAACTACTTCGAGCGCCTGTGGATGGCCTGGTACGCTTTCATGCAGAACGATGTTCTTGCCACCGGCATCATGTCCTTCGCCATGCACGAGCTGGTCTACTTCGGCCGCTCGCTGCCCTGGGTCGTACTAGACATGATACCCTACTTCAACCGATACAAGATCCAGCAGGTGCGTTTGCCTCCCTCTGGCTATCATGCTTCACCCGTTGACGGATACAACAGGACAAGAAACCCACTGCCTATGAGCAATGGCAATGCGCGGCACTGGTCCTCTTCAGCCATTTCACTGTCGAGCTTCCCCAGATCTGGTGAGTTCCTTTCCCCGTCTATACCCCGCCTCGCTCCTAACATCCCCAGGCTCTTCCACCCCATGTGCCAATACGTCGGCCTCTCCACCAACGTCCCCTTCCCTCCTCTCTACAAGATGGCCTACCAAATCGCCATCTTTTTCGTCCTCGAAGATACCTGGCACTACTGGACCCACCGCGCCATGCATTGGGGGCCCCTCTACAAAGGCATCCACAAGATCCACCACCAATACTCGGCTCCCTTCGGGCTAGCCGCCGAATACGCCTCGCCCATCGAAGTCATGGTCCTCGGCTTCGGCACCGTCGGCGTGCCCTTCCTCTGGTGCGCAATCACCAAGGACCTCCACATCCTGACCATGTACCTATGGATCGTGTTCCGCTTATTCCAGGCCATCGACGCCCACTCCGGCTACGAGTTCCCGTGGAGTCTGCACCACTTCCTCCCCTTCTGGGCGGGCGCTGAGCATCACGATGTCCATCATGAGCGCTTCATCGGAAACTATGCGTCTAGCTTCCGCTGGTGGGACTTTTGCCTTGACACCGAGGCTGGGCCAGAGGCGTCGAAGCGCAGACGCGAGCGAAAGATCGCGAAGGCGAAAAAGGCGGTATAAATGGCCTATCAAAGGACCAGCAGACAAGAAGAGGTGCATTGTCCATATCTTCGGGACACCCAAGTCTCAGCATCAGCGGTCGTGGCCCCACGGCCTTGTCTTCCATGGAAACGGCCGATCGAAGGCGAGCATGCATCGCAGCGACGTTTTTGGGAGCAGTAAAGCTCCGGTTTGGGGATTTGCTAAAAATTTGGGTGCGAACTTCTAAAAGTCGTTTTGGGACGGCTTTGTATAGAGAATTGGAGACGCTATGGGAGTGGTGGATGTTAATGCATATATTGGTATAGGGCGCCAGCTCGGCGTCGAGGTGGGGAAATCAAACCTAATAACTACAGAGTATTCATGTCTTGTTCATTTGCTAGGGCTTTTCGGTGCTGTTCTTGTATTGGGCTACCCCTTGACGTTCTCGCCATCATACATTCCCGCTTCACTACAGGCACATCGAGAAAGAGAAAAGAAGCGGTATGAACATGCTACACATCGTGAAACATGACACGTACGAAGGCATGTCTTACAGCTAAGTCACATCTCACGTGCGCATCCAACCCGCCAGCTTCCGGCCGGCCGTCTTACAGCAACCCTGACGCTATCAATCTCTTCACTGCTCCTTCAACCACCCCTTTAGCATCGCGAGCATTCCAGCGCTGGTACACTCCCTTCTGATAGTCACCCTGCGTCTCTCAGTATCGTGCCTACGCCCTCTACTTCAAGCGCGAAGATTGAATCGGCTTAGGTAATTACCCCAGGTTTCCACTACCTCGCCTACCACGCATTTTGTCGGCTGAAGTACGGGCGCCCGATGCGCTTTATACCTTTCAGAATACCTTTCTCACTCGGACTTTACGCAAAGACCGAATTGCTTGAGTGTTAAGCATGCGTCGGACTTCCGTGAAGCGCGAGCTGGGAGGCTCGGAGCTGTGTGACGAGCGAAGTAGGATAATCGGAGCTGTGTAAAGAGCGAGCTTTGAAGAATCGTTTGCCCTTTTCCGGACGGAGAGGCGCGAGACGGTTGATCCTCGTATGGAGTTCTCCCTACTTTGGTGAGGCCCGACTCCCGAGGGAGGTAGAGCGGGGGGATATGATTGGCAGTATATGGAGACACAGAGTCTCGCTAGACTTTGGTATTGTTGGAGCGCGAGATTAGGTACAAATGCCACAATGCGTTTCGTTAAGAGAGATATAGGCGGTATAGTCGTCTACTACCTACGCATATCAAGCATCGTCATTGGAAACAAAGAGACCGAGACCCGATCTTGATTCTACGTCGGTGTTGTGGGGGAAGCGAGCTTAGAGATCGTAACTACAGCGAAGACGTTGTCGGCATTGTAGCTCGCCGCGCTTTCAAGCCCGTCTTTCCTATGGAAAGCCGGAGACCGGAGCATTATCGTGTGTCGGTGTTATACAGAGAGCGAGCTTGGATGGCTCTACGGGTTAGCTAGAGGATCTTGGGTACGACGGCTGTTCGCTCCTCTGCGTATTCATAGGCTCGGTCTTCGGGGGAGATCGAGGTCCGGGTTTCTCGGGTTGCGGTAGGTGTCGGGCGGGAGTGAAGAGCGAGCTTAGATCTGTTCAGCGTGTGCAAAAGTCCTGCTAACTGTTTATCCAATAGCTTACGTATTGGCTTACGTGATGGCTTACTAGCTTGTCGGCTTACTACTGAGGTCAGCTAGCCTTGTGCTAAGCTCCTTGCCCTCGCCTCACTACTTGCTTCACTTTCACACTTCTTCACTATTCAAGCGTTCGCAACATGACACATCCATCTTACATCCTTCTCACCCGCCGCGATCGACTTGAGGATGCGTGCATGACGTCAGCAGGTTGCGTACGTAAGAAATGCGGAGGAGTGGAGCGTGTCGACAGACGCGAATAGTGCTTAATTAGGAAATAAGGGACTTTAGTTCTGGTTTTAGATCTGGAGTATCAGGGCGATAGAGAGGCGCTAGGAGTGGGATTTGGAATGAAAGCTGCGGAACTCCGCTCAGGTCGTTGCCGTACCCGCTCGGCAAGATGCCTACTTAGGCGGGATAAATATAATGGACGCGGGTATAGGTGATGGGCTTGACGAAAGTGAAGGTTGTTGATGGTTTCATTGTGAGAAGTGATTATACGATTGAGTGGTTGACTTGCCAGCAGTCCTCGAGAGTTGACCTTGATGATTCAATGGTCCAAAGATACTACCCTTTTGACTGCCGTACTATCCAACTCTTAGGCCTATACGTGCTGCATGTGCAAATCTCGTCCTCTCTTTCCTCCACCTTACCCCGATATACACCCAGACGTAGCAGCATCCTCACCTAACAGCATCTCCGCCCCTCCTCTCCCTCCACCGCCCCGCCCTCCTCCGCAACCCTATCGCAAAACTCGGCCATCTCCACATCCTTAATACTCAACCCCTTCGGCCGATGCGTCGTCCACTCAATCGTAACCTCGTTGTACAAATTATGCCACGACGGGTGGTGCCGCTGCCGCTTACACTCGTCAGCAACCTGGTTCATGAACGCCCACGCGGCCTTGAACGTCTTGAAGCGGTAGACGCGCGTGATGGCGATGCGCGAGGGCGTCAGCGTCCAGGACGAGGTTTGCAGCAGCGAGGTGGCGCGCGCGGGGAGGTCGGCGGGCTGGGAGGGGGAGAAGATCGGGGTTACGGGGGTGCTCGGGGATAAGGCGGGTTCGGGACTCGTCATGGTGGTAATGTTTCGAGTATTAGGGTGAATATTAGGGCGAGTAACAGGGCGGAGTGAGGCGTTGAAGGTGGAGACTAGACGCCGTAGGTGCAGGTTGATGGCGCGAGGCACTGCGGGCGAGGGCCCAGCGCGGCAGAGAATCGGACATCTGCTGGGGTGATAAGAAAGTTAGACAAAGTTCTGACAAGATCACCAAGGGAACCATGTGGATTGCGTATGACTGGAGAAAGAAGTGAAACTGAATCTATATCTGCGTGAAATAGTCATACCGAATTGCCTGGGACGGCCGTAGATACTGCAAGGCCATTGCGAGGAATTGAGACGCGGTCTCTGGGACTATTCGTTCATTTCATCTTCACCGGTCAGTGGATTGCTCGAGGCGAGGTTGTTCAGTGACGACACGGGTCAGGATGTGCGCCGTGGGACCTCGGAGTTCCTGGTCCAGCGGGAATGCACAGTGTGGGAATGCACAGTTCTCCACCGTGCCGCTCGATATGCAGTCGACAGAAGCAGAAGATGGTGCGAGATGCCGAGATGCTTGACACGACTGTGGTGCAGATTAACGCTTCCTGCGTGCTCTCCGTACCGCGAGTGGGGGTATAGAGGACGCTCGGCCGACCAACGATTCAATGCCCCAGGAAGGGAATAATATCGTTCGATACGTGATTAGTCGTTGATTTGATCAGTGTGGGGTATTGCTGACTCTTCGGCCTGCGAAATGCCACTCCTGAGTGTACAGTGTAACAACTGGGGAGCACTGTCAGAAGACCTCACGAATAGGACTGGACTTGTCTAAATCTCGGTGTGGTAACTCTTACATCCCTTCCTGCTTCTACATGACGTCCTGGCGCACTTCAAACAGTGTCAAGCGGCGAGAAACCGGGCAAAGACAGCCGCCTGACTTACGTGTCAATGGTTACATCCTATGTGGGTTTCTCGTCATACGTTAGAGCACTCTAGACAGCATGAGCCGGGTGCTCTGCAACCCTCTGCGTAGGCCAAATTCGTCGCATCTGATCAGCTTAGACGTATCGGATTGAGCGTCGCGCAAAGCCATTGAAGGCTTCTAGATACTAGCACATTCCAGGAGTCGGTCAACGGGTTAGAAAGAAGCCTCTCACAGTTAGGTTCTGATCCAGCACTCCCAAACATTGCATTCATTGTTTTCCGAACTTCACGAACTCCTCGGGAGCTTCAATGTGCCAACTACACACGGTACAGTATGTCTAGTCAGATCCGTACTGCAGGGTAGCATCGTCAAAGCGGCCTGGCAAGGTTACCGACTGTTCAAACTGGCGGACCTACGTCTGATTTGAGTTACCAAGAATGTATCGAGGCAAGTCAGACAGCGGTGGACCCGCGTACACAGATTTCCATCTTCTACGCGCACTATATTGCCCAATGCTAGTGCTCCACAACGAGGATTACATACTGTACGATGATTAGTCGGCGATTTGACGGTATTGCTGATGCTCCGCGGCTGGCTTCCGCAACACTTGCCCCTTGCGCCCCTAAAGTGACTAGCCTGCGGGCCAGCAGTGCTCCACGGGAAGCTCGGAAGCGTATTCACTGCCAAGACATGGACAATTGGTAAGCAAAACTACCGAGCGGGCGCAAAGGCCGTGCTCTGCAGCGTGGATTGATTTGCCGCGGGCACTGGGTTGGTTGCCGCATGGAGGAAGCGGAGCAGCAGGTGTTGATGCCCTCGGTGCCGTCGTAATTTATTCGCATCTTCACACGGTCATGGCTCCACTACTCGGGCCGGGAGCGACGCCACGCTCGCCTTCTGCTTGCTGGTAGCCCGAGCACCATAAGAAGCGTTGACTCAGCAGTTCTTACTCACAGCCCGACCTGCTCTCTCCAGACGCTGAAAGGTAAGCTCCCCACTGGCCCGTCAATCCACGATGCGAATCGACAACATTGAGCATCGCACGCCGCGAAGGCCGTCTGGGCAGTCGCGACCGCCCCGTCGCTTTTCTCGCTGTGTCTCTGCGACTCCAGACTGACCACCAATGGTTCCCAGGACGAGCTTCCACTTGCAGCCCGCCCGCATCCACTCATTCACCCAGTGCCTTTGCTGCTACATAATCGTCCGCCACACCGCGCTTTGATCACCCCAGGCAAATACCACCTGAATCGATCGGCCGACCTCTCTCCCACTCGCCGCTCTCCGCTACCGAGCCTGTGACCTTGATGCTAGCCCTTCCAAGAAGAATGAACCAAGCTTCCTCTCAGGTAAGTCCGCTTACTTTATCATCTAGTCCTCATCCAGTCCTCACCCACCTCTGGACACAGCTGACGGACCCTAGGAAACAATTGAAATGAGTAAGCATTTCTCGATATCTATAGCACCTCGACAAATCACTAAGTAGCTATGCGCCCCCAGGTTTAAGAGAACACTTGCTTGCTGCTGGAGCCGGCCAGCCTACAGCGCCGCAACCTATTTCTCCAGCCCACGCGCATTCCAACCACCCGTCCAGCCCACACACAATCGACCCAGCTATTGCCGGCACTGGTTACAGCATGAGCGCCGGCGATAGCGGCGGCGACGGCCACATGAGCGAAGGGCGCAAGGGTCGGAGGGAGCTCTCCACCTCGAAGAGAGCAGCACAGAATCGCGCAGCACAGGTGTGTTGTCCTATATCTTGGCCGTGGCGTCCGAAGTGGGGTAGTGGTCGTGGAGCTTCGCGCTCTCATCACCATGATTACTTGGGTACCTAACGGCTTTCATAAGAGCTGACTAACGTGTAATCGCAGCGCGCATTCCGTCAGCGCAAAGAAGAGTATATCAAGCAGCTCAAGGACCAGGTCAAAGAGTTCGAGCAACTCTGCGAAATGTACAAGGCCCTCCAGACGGAGAACTACTCCCTCCGCGACTACATCATCAACCTCCAATCGCGCCTGCTCGAAACACAGGGCGAGATTCCTCCTGCGCCCGCGAACATTGACCTGACGCGACCGCACGGAGACCCACCGACTGCTCATGCGACCAACTCAGACATCCCTTCCGGAATCACCGGAGGTCTTTCAGAGCGGGAGATAGGCGAGCTACGCATGGCTGCTCAGGCTGCTTCAGCGCGTCCGGAGATGAACAATGGCGGCAAGCACCATCACGAAGAAGCCGCATACCTTCCTGCCTCTTCGAGTTACCCGGACAAGAGGCAAAAGTTGGACGATAGGCCAACCTCTTCAGGTGCGCACCTTCTCTTTTCTTTCATCAACGGCTACAATGGCTTATGATTGCTATTCAGGCTCCGCTCCATCCGTTGGTGACCCCGAAAATAGCCTATGATGTCTGCCCAGATGCTATCAATGGCATTCGGTGTTTTCTTTTGTTTGATGGTGTACTAACTCGACGGAGAATGTGCACTTCAAGGGCTCTATTACGAATGGCGCACAACTGATCGCGATGTTGTACAACATCCTTGATGCCTCAACGGTAAAGCAAAGGAACTCAGCCACCGTCTGGATCAACACAGCTGATATGCCTTCACTTACCGGACTTCATGATCCACGAAGTCACGCCTTCAACCTGCCCGACACTGCTACTTGATTGATTTACAACTGCGAGGCGTTTACGGAATAAGGGATCAAGGGCTTGGGTCTGGGAATGACCACGGCTCTGACATTGGTACGGGCGAGCCAGGATGGACGGTATTGTGCGGTTACATTTTCACTTTGTCTCTTGTTTGCACCCTGCCTTGTGTATACCTTTAGCTCCGAGGCGACGGGTCTATCTCTTGTCTTTTTGGTCAACCTCTGTACTTATAGATCCACGTTTCGAATTGTGCGACAAGTCATGTTGCATGGTCTTTCTGAGATAGCAGTGAAGGTTCGAGACCAATTTTGAGAATCCCGCTTTCACGCCACTGACAGGGGCGTGAAAAAGTGATTCGATCAGATAGTTCATCGTTGCATTTCCTCGTCACAATAAGAGGAGCTTGTATAACGGACAGTGCATTGCCACTAAGACCTTCACAGGCCTTGTCGACATGACATGCCAATCATGCGGCTTTGATGGTGGCTCTTAGTGTCAAGCAGGTTTGAATATCGAAAGCGAGTGTGTTCATGACAATTGAGAGAATTTGGTTTCTGATATTCATTCCTATAACGTGAAGGGATTCCTAAATCAAATTTTGAAGCAAATGAAGATACAGAATTAATTATAGAAGATGCAGCCCTCCATACAATAGAGAACTGAATGCAATGCAAAGACCATCTAGGCCAATCACGTGTCGCTGATAAAAGGGTGAACGGGTCAGGCTCGCTACCAATCCTGACGTCCTTGGTCCCGGCCTTGGTCTAACAACTTTCTTCTCCCCCGAAAACCTCCGCGCCACCCTCTGCCTCTTAAATAAAACCACAGACCCCAGGACGCACCACTAGCATCTTCTTCATCGTCAACCTATACTTCCGATTCTCATCATGGGCTGGTTCTGGGCCGACAGCAAGCCCTCCGTGGCGGTAGCCCCCCATCCCATACCCAAAGGCGCCGCATCACCACCCGTACGTCTTCAAGCAACCATATATCCAATCTTCAGCCTGATCTAACGTAAACCCCAGCCTGGCTGCCCAATGCACAACTCCTCCTCCACATCCACACCACCAAAATCGCGCCTCCCCGACGCCGCCTCGATACCCGCCGGCGCATGCCCCTACGTGCCCCCAGACACACCCACACCCGCCTCACACCCACCCAGCACCTCCACCGCGTCTCCGCAAACTGCCGCCCCTTCCTCCGGCGGTCTCTTCAACCTTCTTAACAACATGCCCTTCCTCTCCAACTCCCGGGACTCGACCCACCAGACCCAAGCCCTCCCCCTCGAGCGCGAAATCTCCACCATCCCCAAGTCCGACGGCTCCCTCTGGGAGTACCCCTCCCCGCAGCAGATGTACAACGCGATGTTACGCAAAGGCTACACCGACACAGACGTGAGCGCAGTCGAGAGCATGGTCTCCGTGCACAACTACCTCAACGAGGGCGCGTGGGCCGAGATCGTGGAGTGGGAGCGGCGGTTCTCGCGGGGGCTGGCAACGGGGTGGCAGAACTGCAAGCGCGGGGAGGAGGGGACGGTGTCCTCCGCCATGACGGGCATACAGTGGGCGGATAAGGAGGTCCCAGAGCCGAAGCTTGTGCGGTTCACGGGCAGGCCCGGCGAGCTGACGCCCAAGGCGCAGATGATGCAGATACTGGCGAAGGCGTGGCCGGCGAAGTATGCGTCGGAGCCGCCGTTTGATCGCCATGATTGGTTTGTGAGGAGGTGTGATAAGGAGGGGGCGTGCAAGGAGTTGCGGTATGTGATCGATTATTATGAGGGCCCGCCGGAGCCGACGGGGGAGCCGGTGTTTTATCTGGATGTGAGGCCCGCGGTGGATGGGCCGGTGCAGGCGGCGGAGAGGGTAATGCGGTGGGGAGGGGATGTGTGGTATAGGGCTAGTGGAGGGAGTGCGAGAGAGGCAGAGAGACAAAAGGAGGAAGCTCAGTCGGCGCTTAAGATGGTGGAGGAGCAAAACCAGCGACGAAGAATGGCGCAGGGGCAAAATTGATCACTGAGCGAGGAAGAACAGATATGGACTAATCAGATGGATGATGGTATGTGGGTTCAGCGGGCGTTTGAATAGCCCTTTCAGGAGCTTTTTGGAATGGGCATTGTATCATATGGGTCGGACGCATTGCGGTCAGATTTCTGGCTCTGAATGGGCTGCGCTTTTCTTGATCTTACTGTTATATTTCTATTCCATACTCCTCTCTTCGCACCTTGCGAGGTGCTGGTTTTGTCAATCGTCCTAGTTTCTAGCACTTATACTCTATACGAACGTAATGTCCTAGGTCCCGTCAAACCAGTCCAGTCTTATTCTTACTTCTTCGCTATCTCAAAATGGGTTTATTCGTGCTCTGATACGGCTTCATAGGGTGGCCCTGTCATCTACATCGGCCGGCTATGAAGACGAAACGTATACCTTTCGGCAAGTGGGCCCACGACCACAGAGATCATATCTTAATCGTTCATCCCCTCAATTCAGTCTCTCAGTCGGTCGGTTCAGCCGATCCTTCGCCCGAGCCTTCATTCTCTACCTCGACAGGATCCGCATAATACTCTGCATCCGACCCTCGAATACCATCGAACTCCCGCACCAGCGGCTCCAGCACTGCGGCCTCGACTCGGAAAAAGCCAGGACGAAGCGTATCAGCCTGCGCCTCCTCATCGCTCAAGCCCCACCGCACCTTCGGCACGCTCTTGGGTATAGAAGCAACCAATTTACGCATCATGTCTCGCATCACCGGGGGAGCCCGTCCCGTTCCGTTGAAGAAGTCCAGCAATTCCGATGGGAAGTCACCGTCGTGAACGAAGGACACCCGTAGTTCTCACAGCTTGAGTATCTTGTGGAGGGCCGTGAAACTGAATGTCTGGAGAGCGAAATATGCAGGGTCGCGGAACAGGAGGTGGTGCTGGATAGACTCAAAGTCATATCCCCTGAGATCAAACTCTAGGTGCAGTTGCCGCGTCAAGGTCAAGTCCCAGATATTCCGGCTGCGCGAGGAGGTTGAGACAGATCCTATTGGCGAGTCGAACCGGCCGTGGATTGCGCGCATCTTTACCTCGAAGATATGGGCGTTGTAGAGTATTCTCTTTGCCTCTTCGCAGACCTGTGAAGAATGAACCGTAAGCGTCAGTGTTCATTTTGCACAGATTTATTTAGATATGCGTACCTGCTCGCACGTGCGGAGTATTTTCGACGGTTGAGGCTTAACACGGGCGCATTTTTGACCCCGAGTCACTGAACATGTCCTAAGCTCCACCTTAACTGTGTGAGGCGGTACATAATAACCCGGTATATCAACATGCGGCATTATAGTAGCTTGTGGTGGAATGGTTTGGATGATCGGGGTGGTGTCAAGATCGAAGTCTTTCCCAACGGACACCAGCAGATGCCCGTACACCATATCTCGGAGCTCCCGTGGAAGGTCCAAGAAGCGGAACTTCTGCTTTCGGCCACGCTTGGTGTTCCAAGCAGCAGGCTTTTGATCTTTCAGTAGGTCCGTGTCGTCGTCATCTCGTTTGCGCTTCTTTCTGTAGTTGTGCGTGTTAGCTAACAATCGTAGAGGAAGCTCTTACACATGAAGCAAATTTCACCGTAACAGGCTCCTAGAATGGTATCGAAGCATTGCAAGCAGTGGCAAATGAGTGTACACAAGCGCACAAGGAGTAAGTGCTTACGAAGGAGCTAGAAGCAAAGGACCGGGACGCACACTTCGTGGGGGGTTGCGCCGCGTAGTATCCTGTTGAAGAGCATTCACCGCATTAGAGCCGGACTTAGGAGTATAGTTCATGTTGGCCAGCAGAGTCCCTATCAACGGTGTTGACGAGGAGATGTGTTGTGGTGTTGGGGTGTTTCTGGGTGGGCTTGAAGTGCTGCTTAGTTCGTGGGAGCATTTTTGGGATGGAGGACGAAGGGTGTGGTTGTTAGGAGAGGAAGAGAGGTTGGGTGTCATTTCTATTGTTTCTCACGTGACAGGCAAGATTCTGGGGGAAATCGGCTCCAGTGTCGAGCTCGTTGTTTCCAGTGAATACCACCAGCCCGAGCATCTGTAAGTAGCCAGTCACACAGAGTCCAGTTTCAGTATGTTAGCGCCAGCAAGCACTCTTAAACATGGGTATCATTGTAACTCTGACATTTGCCATCTGAGATGTAGCCTGTATAGTCAAGCAACAGGCAGTTCGATATCCCAATGTGCACCCAAGCAATTTCCTTTCCCATTCCGGGAACTGAGCTGCTCATGTTCCAGCCTGAGCCGTGGCTGTGCTGGGGTGAGCGATCCTGAGCTGAGACTGAGCAGCTCGTTAGAACCCAGTTTTAGGCCCTGTATTCGATAGGGGGTGCTAAGACTGGGGTCCTCACCCTGCCTCGGAAGGCGCTAGGTCCCAGTTTCAGAGCCCCAATTCTCGATAGAAAACAGCCCAAGCCCTCCGTTCCCCCCCTCAAGTACTCTACCTGCATGTAAGTCGCCTCATCAAAGTGCGAAGGGAACTTCCCCTACAAGAATCCATCATCCCAGGAATCAGACTATCTTGTGGCTCATCAGTGCAACGGCCCCGGGAATATTAGTTCCCACGGTCAGGCTGGAATGCCTCCTACACGCGTCTATGCAGCCTGCTACAAACCGCTCTCGCTCCAATTCGCCCGCGTGCTCGAATTGCATGCCGGCGAGTTATCGGACCCTTTGGTCGGGACGCTCGTCGCGCAGCCCATCGACGGCGAACCCTACGAAGCCATCTCGTATGTATGGGGCGGCCTCCCGACAGAAACCATGGTGGTCGACGGCGCGAACGTGGCCATCACAGCCAATCTGAAAACGGCGCTCAAGGCCCTCCGGCCGCGCCCCCGGTCGTCGACCGAAGGCCATGTACCCGGGGCTGGCCGCCGCCGCCGCCTGTGGGTCGATAGCGTTTGTATCAACCAGGACGACATGTCGGAGCGCATATCGCAGGTAGGATTGATGGGCCGCATCTTTGCTGGTGCGTCGCGCGTGCTGGCTTGGCTGGGCCACGACGAGGAGGGGCTCACGAGCTTCGCAATGGCAGTCATCCGCGACATCCTCGAGGACCCCGAAGTGGCACTGCACGAAGCGCGCATCCTGCTGCACCTGGACGATCTCACGGACAACGACCGGCTGGACGAGGAGGATCGCAAGCGCTCTAGGACGGAGGCGCAGAGGTGGGCGGCCATCAAGGCCTTTTTCGACATTGAGTACTTCCACCGCACCTGGATTGTGCAGGAACTGGGTCTCGCGCGCGTGGCGGACATATTCTGTTCAAACAAAAGGCACGCCGCTGCCGCGTTGAAGGACACGGTCGAGGAACAAGAGCTCCGGGATGATGAGGATGAGTCCCCGCAGCACGAGTTGGAGCTGCATTCCATCAACTGGTACCGCGTGCGCGAGTTTGTCAGCTATGTGGCCTATAACGGCGCCTCGTTAGAGACGCACCTGGACCTTAAGTGCTGGGTTGCCGCGCACATCCGTTACGTCTGGGAGGTCGACGAGGATGGGACGCCGCAGTGCGACTTCCTTACTGCACTGCACTGGGTGCGCATCATGCGCGTAACGGACCCGCGTGACCGCGTCTTCGCGCTCCTGGGCCACCCGCTGGCCGTCATGAACGGCGAGATGGTTGCCAAGCCGGACTACAACGTCAACCGTGGAGTCGTTTACACCAAGCTCGCCGCGACCTTTATCCGAGAGACCAAAAACCTCCACGTATTAACCCTGGTCGACCATGAAAGTGACCAGAGCATGCGTCATGTCCAATGGGACACGAGTGATGACGCCAGGATGCCCAGTTGGGTCCCCGACTGGCATTCCATAAATAGGACGGCACCCTTGCCGTATCCCATAGCCCCGGCGGCGAAGGAAGATGCTGAAATCCGCATCGTAGGCTCGCTAGACAGCGTAACAGGCCAGCCGATGCCGCGTTTACTCGTCCGCGGATGGGTAGTGGACCAAGTCGTGGCCGTGTCGCACATGATGGAGACGACTGACTTCCCTGTCACGAATCTACTCAGGGAGCGCACTAAGAAGAACCCCTTTTTTCTTGACCGGCTCTGGGAAATGGTGTACCCAGCGCAGGGCTCCAACCATAAAGATCCAATCAAGGTGCTGGATAATCTCTCCCTCGCCTTGGCCGACGGGTTGCGAGACCATGCAGGTGGCCTCAATCTTGCCGAAGGCGGCGACCACAGTTCCAAAGACGCGACACAGCCCGGCGAGGCGCAGGACATGCATCGGCAGTCCTTTGCCGCTTACCTGCTGGAGTACCATCGGCTGCGTGAGACCGGAAGGGCTACCACTGCCACGCTTTCGCCGTCCGAAGCCGGCTCTGAACTCATCACTGCTGCTTCTGTTAGCGACGACGACAACAACCTCCCACAGAGGTCGCTATATGCCAGCCTTCCCGAATCTGCGCAAGTCGAGATCCAGCGCCGCGCAACCGGTGCCACCAGCCTAATATTCGTGCAAGACATAACGTGGGTATCCATGTGCCGTGTCATCTTCCGCACCACCACAGGCCTGATCGGTATGGGCCCCCGCGTGATGAAGCCGGGGGATGTGGTGTGCCGCGTGCGTGGATGCCCCGTGCTCATGGTGTTGCGCGAGGCACCCCACGAAGCGGAGAGCGATGCGCCTCGCGTGTTGCGGTGTATGCATGTTGGGCCATCTATTGTTCCAGAACGGATGGTGCTGGGGGTGTTGGATGGGGGCGAATTTGATGAGATGGAGAGGGAGTTGATTATATGCTGATTGGAAAGGCAAACTGGGTGTTAAACTGAATATATCACAGTATTTACAATTTCACCTCGGCCTCCTTTGGCCAAGTCTGTTAGTAGTGCTGTGCAGTAATTACTTTAAGTTATTATAGCTATATACTTAGGGCGCTGCTAATACCACACCCCCTAATTCCTACACGTACACCCCCTTTTCACTGCGCGTACACCCCCTCCCCCCCGTCGTTTCACCACCTTCTGATTGGCTCGGAGGGGTGCTCCGTAGCCTCCGATTCGCTCGCTTAATTCGCTTACCAATTCCAAATGCTCTCTCCAAATGCGGCGTGTACACAAGCAATTACATCCTCATCCTCCACCTCTACAATACACTCGCCATGGCCCTCCAGCCGCCACCGACACGGTCCTACAACACTATAGAGGAAGCCGAGGAAGCGCTCACAGAGCATGCAAAGGCTCAAGGCTACGGCTTTGTAAAGTTCCGCTCCAAACCTAATAAAACACCGGCCAAGGAAACGAGGAAAGTATGGTTTCAATGCTGCTTTGCTGGCAGTACAGAGCTTACTGCCCGCGAGCGTAGAACCTTATCAAGGTTAAAGGGCTGTAGTATATACGGTACACTTACTCGACAGCCTCCTGGCTATGATAGTAAATGTATATGGCTATAGGAGACGATGGAGGCAGCTTACAACAACCATCCTCCTATACTCAAACCAACAGCAGTTGCATGCAACAGGAAGCGCTCAGCATCAACAAACACCCTTATTCGAACTGATACATCAAGTGGAACAAGACCTACGGAAACGTATACAAAGCTGCTAAAGAAAGGAGTAACTATCACCCTCTAAGACATTCGAAATGAGCAAACGCTGTACCGTAACGAGCTTCTCGGTGGCCTTACGCCTATACAGGCGCTCCTCAATACGTTAGAAACATCTACTTTCCCTGCATCTGACGGCCAAGAGAGGAAGTACATATACAGCTATACAAAGGATCAACAGAACTGTATTGATCACCTCTTCCTTGCTCATCCGGATTCTATCGAGATTCTACAGTCGAACTACAATATTATACTTATGGACTGCACCTACAAGACTAATAGATTCGGCATGCCGTTCCTCCATATAACCGGTGTGACGTGCACAAGCAACAACTTCGAGATTAGCTACTGCTTTATTCCTAGAGAGAAGGAAGCAAACTACAAATGGGCAGTACAGCAGCTCTTCGAGCTCTTTCAACGCTATTCTATTGTACCACGCGTTTTCTTAACGGATAAGGAACAAGCTCTAAGGAACGCACTACGTGCACGATGGCCTACTGTCCCGCGCCTCCTGTGTGTATAGCACATCGACAAGAACATCAACACCAAGCTAGTAGATGCATACAAGGAGAAGGCGACATTCTCTGTAGGCCATGCTGATGCGCCGATGGAGAATGACACGGAAGAACAGAAGGCGGCAAAGGAAAAGAGGCAGCAAGAGAAAAAGGGTGAATTCATGATCCGTTGGAGCGCTATACAGAAGCTAGAGGACTGTATTTAATTTAATAAGGCTTAGATAAAGCTCCTTAACGACTATAAGGAGAGGCCTAGCCTTGTAGAGTATATAGAGGAGGAGTGGTGGCCGTGTAGGTGGGTATGGGCAACTTGCTACACTCGAACAGCTCGACATTTTGGAACCACGTAAGTGTCTGCTTATGTCCTATTTCTCGATCATTCTTCAAGCTTTCTTCTTGCCCTCTTCAGCGCTGCTTGTTCTACATGTCAACAAACCCCTTGTGAAGTTTAAGCTTCAAATTCGCACGTCTTAGTGTTGAGATTTGGGTCGAGCAGATGCAAATTTAGGTGTATAATGCTAACCGAGTTTCTCACAGTGTTACATCACGGAACGAGGGCGCGCACGGCCTACTCAAGGGCTTCCTCCAGGTGTCAACTGGCCATCTATTCGACGTACTCCTCAACATCCAGAACCTCATCCTTACTACCAAATCAAAATACGAGGACCACAAGGCAAAGTGGCATGCTAGAACTCGTCATGATGTCAATGAGAAGGAATTCCGTGATCTACTTAATGCGGTTACACCGCAGGCGTTGGTCCTCCTTAAGACGCAGCTTAAGAAGGCGAAATCAGATGAATACAACCCGAACAACTGCACTTATACGTTCACAAATATATACGGCATGCCGTGCGCTCACAAGCTACACAATCGCCTACATCGGGCGCTTACAAATCGTGTAGATCCGGTGCTCTATATACAACCAGATGAGATAGATCACCACTGGTGGTTTGCTCGGCCAGGCATACAACAACCGGCTATTCCTTTTGGACCTTTTGAGGATGTACTTGATCCTGCCGTTGTTGAGCGTCGACATGGCCGCCCTGCTATTGAGAGGAGAGGTCACCATACGTACAACAATACCCAGAGAGATCCATCTAGGTTTGAAGTTGCTATGGGTATAGGTTTGGCAGCTCAACGTGGAGGTGAACAAGATGGACAACGAGGCACAGCTCTACGACATTTGCCAGCGTCTTTACAGCAAAATCCGGCCATCCCTGTCCGCCAGGATGCCCCTCAGTCGATGGCTACAGCTGCTAGGACTGGTATTGATATTTCTCAAATTGATCTGGCCCTTCTTGAGCCTACGGCAGCACCTACGGCAGAACCTACAGCAGCGCATACAGCAGCGCATACGGCAGCGCATACAGCAGCGCATACGGCAGCGCATACAGCAGCGCATACGGCTACACCTACGGCTACACCTACGGCTGTACCTGTAGCTAAGAAGCGTGGCCGGCCGCCTGGTGCAAAGGATAAGGTACCGCGGAAAAAGGCACGAGCTCAGAGGCAAGATAGTGCTCAGCCTCAACCTCAGGTGGAACAAGAGGATGACCGTGCGGATATTCTACGACAGATTGCAGCTCTACAGGCACGTCTAGGAGGGTCTCAGCGCCCAACAGGTGTCGCTGTAGGCACTGCTGAGTTATCAGGCCGGCCAAAGAGCCGTAGGAATGTTCTAGGGCCTGCGGAGTATCAATATGAGTATGAGGCTGAGGCGTATGTAGATCAGTATGAGGAGTAGGTGCAGGCGGCGATGCTACGGGGCCAGGCTCGATGCAAAGGAGCCGTAATAAGGTGAGGTTTTGACAGGTTTAGCATGCTGTTAGGCACGTAGGCACTTCTAGAATAGAATTCTATTCTATACTTATACTTAGACTTAGACTACGTGAGCTTGTATATGAGCTCGTACGTAAGCTTGTACATGAGCTCGTACGTAAGCTTATGTGTGAGGCTATATAAAATGGGCATAGCTATACAGCCTCTCCATTTTATATAGCATCACGTACGGCCTCGTGTATAGCATCACGTACGGCCTCGCGTATAGCATCACGTGTGGAGAGACGTAAGAGTGAATGCCCGGAGGAAGCTCCGGGCTCTCCGAGCCAATCAGAAGGTGGTGAAGCGCCAAGAGGGGGGGGGGTGTACGCGCAGTGAAAAGGGGGTGTGGTATTAGCAGCGCCCTATAAGAAATGGCTTTAAGCTATATCACGTCATCCTACGCTATATGTTGCATTCTGCATCCTATATATCTAGACGGGATCTAGCAGAGTTCACTCTCTAGATCAGCTGTCACGCTGTTCCTCCAGGTTCTCTTGGCAGTCATTGAGGTTACGGGACATCACGTGCACGGACGTCCCGTGATCCCGGGCCGAGGGTTCTTCCGGCGCCTTGCGCGCTCCACATATATGGCTCGTGGCCGGAGCCTCTCTCCTCTCCACGCAACCTCGTCAATAGCAATACAACCCTTTCCTCGGCCACACTCCTGACATCAGCTCTCTCTCTCACACAAACTTAGATAGCCATATTAGTCAGCGGTTTTCTTCCTCCGCTATCGCTCCCACATTGCCGGCGAACTTGGCCGTAGCTCCAAACGGGGCACCTCACAATATCATCATGACAGTGTCACAAGATCCCAATGCAGAAATCTTTTCTTGTGAAGAAGTACCAGAACGGCAAGCCTCAGAATCCTATCAGCAAGATATCCAAACTGAACCCCTCCACAGACTAGACGAACAACACTTCGCCACAACCAAAACTTTCGGTTTCCTCGTCCACCCCAACATCCCACTCAACTCACCCACGATCAAAATAGCAGACATTGGCACCGGCACCGGTATCTGGCTCTTAGACGTCGCCAAAAGTCTACCTCCAACATGCCAACTCATTGGCTTCGACGTCTCATCCTCGGCATTCCCACCAACTCAAACATTACCACAAAACGTGTCGTTTCAAATACAAGACATGCTTCTACCCTTCCCAGCTTCTGAGATAGGAAGCTTTGATGTAGTTGCAGTCCGCTTTGTCAGCGTTGCGACTACGCGGGCGGCATGGGCTCTTGCCATTGAGAATGTAATGACATTGCTGAAGCCGGGCGGCTGGCTACAATGGATCGATTCGTGCAACTTTACACTGTACAATTCCGTTGCTGGCTCGTCTCGCGCCGCGTGCCAGGAGATCTATGACGGTCTGGAGCCATTTCGTGCCAAAGACGATATCGTCATAGGAATGGTGATGCGGGAGCCGAAGAATATGAGGAGGGAAGATGTGTTTCGAAAATTAGGCTTGACGGATGTGCACGAAGATGTGTTTTCGACGGATAGGTTGCAGGACCCGGAGTTGCAGCTAAGGGACAAAGGGACTAGAAATACCATTGTTTGTTTCTTGGGATGCTTGCAGGCATTGGTTGGCGTGGATGGAAATGGGTGGAGCGAAGAGAGAATTGAGAGACTTAAGGTGGAAGCAATGAAGGAGGTTGATGAGGGAGTTTATCATACGCTTGATCAGGTGTGTATAGTGGGGAGAAAAGTTTAGTAGTTCCAATTAACACTTAGCATTTCCATCTTTATATAGTCGGCTCTAGGACGTAAGTAGTTAACGCCATAAAACGCCGATCGCTTACAAATAAAACCCTACTAAAGGTAGAGTATAATATAATAATTTGATCTAATTACTAGTAATAATAAGCTATAAGGCTAGTAGCTATAATATAGTAAGAATTTATTAAAAAAATAGTTAAAAAAAAAGGGGACTACTAATCGTACACCCCCTAATTCCTAGACGTACACCCCGTTTTCACTCCATGTACACCCCCCCTTCTTGGCGCTTCACCACCTTCTGATTGGCTCGGAGAGCCCGGAGCTTCCTCCGGGCATTCACCCTTACGTCTCTCTACACGTGATGCTATACGCGAGGCTGTACGTGATGCTATGCACGAGGCCGTACGTGAGCTCGTATGTGAGGCCATACGTGATGCTATACACGAGGCCGTACGTGAGCTCGTACGTGAGGCCGTATGTAATGCTATACACAAGGCTGTACGTGATGCTATACATGAGGCCGTACGTGAGCTCGTACGTGAGCTCGTACGTGAGGCTATACATGAGCTCGTACGTGAGCTTGTATATAAGCTCGTACGTAAGGCTATACAAATTGGCATAATGTAATTGCTTGTGTTGTACATGGCCGCATTTGGAGAGAGCATTCGGAATTAATGAGCAAGTTAAGCGAGCGAATCGGAGGCTACGGAGCAGCCCTCCGAGCCAATCAGAAGGTGGTGAAGCGATAGGGGGGGAGGGGGTGTACGTGTAGTGAAAAGGGCGTGTATGTCTAGGAATTAGGGGGTGTACGATTAGTAGTCCCCTAAAAATAAAAGTAGAAAATTGTGATGGGCTGCGCCCTGTTTACGGGCTATGCCCTGGTGGAAGCTCCTACGGCCGTGGGCCTCCGGAGCTGGCTGCTAGCTAGCTGTCGGCCGTGCACATGGCCGGGCTTGGCAGGCCCCCTTTCCAGCTCTCCGAGCTGGCCTGCTTCCGTCTCTTCTTTAATAGAATTATTCTGTTTTCTGGAGCACATGCATACTCGATAGCAGGCCTCTGCAAGCCCCTTACAAAAATACTTTTAAAAAGTAGCTTAAGTTTATAAGGCTTATAAAATAGTATAAAGCCCTAATTTATAATCTAGAAATAGATTTAAAACTTTTTACTAAAACTTAATAGTTTCTAGTAAGGTATATCTAAGACTATACCGCAGCCAGTAAGTAAGGGTGAGCAAGGGTGAGTAGACCTGAGGAGAACTGAGCCGAAGCTGAGCCGGGCCTGAGCCAAACTCAGCCACAGCGGCACCAGGTCACGTACGCAGAAGGGGTTCGGTAGGGTGCACATTGGGGTGTTGAAACAACAGAGTCCAGAACTCCGCTCGCTCACACCCTTCGTCTTCAGACCACTTCTCCTTGCCCCTCCGCCTCAACAGTATTCAAGTAGTACTCAGCATCTCCACCTCGGAAGTACTCGAATTCTCTTGCTAACGCCTCCATGACCTCCGCGTCAACGTGAGCGTATGAGCCTCGGTTGGCGTGGTTCTCAATGTATTTCTTCTCGTTCGTGCTCATTCTTGGAGTAATGAACGCGCCCTCCTGCCTCTCTTCCTCGCTCAACCCCCAACGGACCTTCCCCACGCTCTTTGGGATCGAAGAGATGAATCTCCGCATGAAATCTCGCATCGCAAGAGGTGCGCGTCCCGTTCCTCTAAAGAAGGCCAACGTCCCAGGTTCGTTGACCAGCCCATCATGGACGAAGGAAACACGCAGTTCTCGCAGCTTCGTCATCTTGTAGAGCGCTGAGAAGTTGAAGACCTGGAGTAGGTTGCATAGATGAGACATCTCCATACTGTGAATGGGTAAATTGTAGTAAAGATTGTTCCACCCCTGCCGCAAGTCGATGTGCAGATGCATCCGCCGGATCGAAGACAGGTCCCATCCAATCGATACCGCAGCAGCTGCCCGGAGCCAAGCTGTGTTGGAGTAAGTAGTGCGGTTGGTGTAGTGCTGCCCGTATTGTGCCTTCATGCGGGTGTCTTCAGCATCTTCGTCTTCGTCGGCTGGAGCAGGTGGATCGAAGCGCCAGTAGACGTTATTCATATCCACTTGGAAGATGTGAGACTTATAAAGGACTTCCTTTGCCTCCCCGTAGACCTATGCATTTCAGTATCCAGCCGTTGCTGCCTGTAGCGGTACTGTCAGAGTGGCTTACCTGCTTCGACGTCTGGAGTATAGCAGCCCTCGTGGTCTTAGCCGGACGAACTTCCGGCAGCGGATTTTGAAACCACAGCAAAGGTTGAACATTGTTTTGGTTGTGAGCCGCACCGTAGCAGCCAAATTTAAGGCCGGGAGGGTCGGCGTATGCGATAGGTGTCTTCGAGGCCTGGAACTCTGGTTCGATTGGTCCTAGTACATGGCCATATACCATGTCACGAAGTTCTCTAGGGAGGTCGAGGAGTCTGAAAGGCCCAGTCGGCTCCCATTCAGGCTTGCGCTTCGTCTTATTCTTAGGCTCTGTGGTATGTTGACCATTGGCCCACTTGCGTTTTCTACCTCCCATCTTGATATTGTCGAAGATATGTAGGTAGAATAACTAGCCTTTCGGAGGTTTTCAAGTATGGATGCTTGGGGTTGAAAAGCTGGTGGTGTATGGGTGGTGCAAGAGAAACCTTTCCCGGAAAGAAGGAATGTGCTTGGTTTAAATACCCGACGAAGTTGGTGAATTGGTGAATGTAAGTGTCTTTCACGTGACGGCAGGATCGTAAGTATTCTAATTGTGTCGCGGGAAGACAGCGAGCTTAACTTCCTGCGTCAACTTCCGAGCTAGAGAAGCTGTTGATCGGTCAGTGTAATCCCTCGCATGATCGACACCATCATCGAATAGCTTGAGAAATTCTTCATCATCAACCTCATTGATAAATATGACCCTATCTCGGGAGGGGCTCCCCCTTCATTGAGAAACTATTTCAGAGGTGCCTGAACCGGCCGTTGCGTGAACATAGCTTGCTAACTTGCACGAACCCCCGGCATGTCAATATGAAAACTGTTTCGTGGATGATCTTCTTCGTCCTCTCCCTATCAACCCGCTGTTTCCTTAAAGAAGAAGCATAGCGCCGGCCGTTCCGCCCGCTTTCAAACTCCACACGCCATATTCGCGCGTTCCCAGTCATTGAAGAGACCAACCTATGAGAGGTGGGCATGTGACTTAGGAAACAAATGTCTCGGATACAGCGTAGATCGAACTTCCCTTCATCGAAAAATTCGTCACCTTAGTTGTGCGGACGCCCACATTAGCTCGTTCCCAGTCCACGAAGAGCTTAACACATGGTAGACGCGCCTGTGACTTCGGACTTATCTACAATCTGTCCGGACCATGTATATAACGTGGAACGAAGGACCCTTCATTCGTCACCTCGTCTTGTCGTTGGTGGCACAGCACGTGACGCCAGGGGCGCACAGACTGTGCTGTTGCTTGGGCCTCCCTGGTAGGCTCTGGTGTGCGGACTGTACGCTGAGCGTTGAGAGAGGGAAGGTGGTTGTGTTGAGGTTATATATTCGTGTTGATTATGAGAAGAGGAGTATATAGAGCGCTATAACTAGATATATATGAAGGAGAAGAAGGAAGGATGAGGAAAGAAAGGGAAAGGTGCTTGAATGTGTTGTATATAAGCAAAATGAATGAGACGTAGGACTGACGACTGTAGAGAAGCAGGAGAGTCGATGCACACTACCGTATGAATTGCTGGAAGCCCGATTATCTCCTTTCTCCCCACATCAATATTTGTCTATGCTCCCATCTGTTGAGACCCTTAAGATTCCCAAGCAAAAACGCAACAGTGTGGCAATCGCAAGCGTCCAAATTCTTTACATGATCTCATATTCCATCTATAGGCCACAATCCCAGCCGACCATCGCCGCACGCAGCGAATGCCAACCGGAGACCCAGCAATCAAGACTATCTCCATATCTAGCAAGTGTAAATATATAACAGGTATAGTAAAAGACAGGCTAACCATAGCACCCAATACGTAAACCAGACAAACAAGCCCGAAATCTGGAAGCGGCTCGCAAACATCTAAAAGTTTTCCTTGCCCCACACAAAGTTGAAGCCGGGCTCCGAGTACATGTTGCACTTTTGGTGTAGCACGCTGCCGAGCGGCTTGGGCCCGCAGAAGAAGACGCCTGCTTCGGCGGGTGCGTGGATCTTGCGGATGGACTTGAAAATCATGTCCCAGTTCGGGCGGCCGAAGTTTGTGGGTGCGCGTAGGCCGGTGATAGCGTCTTGCTCGGCGTTGGCGTCGTTGATCATGATGTTTGTGGCGTCGTCTACCTTGATCTTGGCGGTGAGGTACTATAGCGGAATTAGTCTAATGGCCGGATCTCATTGTTCTGGAAGTACGTACTGTGTGGATCTCAATATGGTCCTCAAGATCCTGTGCCTCAATAGCCAGGAGCAGAGATCGGAACCACTCAAAAGATCCGAAGTCTCTGCAGATCCAGAAGAAGTAGACTTTTCGTAGACGCGTGCGGCCCTGGGGGTAGTTCATACGGTACCAGATGCTCTTAAGAATGGATGCAAAGGGCGTTACGCCAATACCAGCACCGACGAGAACGGCAATCTCAAACTTGAACACATCCTCTGATGCACTTCCGAAAGGCCCGTCGATGTATACGCGAGGAAGGACCTTCCGTAGTGTTGCTTGTCCTTCATCATCGATGCTCTTCACCACGGCCCCCTTTTCTCCCTTTGAATCGCCCCTCCTAGATTCTTCGCAACCAAGAGCTTTGCCTAAAGCTTTGGTGAAGTTCCCTACCATTCGGACGTGAACTGAAATGTAGTCTTCCTCTGGTGCGCTCGTCAGAGTGAAGGGGTGGTATTGCCAGACAGAGACTTCAGGGCAACACAAAAAGATGTACTGTGATGATATTAGCCTGAGCAGGGTGTTTGAGGATTGTGCTCATACCTGTCCGGCCCGGGTCTTGGTGTGCTCTTTCTTGATCTGAATCTCAACAACATTGCTTGGATGCTGGATGACCTTGGAGACAAAGGTCTTGTGTCGCCCTCGAATCTCCCTTGAGATTCTTTCTGCCAAATATAGGAACCCGCCAAACATCCAGTATTCCCAGAAAACGCCGATACCAGAGCAAAAGGGTGCAAAATCGGGCTTGATCATGCAGAACGCGCCGTGAATGGACCAGAAAATAAAGAAGACAACGAAGAGATGATGTGTGTACCAGAAGCGTTCAAAGTTTGCCTTCTTCTGCTTCTCCATGGCCGTCCAAGCGATGAGCATGAGAGTAATTATCAAGACGTATCCGGACCATCCGGGACCAGTCATAAAATTTAGCTTGATGAATCCCTTGAACCCAATCTTGTTGAAGGCCGCCAATCGGGCAACATTGTTCAAATGGGCAATGGTGTGAACCCAGGAGAAGAAAACGATGGACCAGGCAGTCAATTTGTGGAAAGTGATGTTCTTGTCAAACGGAATGATGCCATTTAGAGGCGTCCGCCGGAGCATCGAGATGAAATTGCGGCAGACTGGAAACAAGAGCAGCGCAATGTCGACGTGAAGCACGAGAGCCGCCGAGCGAGCTATTGGGAATGTCAGTCCTAACATGGCGCGAGCGTTGACGGATCGATCCTAACATTCCGAATTAGCGAAAGTCCAACTCGTGAGAAATGGACAGGTTACCGTCATGCCATAATTCATCATTCCGAAGATGAAGACCATTAGATGTAGAAGTAGAAATACGAAGACGAATCTTGAAGAGTCAGTAAAGGCTCGTAAAGTTCGCCCACGCCTAGCACTTACAGTCTTCGATATCCCTCGTTCACCATCCTAAGAGTTTGTCAGCTGATATTCTCCGAGGCTTCCTCGTTACACGTACCATCGATCAATCTTCTCTTTGAGGAACAACTCCCGTGGTGCTTCGTCGGTCATCTCCCCGGACTGCAGCATGCGGGTCAGAGGCGGCCATCTCGACCTCTCCTTCCCTGTGAGACTACTCGAATAGGACATAGTCGCAAAGGGAACGGTTGGTCTGTAAGGCAACGCGGAAAGACAAGGTACTAAGAAGGGATCCTGGGGATTAAGATGTCGCCGATCTTCAGAGCCTGCTGAAATGGCCAAGTCAAAGAATTTGTGGGTTGAAGGAATGACCAAATATCTGCAGCAGCAGCATCAGCAAACTGGACGTGCAGCGAGGCTTCCAGGTAGACTTACTAACAGTGGTACCCGCACTGAAGAAGAGAAGAACACGCGAATGAGTCTAAGTGTAGCCGGCTAAAAGAGTGCTCGGCGATAAAACGGGAGGCTCACGGGGGGAAACGCAGGTCTATAAGCAATATGCATGAAGGGGGGGCTCGAGCTGGTGCGGCGGCAACATGGTTGACGCGTGGACCAGAGCAAAAGCTCAACGGGTAGCGATGCAGTTTCTAAGATCACGCCACGCCCTCCTGCGCAAGCAGCAAAAGCTGTGACAGGAGGAGGCGGGCGGTCGAGGAGGCGTATCGCAGTGCAGTGTGATGGTCTAGCAGCATCGGGCCTGGGGACGAATAGGGAGGACAGGAGGGCTGAGAAGGGCATGGCGGCGCGCAAAAGACAGCCCTTGAAACCGCAATGGCTTGGAAGGTTCTCTTTTTGCCTTGAAAAAGAGGCTGATTGAATAGGAGGAAGCCCGCGGGGATCGCCAGGCACGTTTTGGGTGTTGTCTCAAGACGGTTTCAGTGGACGTTGGCGGCCCCGCCTCGCGCCGCAAACCCTTTCTCCACTCTTTTCTCACACCTCACCCGCTCCAGATAATCCGTCGCTCCCCGCTGGACGACTGTGATTCACGACCTTTGCGCCATGCTGCTGTCCCAGACTAGCGCTGATGACCCGAACCTAGCATCGAGCCGGTTCGACTTACTCCAGCTACCAGGCGTCAATCGGCTTCTCTCTCCATATGTCTCTCAGCTCGTACGAACGCGCTTCGAGTTATTGACTATTCGTAGGAGAGCACTCCCAATAACTCAAAAGCAAGTCTTGAACTGCCACGGGCTGTTACGAGTCGTATCAGTGGGCCTTTCAACACCGATGTCTCTTCCAACCCGCAAGCTCACGGCTACGAATGCTTGACCCAAGACGATGCATACTTTCTTCTTTTGTCTCAACAATACAACCTTATCGTATACAAAAGTCGTTCCATCCCTGCTCTCCTTCATACATCCCGGGTATAGAGGGAGTCGAAGCTTGACCAGAGCTTGGCACAGATATGGTTTGGGGTTACGCGCGTACAGTTCCTCCTAGCATGAAATCTAGGACTAGGTATGAGGCTTTCTTCTTACTACCCGCCTAGGCTCCATTACTTTCTTATCGTGGCGAGTAGCATGGAATTGTTTGGAGGGTCAATATGGTGTTGAAAATCACTTCGTTGTCGACTATGTAACTCTCGAACTTAGCGCTTCTAGCGCCATTTAATTTGCCACTATGAATAGCGCTGGCGCTAGCATCCACTTGTGGCTGTAGCGACAGGGGATCGTAAAACTTTGGCTGAGTACAGTGAACTCCTCGCCGAGGCTGAGCCCTGCGGGTCGAGTATGTATATGTGAAGGGGGCCTTATACACTAATACTACGCACAACGGACCTCGAAAACGTTGGCACAACATCTTCATAGTTCGCAGAAGCAAAGGTGCCCACTCGGTGTTGGCAGTTGCTAGTTAATGCAGCGTCGCTTATCTCAAGCCCAAAAAAGGAATACGAGTTCTCGCATGCGGGTTCGTCAAAATGTCACACGCGGCTCTTTGACAATGGGCAGGATGCCTTCCACCCTCAGCCTCATAGCCACGGAGGCAAATCAGTAACTTTCGAGCTGTAAGACCCAAGCCCAAAGTCACTTAACAAGCACGTTGTCATTTGCCATCACTCCCTATGGATCCGCTATCTATAGTTACCTCAACAGCAAGCCTCCTCGTCGTCACTGGCAAGGTAACCTCAATCTTTGGATTGCACCTTTTCTCCAAGCGTGGCAGCTGATTCGTCAGTAGGTCTCTTTGCTGATTGATGAAATTGTAGGGAACGTGAAAAAATGTCGATGAGAATGTCAAAGGGCTACACAAAGAGACAAGAGCTCTGAGTACTGTTGCAAATTCCATCAAGGAAATATGCGAGAAGTACCGGCCGGCCCTGGACGGTGACTCTGCAGACCTTTGGGTCCATGTCGAGCACAATGTTGACGACTGCAAGACTAGTCTAGAAAAATTGCTTGGATCATTAGTTGAAGTAAAAGAAAAATCATTCTTGAAGCGTTGAACTCTTAGGAAGTCAATGACAGCAGTCAGTCTATCCAAAAGGTTGAAAGACATAACGGGCCACAAGGAACAGGTTCATTCCTATGTAACTGCGTTGCAACTAGCATTGAGTATGATCAACGTGTAAGTCCTCATACGTAGTTGGTATTTTATTGTACTAATGTATATATGTACCATAGAAAACTGCAACTCAACTCGCAACTTGAAGGCCGCAACTCTCAGGAGGAGAACTCTAAATTCTAAAGAAAAATGCTTGGTCTTTTCGAGGATATGAAGCATGACATAGCTGAGCTGGAAAACTCAACCAACAACGCCAGCAACGCACAAGCCCACCTTGCTACCAAGAATGCCCGTCAACTAATAAAATCTGCAAAGGACTTTCATTTCAGTACGGCTTCTACTGTCTGGGAAGGATCAGTCATGGGTGACCCCCTCACTGAGGAGAAATTCAAGAATATCCACGACTGGATACCACCGAGACCAGAAGACGAACCAACTATTCCTGTGGATGTATGGAGACCTTCGTCAAGCCTGACTCCACCTCATGTTGGCAGATCAACAACGTCATATTACGATATACTCTCCATCCATCCTTCTTCAGATGCTAAGCAAATAGAGTATGCGTTTGTTAGGATGATTGCTTCAGCAAAAACTTCAGATGGCCGGATTAACCAGGAGAAGTTGAACGATGTGAATGAGGCTGACAACACCCTATCAGACCCTGCAGGGCGACGTGAGTATGGCGAGGAGTTGGGACTGCCACGTCGTAAGGCCCCAACAGTCCCAGCGAACAGTCTCAAGCAGCCTGGGTTTCTAAGGCCGGGCGAAAATATCGTGACAAAGGGAGAATCTCTGGGGAATACGGTCGGCGATTTTCTCGGATATCGCTTTGATGCCAGCTCCAGCTACAGTCCTCTGTATTCTGGACCTGACTTCGGAAAAATCCCCCAGAGTTCAAGATTAAACCTCCCAAGAGTTGGCCGTAGCGACAACCCTGTTTCTCTCCCTATTAACCTCGGGAAAGCCTCTCGAAGCTTGAACATCAACGTACCAATATATAGCTCCAGCGACAATAATCAACTTTTTCGGAATCTTCTTGGCACAAGAGTCAGCCCCAGCGACTTTGGAAAGATCCCCCAAGACCGAATTTTAGGCATGAGCTCCCAGACGATCGGGCCAATTGCCGATATAGATCGCATCATCCGAACCCTTTTGTCACTACAACGGCTTTCGGAGACTGACATTCAGTACCTTTGCTATACGGCTAGCTTAATTCTCCTGTCGCAGCCAACACTTCTGAACCTTGAAGCACCGATGAATGTAAGATCCTCAATTTGGCTGATGCTCATTCGAAATGCACTGAACTGAAAATCTTGATGTAGATCATTGGCGACATAAGCGGCCAGTATCACGATCTTCTCACAGTCTTTGCTCGAGGGGGATGCCCTCCCGAAGCCAACTATCTCTTCCTCGGTAATTTTGTTGGCAACGACAAGCATTCTCTAGAGACTGCCTGTCTTGTTCTTGCATTTAAGATCAAATTCCCCGAAAACTTCTTCATCTTGCGAGGAAATCAAGAATGCGCCCTCCTCAGACACCATCTCACATTCTACGTTGACTTTCATATCCGATACAGCAACAAGCTGTGGGACACGCTCATCAATTGCTTCAATTGCTTGCCGCTTGCAGCCATCATCAGCGAGAAGATTTTTGCAGTACATGGAGGTTTGAGTCCTGAGCTGACATCTATGAGTCAAATTCAGCAGATCATGAGGCCGACCGATGTAAGTGCCGGAATTGCGTAAAAACGGTCTCTTTAAAAAGCCGCAGGGGTTCCTTGACCATACTACCTTTGTAACGGCTTTATAGATTCCAGGCCGCGGATTGCTTCGTGACCTACTCCACTCCCATCCCGACCAGAACATTGTCGGCTGGACTGTGAATCTGGATAACGGCGCCGTGACATTTGGTCCAGAGGTTGTGTATCGCTTCGTTAAGACATATGACTTTGATTTGATCTGCTGTGGCTCTCATAAGGCCTTGCGTGGCGGGTACGAATTCATTGCGCGTCGGCATCTGGTCAGCCTCTTTCTTCACCGAGCCACAAGCTAGAGTATACGATGGTTGCCAAGGGCAGGGGCGAGGAACAGAATGATGGCGCGATGATGGCTGTGGATAAATCCTTGATGTGCAGGTTTACGGTAGGCCTTTCAAACTTTAACTCCCCTATGCCCAAAAGAACTGATTTGGTTATAGGTCATAAAGGCTACAAAAATAGGACTGTAGGGGTGCTGGCGAACCTGTATAGGAGGAGCACCTATAGAAACTGACTGCAGAGCCACTAAGCACAGGCAACAAGCTTCCTGGGAAGGTGTGTGCTGACGGAGCAGACGCATCAGTGCCTTGCCATAGGTACCCGTACATATTTCCACCACTGTTTATGGGGATCTAATGTACTGATAGAAATCGGGGGCAGCGGGTATTATGTATGTACACCCTGCTAACTGTCCGAGGTAGCCTCGCGAATTGCTAGCTGTCTACAATGCCGAACCTCTTTCTCATTCGGAATGCTGGAAATACCGTGAAGCTCCTCGCGCAGCGGTAAACAAGTGTACGAATTTCATGAAGACGCACTGTAGAGGCGTTGGCAGTCATCACGTGTACAAATACCAGTGCCCATACAGTTCATCGCTCAGAAGCTCTAGAAACAGGATCCCTTGAACAGAGTGTCAGTCCGGGAATCCTTGCGAGATTGTATCCTATGATTTCTTATTTTAAACACATTCTCTCTACCCTTCTAAGTGTAATCTGCCTATTAGTGCCTGAGATCCTCCATCACATTATCTAAAGTTGCACAGCAACAGTTTTGGCAAGTCTAATAGCTTTCCGGCCACCTCAGACAGTGTTCAGAGCATGAGGAAGCCACCACTTGCGGAAATGGTCTGACCAGTAACCCATTGCGACTGCTCCTCTGCAAGCATCCCGATTATCAACGCGACGTCTTCCACCGTCCCTACTCGGTGGCCCATGGGCGTCTGTTCCTTCTGCATGTCGACAAGGTCTTTGGGAATCTGGTCCAGCATTTCTGACTGTATCGGCCCCGGGCCTACTGCGTTGACCGTATGCCCCGCTGGGCCCAATTCTGCCGCGAACCCTCTCGTCATTCCCTCAATCGCGGCTTTGGAGGCCGAGTAGAGCGAGAAGTTCTCGAAGCCGCAGCGTCCTCCCACTGAGGACAGGTTGATAATGCGCCCAGGTGCTCGCAGATGCGGCACGACAGCTTTCACCATTAACCAAGCCCCTCGTACATTGACATCGAAGATAAAGGCGTAATCCTCGGCGGTAGACTCGAGAATAGGCTTGGCCATTTCCACGCCGGCATTGTTTACTAAGATGTCGATGGATGGCCCAAAGGCGTCCCGAGTGGCTGCAACGATCTTGTCTGCGGATTCCACCTGGCTGAGATCTGCTTGGACCTTGATGGCGTCTGCACCGTTTCCAAGCGCTTTGATTTCGGAGATTAGATGATCCGCCGGCTGTGAGCTGCTCGGTGATGTATACGCTATGGTGACCTGAGCACTGTCAGTCAATGTGCGGGTGCGCCTGCAGGACGAAGTCCGATGCTGACCTTTGCGCCCCGCTTGGCTAGATCCAAGGCCACTCCAGCTCCGATGCCTCGCGAAGCACCGGTGACGATTGCCACTTTCCCTTGGAGCGTAAGCCTCGTGTTGATTGTCTCCGCCATGCTGGGACTGTAGCCCGTAGATCGGTGACAAACAAGGGTGGCGAGTTTGGGGGAGTGTTGGCAGTCCTGCGAAGATTGTCGTGCTTTTATATTAGCCGCCAAGAAAGAATCAGTTGGACCACGCCCTTATCAAAGAAGGCTGCTGTGCTGCTTATGCTGTAGACGAGTGCGTCATAGGGTACAAAGTGCATACTCAGGACAGAGCTCCTGGTGGATTTAGCGTGTATCTCCGTCCAGCCCGTCCCACACTCCGTTGAATGGGTGTAAAGCATCGGACTAGGGAGGGCCCTCGGAGTCGTTGATGCTAGTGTGAAGTTGTCAGAGTTATCTCGGGCCGGCCTATTAACTGGTGCATGGGCGGTTTTCGCGACAGTGCAGTTTTCGGAGGGTTGAGTCTTACTTACCGCCAAACCAAAATCCGTCAGGCCTTCTCCGCACCACACAACAAGTCTCCGTCGCAAACCACCCATCAGCACCATAAAGGACAAAGCTCGCTGCCTCGCTGCTGACGTGCCCATAGGTTCTATTACGCTGCTCTGCCCGTCGCCTCTAACCTTTGCTAGTCTCAACCCTGCTTCCCGCGTTCAAAAATTACCCGGCGCCGTTTCGCACTCGCTACCAGCCATGGGCGGAGTTCAAACCCCAAAATCCGACTCGCGACGAGGCTCGCGAGAATTCGTAGCGCAGGAGAGAGGCACAAAACGAATCAGTCAGTTCAACACTGCCCTGCCCTGCCCCATCCTCCCTTTGTCCCCACCATTTGCTCTGCCATACCGTCCCAGAGCTGCCCCGCGAGATGCCGCCCGCTAATGCCTTCCCCCGCTCTGCAGGAACGCAATCTCTACCGCCGCCAGACCTCCCCAAGCTCGTCGCTGAACAACACGTTCCCATCCCGTCGAGCGACAAGAGCACCCAGCGCCTGATCGTCGTTCTCTGCAATGCCACACTCGAGAGCTACAAGGTGTCGTCGCACGGCGGCCGAGGCCCTATGGCGGGACGGGACGACAAGTACACTCTCCTCAACAGCGACGACCACATTGGAGTCATGAGGAAGATGGGCCGAGACATCAGCGAGGCTCGCCCAGACATCACCCATCAGGTACGCCGAGAGGACACGGCCGAGGGATACATCTGACACGGCTTGCAGTGTCTGCTCACCCTGCTTGACTCACCGATCAATAAAGCCGGCAAACTCCAAATCTACATCCAGACGGCAAAGAATGTCCTCATCGAGGTCAGCCCGACCGTGCGCATTCCCCGGACATTCAAGCGCTTCGCTGGTTTGATGGTCCAGCTGCTGCACCGACACCAAATTCGCTCTACCACGTCCCAAGAAAAGCTCATCCACGTGATCAAGAACCCCATCACCGACCATCTCCCGCCAAATTGCCGAAAGGTCACGTTGAGTTTCGAGGCGCCGGTAGTGCGAGTAACAGACTACGTCCAGGGCCTCAACAAGGACGAGAGCATATGCGTCTTCATTGGAGCCATGGCCAAGGGCAGCGATGACTTCGCAGATCACATCAAGGACGACGCAATCGGGATCAGCAACTTCAATCTCAGCGCTAGCGTTGCATGCGCCAAGTTCTGCCATGCCGCCGAGGACGTGTGGAACATCATATAAATGGACGGCCGACGCCCTGTCCTCCTGCAACACGCTCCCGCTTCCGGCCAGGACGATACTAACACAGCAGTTCTCCAGCTCATTGGGGGAGAGGATGGAATACCGGAGGCACGACAGTAGAGCGCGGGACGCATCGGGCTTGCGATCACAACATCCATAGCCGGGTGCGTTCCTTGCGTTGTTTTTGAGTGTCAATGTTCGATGGTCTCTGTTTTTACAACCAAAACACCAGCCTTCAACAAGCTCAAAAGCGTCTTTTCTTTGCGGAGCAATCAACTTGCTCTGCAGTCTCCTGTACTTCCTTCTTTGTTTTCCTCTTTTGCGCGCTGGATTATCCGCAGGCGCCCCTGCTGACTGAGGTAGCTGGGTCTGCTTCGCGGGACAGGCTGCCTCACGGTATGCTCCTGTGGCATGGTGATCATGTGCAGACGACCTGATACGCGACCATGGGTGGATTGTTGGGTGATTTAGGTAGTGACGCATCTGGGCGATTGCCATAGGTGGGGAGAGAGTGGTGTAATGACAGATGTGGTTTACAGAGAAAAGTTTGCATCTATTCGCCTCTGAATATGCCCGATTGTTTCTGTGGTCACACGCTTAGTTCGTGTACACGTATCTGCCGCTGTCTGAGGTGGCCTCACGTGATATGCTCAGCTGTCTAACTAGAGCAGAAATTCTTGTCCCGTCTGGTTCAGACTTCTGAAAGTACCATGAAGCACCACAAGCAGTAACAGGAGGGCGTACGACAGTATATCACAAGACACTGCAGGAGCCCATTAGACAGGCCGGACGCAAGACGATCTCGCGATGCCATGTGTCGGAAATATTTCTGGTGCGTTGGTGAAGATTGTGGTCGGCCCTTGGTCGAATGGGGAGTAGTCAAGTTTACCGGAACGGGGAACGAATGTCGGCTTCGCTGGGGCTGTCGGTCTCAGTCGCTTCCATCTCAAAGCCGTGCAGCAGTAGTGAGGCGCGAGTGATCCTTCTGCAGCGCGGTGAGGCGATCTACAAACGAATCGCGGAACAGGCCGCCCGGGCCGCTTGCAATTATCCAATTGCTTCCTCTCGTCAGTCCCCATCTGCTAGCTGCAGGATGGACATGTGGCATTCTGTCGACGACCCTCGCCGCGGACTCCCTGGATGCCAGCCACCACGGACAGGGCGGCATGTCTGGCCCGGCATGGCCGCCTTGTCCTTCCCATCGTAGATTCATCTCTAAGCGGCTCGAAGGGGCGCCTTCATAAGCCGCCGTGACATCCCCAGAGTGAGTTGCTGTCAAACTGTGTGCCATTGCTACTCCACCACTATTCTCAATAGTTCGTAGCCTTCTTGACAACCATTTTTCTATTCCCTTTCGTCAGCTCCAAAGACACCATCTCTATCCTTAATTCGTCTCTCTCTTCGACACCGCCATTTCCCCTCAAGTACCATGCCCGTCTCCCACATCGGCCTTACTGTCTCACACCTCCCAACTTCTTGTTCATTTTTTCTCGCTGCTCTCCAACCGCTTGGCTATCGCTTTATTGGCCAGCAAGGCAACCAAATCGGTCTCGGGATCGACGACGCTGATTTCTTCCTCTGCCAAGAGACGCCTGGGTAAGTCGTCCCGAGTGCTAGACTACACACCAGCTAACACTTCGACAGTATCAAAGCTGGAGCAGCTCATATCGCCTTTACTGCCCTCAGTCGCACTGCCGTTCGAGACTTCTATACTGCTGCGCTCACTGCCGGCGGACGGCCCCATGGGTCACCTGCCACTCGCAACGATGAGAGCGGCTACTTCAATGCTGCTGTCCTCGACTTCGATGGCAATAGCATTGAGGTAGTGTTCCGAGACGAGCCTGATACCCGCGATGATGGTACTGTCATTGAGCACAGCAGAGTCATTACCTGGCAGAAGAGCGTCTCCGAGAGCGTTCGCGACGATGTCAGCGTAGCGAGCGCCAGCACAGTTCGCAGTTCGAAATCAAAAGCTCTCGCACCAGCACTCTCCGTAGCACCCTCGACTAAAGCCCCATCTGTCGTTTCCAGAGCCTCTACTCTCGCCAGGAGTTTCTCAGCTCCCGTCACCGTCCCAACCACCAAGACCTCGTCCTCGATAAGCGACGGAGCCGCGAAGAAGATAATCGGCACCCTCCTAGGCGCCGCAGCCGGAGCAGCCGTTGCCTACGCCATGGTAAAGAGCGAAGAAGACAGCGCAAAAGCAGAGGCCGCATTCAACGCCGTCCAAGCACCGCCAGCATCGCGCGCGCCGTCCGTTGCCCAGCCGATCCCGGCGCCGGAACCCAGGCTATCCCTCCAAGAGCCCCAATCGATCTACGAATCCCCCCCACGTACTGTTCACCGCAACTACAGCGAAACCGACTCCTACTACAGCACCCCTCACCACAACGCGCCCCGCGCCATCGAGGCCGCACCCGCAAGGAGCTACCACGCTCCCACGTACGTGTCTGCTGCGCCGACGCGGGCTCCAACTCAGATCCCAGACCGCCAGCAGGGCCAAAACCAGCAGATACAGTACGTCCAAGGCGCTTCTCCAGCAAACCACCACTACACCTATGGCATGAGCCGCTCCGTCTCGAGCCCCAGCGCCGTCCAGGCGTCGAGAACCGCGCCCCCCAGCACGCTGATCTCCTCCTTCGTGCCCTCCGAAGCATCGACCTCCCGCCCACCACCCGCCGACCGCCGCAGCAGCACCGGCAGCGCCCATTCCCACCACTCCAACAAGTCCAAAGCCAAGTCGCACGCCTCGCACCACAGCAGTGCAAGCAAGCACAGCTCCGCCTCCAAAACCAAAGAGGGCAGCAAAGCGCCCTCGCTCGTCGGCAGCATCCTCGGCCGCGACCTCGGCATCCCGGGCCTCATCTCTGAGCAGACCTGGGAGCGCGAGAGCGTGGCGAGTTCCACCGACAGCGAGAGCGAGCGGCGGCGGAACAAGCACCTCGACCTCGAGCTCTGCGACACTGACACCGTCGCGCCGAGCGACAGCATCTCGAACGCGGGCTCGAGCTCGCGGCGGAGCCATCACTCGAAGCACTCGTCCTCGAAAAGCCATCATGGCTCGAGCCACTCGAGTACGTCGAAGCACTCGAAACATTCAAGTTCGTCGAAGCATTCGAGGCGGTCGCGCTCACATCGTGACGAGGAGGACGACGAGGTGGACGTTGTGCGGCCGTCTGCGATCTCCGAGCCGAGTGATGCGAGTACGGTGAAGCCGAGTAAGCGGAAGGATTCGGGGGTTGGGGGCGTGCAAGAGGCGGCGCCGGGGGCGAGTTTGCCCGTGAGGGGCATCACGGCCAGTATGATTGAGGGGAGTACGGGTGGGAAAGGGAGGAAGAGGAGTGTGGTGAGTTATGCGATGTAGCATAGCATATGGAAGGGAGTGGTGGCGATGCCGGGATGGTCGATCTTTGCATGGACAAGGTTTGGGGTTGTTGGGCGTGCAGTGCAGTGCCTGTTGATCTTTTCGTTTCTTTTTTCTTGGCTTCCTGGACGTTGACGTTGAGGACTTTCCGATTCAGCATGTTAGACATGCGGCTTTCTAGTGGGTATGGTATACACACATCCCTCGGCATTTCCACGGATCTATTCTCGCATTCATTGCATTAGACACTTTTCCTCTCTTCCTCTCATCGTCTGCTATTCTCAGACCATTTACGATACACATGTCTTCAGCATAGCGTCCCATAGAACATCGCATATACAATACAACAGATGATCATATTCAGCTCAACCATGCATGCAGTACCAGGTCCTAGGTCTAGGCACACGGCTTTCATCACTACTAGGCTCCAGTCTGGCTCACTCGACACCGCTATGAGGAGTATCCCCGTTAGTAATTAGCCAGTTAGCCAAGAGGCAGTCTGATTTGCACTACTTGAAACTTGACATTGTGCTTCGATTCCTGAAGTCTGATGGGGGTACCCCAAGCACTGGTAGACGGGTGTGCACGAATTTATGGCCGGTGTCTGTATTCTCCAACGCGATCCTCTCCAAGCGCGAAGAATTACACAGTGACTTGCGATAAGCCTGCACACTACTTTGCTACCGCTAGGGCGCCCTCCATGAACTTTCCATACTCTATGCGCGCTGCCAATTTCCGCACAGCGTAATCCGAGCTGCCCTTTGACTAAACTTTTTCGTGACAACGGGGTCGCTCCTGACAGTGGTGTCCAGCTTCCAAGCGGCAGCATTCTAGAAGTAGCATACATGCGCCCAGACTTATAGCCTAGCACTGCAACCTCTGCCATCATCGACTAATGCAATCCCAACCCCTCATACCCCATCCACCCCTCCTCTTAAAAGCAGCCAAGAAATGCGAAGAGAAGAGACCCAGAACGCCTCCACCGATCCCAAAAGCCCCATCTCATCAACATGTAACAAGAATCCAAAAAAGAAAAAAAAGCGCTATGATAACAACCACCCATCCCGACAAATCCCCAACAAAACATAAATACCCACCCACCA